CAAGTCAATCAAACACTGCAGCACTCAAGTCAATCAAACACTGCAGCACTCAAGTCAATCAAACACTGCAGCACTCAAGTCAATCAAACACTGCAATTAACGTCCTCAAGTCATCTACGACATCCCGCAGCCTGCCTTGGGAAAGCAGCTTGCACCACTCCTTGTCAGGTTGTCGGTCACCTCGACTTGGATATCTGCGTCGAGTAGTCCGAGTATTCCGCGACTTACACTTATCAACCAGCCCACGTCGACACAGTTCCAAGGCTCACTTCATCAGTCCTTGACAGACATCGGCATTGAAAGATACACATGTGGCCTGCAGAACACAGGGGAACAGGAAGATAATCGGGCACTGGACGCCTATTGGAATTTGGCAAAGCATGTTGAGATATCATCACGTGCAGGTGGACATGTCGAAGCTTGTGGGTACGGGATATTGTGTTTGGGGAAGTCAGGCCATGGAACGTGGGAGACCGTGTAAAAGGAGTGGATCTCGATCCAGCAAGAGGTGGACGCTCTGCGCAGGAGAGACACCTTCACGTGGTGCAGAGTGTGAATAGCAGTCACTCGGATTCATCCAGTGGCTGTGAAACCAAGATCTCTCCCTCAAGTTTCACATGGAAGAAAGAAGCAAGTGCAGAGTACAGGAATAAAAATGGATTCAACTTGGTCTCTAAACGAGCCTTTGTCGTCACTGTCCTCGCACCACAGCAACGTTCTTTTTCTGACCTTTTGCTCTCGCGAATCATCTCGCGTGGTCTTGGGCGAATCACTCCTGCCTACCCACTGCCTGCCGTGTCTCTGCGTCTACTGTGGTACGCAGGCAGTAAGAAAAGTTGACCAGCCGTGCAGTGAATTGCCGTCCCCAGTGGGCCTCGGGATTGGCCCACGAATAATGAACCGCATTCGAGGATATCGCCCCCATCTTTTGAATGCCCTACCAGGACCGGCAAATGCTGTGGTCTTGACTGTCGTCGTCTAAACTTGCCGATAGTCGATGCCACGCGTGGTCTTTGAAATGCTTGCTGTTGTGGCCCCCATCATCACTCGAGCCCCTCTCTAACCTCGCAGAGAGTCTTTCTAACATGAGAAGGACGCAACAGTCCCATTGGGGTTGACCGTGGCAGCCGATGTACTGGTTCTAACATAGAAAACGACCACCAGGTCGATGGAAGAGGCAGCACGGGATTTTCACTCGGTGTGCCCGACCCGCACGTTCACCTCTACGTTGCATGAGCAGTGTATATGTTCCATTCTCGAGATGGAAATCCTTCGACCATTTCCCTGATACAAAACCTAGGATAAGCCGCAGCTGAAGGATTTGACGCGCTGGCGAACCCGATGATCTGCTCGGCAAGGCGGCAGTGCCAAAAGACTGGCGCAAAGATGCCCAGCGATTTCCTCCTCTCACCTGTCTACTGTAATGCCTGTCTTACCTAACCACAAGTGCTAACCAAGTTATAGCTTCAGGCCCCCCAGCGCGCACAAGCCTTGCATGAGCATTCCGGCTCCACGACTCACTAAGGTTAAGTTGCTGCAAGTCAGTCCTCAATCATATCGCGTTACCGGTGATTTAATTGAACTACCTGACGGCGTGGCGTCGTCCTGTTTGGGTACTTCAAACGAGCTTCAAACTTGGGACCACCGAGTATATCTTCCTCATCGTGAAGCCTTTGCCCGGTCTAGCTGCCACTTTCCTGGCATACCCGATTGCCCAACAATTGCTGGAATGCCTCAAGAATGTCGGTCCTTTCGTTGCCAGCACCACACGATCCTCCTCAAGCTGACTCCGTCGTGAGAAAGAGGAAATGGCACGCCAAGGTGTTGACGGGGTGCATGAAGTGCAAAGATAGACACGTCAAGTGCGATGAGACAAAACCGGGGTGCCTACGGTGTGCGAAAGCCTCCATCAAATGTCCTGGCTACAACACCCCAGTGGCACGCATCTTTGAAATTCCGGCGCGTCCTCGATTTGATTGCGACATCGACAAAGCCAACTATGAGTACCTGGTGAATATCGGCTCCAAGGTACTTGCCGGGTTTCAGCTTTCTGCCACATCTTTCTGGACGAAGCTCGCTCCTCAACTCGGTGAAGCCGATTCTGCTGTCCGGCACGGTCTGCTTGCTTTGGGGGCCATCCAAGCGCCGTTGCATCGGACGACCGTTAAAGACCTTGACCCGAATGAGAGACCAGAATTGGTCCCTCGGGCCATGAAGCACGTGAGCAAAGCAATGCATCTGCTCAGAACCGCCAACCCGGATGATGTGTCTACGGAAGTCGCATTGACTTGCTGCATCTTGTTCCTGGCCGTGGAAATTTGGACGACAAAGAAATCATACTCACGCGTGCACATTCTAGCGGCACATCGAATATTGCAAGACCATAGCCAGAAGATCTGCGCGGCTTCGAGGGACGACTTTTCAAAGATGGTGGATGAGCTTGTCATTCAAGCCGCTACCTTTGCGGATGAGTTTCCTCCCCCAAGCTCTGGCATCCCGCCAGACTACCAACTTGACCATGGTTCGGAGAGATCAGGGAGCATCTTTGATTGGAGAAGCGCTCTGGATGCCATGAATTGGCTCATAAGATCGGTCCTTCGAACAACATCGGATCCAACATCGTATGACTTGATGAAAACCAAGCTTTCCAAAGCCCTTCGCAGCTTCTCCAAGAAGATTGATGTGCTACAAGTGTCCGCCCGTCCATCTTGTGAAGGTGTGGACAAGATGGATGAATACTGGAATCTCCGTATGCACCATCGAGTCACATACACCATGCTTAACACTTTGGCGCAGGAGGATGAGACGGTCTACGACGCGTTCACGTCGGATTTTCATTTCATCTTGGCCCAGTGTGAAAGTATCATTGAGAGACGGGCATCATTGCAGGCTGATAACATACCCAACATTCGAGGTCCGACCCTCGGTCTTCTGCCTCCTTTGTTTTTTGTGGCCACCAAGTGTCGAGACAGTGCGATTCGACACCGAGCACTCAAGGTCATGCACGGCACGTTGGTGAATGAACGGGAATGGACGAGCTGCATGGCCACGGCGATGGCAAGGTTCATCATTGATCAGGAAGAGCAGCTCCTCAACTGCATCTTTCCGGGGGACCTGGCAGAACAAGTCAAAGCACGAGTCCGATTACTCGACGCCGATTTCACGAGCAGTACGGATCAAATGACACTCGATTACGCCATCTGTGTCGAAGGACAGCCTGATAGCCTCCATCAAGCCTGCCTGCCCTACAAGCCTCTCCCGTCGATGCAGATTGATGGCGTCAACACCGCCATCTCGCGGAAGGAATTGCGAGCTTGCGGATACAGTGGGATCATATTGTGGACGCCCCGTATCGAATGTCACTGCGTTTCGGAGCCGACGTGGCAGTGCCATACCACGCCGGGACGTGACAACATGATATCGATGGAACTGTCGGCGAGCACGGGTGGCTCCAGCTCGTTGACAAGCTGGACTCCTGACTCTTCACTCGCTTCGATATGTGAGTCGTAACGGACGGTAGAACCTTACTGAAACGCAAGCGACCGGCCGCCGACCGGCTGTTGGCATTTTGCTCGAAGCGTATAGCAGCAGAGCCTTTACAACAACTAACAGGCGTACGAGCGAGGAGCCGCTCGAAGGAGGGCAAATCAAGTTCAGGCAGCGAGCAAAGGTATGTCTAGCCGCCTGATGTGGCACAAACCGTTAATGCGAGGCCACCCGGCAAAGCTAGACTGGGGCTTGCTGGACGAACGCTGATAGTCCTGCTGGTAGTCCATCCACTATTCCCATAGAATGATCGACCCGGCATGAAGAGCGACATTGGGGGCCGTTTTGTCGAGGAAGACAGCGTGTGCGGTGTAGATCGGGCTTTGGTGTTTCTCGGTGTTTTCAGGGTTGAGATGGGGTGACTTTTCCACATCTGTACTTTTGGTCGTGAAGGCGATTCGAGTTCGGGCGGGAACTCTCTCAGTTTGGCGGAACCTGGAGTCTATGAGACGGCGTTGCGACTTACATCACCGAATCACGGGATTATGGCTCGATGGGTACGGTGTTTGCTACTTTACCAAAGTACGTAGGTAGTCAGAGGTATGAAGTACGGGGGTATGGATGGGTAAGGGTAGGTGGAAGCCCATTCAATTGCGGATGATCGTCAAGAGACGGGCTGGAAGCCCACGAAGCCTTGATGATGCTAATGAGTACTCTGAGCACATGAAGCGTGTCGTGTGTATTGCGCCTACTCCGTCGAGATATCTACTGTGTAGATACAGCGTTGAATACCATGAGTACTTTGAGAAAGGTTGTCCTCCTTTGTCCGTCGAGTGTCTCTCGTGTCGATGTCGAAGCTCGGCCACTTGATCGACCAACGCCAGTGACATCACAATGCATACCAACTTCCATGGACGAATCAACAACAAAAGCCTAGCGACGGTGCCAGGCGAGCAGGGTACAAACCAAGGTCAAGGGCACGAGTATGATGGGCGCTGTCAACGACAAAACTGGGAATGACCCTGTCCATTGTTGACAAGCCGATATCCGGGGCTTGATCGAGGCAGCTCAATTCATCTTGCAGATGCATTCATCCGCATATTAAGCTGAGCGAACGTCCCATTTGTTATCATTGAAGCATCACCCATCGCTATCACAACCACCAACGAGGCACAAATCAATGGGTATCTTCTGCTTCTGAGATCGACATCTCTTTGAGACTTCAAAAAAAAACAAGAACGGAGTTGATTGAACAGTTGCGACTTCCCTGACCCGTACTATCATCGCGGCCTTTGGAAATTTCCAAGGGTTGATTCACCTCAACCGTCCGTCCCTCACCATTTCTTTGCCCTGCTGGCATATACGATAGTAGTATCTATACATCAACAGGGCAAGTACATATCGAGATAAAGACGCCCGTCGCAACATCAGCGGCACGGACAGAAGAATTACGAGGCAATTCAACAGAGTCCTGACAAGTTGACCACCGCCTCTTAAGTTACTACCAGAAGAGTGCCAACAGCGTACCACACGAGGGAGGAGACGTTCGGGGCCCCAATTCTCGCTTCGACAGTCTCCTATCCTCACCCAAAACGTCACGCTCGAACATCGCCCTCTCCCTAGGAACACCAAGATCTTCCGTGTGGCATCTTCAATCCCACCCAGCCAGCGCGACAAATGCCGGCAAACATCCGAGAACAGCGCTCCAGCAGCGGCCTGCGGTCTCCCAGGAAGCCTCGAAAGCTCCATCATAATGTCGGACTCGACAAGCCCAAGACTACTGCTGCAGGCACTCCAAACCACCCTTCCTCCTCCTCCTCCTCCTCCTCACGTCGATCAGGAACCCGTACGAAACGCCATCAATCTCTTCCTAATATCTACCAATTTCTGATTATAGGATCAGCTTTCACCTTCACGCCTGCCAGCGCACACCTCCAGATGCACCCTCGAGACGTCACCCTCCCGCTTCGCGTGACCAACAACTGCCACGAGCCCATTTGGCCGGCGATCCTGACGCAGAACGGCATGGGCCCTGCGAGCTCCGGCTTCATGCTCAACCCTGGAGACACGCAATCACAAACCGTCAGCGGCGACTGGAGAGGACGAGTATGGGGTCGCACGAATTGTAGCTTTCCGAACTCTGGCACAGGTCCAGCAAGTGGTAGCGGAGGCGCCGCGTGCGCGACAGGAGACTGCGGTTCGTTTTTGCAATGTCCAGGTGCGGTAAGTGGTTTGAACGTCTGAAAGCAGAAAAATTTGAGACCTATGCTTATCCATGAATCAATCCGCAGGGCCAAGCTCCAGCAACGCTGGCTGAATTCACCCTCTCATCCGATACCTATCAGGCCTTCTACGATATTTCCCTGGTCGACGGCTATAACCTTCCTATAGGCATCATCTCCTTGCTGGCTCAGAGCGGCAACACCACGCTCCAAGACATCCCGCCCAATCTGACGAACCCAGTGTGTATCGGGACCTCGTCTCTCCTGGCACCCGTTGGCAGCACTTCTGACGCCGACTTCGGCTCCAACTCGACGTTCCCTCTTCCACTGGACCAATCAGTTACATCGTCATTTGTGCAAAGCTGGTGTCCGTGGCCCCTACAATTGAACCCGCCTCAAAAGCCGGGTGACGGGGTATATCCCTACCCGGACGACAACATCCAACGGCCCATTTTCAACCCTTGTCTCAGTGCCTGTGCAAAATGGAATAAGGATCAGTATTGCTGCACGGGCAGCCACAACACTCCTGCCACCTGCTCACCAAGTGACTATTCGACGCAAGCAAAGAAATTGTGCCCAGATGCGTACAGCTATGCCTACGACGACCAAACGAGCACTTTCATCATCCCGCAAGGTGGAGGATTCGAAGTCGTCTTTTGTCCGTCAGGACGAAGTACAAATATCCTTGGCACGTTTGGTGACCAGCTCCGACAACTTGCGCAAACGGGACATGCCACCAGAGATATTGTCGCGCTGGCGCAGAATGTCACCTATATCCGTGAGAAGAATACTGCTGCTGCGTCGCTGACTAGGCCGGGAGCAAGCCTGCTTTCGGTGATCTTTCTGCTGATATTGGGGTTTTTGGCGTAAAGCGACTCGTTGACAATGCGGGTGTGAAGATGCAAACACCATCGGATTCTGTGATATAGCATGCGACTGTGTTGATACGCTGGTGGATTTGAGCGTTTGTGGCTCTGACTGGAGACAATATCTTTATATCGGAACTTCGGCTCAGCCATTTCCCTCTTCGAATCGACGTGTGCCCGTCGTCACTCCTGGAATGACCACCGAGAGGGAACCGGGCCATGGCGTATTGTCACCACCGTACATCACAGCCCAGAGAAATCGGAGATCACGAGTCGGCAGCTTCTGCATCAGAACCTTGGTGGCTGCTAGCTGTATCTGACGTTTACGTTGCACGTCGCCACCTGCAAAGGCAAGGGCCTGGTATTCGCTCAGGTAAGTGTCATGTTTGACTGGAGATGGTTTCCAAAGAGCTGCTGGATCTCTCGGTGCGGTCGTTGAAGGCTGAGGCTGCTGAGACGGTTTCACTGACGCGGACAATCCGTGTTCTTCCTGCTTGGCCCCGGCCTGTGCATCTTCATGTCCATGTCCGTCGACGGGTGAAGCTGATTGAGCTGATGGAGCTGTCCGATTCTGCTGAGTATGCCCAGTGGCGGTCTGCGGTTTCTTTTGGTCATTCGCCCTGGCCATGTCCCTGTGATACATGTCGATGTATTTGTCCAACGGCCTGCCCTCAACCCAATCTCCTATAAAATCCCTGGAAGCTTGCAGGCTGTCGGCAGCAATTTGGTCCTTTCTAGAGCCCAGAAACTTGTTGGCTGGGGCGTATTTCGCTTGCAACTCTTTCCATATATCTGTGGCCAGCTCGTGTGACTCGGCTATCTTGTAGGGTTCCGTGCCAGGGACGAGGGTGGACATGATCAGCGCTTTGGCATGGGAGTTCTTCGTCCAGAAATCCTCCGCCGGATTCTGATTCTGCATTGCTTGACGGTTCGCGGACGTCGCAGTCGCAGTCGCAGTCGCAGTCGCAGCGGGTGCAGGAGTTTGGGTCTTGGCCTGGGAAGCGGGCAGAGCAGCTGGAGCGCCTGTAGGTCCCACATTGGTCGTATCTTTGCCCTTCACAGTATTATTGCCCCTGCCCTTTTTACCCGGCATGTTTTAGTTCGTACAGTGGTGGTTCAAACGGCGTGCAGGTGGTGAGGGCTGGATTGCCGATCTACCTTCGTACCGCTGCGTATACGAAAGAGACAGGGTTTCTGAGCTGAGCCCGATGCCCTGGCATCTCTTTCCGGGCCGCTTCGAGCGTGAGAGGATCTTGAGAGGCGGGTCTTGGCGGGCACAGTTTGGAGAGTTGGCAATATGTGGACGAAATGAAGTCCTTCGAAGCCAGAGGCATTGTGACACCCACACAGAGCAGTGGGCCAGCGGGGTAGCGGCCGCTGTAGTCGCCTATTTTTAGCAATATTTTCATGCTGCTTTAGGGGGGCGACACATACCAGCTCGCCAGGTATTCAGGGGCTCTGCTGAGAACTCCTCTCGGATATCAACAAGTGACAAAGCTCTAACACAATCCCTCAAGCACCTCCCTAGCAGCATGCTGACCCGACCTCACAGCGCCCTCCATATACCCACTCCAAGCCGTAGCAACCTCAGTATCCGCCCAACGAACCCGGTCAACCGGCTTGCGCATCCATTCCCCCAGCGTTGTCCATGTTCCAGGAGGCATTCCCGCCACCGGACAGCCTGTCGACCATCTTTGGTTCGCCATACTGTGCACCGTCATCTTGCTTGGCCTTGCCGCCTTTTGCTCCGAAGCATACATACAATCAACTCCCTCAACACCCTCTCTTTCTGCGCCATCTCATCCATCTCGGCGAAAAGGTAAGCCTTCTTGCCCACGACGAACGCCATGAAAACACCGCGACTCTCGTCCTCCGGCGACGCATCCGTGACGAAACTCACCAGCCCATCCGGACTCACGCATTCTCCTCGCAGCCCGTCATCATGCCAGAACAGCGTCCGGTAAGTGACCACATCCTTCCAGTACGCGCCCATCGGCATGCGCTGAAGCAGGTGCGTTTTCTGCATCGGCAACAGCGGATCGAAGGCGACCTTCAGCACGAGCGGCGGCGGGACAGCGAAGATGACGTGTCGACCCTTATAGCTCGCCATGTCAGTGTGCACGAGGACGCCCTCACTGTCATTCTGGTCCACCCCGGTCACTGGCTCACTCAAGTGCACGGTGTCCCCCAGCATCCGGTGGATCTCGTTGGTATACTTTGTGCTCCGCCCTTGATAAGTTGCTGCTGGGCACCGTTCTCGATGCTGCCCAGAACAGTCAAGCTGACTCCGGCCTTGGTGTACCACAAGCAATGTAGTAGACTCAATTGAGAGGCAGAAGTTCCCCAAATGAGCTCCGCTGTCACTCTGATCAGGTCCTTTGCAGCCCTTGTCCACAGCCTCCGCCGGATCCATTCGTCAAGGGTCATGTTGTGCAATTTCTCTGCGTCGCGCGTTTTCCAGGGCTCTTCGAGGTTGACCTTGTCCGCCATTGACTCGAACCTTTTGACCGCAAGCCCCGTGTCCAAAAGCGCCCAAGGAGTCAATCGAGGTATGAAACCCGAGTACGGACGAGGCTTGCCATCGTAGTGAAGGACACTCTTCCCCTCGGTCTGGAAGTCGAAAGTACGAACGTTAAACTGCTTGGCTAGGGCATACAGTTGGTCGTGGTGGACTCCGAGGAAAGAGCCGTCGTAATCTTTGTACGTGCCGTGAGAGCATTGTCTCGTCCAGACTCACCCTCCAACGCGATCACGCGCTTCCAGGACCAGAATCTGTTTCCCGGCTTCTTTGAGAGACTTTGCCGCCGCCAGACCCGCGTAGCCGGCGCCTACGATGATACAGTCATATGTGTCCATCTGGGGGACACAATATCGCCTTCTTGGAAGATCAGTGAAATAAATGCCTGCATGATACGAGGCGTGCACTGCTTCATGCTGAGCATCACAGAAATGTTCGAGAATGTGTCGGGCCTGGCGAAGTAAGCAGAATACGGGCGTTCCGCGTATATCGTACCGAAAGCATTTCCGATCTGGGCCCGGCAAGCTCAGTCACAGAAGCTGACAGGGACGACTGGATAAAATCCCATGGCTAAATAGATAGGTTAGCTAAGAGGCGGGTTACATTATCGTATACCGCGTATCCGGGATTGGTCCAGACACCGGCTAACTTATCTGCTGCTCTATGCTCTGTAGTTTTTGGGGGCAATAGTTGAAGTGGTTTGTTCATATAGTTGGCCTACAAGCCAGGTCACAATCTCATGTCAAACAGCACGTCTGCAACAACGCCTTATTGAATTTCCGGTCTCCCTCTCTTTAAATCAATGTATCGACGTGTGCCCTGCTTCGAGCTTCTGGATCTCAACGACCTCAGAGCCATCAATTCCCCGTGCGACACCCGTGGCCTCCGACTTCTCCACGTCACCCGTGTCCTGCGCGGTCTGAATACCAATGGTGCTGCTCCCCACCATGTCGGCAGGGATTCGGTATGCGGGCACGAAGTTCACTGCAAGAGCGTATGTCTCGGCGGCAATCATGAACTATGTACACGCAAGTCAGTGGCAGGCAGTTAGAAATTTGCGGGAACTCAACCCACCGCAGTCGGCACAATCATGGCAATGCCGGTGTCGTTGTGCATGTCGGCTACCTTCCCCAGGAGGGAAGGGATACAGGCGCCGCCTGGGCACTGTCAGTATGGATTTATGTCTCGCGCCCTTGCAAGCCGTACCGCAAACACCGCCGACGATGAAGCCGGATCCACGCTTATAATGTCGCCCAAGTCCACGAATGCCCAACGCCACGATCGTGGGGAAGCAGATTGACTCGAAATAGAGTGTTAGGTATAACATTGCTGAAGGATTCCGTCAGCGTTGGCATGTTGGCAACGCATGGTGCTCAGACGTACCAATTCCAGCATTTTGTCTCGCACCAGTCGCAGCTCCCAAGAAGGCAACGACTCCAGTCAGGTAAGCCAGGAAGACGTATCGTGGCTTGACGAACTTCATCAAGAACGTCCCTGAGAAGCGACCGACGGCGAATGCACCTTGAGCGCCCGCCAGCAACTTCGCCCCGGTCGCGCTGTCAGTGCCTGGACGGGTATCGACAGCATAGTTGATGAAGTAGCTAGCTATGGCAACTGCAAGCCGTTGTCAGCCGGTCGTGCACAACCCCAGTTCCTGATACATCGCAGTCTTCTTACTCTGGGCGCCAGTGTAGCTAAACTGAGCAAATGCGGCATGGAAAAGCCGATATTGCTTCCAGAACGGCTTCTCCGATCCACCAACGTGAGTCTCTTGGACCTGAAATTCCATGTCGGCATCCGTAACCTCAGGGATATGCGAGATGAAGAAGACAAAGGCCAAAAGAAACACAAAGATCGCGATCCCGAGGTACACCCATTGTACATTTTTGAGGGCGGCAACACTGTCGCCAGTATCTTTGAAACTGCACGTTGTCAGAAATCTAGACTGTCTGAAACATTGATAAAAGCATTTAAACTCGTGCACAAAATGGCACAACTTTGCAGAGAGGGGAATACCCACAAGACGTACGAGCCAAGCACAGGACCAATGACCGTCCCGATCGCGTTGAAGGCTTGGGCGAAGTTGATGCGAAGTTCGGAGTACCGAGGAGGGCCACAGACTGAAAGATATGGGTTTGCCGCTGTTTCGAGAGACCCGAGTCCGCTGCCACATATGAAAGTCGCACCGCAAAATCCCCCGAACGAACGATAGACGCCGGCTGGCCACCTGCAACCACTTAGCAGTGTTCTCGTGCACCTGGGCTCTTGCAAGTCTTCCTAACATCATCAGGGCGCCCACTCCGAAAACACAGAGACCGAAAATGAATACGGATTTATACCCCCAGTGGCGAAGCATCCAGTTTGCATATCCGAGAGACGCCAGCGGATATGCTCTGCCGTGCCTGTCAGCGATTTGTTTGTATTGTCAGACGGACGAGTCCTGGCCGCACCCGAAGTATGCTGCTTGCAAACCTGAGGATCGAGTCCTGGTTATGTCCAAAGTGTTTTGGAAATGCTTGTTAAGCGTGTCCAAGAGGCCGTATGACAGACCCTGTTCGCAACAGGGCAATTAGTGACATTCTTGGAAAACCGTGGACACAGGTTCTTTGCTCCAGAAGAGACGCCACTTACCCAGAGGAAGAACAGGATCGTCACGATACTCAGCGGCCACAAACTCTGCCGCAGAGTAAGTTGAGCTGCGGTCGTGACATCAGTATTCTTTGTTGTGAGCGTTGACCGCTTAGATGCTATTCTCGACAAGACACCCATTGCGGTGAGCCTTATTGTTGAGGAGCTTCGGAGTCACGATCTGGGTTTCCTGCTATTGATGGTTTGAGGTGTGCGTAACATGGTCAAGATCTCCTTTCGCCTTGAGGCTGGCATGTGTCTTTAAGAGTATTTGCGAGAGAGCGGTCCCGCACCAAAGAGCCAGTTCATCTTTCCTATGATAGGATAAGGAGCTGATGCGAGGGGGTGCGCCTTGGCTTGATCAATGTCGCCGGGGTATGGTTGCGGAGATCAGATGTTTGCAACCGGCAATATCTGATATCGATGAACAGCCGGGTCACAGATACAAGAAGGGGCAACAGCCACGTTGATCTAGGTGCAGTAGCCTTCGAAATAGACATTTTATTGGCGGAATTGACATCATATGATATGAAGCAAACACTCCCAACGCGGATCGAACGTAATGCAATGAGATTTGGGCCCAGGATTCAGCGAAGTTGATCTCATGCTTCGGTGTAGCTTGCAGCGAACACGCTGTGTACTTCTTGGCTGAAGACACTCGTATACGTCCGGATTCTTCAAGTACGAAGGTGAATGCGCTCTGATTGTACATACCTCCAATGTCGGCTGTCGCACGATCGCTTCAGGTGTGATTATGCACGCCTGACTGCTCCCACACCTTGTGCATTCCCCTGAGGTCCACGACAGTTCGGCCATCCTGGCGAACAGTACGAGTACTCCATACAGTCAGAACATTTAACCGTCAAATGTTTTGGCTGTACCAAGTGATTTGACGATTTCAAGTGATCGACTTGAATTAGCGGGGAGCGTAGACGATGTCACCATAGCTTGACCGGGGCCCCGGACAAATGTTCGGTTCTGGTTAGTGTTCGGGTAGCAATTGTCCGAGATGGGAACAGGATCCACAAGTACGCTATTGCTCATGGGCCAGTCCTTCGTACGCTGAGCATGACCTGCTAGACTTCCCAGAATCAACTGATTGCAATGCTCAACAAGTCCACAAAGGCGCTTCTGAGCAGCTTGGTTATTCCGAGAAGTATCAGATGCTGGCGGCAGGTATTACCGCGGGATAGATCTGAAGACGTGATTTCGAGAACCTGAGTCAAGATTGTACATTGTAGGACCGATGAAAGTTGCGAAGCAAGAAAATGGGTAGAAGCACCCTGTGCATGAAAAGGCAGCGTTCCCAGGCCACAATTATCGTCGCTAATCGAAGACATGAGACATGACCGCGAAAGCCGATTCCCTGCTGCAAGATTTCTGGATGAGAACCGCTAGAGGCTTCTTACTTGCGGATCTCTCAATTCTCAGCCTGAGAAGGGTGTCGCCGGAGTATTCAAGATGGCTGGGACAAGAACGTTTTCTCACGCGAGGTGAGATTGTCAGTAAGCACATTTTCACAGCGTGGTGCAGGCTGCTTAGGTGACGGAGACACCTCTCAATAGAGTGACTCAGATGATGGCATAGTAGGTGTTTGCACTGCGGCATGGTCGCTTGACAGAACAAGTCCTGGCAAGTCATTCAGACTTTTAGGAGCGGGCGAGGGAACGAACTCGTGTGTTGCGATTGATCTTCTAGGTCATTGATGGTCAGGAAGGGCCTGGAATGCTTGACCTGTAATGGGAACACGACGCGGAGGTAGCTGAACCCTTGATTCCCAGCTTCGATGGGTCGGGTCCGAGAGAGGTGTGATGTTGAACTTTTCATATTGGACGACCGGAGCAAGCTGCCTAGCGAAGGCCGAAGTCAAGGAAGCTTCGCCATGACTCGCTGAATGCAGGTGTCTTTGCTTCGTTGTCTAACCTCCTCTCTCACGGGGTTTTTGAGGCGAATACCCATCTCATCGGTGTCTGTGGTGACTGGTGTCTCAGCCAGAAGCTTAAAGCCTAGTCTTTCATACGCCCGAATACCCTGGTGGGTTGTTGTATCAAGGATGACTGGTTTATCTGGATGTTGCGCGAAATGTTGATCCATTTGATACTTCAAAAGTTTCGAAGCATATCCCTTTCCTGCATAGTCCGGGTTGCTTGCGATCATTTGCACGAACTGCAAATAGTTAGAAAGTCATACCGGTCTGGATGGTAACAAAGTCAAAGACCCCGTGCTTGACCGACGCAGTCTTTGGGAAGTCAGAGTACATACCCCACACTCTTGCTCTTTGTAGCCTTTCGGCGGAAGTTTTGGCAATGTTTTCGAGAACATTGAGTGGACGTTTGATTCGAAGACCATCATGACACGATAAAATCCTTTGACGCCATAGTGCCAGGGGGGCATTAAGCTGAGCATGCCTGATCTCCACATTGTGATGATATCGATGTCGCTGAGCCTTTTGAAAGGAGGAAGCCAGAGAAGGATCGCTCCAAAGTCCTTATCGACAGATTCCGCAGTGCCAGATGATGAGACTTCAGCAACCAGTACAGATCCGCCGATCAACCTCGTCAGCCTTATCAAGCTTCGATAAAACTTGACCCGAGACGTCTGCAACTTGCTCATCTGCGGAGCCTCCCCATTGACACGTCCGATCGTGACCGGTTTGAGGGGTTCCGAGACGCAATGGAACCAGTTGTGATTCCTTACTCATGTCAGCAACGTCCGGCGCGATAAAATCATTACCAATAGCAGAGGGGGTTGCATGAGCGTACCAGAGTGGCAGAAATGCATTGCAGAGTATCCTTGAAAGCACATCGTCCTCTTCTAGCGTTGCGGCGCGAAAAGTGACAGGACTCTCGGCATCCGACATTGCCTTTTGGAAAGACGAATTTGTACTGATGTCCAACGCCGTCGTGTGGGAAATTTGTGTGGTCATTGAACAGTGAGTTGATGCTACAACGAGGAGTCAGCAGTGGTAGCTACATTTTATAAGATCTGACGCCGTGCCTCAGGGGTTTCCGGACCCCAGTGAGATTTGCCAACGCCCATGTTCCATACGCCAATACGCGAGATGATGGCGGGTCTACCAAAGATACGAGATACGAAGCTCGAAAAGCCACAAAAAGCGCCTTGTTGAAACCGACTTCAAGATCTTCGATAGTTTTGTGCACGAGACATCACAAAAGGTCTGGTCACCGAGTTCTCGGTGTTTGACAAGCCTCGTTCTATCGAGTTGGTACCTAAGTAAAGAGACTCCGAAGCATCATCGCAGCAAGTGGTCAGGGTTTTGCTGCTTTATCAACAGTATCTGGTCGAATTATCTGTGTTAAGGCGGCGCTGCATGTCTCCGAAAACAGAAGCATCTTGGCGTGGAATGACGATTGTCCGTCACTCCTCAAACGCAGGCAGATGGAAAGTGCATTGATAAGTGCCCATCCTTCTGCAATAGAACACTCGCAACTCCCTTCACCTCGTCTACTTGCCTCATTCTCGTCGCTCTTTAGCCATTGTTCAACTTCCCAAGGACCCCGAAACAAGTTCTGCTAGTGAGCGCTCACGCGAGCTCGTCCGACACCTTTCGCGATCTCCACTGGTGCTTCGGAACCATGAAGACTGTCGTCACGACCCTTTTCTCTATACCTTTATTATTAGCACAGCTCTCGGCAGCTGCATCAATAGATTGCGAACACATCCGCGTCGGTGGGAAGAAGTTCGATGTGTCGAAGCTCGCCGGACGACATAATGTGACCGTACACGATACCTCAAGACCGCCCGCTGAGTACAACACGACATGGTCGCTCGACCTTTGTGCACCTTTGAAGAAGATCGACGGAGTCCGTGATGCAGACCAGTGCCCGTTTGGAACAAGAGGTAGGGTTTATATCTACAGTGTCTTTTCTGGTCTAACTGCCAGTCAGTCTGCGGAGTGGTGAAGTCGTGGAATCCCGTGGACGACCCAGAGCAAAAACACGTCGAGGTCGAAAACGTGATTCCTGTCGCTGGCAACTTCGATTCAAGTACGGGTAAAAGTCTCGACCCGAAGGTCACACGGCTCAAAGAACAAGACGTGAATGCCGATGGTCTGCAAATTGAATTCAATGGCGGTTACTACAACAAGCGGAAGCAACGGGCTGTGATTCAATTACAATGTGATAAAGAGAGAACAGGCAACGAAGAGAGGAGAAAGCGGAAGAGAGATGACAAGGAAGAGGAAGAGGAGCCGTCCACATCGAGCCTGACATTCGTAAGCTATGGTCCGGTCGAGGGCAAAGAGCAGATGGATGTCGTCCGATTCAACTGGAGAACGAAATACGCTTGTGAAGACTATGCGGACAGCGACGAGGCCAAGAAGACCGGTTGGGGTCTCTTTACTTGGTTTATCTTGATGTACAACCTCCCTTTGCCTCTAGTGGATGTTCATACTGACCGATGTGACAGTGCATTCCTCGGTATCGCCGCATATCTCATCTTCGGCTCCTGGTTGAATTACAACCGCTATGGTGCCCGTGGGTGGGATTTGCTGCCTCACGGAGACACTATTCGCGATATTCCATACCTCTTCAAGGACTTTTCCAGGAAAGTTGTGGAGACTGTTTCTGGGGGTGGGTCTAGGGGAGGTTACAGTGCTGTATGATCAGGATATGAGGTTTTAATGCCCAAGAACTTGTAGAATAATAAAATATGGTAAAATATGGCGTGGGTGCAATCAGCCAGAGTTGCGTTGTTTCTTTCCATTTCTTCGGCATGCTGCGAGATTTCTTCTCCCGTTCCATTTGTCTCGATCTTGAAGCAGGATCGAACCCCTGCGTGTTATGGTCGAGTAAGTCACTGCTCTTGGTCACACCACGCGGTATCCGTATCCTCGTGTCGAGCGGAGACCTGCACTGTAGCCAAGCTAATATAAGCACTGGACGGGATGATACTAACTTACTTAGAGGTAAGTTATCTTTGGCTCGTAGGCAAATTACTATTGTAGCCTTTCTTCCATTGCTTTTGCCCTCCTGTCACCCTATGTAGCTGGAACTGCAGACATTGGCCCCCGGCCAGCCCGGCCATCTGCGGGATGAGTCAAACCCCAAGCCATACCTTCCTTACCCTTGCTGCAGAAGTGACTGTGACAGACTGCAGACACAGAGAACAAGAGAACCCCGCCCGCAGAACACCGCCCCTTTGTACTGCGTAGGCGAACCCTAGGCAGGCAGGTCAGATCGGGGCGCCTTGTCAGCAAGGCGAGGGGCGGTGCATACTTACGTAGGGTAGGTAATGTTTCCCGCCCGGTACAGTATGCCTGCTAGTCCTAGTATTCGTCCCCCACGGACCTGGACCTGGACCTGTGTGGGCGAGATGTCGAGAGACGAAAGGAAAAGTTGGGAATTAACAGATATAAGTCGTACATGCTAGTAGAATGATACGTTTCAGCGAGGGAAACACTCAAAAAGAAGAGAGAGAGTGAGTGAAACAGAGAGGATCCGCACTTGTGCGCGGATTTTTGTTCGTTCTTGAAGTACTACTAGTACCTTACCTGCATTGGAACAGCTAAACCCGTACTTCTATCTTTACAACGACCTCGTCCCTCTCCCAGTCCGGCCGCCTGCCGTGTTCTCGTCTGTTCTGGTCTGTTCTGTCTGGAGATTGCTCCGACTTGTCCACCTCGTCCTGTTGTCAATCCATCTTGCATTTCTGCCGGTCACAATGTGTGAATGCTTCTGCGGTCTCGGCGGACGAGCTCGGCGCGCATCGTCAGCCGTGGTCAGGGAGATCGGCCGAGGCGTAAGGCCTGTAAACCCAGCAAAGATCATGGTCCCAGGACAACACCGAAAGTATAGTCTTCCATGGAACAGGGCGGCACCCTTCCCGGGGGGTTATCAGATAGGGTAAGGGGCTCTATATCCCCGCTGTAGGGACTGTGAGAGCTAAAAAGTGTTGAGCAGAGAGCCAACGCCCAGGAGAAGATCTTTCCGGCCATCGGGCTGGCAAGGAACAAGGAGAGAATCGGATGCGTGGACAGATAGGGGGAGTCTGGACAGACGTGGTACTCAGGAGCAGGAAGTAGAATTCGAGGAGCATCATGAAGAGTTCGAGGATGCTGACTTCGAAGAGTCGGAATTCTTTGTCGAAGCTGATGGCGAGGCCCGTGGGCACCTTTCTGGACGGCGAGAGTCTGAACAACAAGCCGGGGGGGATGAGATGGGTCAACGTGAAAGAGAGGAGAGTGTTCAGGGTGGGGGGATTGAGATTAATCACCGCGGAAGGGAGGAGAGTTTCGGTGGGATGGAGGGTGATCACAGCCAACAAGAAACGCATGAGAGCATTGGAGGTGGCGGGACTGATCACAGCCAACGCGAAAGGTATGAGAGTATTGAAGGCGGCGGGACTGACCCGAGCCAGCAGGAGAGGTCCGGTAGTCTTGGACAAGGAGCGAATGATGCGGGTGAAAGCGACGAGAACGAGGGTGGTCATGGGGGTGGACGACAGTCAAGACTGAATAGTGAGGGTTTTGGAGGTGCACTGTGACCGCCATGGAAGGAGAGGCATCTCATGCAATGTTCAGTTGATGAGTGGTAATTGTTTGATGCAGCGCAATTGCACATTCATCTTGGTGTGGTAGCCCATAACCGACTTCTGCTGTTGTAGTGCTCCTATCAACCGAGTAGCTGTTGCTCGCCGGGGACAATATCTCCGGTCAGCTTGGCTGAACCATGAGCTCTGGCAACAATGCCGTACGCCGGGAAATACTGAAAAAGATTCCGTTAGCCAAGTTGGTGGTCATCGTCCGGGGTTGAGATCAATTACTTTGTCCAAGAAAGGCAGAACTTCAGCTGTTCCAGGCGTGTTTCGCCAATCTTTCATGAGGAACATGGCAATGCCAAACATTCCGGTCTAAAGCACGGTCAGAGGTGACGTTCAATGTAGAAGACGGAAACTCCCACCAAATGCACTCCAGCACCTTCCATTCTTCGGTTGGCATCTTCAGCGAGCTTCGGGGTTGCCGTTCCGCTGGCTTCAGTATTGGCCCAAACGGAGTATCCTGCTTCACGAAGAGCAAGGGCGAGGAACATTGTGCCTAGGCGGCGAAAGAGACCAGATTAGCAGGTCCCTATTGAACGTGTCAGGCAAGAAGCTCAACCACTCACAAACTTCCGTGACAATGCCTCCTAGGATGATCTGTTTCCTGCCAGTCGCTTCGACAGCTGCTTTGAACTTCGGGTTGTCCCAAGCATTGACTTCGCCATTTCTTTTGATTAGAGGCGCGTTTGGGTACATTTCCAGGATTTCCTTCGGAAGTGGTCCGTTTGGTCCTGGGTCAGGTCGTCAACTTTGCTACTCTGACTCAGTCCTCGAATTCACCTATACCTGTCTCTGCAGAAGTCGTCATGATAACAGGCAAGCCGAAGAGCTTGCCGAATTCGGCGTGTGCTAGGACATTGTTTCGGAATTCAGTTGTAGTATAGTCTTTGACAAGTTGCAGCAGACCAAGTTGATGATCAACAATAAGAAGGAGTAACGAAGTTAATCCCCACCGTCACGGCAGCGTAGCTTCCTTGAGTGGGAGTACTCACTAGCCTTGTCTTTGTCGAGTTTCTCAAATTGATAGAGAGCTGATTGCAAGTGTTAGGGCCCGTCTCTTGACTTACTGCTGGGGATGTTACATACGCTGATGGTAGCTCATGGTGGAGTTGGCGCTATGTCGTCGCTAGGATTCGAGAGCAGTAAAAAGTAAAGTCAAAAGAAGACGTTGTATTATGTGACTCGAGTGAAGACCTACCTGGTTCCATGGAAGGATACAATATATATCATCCCCTCTTCGGCACCAATCAGGATAATGCAGTGTAAGTCAGCAGGTTTGCCCTTATGTAGCGGGCGCGCAGCTATCAACGATGTATCCGGTACCCAATGCTCCTACCCTAACGAGACAGCAGGTTCAGCCCGCTGCGCCTGCATTGTGAATGTAGCAAGCGGTAGCATCTGCTAGAGGCCACTCGGCACTCCCGTATCCTGCACAGGTAAGAACTGTGTGCTGAGTAACCAGCCATCACAAAGGGTTAATGTCGTCGTGAACCCAAGTCACATATGTTCATCAGCGAGTAGCATATTCTCCATCAAAGCGGAGATGATCTTGGACCAGGATAACACACAATCTTGCTTACTTGGAAAGGAAGGTCAATAACATGAGGAAGGTTCTCATGAGTGTCGGGAGTGGTGAACAGGTCAAAAACTACAGAAGGAGCCATCGACTCCACCGTACTATAAATACGGCGAAGTATATTTTTACTTGGTACCAACTCAGCCTTGCCTGACCACGCCTGACCACATCAAACCAATCTCTTCACATTTTTACTCGAATTGGGTGCGTCCTACTCCGTACTAGTCCATCGATCCAATTCTTCGTTGATTGTCCACCTGGAGACCAAAACTAGCATACTCTCGTCGATACACACAGAAACTGCCCGCGAAAAAGGCGACGTGAAAAGACGTCCATACTCAAGTCTCCGAAAATGTTGTCCAGGAGAGTGGTAAGTCGCCGTGCGAATGTCCCCCGAGGCATCAAATCAGCCATCTCTACCGCGCTCTAGTGATCCTCTCTAAGTAGACTACAGCTCTCGAAGGAGGAAGAGTCTGGTTCGACCGACGCAGAAGTCACCAAAGAAGACCAGGACCAGATCAACACCTTCTCCAGATTACATAATCGGAGCAAAGTGCTGGAGGAGGAATTAAGCACGAAGCATGTGAGTCTCCCATCTAATCCCCATTGTCTTTGGCAAAAGGCGGAACGGGCGAGTACGACGAATACCCAGCGGCGAACTTCTTAAAGTCATGGCGATTATTTAGACCCGGGACCAACGTACTGATACTTCTGACAGAAAGACAAAGAAGACCTCGACGAGCTCTCCACGGAGCTCGAACTTGCCGATGAAGATGAATTAGTCCCGTATGCCGCCCTCTCCATTCCTTCGTCCTCTGTCTTCCCTTTCTCTTCTCTTCTCCCTCCTGACCTTATAGCAGGTACAGGATCGGCGACTCTTTCATGAATCTCCCACTCAGCGAGGCCCAGGAGCTTCTCGCGAATGCAACCACAGATATCGAGAATGAAGTGTCGACGCTGGAAGAGGAACTGAGCACGATCAAAGACGAGATTGGCAAGCTCAAAGCGCATTTATATGCCAGATTCGGCAGGGGTATCAACCTGGAGGCTTGAGTAAGGGAACGCCGCGCTGTATCGAGACCTTCACTGGAAGTGTTGACGGTGCACCGAAACCTCAGGGATCACGAGTGACTTACAACAGCTGGATCCCCAGCCGAATTCGCATTGTACGTGAGAACTGCAATCAGGCTGGGAGAACTGAAGTGACCCGGCAATGTTCGCCGAAGTCACAACGACCGTTACCGGCGCCGCGTTTGAATAGAAAGCCAGCTACTTGACATGGCGCTGGCCAAGAAGAGAGCGGTCAACTATGAAGGCAGCTTAACGAGTCGAGCGCATGCTTTTGCGTGTCTATCAAAAGTTGGACAAATGGACTGATTGACTCGCTCAAATAAAATCGCTATACATTCTCATCGAACAAAAAGATCATTCTATCATGCCTCTCGTCCGAACCCAGACATGCGCCTCGCATTCCGATGGCCCACCGCGCAAGTCGACCCAGCCTCCCCCCAAAACATGCTATACATTTCGGCATAAGAGCCAACACCACTTGTAGAGAGACTTCCCTTAGGACGCTTTGAAGGATCCCCTTCATAATTTACTCTCATTCTGCTGCAACCTCACCACGCCCTCCTGCGTACACGTCGCAATCAGAGTGCCATCCTTGCTCCAAATGCGTTGCACGACAAGACCCCTCCCGTCTCCCGCCCAGGGACTCTCCATCTCCGTCAACATCCACTCATCGGCCCTGAACGCCCTGGGGTTATGGAAATAAATCGTGTGATCCAACGACACCATCATGCCGATCCGTCTGCTGTCATCCGGCGGCGCGCCGCCAAACTCCTTGTTCTCTTCCGCCTCCTCCCTCGCAATGTCCTCGAGGTACTTCTTCATCTGCTCTCGCTCGGCATCGCTGCCCTTGAAGTTCCGCAGCGTGTTCTCGATGGTCCGCCGATTCGCAAAGCGCATGAGATTATGCACGCGGGCGACCGTGCCGATGAAGTACGAGTCGCTCATGTACGCCAGCGCGGACAGATGCGCCTGGTGATTGTCGCCCGGCTTGTTGGCGCGCTCGCCGCTCGACACCTCCTCCTCGCGCACGTTGGGCGGACACTCGCTGATCCGGCCGACCGCGCGCACCCACTGGCGCAGCTTGCGCTCGCTGGGACACCCGCGCTGCGTAACGGGGCAGCGCACACTCTCGAACGGTCGGTCGTCATCCGCGGACGCGACTGTGTTTGATGCTGGAGGCGGAGTGACGTCGGTCGGCATGCGGACTGCGTGCTCGACTTTTTGTCTACCGCCACTGTTCTCTTTCATGAACGACAGCGTCGTGGTGAAGATGCATTTGCCCCTCTGCCGGGCCTGGACGGTGCGTGTGATGAAGCTTTTGCCGTCGCGGACGCGCTCGACGTGGTACAGGATCGGAACCTCCGAGTTGCCGGCGAGCACAAAGTAGCAGTGCATGCTGTGAACTGTGAAGTTCGGCGGAATGGTGGCCTGCGCCGCGGAGAGGCATTGCGCAATCGCCGCGCCCCCAAAGATGCCGCGCGCCCCGGGAGGATGCCAGAGCGGACGGGCGTTGGTGTAGATGTCTGGTCCGATGTCGATCAGCGGAAGGAGTTGGAGGACGTTCTCGATGGGAGAATGGTGAGGAAGAGATTTGGGTGGTTTGATCAGCGTTGCGTGTGTCGACATGATCAGGACAGTCTTATGAGAGAGCAGCGGTCGTCGTGGAGAGAGAAAGTGCAGAGAGACTGAGGTGAGGATGTCGAATGTAGGGCTGCGGCTGGAGATGTGGTGCGCAGGTCTTATTGGTGCTTTGGAACTAGCACTGTCATGATCGCAACATTTATGAGCGGCCGAGGATGTAAGCGACTGAGAGTCTGCAGAAATCTTCTACCAGCCTGCAATGTATGTACATGTTGTTGTAGGGAGATGTTTCGGAGGTGGATTGACTAGAGGGACTGTCTGCCAAAAGAGCCGAGGCCCGTTTGCATGGCCGAATCGAGATATGACATTTGGTTCCATATGACGATGCAAAGGTCGGCCCAGACACGAGTACAAGCCTGATATTTGTAGAGACCTCCACGGCTCTGTCCAGACGCTTTCAAGTTTTATATTGGGACTTCACATCTGTATATATTACATTCATATATCACGAGAATACCAGTAACATCCAAGACGCCTCGCTAGACAAACACATTTTCCGCCAACAATAGACACCACTACGCATATCTCGTCGAACCTCCCCAAGTCTGAGACTGGGAAGAGTAGTAAGGAGAAGACGCTCCTGGCGTCTGCAGCCATGGACTCTCAGTACCTGAAGGCATAAGTATCGACGTCCGCTCAATTTCTTCCCGCCGACGTTGCCGGTGGTCTTTGAAAGTCGTGCTCTCCACTGTTGGGCTGCGATCCCGAGTAACCTTGCTCAAAATATTCCACTTGCTGGTATTTGGCAAGCTACCACTTCGGGGTCGACCTTCGGGAGGCACCACCAACACTCCGCCAAAACCCTCGTCTCCAGGCAAAAAGATCTTGTATGTACTTTCCCCGCTAGGCATTGCCGGAGATGATTGCGCAACTTCTCGTTTCAGCAACAGGCGTAGAAGTTGCCGACGCTGCGCCTCGTCTTCCGGTAGAGTCGGGTCTATGGGTAGCAGTTCCGTCGTGGAAACCGCGTCGCCATAACTCATGGAAGAATTCCTGTTATATGTTGGGAGATGTTGTCGCCTGTGTCTGTCCAGTCTCTTGATCTTTGCCAATTTTCTGTTTGTTGTGAACATGAGCAGCGCCGCCGCAACTGTAGTCGTACATGCCGTCACTAGCGGGATGTAGATATAGGCTTCAGTCGGTAGAGGCAAGTCCTTGTGAATGGCATGGTTCAGGACTGTAATGACGATACCCATGACGGACGAGGTAAGGATCGGTAGGAGGACGGCATCGTACAGGAAGAGGAGGCTGCGGGCATAGAAGGCGACCGCTGCAATCGCGACATAGCCGACCACGAGAGAAATGGAAGCAAGGACTGTCAGAGCGGTACGTGAGATTCTGATATTACGTTCGCCTGAGGTGAAAACGAGGGCAAATATGATGTACCCTGCCAGGGCAAACCATGCAGAAGCGAGAGCAGTGGCTCGATAATACCATGGAAGGGCGTCGCGTTCAGCATAGAGATCGAAGGCCGTCTCTCGCACCCGACTGTACTGCCGTTGCATCCTCTTTCAGGAGAGCAATAGAGGATAGCGCCGAGACATTCAGACAAGAGGCAGGACGGTCATGAACTGCGATTCATGATCTACCAGAAATTGCGAGCTGACGACTCCAGCTTCCCTTTGTGGCTGGGGCAATGGTGATAAGGCTCGGACGCCTGATGGATGAGGGTAAGCAAAGATTGAGTGAGTGACCTAGGGGAGATCGACTTGGAGAACAGCAACAACTGGAGTACAAAGGAGGATGGGATCCAAAGGGCGAAGATGATGACAGGCAACGACTGCGACGGGAACGAGAGACTATATGAGAAAATTGGCATTGCCTGTTTGTACGGTGTAGCACGACAAGGACGACCGTGAAAGACCAAGAAGTCTGGTCGTATTGTGGAGGTCCGACACGAGCTCGAGAGAGGAATCCTGGATTGCCCAAGGTTCAGGGTACCTGGTACCAGCTAGGTGAGCATGTAAGTTCCTCAGCCTCACTGGCGGCGCTCTCAAGGATGCCTAGGGGTGGCTTACTTATGACCGGTTACCTGGTGGCCCATTTTCGCTCACTAACTTAGGTGGCGATGGCGGTCTCGCCGCCTATACGGAATAGGGCTGACAGCTATGCCAACCAGAAAGCCATCCACGGCCATTCCCATCTGAAGCCACTTTATTTGAGCCCCCGTCAAAAGAATAAGCACGAATAAGCCCTTCACCGTCTTGCGAAATTGCAAGCACCCCTCGTGCCCTCACTCTGATTTCGTCTTTACAGTCTTGCCCTCTCCTCCTCTAAGGATCAGGGCTTCTTCGACATATTCTTGGTAAGTTCCGCGCAGCCCGAGCATATATCCAATTCCTGCGCATATTGCCAGAACAAGGTGCGTCGCGGACCGACTGAACAGGCCACTGTCGTCGCCAACCACCACAGGCCAATTGTCACAAGATCTGAAAATAGCAAACAGCTGAAGCATCACAATCCATTGCTCGAGCCACCCACTGACCCTCTGAGGTACCCTTTCTGGTGCTTCGTATATCGAGCCGGGATGATCCTCGGTCAGGAAGGAGTTCAACATGCGGAAAAAGACTTCTTTCTTGCCATCTTCCGGCACCGTCCATTCCCGTACAATCAGATCTTCCTGGTCCTCTTCTCGCCAGACACGATGCCACTCATGGACCATGAATTTTGGCACCTCAATTACTCCGTGCTGGCTGTCATATTCTCGAGAGCGATGTCCAAGCCTCACGAAAGCACGCCCTTGCAGTATCTGCAGATACTCTGTATGAGTCTCGTGCCAATGACGTTCAGACGTCCATGTCGAGCCGACAGGAATGCTGATCGTGACACAGTCAGGTCTAGAGAGATCATATCTCACGGCCTGAGGGCCCTCTAGTCGAAAAACTTTGGTTTGAGTTGTTGTCTTTCTTTTGATTGCCATACTTCCCCTCAATTTGCTTCAGATGACGCCTTCAAAGCACTACAGCTTTTGTCGCGGTGGGCATCCTACCCGTACACCCGGTACCAGCGTTGCTGGTCGGAACAACAGTTTTCAGAAATTGCATCGCGACAGAGATCGACACCTTGGATGACTAACAATTGAAGGTGCCGGCGGACGGGTTCCGCAGGAGGACTTCAGCGAAGCCCAGTGACTACACTACAACGCGAACGTTCTTCGTCTACATGGAGTACTTCGCCTCTCAATGTTCTCGTGGACAGCAAAGACTTAGGTATGGGATACGCTTTCTTTCCGGGCACAGTGACGCCGTCCTGTCTTTGCTTTCTTTCCTGATCCTCCCAAGTGTCCCAACACTCTCAAGGGTGCCGGAGAACTCTAGCATTCCGTATACTCAAAATCGATATCAGATCATCTTGGAATCCATTTTCAATTTCAACTTAACAAGGTCAAGCCATATCAAGCTTTTGTGTCTATCAGTCTGTCAAAGACCCCGGAAAAGGTTCATCCCACAGCACGGCGTCGTCTCATTTAGCACCTTTGCCTCACACGTCCAGCATGTTTCTTAGTCTCGACTTCATCAGTTTTCCGTAACGCATCACAACATCTCGCTGTCACTCATCACTCATGACACCCCGGCTTCAATCTCGATCTCAGCACGGCCACTTTGAGCAAGTCGGGTGCACTATCGCTCGTTGTCACCACGTAACTCAATATCGTGAGCCATAGTCCCCTTCACCGTAGCCCTCATTCTCACCGTATCGACGTCGGCCAAATCCCTCGTTCTCATCTTGCCGGCCATAGCCTTGATTTTCGAACTCGTCCTCTCGACCACCACCGTACCCAGATTGTTCTTGCTGGCCAAAACCACCAGGCATGCCGCTTGAACTGTACTCGCCTTCGTGTCTACCGCTGGAGTATGCTCCAGGGTATTCGGTCTCGCGCCCAAATCCGCTTGGACGTTCATACGAGGTCTCTTCACGACGTCCACCATACCCACTCGAGCCGTAGGACTCTTCTTCACGTCGACTGCCGAAACCTCCAGGCATATCGGGCTCTTCACGTCGACCGCCGTAGCCGGTTTCTTCCTGTCGCCCATAGCCACTCGAGTACTCGGGCTGTCGCGCTTGACGACCATAGCCAGTATTCGAGCCATACTCGTCACCATGTCGTCGACTGCCATATTCGTTGTCATCATCACGTTGACCATGTTCTTCACGTCGCTCCGGCTGTCCATAGGTATCTCTCCCGCCTCCACCGCCATACCCGCCTGGGAATCTCTCACCTTCGTCATCGTCACGACGTCTACCGGAACTGCGCTCAGGTGCCTCGTGGTGGCGGCGTCCGTGCGATGGGCGATCATTATCCTCATCGTAGCGTCTGGACATCTTATGTTAGTACTCGGGCTCTAGAATGTCGTTCATGTAATGAGGCTCACCGTGTCTCTTCACGGTACTCTCCACCACTTGTGCGCTCTTCGTGGTGAACCTGCGACTGCCAATGACCTCCAGTCTCGCGCTGTTCGAAGCGGTTGTACTCCTCACGCTGGCCGTACGGATCACTCGTCTGCGAGTATTGAGCTTGGCCGTATCGATCTCTCGACTGAGAGTGGCCGACTTGAGTCGTGGTCTGGGTATAGGACCCATCTTGACCATACGAGTCGCGCTGGTATGTTTTCTCATCCTTGTCGAGACCACCGCCGAGAAGGTTGCCTCCAATGCCACTGGCAATTCCACCAACAAGTGAACCAAGAACTCCACCGCCAACTGCTGCGCCAGCCATCTTTCCAAACTGATCTCCAGCCTGGTTCGAAGGACGGCTGCCGGAGCCACCGCCTAGGGCAGAGTCAATCGCGCCAAGTGCGCCACCTGCTATGCCGGAAGATGACTGCTGGTTGTAGTTCAAGTTAGCCATGCCGAGGGGACGATTGCTGCCGTGGCCATGGTCCTTGACGCCTTCTTTATGGTTTTTGCCCGTCTCCACACCGCGCCGGCTAAGCTTCTCGCGGAACACGTCTTTCTCGCGTTCGTCCTTGCCTCGCCACCACTGTTCTACCACGCCGAACATCAAGCGGCGCCCATCACCTGCTCCATCTTGGCCGAAGTCGCGGAGGGCCGGATGATGGAGAACGCCGTGAATGATGCGGTTGAGCGTACGGTCAACGTCGATGCGCTCATCATCCCACGCTGCAACTATCTGAGGCACGATCCACTGAATGGTCTGTCTTGCGACTTTTCCCGCCGGCTCATTGAGTATGTTGGAGAAGTGGTCCTTGGACAGCATCGAATGGGTTGGATCAGAGGAATGGTCGTCGCTGAAGACAATGTGTTGCTTGTCCACGCTCGATTGGATGATCTCGTTGGAGCCAGTGTTGAGTTCGTTCTTGACCTGGTTGATGATAGGGACAACATAAGGGGCCAGGAGTGAGAAGACGAATTTGTTGATCTCATCTTGAATTTGTTCGATCAGGTCAGGAAGAATTGGTATCTTCTCGATGGTTTCGGTGATAGATTGCATGATCTCGTCATGAAACTCGATGATGGGATAGATCTGCTTCTGGACATCATCGAGGTATCTTGTCCACTCTTCTGGCTGTCGTGGAGAAATACGAGCGTTCTGCATCTGATGATTCACGGAGTTCTGCTTCAACTCATTCGCCTTACCGGCCTCATCCTTGCCACCGAAGACGCCGGAGGGGATTTTGTTGAGCAGATCTTGCAGGATGCTGTCATCATTGCTCATGTTTTGATATTGTTGCATGGTTCCTTCAAGCTCCTCAATTTCGCTCTGGGTTGTCTTGTCGTCGAATTCACCGCAGACAGAATGAAGAAAGTCGACACCGCCGAAAGTGCCAGTGACGACTGGGTAGACCGGATGACGCACTTCCCGAAGTTCGATTTGTGTACGGCGACCGACATGTGGGAAGACGTCACGTTCGCCAAGCTCGATCAGGGCGAGTTCGACATAATTGGAGTGAGCGGCGTAATCCTCGAGACAATGGCTGCCAGTACCGAGGAGACGAAGTGCTTCATAGAGATCCTTCTTGTTCTTGGATCGTGCATACTGGCGCCCGAGCTCGATGGACCGGCCGAAGAGCTTTCTGACGAGGCCAGCAGAGGTGTCGATACCCATGCCTTCGGAGGCAATGTAATTTTTCAGTCCTGTTTGTGGGTTGATGGAGAGTTCGCGACGCTCATCGACGGGGCCACGAAGACGACGATCGTATTGTCTAGCATCCTCGTTGTCCGCATAGTCTTTTGGGTTGCTACAGTAGTCAATATCAAATCGACCTTGGAGAATCGGGTTACTGACTCGATGTGTTCTTCAGGTCGGTAGCATCCCAGTCTCTGTGTTGTCACTTCGAATTCACCCGAACCGTAACCGAAGGACATGAAGCCCAAGACCCAAAGAAGAATACGAATGGCTTCGGCGCTGACGTATTTGACTGTGCCAACGTCGACTGCTTGACTGTAATCTCTGAGCCAGTTTCCAAAATACACCTGCTGATGTCAGCTCGCTTAGCCGAATGAATTACCTGGCCACTCACTCTCTTGACGTCGAGTTTGCCGAATTTCTTGCCGCCCATGGCACGAGCAGCCACAATCGTGAGCAGAGTGTCTTCGAGATCACCATGTCGCCAGTTCTGACCTTCGATTTTGGAGGTTGAGCCAATGTTGCCGGCACCAAACGCGTGAGCAGGTCTCGCCAGCAAGACGATGCCGACGGCACAGAGCAGGATGATCTGCGAAGACGAAAGTGCCATCTTGACAAATGAGACTGAGCTCTCAGCCCTTGGGAGAACAAGTAGACGCAGCTAATTTCTGTCGGTGAGTAGATACAATGATGGATTGCCTGTGATCACTAGGAAAGGAGGAAAGGAGGAGATAGGCTGGCGGAGGTCAACAGATCAAGTGCGAAGCAGTAGAATCACAGTCAAGAAGATTCAAACCAGCTGTGATGCTTACTACGAGCACGAGTAAGTGAAGGAGATGTGAAGTTGATGTCATATCCAACGACGTGGCCTTGTGGGTGATGGTGAGGAAGCCGCGCTGCTTCAATCCAAGAATGCACCAATCAACCCCGCCGTGCCCGCCATATCCTGCAGTCAGGCGTCTTGGTATGCTTGGCGATGTTTCAGAAATAGCTTGTCACCTTGTACATCTCATGAGGGTCAAATGATGGATTTCGTGGCAGTCCATGAACTGGAGTGATGAACTGTCGTGGCCTCAATGCACCTTCAAGCAAGGCTGGCACAGGCATCACGGACGGAAAAAAGGGTTCTATACAGAGTCTTGGCATCGTCACAAGGCTGGACAATGCATCGGGTATACCTAGGTACGTAGTATATTCCAATACTTGCATCAGTCGGACGATACAAGCTTCGATGCTTCCCTCTCTTTTCGTTTCAAAGTCATCCAATCACCCAGCGGTTTCCAGATAGCAAGTTTCTCTGCTGGTCTGAGAGTCGCTGCGAGACCGCTTGTAGAGGTTGCCACAAACGTCTTTGAGCCAGGCCATACGACTTCCCCCTCGGCATCCATCGTCCTGCCGATTTGCATGTCCTCATCTTGCCAGCCCCAATGAAAGTTTGGGTCGTTGAACTTTTTCTGTCCTTTCTTCACGAGCCAGAGAGATTCCCAGATGCCCTTCCCGACAATCACGACAGCCTCTGGCCTGAATGTGGCGATTTTCTTGTCGAGAACGACAGCTCCCTCTTCCAATTCTTGCTTGCTCAGCCCATCTCCGCTCCTTGTAGGCCGCTCACATATATTTGTATTGCCAATCTGATACAAGTCCATCAAGTCTCGTGTCTCGGCTGGGATGTGCTTCTTTGGCGTGACACCACTATCGTGAAGCAGATGCCAGAATCGATTGGATGGATGTGCATAAGCGTGCCCAGTCGCAGCAGTCATAAGCCCTGGATTGAGGCCGATGCAGACCAAGGTCAATCCTGGTCGCAGGCTGTCTACCAGGTTATTGGCCGGACTGTACGGGTCCTTTGCTGAACGCTCTTTTGTTGTGCTCCTCCTCTTCTTTAACTTCGGCGTTACAGCACCGCCTTTCGTAACTGGAGAGTCAAGATCCGAAGTTTCGTCAAGCTCGTCCGTTCCGTGAGAGAGTGATTCCGTGGCCAAAGGTCGTTTCTTCCGTGCAGAACTAGCAGGACTTGGAGTATGACTAGGTGAAGGTCTGCTTGAGATTCGGGAGGATCGTCGTGGGCTGGGCGAGTCTGCGGCAGCAGAATATTGGAACTGCATCATTCGAGTCTTGAAAGCGGCTTGAGAAGAATTAGTTTCGATCCCAGAGCTGCACCGAAGCAAAGCTCACATTGATCCGGCTCCGGCGAGCTTGAATATCGGCGGCTCTGAGCATCTTCTTCCTCCTTGGGGTCTCCCATACCGAGGCCGCACTCTTGCCTGCTCCGTACCTCAATCAGCCACTCTAGCCCACTCGTCAAATTGCGAAGTGCCCAGCGGACGGAACGCGAAGCCGCATGATGAGGAGCAAGACGACAAGGTGGCAAAAGCCAGTGAACGCCGCAGCTTCACCCTGTGTCGCACATATAGGCTCGCCTATCCCAGGCGGCACAGCTGTCCAGCTGTGTTACTCGACTCCTGGTCTTCGATAATGGCTGGCTAGGATTGACAACGACTACCCAATTTCGTAGGGGTTTTTGAGGTCACGTGCATTACACTTTTGGGCAATAGCAAGAGAAGTAGCGAGGCTCTCTTCACTGTCTCAACGCATTGTCTACGGCTCGGGCTGAACGGCACCAGGGAGCTTCGGATGGATTATCACCATGCCAGATCCGAAAGTTATCTCGATCGTTCAGTCCCATCGAAGCCGAATGTACTTCAATCCCCTACTCTCAAGGCCACCTTCCCCGTTTCGCCATTTACTTCTTTCCGGTATTGTCTGATGCTCACATCCTATGCACAGAGCTGTTCTTCGACCATCTTCTGAAGGTCTTGCCCTTGTAGTAGAACAAGAATCCAAAGAGACACCACAACAGAATCAACGACGCATTCGTCATAATAGGCGGGATATCTGCAACTTGTTAGAGAGTCTCGCTTTGGCTGTTAATGAATCAACTTACATCCATCCGCAATGATCCAGTCCGTAATGAATTTGCTGAACCCGTATCCCCAGACGTTCTTGTTGACCGTGATCGAGACGAACAAACTTCCAGCGACCGGTTTGTATGAGTCCACCGCATATGTCGACACGATACCAGGGAGAGCCGCCACCTGGATACCTGCGCACGTATACCCAATGATAACAATAGCCTCCCACGGCCATTGATTTTGATATCCAACGCTGACGATGATGTTGCCCAGGTACATGATGATAACGTAGGGGATCATGGCGACCAGACGCATCTCAGGTTCACGAATTCCGCCATTCCTTGCTGTCAATCTCGCAGCCACCCAGTCTGAGAGTGGTCCAGCCGTAACCAGACCGATCAGCGCTCCTGCGAAGACTGCGAAATTCGTGAATCCTATGGACTGACTGCTCCAGTTGTAAGGCGGCGCTGCAAAAGCTTGCGTCTGGGTCAAATTCAGCGTCAAGAACGACGAACAGCTCCAGCTGACCACGAAACTGGCGAATTCCACAATCGGGAAAGCGAACAGCTTCCAAGGGATCCACAGATCGAGCAGAACACTCTTGACCGGGGTGGGGTTAGGCGTGTACAGACCCCATTGGCCCTTGCTGGGCTTGCCTCGCCCAAGCCATGGATCGCGAGCAGCAGTTTCGACCGCAGTAAGCGGCTCAGGGGCGACGGCGATCGAGTCCGGGTTGTCCGTACGTGAGCTGTCGGACTTGAGTTCTTCGGTGGTTTCGGCGTTGGGCTTTTGATCGCCAGTAGCTAAGGAGTGGTGAATTTCGTTAGGATGTTGTCGGTGCCATTTGGTCTCCGGGAACATGAAGATGACCATCAGGGTGGAAAGCCCGATCAACCCAGTATTGAACCACCAGAAGCTCCGCCAGCCGACATTCTCAGCCATGGCACCCGAGATGATGGGTCCAAACATCAATGAGCCCATGTAGACGACCCAATAGAGGGTGTTCCATTTCCCACGGTCATGAAGGAAGAAAATATCAGCAATAATTGCTGGCTGTAAGGTCTCGGCCGGGCCTGCGCCTATGCCGTTGAGACTAGAGGGGAATGTCAATTGTTGCAGCTTCCACGATTGGATTTCAATTCGCACTTACACGCATGCACCCATGAAACTGCCATATGTCTGCGCTCTTGCACGCCAGATGGACGAACCTAAGCAAATGAGATTGGAAAAGATGTAGACCGGTCGGCGTCCGAAGGAGGTGCTCAGAGGCACCCTAGGAATGGATGAGCACATGAATGTCCCGGTCTGATCGTCGTACGTACCAGATGAAGTTGCTGAAACCCAGGACCAGGATAGCGACACCAGTAAACTGGACAGCATCCGCCAAAGAGCAGTTGAAGGCCTCGATGTAGTCGCCAAACATGGGCGCGAGGGACAACGGGCCGAAGCCTTGCACGAATGAAACCATGCTCGAAGCAACAATTGCTGAAACTTTCCAGCCGACAGACCAATTCAAGGGATCATGCGGGTTATCGGACGGCTGTGGAACCAAGACTCGGTGGTCTTTCCCACTACTCTTTACAAAGTGATGGCTTCCCACATCTGCCATGATCTCAGTTCCGGGTAAGATTCTGTAACGCGTCAGCGGACTATCCCAGTAAGAGATGACCAGGCTCGAGTCGATCGAACGCAGTTGGTCGGCGGCCAGGGAACACTTACTCGACATGGAGCTCCTCCTCGATTTGATGGAGCTCCTGCGCAAAGAACAATCGTCAGCGACTCTCACCAGAACCCCGGCTTCGGGTCTTACCTTGTCGTCGAAAGACATCTCCATGGTGGGCGAGTAGATGGACTGCAAGTAAGTGCACGAGTGCTGGATAGATCGAAGGGTAAACGAGGACAGACGAAAGGGAAAATACCTGGCCTGTGACAACGATATATACCTTGTTCACTCACTCGATAGTCAAGTGCCGGGGTGGTATGCCATATCCACAAAGCCCTAGAACATCCAGCCATGATAGGCGCAACGTGCCAAATTCTGTTCCCACGCTTGCAAGCTTTTGTCAAGATGATGACGCTGGGGACCCCGCGTGGCCCCAGGGTTGAGGCAGCCGAATACAGAAAGGCGGCATGGCTAGTGCTACTTCGTGCATGATCCGATGCAGAAGGAGCATGGAAGCTTCGGCTGGCAAAGTCGGCATTTCTATCGCCATGTGCACGGAAGGACTTTGTGGCGATCCAAATGTTCATCCTGCCAATAGACTTTGCGACAGGGGCGTTTATCAAACTTGCACCGACCCGGGGACTTGTCTCTTTGGGACACTACTGATATATATGCCCAGTGCTGCTGGATCTGCTACACGTACAGGAAAATGTCCCACAAGATCTGCGTCCGCTGTGGTACGGAGCGTAGTGTTGATAACCCTGCAGACACGAGTAGTATAACCAAGTAGATAAGGGCACCGTGCTGCAGGGTCCATTGGCTGTTGTCTCTTGAAGCGGACAACTGCTACGAGTACGGAGTGAGTACATGATCAAACGGCTGGATTCCGCACTGCTTCTGAAAGCAGAAGGTGTGCAACCCTAAGGCGTACGATCGCGTTGATCGTTGCAGGGGTATTGGTCTCGTTCGGGAATCAGTCCCGAAAAGGTCTCTGCAGAGGATGGCCGGGCATAACAGCCGACAACCTGGTCACTGGAAACATCACCCAGTCGTCCGGTACATCTGCCTTCCCCAGATTTCTCTACGGGACCCTGCAGTAAACAGTCCGATGCATCGACGTGCTCACGGATCATGCACTCTTTCCACGACTCACCTTAGCCGATGGCTACTAGCGAGAGGCCGCAACATTGCCCACACTCGTCAGTCAGTAGCGATGGGAAGGGTTGTTGAGGCTGATGAAGAACCAAGTTGCAGGAGTGAAGAGCCGGAGTTCCGACCACAGCGGTTCAAAGGATGTCTCGAGCGAGCCTGGGCACTGCACCACCACTTCGTAACCACATCCGATGCGCTGTTGTGGATAGCTCTGGTCAAGCCTGGTACATTTGGCTCGGCTCAGTATCACACCCAGGAATAGATGTCTCTTCTACCGCTCGAAGCAATAGAATCTCGTCCGACCCTCCTTACCTCAGGTCTTTGATGATCCGTGTCTGGCTTGACCGCCAAGGGCAACCAGGCTCAACGTTCAACTAGTATTAAACCGTCCCCGGAGGCGTGGCTGAATGTCGGTGAGCTCGTGGACCATTGCACAGTCTTCGTCCACTGCTTGCGAGTCATTGTCGAAGGGTGCAGGAAGCGATGCGACTGTACCATGGGAGCTCCTCATCCTCGCTCCTGGGTATGTTCCAGGTGATGTCTTTTGCAAAATGCAGATCCGTCGACATCTCAACCATCGCAAGTGAGCATGTGTAGGATGCCTCTGCATTGGACGCGGCCATGATTGAAGGATCGAAAAGGTTGAGTCGCCTAAGGCTCTGTGACTTGTCGTCAGCGTTAAGACGCCGCAAGCTTCACTGTCCTTCAGATAGCAATAACTGAGTGAGGCTCCAGCGCAAGAAACAGTCGGCGGCACCGTGACGTGAAATCCCCAAGAAACAGTCAGTGCCAGCATTAGGGCACATTCCGCAACGAAGATTGAGGCCAGCCTCATTACTTGGCGAAGACGCCAATTCCAACGTACAGTGCAGGAATGATCACATCTTGAGCAGAGCAGGAAATGTCCGGCCTTCCTGTGATAAGCAGGCTGTTATCGTTGCGGTCGATTAAAGTCACACGTCTTCGTCAAGGCCTTGCAGTCTGACTCGCGGTAGCCATCACTCCACGGGCGTCAAGGTGGCACAAACCTAGGGCGACACGCACCAGAATAATACAGACTATTACCATCTGTCCTGGTGAAATTTTCGAGTTTTCGCCATTACATGGCCTACCATAGTATTGCAACATCACTTTCGGTAAGATTGCAACCAACCATCCGGAGTCCCCTTGGTAGTGAATGCTTGGATTTCTCCGACGAAATGAGGACACCACTTGGGCGTTAGCAGGGAACACTGAGCAATACTGAATATTATTGCTTACGCATGCTTTTCTCATATTGGCATTCGCTTTGACACCGTGGAAGGACGAAGCGAGATGGCAGATTAAGGTGTCATGGAGCCGCTGGAGGCTGGAGGCTGGGCAAGTCACTTGGACAAAAATGTGGCTTGACTAGTCAGGGCGCGGACCATGACTGCCGAGACCAGCAAGCCAATTTCAAGACGCGAGACGAGCCGGCGTCAGAAGAGAGCAGTTGATTCTTGACTGGCGGCCCTAGCTGTCTAGCATCTGCGACAAGCACGTCGCAAGTTGCGTTTGACCAAGAAGCAATTTCACCAGGAAATTGCCGGTGCCCAGCTCACAACACGGGGCCCCGCGAGACGGCTTGACCGTCCTCGGGCCTCCAGCGCCTCTGCCGATGACAAGAGTGCTTGGTGGTGACGGCGAGGTCTTGTGGAAAGGCTTGAGACCACGACATAGATCTGGGGTATCTGCAAGATTCTCCAGCAAGAAGTCGCGGGTTGGAAGAGATGGCGTCAAATATACATAGAACGAGAATCACACAGATGAAAAGAATTGAAGTTTCGGATTTTTATCGTGGTGTATTGACTAGTATAGACGGGCTTCTACCCAAAATGCTGCGTGCTCCTGTTCAGTCCTTTCAGACACTGAATGTCAGGTATATGCGCTCCCGATCCGTTATATGCTGCGAACCTGAACCTGCCAATATTTTCATCCACAACCGATCAATGTAAGCGACAAAAGAAAAGAAATAAGTACAATAAAGGGTCCCGTGCCAGAAGGGTCATTACAATATAAGCTCCACCATCTTACAGGGAGAAAACTGCAAAAGCAACGGCCATCAGGCCAAAGATGGCTGATGGTACCACTGAGGAAGCAGCGCCAGTGTATGTGGCAACGCTGACACCGCCGGTGGAAGTGCCGGTGGTGCTGTTCCATGAGCCACCAGAGACTTGAGAGCCGTAGCCGGTAGATGTGCCAGTCGATGAGCCAGTCGATGAGCCGGTGCTGTTTGAGCCAGAGCCACCGGGGAAGTTGCTCTTGCCAGTACCGGGGCAAACCTTGCCAACGTCAGATGGGATCGTTGGGAAGGCGTCAACCGCGTCGAGAATGGCAACGGCCATACCGCCAGAGAAGTGAGTCTGGACGTGGCAATGGAGAAGCCAAGCACCAGGAGTGTTGACTTCGTATCGGAAGACCATCCAGGTGGCGCTGCCCTCAGCTGCAGTGCTGGTGTAACCATCAACATATGGAGGGTTGACCAGGTTGAAGGAGTAGCCAGCAGCCTCGGCATCGGCGACGGATGTGAAGTTGAAGTCACCAACACCAGAGCCAATGACGTAGAACTTGTTGGCGTGCTTGTGGATGGGGTGAGGCTCGGCGACAGGGCCGGCGACCTTGATGATCAGATCGACCCATTGGCCGGAGTAGGTCCGGAGGATCAAGTCCGAGTCAGGAATGCTGGATGGGTTCTGGAACAACAAAGGTGGGGCCTCGTCATCGCGAGTCTGGTTGTAAGCATCGACACCGTTGAGAGTCCACGACCAGGAGTCCAAGGGTTGAGCAGGGTTCTTCATGATATCGAGCACGAAGCTGGCATCGGCAGTAGCAGCAACGGATGAAGCTGGGAAAGGCGCAGCAGCGGCCGGGTTGAAGGTAACAAGGCTGGTGAGGTTCTGGCCGCCATAGTTGATGGCAGCAGTGCCGACAAGAGCATCAGAGCCACCGTTGTAGGACAGAACACCGAAACCAGAGATGACTTGGTTGATACCATCGTTGGCAACACGGATCTGGTAGTCGCCTGGGGCCTGGTCGAGCTTGATCAAGAAGCTGATGCGATCACCTCCAGCGACTACGATGTCATCAACGGCCTGAGGAACGATGAAGTTACCGTTGCTCTCATACACGTACAGCTTGTGGCTGTCAACGGTCACCTTGAGGATAGCAAATGCAGACGGGTTGATCAGAGAGATCGCTTGCCATCCAGCGCTGGCATCAACCGAGAGGGTGTAGTTGGAGCCAGAGTAGGGTGTGCAAGTGTAGTAGGCGTTATCTGGGAGATTTGCCAGGTTCTGGGTGTACTGAGCACCTTGAATGAGCTTGTTGGTTGGTGGGATGCAACCCTTGGCGGTCAAGGAGGTACCGTTCAAGATCTGGGGAACTTGAACTGCAGCGTTGGCAGTCAACACGTCGATGCCAGGGCAGTAGGTAGAGCCTTTGCCGTTCAGGATGATTGAATCAGTGCAAGCATCGTCAACGTTGGCAGCCTTCTCGATCTCCAGGAACTCATCAAAGGTGTACTGGCTCCAGTCCGAGACAAATAGGGGCTCAGTTGCAAGAGCAGCAGCGGTCATCTTGGCGACATCGTCCGAGCTGCTGCTGATTTGGCTGAAAGGAAGTTCAGCATCGTCGGCTGGGGAAATGACAATAGCACCATATAGACCGTCGCCCATCTGTCCCTTGTAATGTGCGTGGTAGAAATAGACACCAGACTCTTCAGCGGTCCACTGGTACATGTAGCTGGTACCAGGCTTGATGGAGTATTGGCTCACACCCGGCACACCATCCGCCCATGGTGTACCATTCTGTCGGATACCGTGGAAGTGGACTCCGGTGTTGTTGGCAAGGTTGTTGATGACTGTGAAGTCGACGCAGTCGCCAACCTTCAGCTTCAACGGGGGACCTGGCAGAGAGCCATTAGTGAGAATGGCATCTCTGGGTGCACCAATCTCGGAGGACGTTGTGCCCCAAGTGACATCAATGGTGAAGGGAACACATTGGGAGGATGTCGCGCAGATCGAGCTCGATGAGTTGGACGAGCCGGCGACGACTGATGAAATGGAAGAAACGAATGTGAGGGCAGCAAGGGCCTTGGACAGCCTGGAGACTGCCATTATTATGTACGGGTATATTCAAACGAGAGACTGATGTTCAACCTGGGGGACAAAGAAGGAGAAGCGAGGAGTGTGCAACAAGAGCAGTCACGGAGCCTTATGAAGGCTTTGCTGATCTGTGAGAGAGTGGCTGTCAGATTGAAGGACCAGCCATCCTGGCAGAACATGGCCCAATATTTTGGGGCCGCAAAAGCCTCCTTTAGCAATAAACGCTTTACCTCGTTTCAAGTAGTGTGATTCTGTCGCTCCACTGGAGCTATAGTTGATCACCATCCCAATATTACCCAGCCCTGCAAGGCTTGCAACCATTGGCCTCCTGATGGCGGCGTTGGTCGAGGTGCTAGCGTCAGACGTCAGCTCTCCAGAAGCTTTTTGGTCCGATGATTCAAGCATACGAGCCGGAGTTCCAAGCCTTCTTGGTGACAGGCGTCAGGTCACAAATGACCTGTGCGGTGCAGAGATTGGGATAAGCGATCGAGATAGAACTTTTGATTAGGAAATTTTGCAAACAGGACAGACCAGTCGGTGCCGGGCCCAGCTAATGCAGGTGTGAGGAGCAGGATGGAGTGGCGCAAGCAATCAGAAGCGACGGCGTGGCCGTTGCGGTGGCTGACCCCAGCTCCCACCGGGCTTACCTGAGATCTGGTTCGTGCCCTGTCTCCTTGAAAAGGAAGCTTGACACCCACCAAGGAGTCTTAGTGGTGTCAAGCAACGAATCCAAAGCCTTCTTTCTCCAGCTGCAAGCCTGATCCGGCGTGTCCAGCCCTGGTTCAACGCATGCCACCAGCCAACCCCCAACCCTGCTAAAGCGCGCGTAAAAGCAGGGAATTGAGCCATGTAAACAAACATTGGGTGAAGGCTGGAGACGATCAGATCACCGGCTGTCCTGGTCGGGACATCAGATGAGATGAGCTCGCTAATATTGATATTGCATGACGTTTGTTGGTATCTTCTTCTCCGGCCCGTTGCAGACACAAACCCAGTGTTTCGGTTGGAACGTTCCATGGTGGTCGACGGTGGTTTCTTCGCCTAAGAATAGATGCGCGAAAAACAAGAAAAACCAGATGGAGAGGGAAAAGAGAAGAGAACTTTCCTCGTGTGGTGCCCCTAGTGAGACACGTCTCCCCTGACCAGCTCCACACGCCTAAGCCATCCCGGTTCTCGCTATCACGTGCCAAGGCTGCTCGGAGGAATCCTGATGCAGTGTATCAGGCCGGTATTGAATTGCTCAAGGGCTGATCTCGCGTGGCAGTTCGTGTACCGTAACACGGGCATTACACAGTACAATCAAACTGGGGCCTCAGCTGCGTTATGGCGATTGAGGCTTGCGCCGTATACCATGGTATCCATTCGAGAAAAATCTAGACACCCGCCCTTCCCGTGTGCTGTGTATCCATTATTCGAATAACTGCCCATCCATGATCGTTCAACTCGAGATCTCTCTTACGCCATTTCGGTTTCCTCATCCTGGGTACAAGTGGCCTGCCGTAACAATGGCTCGTACAGCCTTTGTCGCGGGCTGCCTGAGCCTTGCAGTCTTGCTCCAATCAATACTTGCAACCGATGTACATGGGGCGGCCATCTCGACAAATTTCCCGGATCCTTGTCTTGCCCTAGCAGACGACGGCACTTGGTATGCCTTCAGCACGCAGACCGAGACGATCAACATCCAACTGGCTTCGTCCCCGGATTTCAAGCAATGGAAACTCCACGATGGCTACGACGCTCTTCCCGTGCTACCCGCATGGGCGCGTGAACACCCTCATGCCGGGGTCTGGGCACCCGACGTGAATCCACGGCCCGATGGAAGTTGGGTCATGTATTTTGCCGCCCTGACAAAGTCGCATCCCAGAAAGCATTGTATAGGAGTTGCGATATCACCCAACGTGACGGGTCCTTACACGCCCTTGGACACTACGCTTGTATGCGACCTTCCTGGCGGCGGTAATATTGACCCGAACCTTTTTCGTGACCCCGTCAATGGTCAAAACTATCTCGTTTACAAGACTGATGGGAATACCCTCGGCCACGGCGGGGCTTGCGGGAACACCAAAGACCCTGTTGTGCCTACTCCTTTGCACCTGCAATTGTTGAAGGCAACTGATCTCGTCACACCGATTGGCGACCCCATATATCTCTTTTCCAACATTGGCGACCTCAAACAAGATGGGCCAAACGTCGAACGACCATCCTTGGTCTTCCAAGAGTCAACCTACTACCTACTTTACAATGCGCAATGCTATGCAGAACTCAATTACCGCGTTGATTTCGTGAGCTGTGCCGTCGGCATCGATACCCACACTGGCATTCTCGGATGTGATTGGAAAGCCCTTAAGAAGGAGCAACAGACCTGGGGCAATCGTACGTTGCTCAAGACTGGCGACAGTGTCTCTGGCTTCACGCTGCATGCTCCAGGCAGCATGGATGTCAGCCCGGATCAGCACAAGATTGTGTTTCATGGTGACATCAATCTCGAATGGTTCAAACCAGATCATCCCCGCAACATACACCGTGAACGTGCCATGTATGCGGGTGAGATTGATTTTGTCGACTCGAGTCTTCGCGTTGTCGAGCTCTTCTGAAAGCTCGTGTTGGCCTTGCAGGGATGTCGCCAATTCGAACATGCCAGGCACGCATACTTGAGGTCACTTGCAAGAGAACATTCAATCCTCAAGCGCCGATGCGGGTCAGCCTGATCCCGCAATGTACTCTTGCTCGCTGTTGAGAAGCCAGGAACTGCAAACTCTTACCTGGCCAGCTCTCCACATACTATGTAATGTGTGCCGGCCTCCCAACCTAGGTTAAGTGAGAATGCAGGAAGCCCAATGTGGAGAGAATAACGTCGTTGGCCAAGCGCGCCCTTCTCGTCTGCAACACACGTTGACAATTCCACTCCCATCCCATAGGAAACGTGGTTTTGCCGCGTCAGGACTTACGTTGCCGAATTCCACCAGAAACGTGTATGGGTTGAGGTGGCTCCGAGTAGCATCAAGAGGAGGCTTGCGTCTGCAAGGAACAAACCAGACGATGTTGGCTCGCTACTTTCAGCGGACTTCGTATCAACAAGGGCGTTCCGTACTCAAGGGAACGTCAGACTGAGTCGGATGCAGAAACATCGCCTTGGTGTGACTGGGCACCTTCTCCTGCTTCTTGCAGTTCCCATGGCGCAATGCTTCTGAGCAGCTCCATCTAGGACGCCATTGCTGCAGCTCCTCGTGGCGGTCAGCAATAGTTGCCGCTGCCAGTGAGGCTGACAGTGATCACTTGACTACTGCTGAGCTCGGACCTCGACCGGCGAATAAATAGTCGAACCCCAGCCTCGCTCCATGATCTTCAATATTGTTGGTCCCAGCTCTGCAATACTAATTCTAATATCTCCGCTGGAACTTGGAAGAATACATGGAACAAACCAGTTTTCCACCTGAGGTCATTTATCGGATCAAACTGGCCGTAGTGGCTGGGCTCATACAGATTTCGCAGCCGCTATCACAGCATTCCATTGCACGTCACAGATACAGGCCACGACAATGGTCAGTTGATCTCCTAATGCACTTGCCGGTCCGTCGAGCTTGCTGCAGCTCTAGTCCAAACCTCGTAAACTACTCCGTAGAACGGTGAGAAAATCAACATACATAGTTGAGAAGCCTCGTTCTGCTAAGAAGCACCTGGCTGGGCATGCGGTCCCTTGCTCGCAGGGTCGAGAATCATTGGCTCAAATGCACATTCACATGTTCAATGCAGGTCTCTTCTGAGATAAGAACGTCACTTGATCCTATTCGATGGAAATGTCAAGATCTTAGCTCGGATAGCACCTCGTGGTGGAGGGAAAACTTGCAGCAAGGCAGGCTAGCCTTCTGCAGCCAAATCAACCTCACTTAAGCACTCCTGGGTCTCCTGCAGCCTGCAGCCACCTAAACCTGCAGACAAGACGGTTCTCCAGTTTCAGGCCAACGCCAGCTATGCAACCTGCACAGTTAAGGAGAGCGTGGGATACGTGAAGCAGAATAACAACTGTCTCGATGTTCTGATAGCACGAATCAATGCAAGGCCGTTTAAGAGGCTAACGAAGTAGCTGTTCCAGAGGCACAAAGGTTAGTGTCACTGTTTCTTTCCTTCCAATCCACCTTGATCTGGCTGCAAACAAGCTTCTACTCGCGTTCCTTCCCGTCCTTGACCCAGCAACATGTCATGCAACCGTTGACCACTTGGTCTTGACTTTGGCAGCTGCGTCCCCCAAGGCAGTGTGGCATACCGGTACTTGATACCTGAGATGACTGCTGAGGTGGTATTCATGAAACTCACCACGTCACAGCCGTGAAAAGACATGTTTTTACGGGCAAACCGCCAGCACGAAGCTAGAGATACAGAAAAATATCAGTTTCAAATGACGACGCAGGCTCCAATACCTATCAGGCAAGACTCCATGTCTTCCATGTTGATGAAGAGGGCAGCGACTTTCTCAGCAACAGAGCTTCAAGCATGCGGCTGATTTCTCATACAACAAACTTCTCATTCCATTTCGGCAGAAGTCAAGCACGTCTCTTCTTGACAGAACCATGCGTCGTTGTTAGTACGCGTGGTCACTCCACCTGAGAAAACGTCCACAACTCCGCGTCCGCGACTGTCAATCTTGGCCTGACAGGACACCATCAAGTTGGAGCACAACGACATTATACACGTCACCCATCAATCTCCACCAATTCCGTCGACGGACGCTGCGTGCTACAGCAATCACCACATTCGACGTCAAGACAGCTCCTTTGATATCTAGGTTGGGCCGCCCTCCGACAAAGGTGTGTTTTGCCGTGGACGTCAGAACGCTGTGGCAAAATGCAGCCTATCCGGGACAATAATAATGTACTTCTGTTTGAGGCAGAAGGGCAGATATGCAAAGCCGCCGGCGAATGTTTCCAAGATGCCATTCCGTTGCGACAGGCCCTACACACCCAGATGATGTCTGCAGCTCAGAGACCGCGACAGCCGTCGTTCAGAGCAATCGAGGCATGCACATAACTGGTGGAGACCAGTTGTAACGAATGTCATCCTCGCAGGGCCTTCACATGGCCTGTGGCCCGGATAGAGCTCCGCGGCCTACCATCGAACAAGGCGAAAATTCCTGGATAATGCTCTGCAGGCACCACCAGTACATTTGATCGGGTGTTGCCCTTATGTTCCTAGCTCCCTTGATGTGAGGTAAGTCCTGACTTGTGCATGTATCATTGAGCAGCTGGCCGGCAGCCCATGTCCGACGGCCGCCGAACGATAGAACTCTGACACACAGCATCCACAGGAGCAATCCGGATTGTCACTTCGAATCTGACCTATACGTGCCGTCCTCCCTGGGCGGACTGAAGAGGGATTGTTTTATTAGGTCAACCTTCACATTTTCGCCAGAAACAATCTCCCAGAAGCCGTGGGTAAACGGTCGATAGACCAGATTTAACTCCGTCCATTAACAAACATGGTAGGTGTTGGCCCATATGAGGGCTGCTATAGTTCTTGAGTTTGCAGGAGACAGAGCACAGCAAGCACAGCGAGTGGGTATGTCAATGCAGTCGTTTTGCGTTGATAACGGAAGCTGGGTGTAGGACTCAGAGAAAACTAGGTACTAAGCATTTGCACACGAAAACCGTTTGTTCGCCATAACCTTCAGCTCGAACTCCGCTTTATTTTCCCTGTCTCCCATACCGATGAACCATACTCCCGTACCAACCAGGGAGATTTGTACGTTGCTACTTGACGATCTCTGCCGTGCCGTCTCTGGTAGGATTACATGCGTGCCGCTGCTGTGCTGATACGAGGCCCAACCCTTGCATCTAGGTTACCTCGGGGCCTCCATCCTCGCGATGCTGGTGTCAAGCTCATTTCAAGAGACGCCGTCGCCCTTCTCATGACCCGCATACCTAGCCTTCCTCGCCTTGGCCATCTTATTCTCGAGTAGAATACCAGCGCCACCTACGGCGCAGCTGACAAGCTCCAAAACCAACACCGCAACCATGAACCCGACAGCGACCTGGCTTTCCATGCAAAGTCTCTCGAAGCCCGCAGGGACAGGCACGCCATCGGACAAGTACACGGGGATCTGCAACGACTTGGCGTCCGAGGTGAACTTCGATGCACCGTCCGAGAATTTGCACGTCCATGATTGAAGCGACTCTCTCGCATGATGCTCAGAAGGAGTGGTGAGTGCCGTGTTGAAGGGGATGGCAAACAGGCACAGGACGAGCCCAACAAAAGAGGCCCCCACAAAGACAATATTATACATCAATGTGCGGGAGTACGGCTGCAACAATATATCAGTATCAGCGTGATATTCCTGCAGTCTCACCAGAACGGCCAGGTTAGACATACCGTTGGGATAAGCGAGAAGACCAGGTATCCCAGATTGACCGCTATGAGTATAGCAGCAGGGATGAGGATCGTCAGTGTCGGTTTGACGTCGACGTTACGAGGCCAGAGTGGCAACGAGTACTCCCTGCCGAAACGTGTCTCGTTATAGCGATCCAAGACATGCCCTGCGCATCCGAGTGCAGCGGTGCTGCTCGCAATGACCAAGAATGCCAGTCCGAAGCGAGTCCACCGGAGTAAATGTGCTTTTGTCAGGTATCCGGATTCTTGTGTCGAAGTCGCCGAGTTGCGCGAATGAAGAGAGGAGGTCAGCAGAGGCGAGGCATTGACCATGAAGGCTGTAGTCTCATAGGGCGTCGGGGGTTCCAGCTGTTTCCTGGTGCTCGACCGCGATCTAGCGCTGCTCGAACCAGGACGGCGCTCGGAAGAAGTAGGGCGAGAGTTGGACATAATGTTTGCAACCCTTGCGAGTAAACAACTGATATCAAGGAACGATTGTTCGTAAACTGAGAGTGAGTGTGGTAACTAGTAGGAGGCAAACCAGGCCGAAGATTGAAGGCAAGAAACGGGTATGAAAAGTGAAACCAAAAACGCAAGGAGAAAGTCAGAAGACGAGGCCAGGATCTTGTTACTCCAGACAGTACATATGTTCATGGACTCTTCTTAGATATTGCTTTGCCTACCTCCTTAGCCCGACGAGGCCTGACATCAGCATTGGTGTAGAAGCGCTGGACCCCTTCGAAGGAATATGCTGACAATGATGGGCTGTTTCAAGTCAGGCACATGGCAAATCATGATAGGTACAGAAAGACGCCTGTTGGGAATTACTGGCGGCTACAAGTGTACAAGAGAGATAGAGAGAGAAGGGAATCAGAGAGAGATGAAGTGACCAGCGGCTATTGTCCTCTCTGCTTGGCATGATACTGCCATGTTATTGGTCTGAGGGATTGAGCAGGCCGGCTTCTCTATTTTTGGTGGAAGCCCGAATGCGAGCATGCAGGAAACCCTGCAACCTGCAAGTCCTCCTGCACGGATTTCGAGCTTGTTGCCGATCAACACCTTGGTTCGCCTATCCCTCCTGCTCGTCCAAGGCTAGCCCTCCAGTGGCCCTCCTCCAAGCTGCCATCCATTTGCCAGCCAATTCCACCATCACGACCATCTTTGATCGAGGAGGCATCGTCTCGCTTTGCGATTGGACCTCCTGCAGATCGATATCCTCGTCAGTATCTTGTGCTCGGGATTGGCTTATCTGTCCCTCCATCGGAATTCAGATCCCCAGTCGACCAACTCCTCAGTATCATCTGGCGGAAAGAATGCTACTTTCCTGCTTTCCTATGCAAAGACACTAAGTCGGTTTCATCTGGGTCTCTCGTGCGGATGAGCAAGTTCGGTCAGATGAGAACCTCTTCCTTCCAGGGAGCCACCTTTCCGGCAACTATACGCGTCAACCATCCTCAAAATGGTTACACTGGCAGCAGAATGGATGATGCTGTTGTCCCGCATTAGTCCATAAAAGAATCAGACCATTACCACGCTTGGTCTTGGACTGTGTTAGAATGCTGTTTTCGACATGCTGTCCCCGCCCTCGACGAGCCCGTGACCCCAACTTCATGCATAACATCTTGCGTTGTTGGTGAATCAACTTGTTCATGCCTTCCAAAAGAAGTATTTTCCGCAGTGGGTTTAGGACTTCGGAGCAATATCTGTGTCACGCAAACCAGTCTTGTGCCTGGGAGTGCGAGATCTGAGACTCTTCCCACCTGCGGGGTAGTCGTTCACGGTTCCTGGAACCGAAAATGCGGATCCAGGATATATGCGGTCCCAGTCACCGTCTTCAGGTCTGATCAAATACCGACGCCACCTTTTCGAGGGCTTGCACCTCCTCTGCGTCGATTCGCCTATCAGACAGAAGGTTGAAGTTTTCTGCTGGTTCCATACCATTGCGCTCGAGCCGTGACCATGTCCGTTGTTCGATGTAGCCACGCCGCTCTTCTTTGATTTCCTCTTTTGCGCTGTTCAACCTCGCGTCCTTGTCAGAAGCTTTCAGTGCTGCCAATTTGGGTCGAAGTTCGGCGAGGAGAGATCGAAGGGCAGGTAGCTGTGACACTGCAAATTTGGTGTTGGTGGTCAGTGGCTGCTGATCTGGATTTTCCGTGACCTTCAGAGACTGCGCAGCTAAACCATTCATCAGGAAAGATAGGTTGTTTGCTTCTTGTTGCGCACCACCGACAAGCCCACGTAGTTGACTTAACATTGCCTCGTTGCGGTTGTGTTCTTCCTGGAGTTTCTTGGATAGCGTTCGGGAAGCCGCTAACTTGCGCCTGAGTAGCTGTACGTCCTCGACAGTGGTGGCATGTTCGGGAGGAGGGTATGATATGTCCTGTACTGTTAGCCAAGCACAACTCCCATCCTCAAGTCCGGGCTCACATTGTAGTGGCTAAGGCGCACCCAGTTGACGAGGTCCGCAGGCACAGACAGGATGTTTCGCAGCACGTAGATCTCGAATTTGTCAAAGTTCTTGTCCACGGTGGAGTTCAACAATGTTTCGAGTTTGTGTAGGCCCTCCTCAATCTCATGCTTTGCCTCTGGAAACTCGACCTCTCCTGCACTATGAACATCTGTGCGTGTGTCTTGGACAGCCTTGAAACCCAGCTTTTCCGGCGGTGTCGATAGGAGACCGGTTTCCAGACTTCCAACACCCTGGTAGACAAAGTTGTTGACTGAATTGATGATGTCGTCGATCAGGGACTGGGGAGTTGTTAGTGTTGTCCATTCTGCAAACGAGTCCCACTTACCAGGGGCGTATACTGCAGATGTTCAGTCAGTAGCGACGTCGCTGCTTGCGATGATGCTCCCATAGCCACCATGCCATTCGTAAAGCCTCACAGCAATGTTCTAATGGTGCGCCAAAATGACGACTCGGTCATAACAAACCGGAACGCGTTCAACAGCGCCAAGGAATACTCGGCACGCGGGTCAACCTGCTTTCGGACGAGGATGATGCCGCCCTGTGACAATCTTCCACGTGAACATTTGTGATTGGCTGCCTGAGTGAAAGAGCTGCGCCGCTACAATGTGCAGGAACAGAACAGATAGTGGTTTCTCGGTCCTACTATGTCAGTATTCCCTTACGGGGAGGAAACGAACGAAGGCCAGCTTTGTCGGGCCTTCGTCAACCTTCACGCGAGTTAGCGACTAGGATGTGACCCAACTCAAAAAGAAAGATCCGGCCGGCCGGCGGACGAACCGGCGGATTGGGAGTGTCATCGAGTTCGAACAATTAAATATAAAGCACAGAAACTAAGACAGCTCGTGCAAGCAAGCAAAGCCTGACGGGTTTTATGTTAACTAATTTTGATTCTGTGTCACACTCGAAATACAATCCGCATGAGAAGATGACCCCGAACGCCGAGTTACTCGATAACATTTTGAGGAAATACGTCGACAGCGAAGGAGGCTCTGCAAAATCCCTTCACACCGCTGGGTTCATAGTGAAAGACGGCAATGGTATGCTTCTGAAACGACAGGTCGATCTTCTCTGGGTCAGGCTCCGCTGACAACACCACTCCATCTTCAGGGCAGACCCTGTACTCCAATGCTTTTGGAAAGCTGAGCCTTGATGACAACTCGGCACCTTTCACAACAGACTCGGTCTGCTTCGTGGCATCTTTGACCAAGCTCGTTACAGCCGTGTGCAGTATGCAGCTGGTAGAGAGGGGTATGATCGGACTAGATGACGACGTTGGAGAGGTGGTACGAGAGCTTTCGAATCTGGAGATCTTGAAAGGGTTCGATGATGAAGGGAAGGCAATTCTGGTGAAGAAGACCAAGCCTATTACTCTTCGGTGGGTTTAGCCATGACCCTTGGAGAACGAGATGTCAAGACAATGCCGCCGAGCTCTCTGGCTAATTGAATGAGCAGTAATCTGCTGACGCATTCGAGCGGGTTCTGCTACGACAAATTCGACCCCGACATGGTGAAGTGGTCGGCATCTATCGGTCGCTCCGTCGACTGGCAATCAAATACTATCGAGGGCTTTACGTTCCCTCTTAAGTTCGAGCCTGGCTCGAGCTGGACGTATGGCGTAGGATCCGATTGGGCCGCAATCGTCGTCGAGACTCTCAGCGGCAGCACTCTGGAAGAATACTGCCAGCATAATATCTTCACACCTTTGGGGCTCTCGTCCTCGACGTTTCTGATCTCACAACATCCACAGCTCGCCAGTCGCCGTGCGTCAGTTGTCTATCGCTCAACAGGAAAAGCCACTTTCCGGTCGGGTAGCGACCCTGGTCCGCGGGCCCCTAAGCAAATCGGTGGCGGCTCGGGACTGTACACGACCGCTGAGGACTATGCAAAGTTGCTAGGGGCTCTCGTGAGCAACGACCCGAGGATCTTGCAACCCCAATCAATAAAGGAGCTATTCCGGCCGCAGCTCATAAATCCTGGAGCCCTGCAGGCCTTTTGTGACGGGCCGTCTCATAACTTGTTCTGCACAGAATTTCCGCGGGGACTTCCTGTAGACTATGCGCTGGGGGGGATGGTGAACCTTGAAGACGTCGCCGGGAAGCGTCGTAAAGGGAGCATGATGTGGAGTGGATATACTAACCCCCACTGGGTAAGTCATCCAGAGTGATGCTGGCTGTTGTATAAATTGAACAAGAAAGAGTACTAACAGTGTTCTTCTTCAAGTGGATCGACAGGGAGACGGGGATCGCAGCTACGCTGTTTACACAGACCTTGCCACCTGGGGACGGAGTTGTCGTAACCCTCTACGATGAACTTGAGAAAGTGGTCTATGAAAATATTCTCAAAGAACAGTAAATCCAATTCTCTGTCCATGCATTCTCGACGGGAATAGGCAGAATGGGTGAGTAGCACGTACCTTGGGTGGTTGTCAAAGCACCAGAGTCGGGGTGAAGTGCCAAGGCTGTTGTTGTTCTCAGATGGGACTAGTTAGACGCTAGTGGTCTTTAGAAAACAATCAGAGTAATGACACCTTCCCACCGCTTTCACCCGCCGCCAACTTTGGTCATCTTCTTTATCGACCGTCAAAAGACCTTCGCATTACAACAAGGCATCCTGCGGTGCGGTACAACTCTTCATGATGGGAGGCCCAGGCTCTGGAGGTTACAAGAACAAGCCGGGGGATACTGAAACCCATTCAGCATGGGACATTATCCCTCAAGATCCCACTGGGACCCAGGTACATGTCATTCTACCCTCATTCTCTATTCATCCTACACCTCGCTGACGTCCGTTATAGAAGCTCGCCCAGGTACGATGCAAGTACTGTGGCCGGGAAATGGCTCAGCACACCTCGCGCCAACGCGTTCACCTCCTCGGCTGTCAGGCATACCTTGATGCGATGAAAGAGCAAGGCGTTGAAACAAGCATCACGCGTCAGGCGGCGGATCCAGCGGCTTTCTTCCGAACGGCTGACTGGACTCAGAAGTCGGCGGAAGCAAAGGCGCCAAAGGTGTTGAAGATGCAGGAACACTCTACTGCTGTGCGCATTCAAGCTTTGGCACTGGGCGAGGCGAGCATTTCATCGGAGCGCATTCAGGAAATCACGGGCATGGATCCTAAAGTGTTGGCTGGTCTCAGAAGACTTGCGCGCGAACGTGGCTACGACCCGTCTGTGTCTATGCAGCTCAAGGAAGAGTATGTCTTGGATCCACCAAACAACAGCCGTCCACGTGGTCGACCAAAGAAGAGAAAGCCAGAAGACGACGTCGATCCTGCTTTGACCAACATGCAAGATACTACTCAGGGCACTCCAACTTTCACTCCAACCCGACAAGCAAGCAACCTTCCGCCAGGTCAATGGGATTTCATGGCTGCCACTCCTTCCGGCTACACAATGACTTAGGATGCTGTTGTGGCAGACAATGGCAGAATTGAACCACGAATTTTGACTGATGGTGTTCATGTTGGCGACCAATCGTCCGCGATTGCAAGGAGTTCGGGAGAATCTTAGTGATGGCATTCATGGATGGCGAAAAGTGTATGGAGTGCTTTTATCATGCTGTTAAGAGATGTCGAATGCGACGACGGCGGTTCTGAGTAGTTTTGTCACCAGACTGCTGATAAAGGATATCCCAGAGAAGCGACGGCAAAGAAGTCATGAAGAACACCAGTGAACCTGGTAGCAGACTGTAACAGTCTAGCAAATAGCTAATCAACAAATCTCAAATTCACATCAGTGACTAGGTCAAGGCTGCTTTGGGGAACAGCACCATAGTCCTCGGCAAGTTACAGCAAACCTCCATTTGAACCCCCCATCACTTTCGGCAAAGACATTCCCGGCTCACTACTACGGACGCGTAGTATTCTCTCACCTCTTCAAGACTATCAGAGTGGCTGCGCCCTAGCTCAATGAAGATTTGCTATGTGTGAAACGCGGGAGATGCCACACCCGAGATACGTATCCAGCAAGTGGCAGCGCCAGGTCTAGAGCTCAGTGGTCCGGCAAGAGACAAGCTTTTGTAGCGACAGCAAGGACCGATTGAGGTCCGGAGTCGCAAGATGTGCAAGATCCCTTTTAGCGCTGTCTGGGGACGACAGGCGAGTTTGCTCAGAGACAAACAGTCGTGACAGTCCAGTGGCTAGCCTCGTAGACGCCTCCACGATGCCTCGCTTCCCAGCCTGATGCCAAGACCATCTCTTTCCCAATTCGGCAGGCGTGAACAATTGGAAACAGGAGGTGCTTCAGATTCTTCTCCTCCAAACACCATCCAAAACATCCCAGCGCTTCGACTTTCGCTGTCGCCTCTCACTCTGCGACACTCATCACCGTTTACTTGTCATGGCGTTTGACGCCCAGTCCGCCCTTCAACCGTGGCCTTTGCCCTACTTGGCCTTTTCTCCGCTGCCTTTCTCGCCTGTCGCGGCTCGTCCAACCCCCATGCCCTGAGACGCTTCTCTTACAATGTCTTCAACCTCCCAAGGGGTCAATTGACCAGGTAGCGAGACTTGGTGAGTCCCATAATCCTCGAGATCCAGATCCATAATCTTAGATGCTGGAAACGAACATGGGCACAGCCCGCCTTTATGGCCTACTTATGTCTCTTGTGTTGCCGGCTCTGTCCCTGAGGTGATTCTTCTCAATCCATTCAATCTTTCATCCTTTTTGGCTCCGTGTTCTCGTACCGGGTCTGTTCATTCCTTCTGCTGCTTGACGCACTGCAGTTCAAATTCAGTTCGTGCTTGCGCCGGTCGCTCGTTGTCGCATCCTATCCACACAAGACAATCGTCCATCTCCCATCAACAATAATCTACCAGTTCAAAAATGTCTCTCAAGACTTTCCTCTTCTCGACACTGCTCGCGACCAGTGCCGTCGCAACATTCAGTGGTGCTAGCAGCAGCAGCTACGGTGGCAGCTCAGGCTCGAGCTCGTGGAGTGGCGGTAGCGGTATGAGCGGTGGAAGTTGGGGCGCCGCTGCTTCCTGCCCGGCAGGATGTCAACCCATCCAAGCACCACCGGCCGGAGGCAATGGCGAGCTCATTGTCCAAGTCGTTTCCGTCTCGGACGCCAACGGTTCTTTGAAGTACTTCCCAAACAACATCGAAGCACCAGTCGGCTCGATAGTACAATTTCAGTTCCATCCTAAGGTAAACAACTTTGCTTGGCCAAGACATGCTCCCGCTAACGTCTGCTAGAACCACACCATCACCGAATCCAGCTTTGCTGAACCGTGCAAGGCTGTTGCTAGCAACCTGACAACTCCGACGCGCCCAGGTTTGAAATCCGGCTTCGTTCCAGTCTCGGGTAACGAAAGTTTTACACCGGTGTACAATGTCCTGGTCAACGATACCAAGCCCATCTGGATCTATTGTGGTCAGACCAACCACTGCCAAAAGGGTATGGCCATGGTCATCAACCAGAACAGCAGCAGTCCCAACACTATCGACAAGTACATCCAAAACGCCATGGCACAGGTTCTGACTCCCACTGCTGCTGCCCCTGCCGCGGCCACATCGAGCGTCTTTGTTCCTCCACCAGCTGCAACCGAGACCGTAGCCAACACCTTTACCTTCGGTGGCTCACCACCACCCGCGTCGACCGAGACTGCGGTCGCCTCCGCCGCTGCTCCACCCCCTGTTGAGTCTGTCGCGGTACCTCCGTCAAGCTCTGTCGCTGTTGCTCCCGCGACGTTTACTGGTGCTGCCGTCAAGGCCAGGGAAGCCTCTGCTGGATTACTCGTCCTCGGTGCTCTGGTGGCGGCGTGGTAATTTGTGTTGGATGGTCTTTTTTTTCGAACGAGAGTACGCAATAGAGCTTGGGCAGCCCCAAGAGGGCAGTCAGAAGAGGCAGATTCCCTCGCCAGATTTCGAGGTCGAGTCGCCAGATGATTCGGCATCGATTTGGAAGGTCACGGGTGATATTGCCGGGTGGCATCATTTGGAATGCGGTGTGAACCGGGTGTGACTTCTTTTTGTATTCTAACCTCTTATTTTTTGATATCCCTCCCACCTGCGCAAAGTTATTGCAGCACACAATATGAAAAGACGTATAGATGGTACATCAATGACCAACTGATTGCATCAGACCACCCTTTTCTGCGTTTACATAGGACTTTTGATCTCTGCCTCAAACAACTTTCCCTGCCACAAGCTGACTTTCTGGACCGGGCACGTGAACCCGTTGCAAAAAGTCCAAGAAAGTTTGAGGGTACTTATGTCTGCCTCAGGACACGTCCATACAAGTATTCCCTGCGAGGGAGGGGCTTGCATGGTAGGAGCCTGAGACAAGTCCCAGTACTATTTGGAAGACTGTGACTGCCTAGTCCTCATGGAATTCACTCTAGGGGTGGTCTAACCTCTCTTCGCTCTTTGCTTCCGGCTTGTAGTCAACGGTACTCGTACTCCGTACTTTCGCGCCACTTCTTGCATAGCCTCAGGCGTTGTGGGGAATGGATCGCAGAAAGTAAGGTGGAGGAAGAGGTCGTTCAGGTGGGTAAATGCCATGTCTGACAGATTTGATATTTGGATCTTTGCCGCCTATTGCCGGGCAGTTTGGAGTCAATCGGCGCTTCTCCACGGGCCAACATTCTGCTAAATATTTGCCAGTCAAAATCTATTTATGAGTGGTCGCTCTGGCGTCGGCAGTCTTGACGAGACTGGATACAATCATTTATTGTTGCAAGATATCTGAGTCGTGTCGGCATTATTGATAAGTTGAATTTGAGTCTTACCGCTTTGTTATTCATCCTGCAGGTCAATTTGTCTGTCTGTACACGTCTGTCTGTTGAATATCAGCGTTTGGAGGATTTCCTCGCGGCTTGTTAGAAATATCGGATAAAAATATAATGATTTCACACTCCGGACCGTAGTTGGGATTTACTCACGCCGAACAATCAAAGGAACCAGGCATGTATGAAAGCTTGCCTAGATGCGGATTTAATGAATAATTACCTTACGAAACTCACACTGCTCGCATTTGATACTAGTATATACAGAGATATAAAGGCTGCATGACTGGAGGAACATCCTCCAACATACTCTCCCGTATGTCGCACCCAGACCGACAGAAGGGTACCCTACATACGCTGTCCGAGTGTGTCATGGATCGAGACGAGCGTCTGTACGTCCACATCAAGCGTCGTATCTTCATTCCTGCGGCCATTGTCTCTCGTTCGCCCTACCATGATACTAGTATCTCTGCTAGCAACCACCGGCGGAGGAGAGAATCTCGCCCTGTGAAGCATGTCTATCACTCGACCTTTCCCACATCCACACTCTCACGACTGCCACGATCGTCGCACGGCGTAGTCCTCGTCAATTGACAAGTGAGCAGCCACGCTGGGTAGCGTTCGCATGCCCGGGGCCTCCATGAATTGGGGCTGGGAAGGTAATCCCCATCATCTCGACACCAGGTCTCATCACAGGCTAGTATGTGTCGAACGAAAAATCTGGCATCTCTCCAGTCAAGCCATCAGAGCATGTATCATGAATGCCCTTCTCATATGCCTGCTCATTAGAAGTCCATACACAATTGTGTCGCTACTCTCTCGAGATCCTCCAACTCGAGCCATCCACTATCCACATGAGCTCCTCCACCACCACTCTTCTCGTGCTCTTTCTTCTCATCCACACACCTCCTTATGCCTTCCTTCACAAAAATCTCAATATACTTGCCCACCAATACCTTCGCATCAGGCTTGATCTTCGTCTTCTCGGGATCATTAAATTGAGTATGCATTATCCGGTGGATCAGTGGCAGTGTTATCGCCGGTTCCGACGACAACATATCTGATGTATGATCACCGCTGTGGGTGACTTCAGCGAGCATAAAGTCTGGTTCAGGCGAGGACTCGGGCTCTTCGTCGCCTTGTTGTTCGTCATTCCCCGATTCGTCGTCACTGTCGTGATTCTCGTCCTGCTCCTCCTCTTCGTCACCAGTCGAGTCTCTGTCTACAACCTCGGGCTCTTCATCCACCTCGTCTTCCTCATCATCATCACCTGCTTCCTCCTCCAGGAATGCCCTCGCTGTTCCTGCTGCGCCTCGGGAGACCTTCTTCTGCCGTGGTCGTTTTGTGGAGGTCTTCTTTTGGACTCTGCTACCGCCGGATGTCTTTGTGCTCTTTTTAGATCCAGTAGCGCTTTGGGTTTTGGGTGATTTCGTAGGTTTTGACTTGCCAGGCCGTGGAGGTGAGAAGGGAGGGCGAGAGCGTTTTGAGGGGATGGGTGCCATTGCGAGCTCAAGAATAGGATTGTGGGAGTTCTCCCGCGTGCTCCGACGAAGTACCTTGAGAAGGACAAGTTGTTTGAGATCTGGGCTCCGAGAGTCTGTCAATACCGTTGTGAGGTGGTGGCTCTCGTCGGGCGCAGTTGATCATTGAGATGATCTGTTTAGAATGACGTCGACGCGTTTTAATTTCAAGGACGCGTTGTGGATGACTAAGCGAGTTAGAGATATCTCACTCGCACCCTGGGTACCTGGGAATGGGCCAGCGAGATGCGACTATCGAAACTCGAGTTGAGCAGCTTCCTACATCGTGCGACATGATGGACGCAGTCTCATTGATCTCAAAATGTAGACTACTTTGCCTGTCAGGCGCAGAACTGCCTAGCGAGCGTACTCAAGCCCGAAATTTCAGCTTGACAAAAATCCTCATAATGCGTTCCACAAGAAACAAAACTCTCACCAGTGCATTTAGTCGAGCATGCAGGAAGCCCTCAGCTGACACTTCCAAGCAAACCGTGCCTCGTCTGCGATAGGTATTCGACCAGGCCAAAATCAGCCGACCTGCACCTCTCAGTCTTTGCCCAGGACGCAGCTTGAACATGTGGCAGGCGCGTGGCGCAAATACGAGGCAGACCGGTCAGCTCGCTTCAGGCTCGACACAACCAGGTTCTGAGTATATATGGGGAGGCCGAGGGCAGCGAATTGCTAATCCACGGCCAACAGAATACTCCTGACAGGCAGTTCCAAGATCAAACAGCTCTAAATCTCTACCATGGCGGTCGCCGTCACAGACAAGCACGTCCCCTCGGACTCCCTCTCCTTTCAGCCTCAGGTCATATCCTCCAGCGTCCGAGGCCTAGTCACACCCTCCGCAATCAGCACAACTGCTAAACCTCTCGACCTGCCGGAACTCCGCGCTGCCATCGAGAAGTATGCTCCAATCCTGAAAGTCCATCCAGACGAAAAATACGTGTGCGCCTCAGTCGAAGACTTTCTCTCACACTGCACGCTCGTCGACAAAAAGTCGCCCGTGCGCGTCAAAAGCCCATCACTGACCCAACTGCCTGAACATGGCGAGGATCACCAGTTCTACCTCGAACTCGACCCGTCCGGCAAGCCAGGGACCTTCTCCACGGCAAAGGCCTACGTCCACGCCTTCTGGCACCCCGGCATCCCCTACACAGACCTGCAATTCTGGTTCTTCAACAGCTACAACGGTCCTGGCGCATTGCACGTCAACGGCCTCATGATGGACAGCATCACGAGCTCGGGCGACATCGACCTAGCCCCCATGGGCGAGCACGTAGGGGACTGGGAAATGGCCATGGTCCGGATCGACAACACCACGCGGAATCTCGTGGCGATCTGGCTCAGTCAGCACTCGCGCGGCCAGTTCTTCAGCCTCGACCAGATCCCTCAGGCATTCACGTTCGAAGGAACGCATCCAGTCATCTACTCCAGCCGCAACGGCCACGCGAATTACTCAAAGGCAGGCAGCAATCCAAGCGAGTACCGCAAGATTGGAGGCATCCCAGCCGGTCTGGACTTCTTCATCCGCAACGACACCGGCGCCGGGAAATTGGCCCTGGACTGCTCGAAGAAGTACGAGCTCGTCAGTGCAGACTGGTTGCCAATTCCGACGCCAAAGTGGGTGAATTGGCCGTTCCGTTGGGGTCCAGAGAGCACGTCAACTCACCTGAACCCTGTGGCAGTCGCGGAAATTGTGCGAGATGCCCTTGGACCGGAACTGGCTGCATTTTGCCCGATTAGTGCGTTGACTGTGCTTGCGGGAGAGATTCTGCCTCACTTTGTCAAAGGGGACATTAATGGCCCGACCTCACCCGGGAAGCATGGGAGTTGGATAGGTGTCTATCCTGTGTACTGATTGACAGCTTCCAAAGGTCATGTACGTTGTAGCATTGGGATGAACGTGACGTGTCTGACTGGGTCGATTTGATAGCATGATGCAGAATGATATTTGATCTGCGTGTATGATTCCTTGTCATCACCGTCCTCCTTGTCGTCAGTGTGCTCCTTGTCACCGCCATCCTCTTCGTCATCACCGTCGTCCATGTCCGAAGTGTTTATTTGCTCCTTCCCCTTCTCCACCCAGGGTCATCCGGGTCAGGACTCTCGCATGACCAGCCCACACCAGACCAGACCACATCTGTGCTGAGGCTGTGCTGAGAATGAAGAGTCACAGCGGAGCTGAATAGACAGTGAAACTCCAATCGGCCCTTCTTTCTGCTGGCCTAAACAACCGCATCTCGAATGTTCCAGCTTCATCGTGGCGATCCCACACGAAAAGGGACTTCATCGTCGGCGCTACTGGACTCTGGCAAGTACAAGGTTAGGTAGGAGTCATACCTTGAACCGTGAACTGTGGTACAGCGTCAGTGCACCTACATGGTGTGGGTCCGGGCGACCACGTTTCCAGTGTTTCAGCCTCGTCGCGTCGATCCCATCCAGGACGGGTATCACGAACCTTACTTTTCAACACCTGAGGACCGTTGTAAGTTTCACACAACGAAGCTGGACCCAAGCAGACTTTTCACAACGACGCTTTCATTCTTGTATGAGTCAACGTGATGGCAAAGGCAGTCCTGCTAGCCAAGCAGTCTTGCAATGCCCATTTCGCCCGCCCATAAGTACCTGGCCTTCCCCCGATCCCTTCTGATTTTTTTCTCTTTTCTTCAGATTCCACTACAATCAACACACATTGCCACAGAACTTTCCAGATTTCACAAATCAAACATGGGTTGCTTCTGCAGTAAGAACGTTGTCAATGAGACTGAGCGGGCTGCACGCCCAGTGTCCATCTCTCGTCGTCCGCCATCCACACCAGTTCCCTGGACAAACGAATTTCGCGACGACGCGGATGCCCTTAGCCTCGGCAACAGGGCACCAGGCGTCGGGAAAAGGCGTGTCAGACTTCCCCCTCCTGAAATGCTTGAATTCACCCGACTCCCTCAATATCGTCATCCGCGCACGAACCTCTTGACTCCTGTTCGTGTCCTAGATGGGAAGGCGCCCTACTGGGAGTATGACGGCGGGTCTGAAAGGATCAAGGGCTGCGGCCCTCTCCCGAATGCTCGTCGTGTTGCTCTCCAGGAAGGCAACCCTATCTCATCAGGACACGGCGAAGTTCTTGGGGGGAGAACGGTTTCGTTTTGAGGGGGTCGGTGGTGCTTCGTTGGTGAAGTTTCGATACGAGTGCTCGTCGGACCAGTAGGCCGTATGGCCGAACATGCCGTGAGTTGTCTCTGAGGGCTTCATCAGCAAGTATCTGAGTTCGGGTTGTTGACGGAGGGGTGGTCAAGTGGGGAGCTTGGTAGGAGGGGGCGTAGCGGGTGGGCGCTGCGCTTCATTGAGTGTGTTTGCCTTGTGCAAGTCCTCACTGAGGTGCCCTTCGAGTCCTTGTGGCTTGACTGGAGGTGTTGGAGCTTCTTTGCTTCGGAGACTTGATAACGCTTCTTACGACGGCGGTAATGGAGTCTCCTTCCTTTTGTGCGTTTGAGGAAGCAAAACAATCAAACGCACAAAAACAACTGGCTGCTCCTTTCACAGGGCTCATGTTTGGAACTCCGCCAATCCTCTGAGTATCGCTTGAGTGGCAGCCAATTTGCTTTTATTGTTTGGGTGGTGGCTGTCGCTTTCACAGGGCTCATGTTTGGAACTCCGCCAATCCCCTGAGTATCGCTTGAGCGGCAGCCAATTTGATTTTCTTGTTTGGGCGGTGGCTGTCACTTACACAGGGCTCATGTCAGGTCTCCCTGACCTCTGAAGTATCGCTTGAGTGGCAGCCGATTTGCTTTTCTTGTTCATACCCGGTGAAATTTCCAGTCAATGGACACCGGGGGGTACTGCTGTTTGCACAGGGCTCATGTTTGGAACTCCGCCAATCCTCTGAGTATCGCTTGAACAGCAGCCCCATCAAGTGTCTTGCCTTGTGCAAGGCCTTGGAGGGGCGTGTATCTTCTCATTGTTGTGGAGGAGATGGTGTTGTTGATGGTGGTGGTGGTGTTGATGAGGATGAGGACGAGGACGATGTTGGCTCCTGCCGAACCAGTAGACCTACTAGTACTTATTGCACTTCCGACCTTACATTTCTCTTACAACTCAACATTTCTTGTCACGATGTCGACAGCTTACAACCCATAACGAGGGTGATGTTTGTTGCTCTTGATTTCCAAGAACCTTGGTGAGGACGGGACATGCTACTAAGCCATATCGGGACGAGGCATCTTCGCAAAGGTTTTCATGTTACGGTCGCAATCTATCACTTACTATCACATACTCACAAGGCAAATTGAATGCAAAGGAAAGCTGGTCCAAAAGAGATTGAAGTAACGTGTCTGATACTAGGATTGGGCCTATCCTAAGACGACTCCTACTACCTGGTCAATGTCCCATGCATTTTTCCGCACGGGCATATGCTGCTGAATTTTCCATTATCCGTTCCCATAAACGCCGCCTGCACTGTTCGCTATCGTAACATCATCAATGCAACTCATCTACTCGTAAAGGTCCATGTTTCCGTTGGTAACGTCCTCAATCTCCAGCATAGCATCGTCCTCATCATACATGTCCGCATCCTCCATGTCACTGTCAGTGTGGTTTGGCAAGACCACGATGCGACCATCCTCAAGCACAACGTTGGCTGTTTCACCGTCTCTGATGGCTCCTCTGAGGATGAGCACAGCCAGACGATTAAGGATTTCCTTCTCGATCAGTCTCTGCAATGGACGAGCACCGTAAGCAGGTGAGTAGCCAGCAGCGCCGAGGTAATCCTTGACTTCCTCGGTAGCATCGATGTGTATCTTCTTGTCGTTGGCCTCGAGCCGCTTCTGGATTTCTCCCAGTCTCAGATCGACAATCTTCCTGATTTCTCTCCTAGTCAACCGGTTGAAGATGACGATCGAGCTGATTCTGTTCAAGAATTCGGGCAAGAAATAGTTCCGCAGAGCGTTCATCACCAATTCTGTTGTGGTCGGATCAATCTTGCCGTCTGGTGTATTGCTGCGTGAGAGGTACTCCGCACCAAGATTGCTGGTCATGACAACAATGCAGTTTCGGGCATCAACGACACGACCTTGGCCATCAGTAATACGTCCATCGTCCATGAGTTGGAGCAGGACGGTGAGGACTTCCTTGGCCGCTTTCTCCACCTCATCGAACAACAAGATAGAGAATGGTCGGCGTCGAAGGGCTTCAGTAAGCTGACCACCAGCATCATGCCCGACATATCCCGGGGGAGCACCAATCATTCTCGAAAGGGAGTGTCGTTCCTGGTATTCTGACATATCGAATCTGATCATGGCTTTTGGATCGTCGAAGAGGAATTCGGCAAGAGCCTTGGTCAACAAGGTCTTACCAGTACCTGACGGGCCGCAGAACAGGAACGAAGGTGGCTGATTGGGATTTGCCAGACCGGATCGTTGGAGTCTGATGGCGTTTGAGACAGCTTTGACGGCTTCTTTCTGTCCGACAACCACCTTCTGCAGATGCTGTTCCATGTGGAGGATCTTCTCCTTCTCCGAAGCACGCAGTCTGGTGATAGGAATACCGGTCATTTTGGAGACGATGGCATTGATCTGTTCCGGGCCGACTGCGTCTGTCGGCGAAACCTCACCCATCGCGCCGAGTCGTGCGTGCTGTTCTGCATCGGCTTGGGCTCGAGCATTTTCCAGTTGCTTGATCTTGGCAGTGACATCTGGAATGGCGTAGTAGGTCAAGTCGGAAGCAGTTTGAAGATCATTGGATCTTTCTGCCTCGTCTCGCTTGTTCTTCAGCTGGTCGAGCTTGATCTTCATGTCCTGGAGCTCCCTGGATCGCGCCTTCTCCCGTTCGTAGTGCTCCTTCAGCGGCTCTAGTTCCTCCTTCACATTGGCTGCTTCGCGCTTAGCCTCTTCCAGACGCTCAACTGACGTAGGGTCGGTTTCTTTCTGGAGAGCATGAATCTCGATTTCGAGCTGTCTGAGTTTTCTTTCGAGATTGTCGAGCGCTTCTGGCTGGGATTCTCGGATGACACGAACATCTGCCGCCGCTTCATCGATGAGGTCAACGGCCGAATCCGGAAGTCTTCGCTGGGTGATATATCTGGCAGCCAAGCTCGCTGCGGCAACAATGGCACCGTCAAGGATCGTGACACCATGGTGAACTTCATATTTCTCCTTCAATCCACGGAGGATGGAAATTGTCTCTTGCACTGTAGGCTCTTTGACCAGCACTTGCTGGAATCGTCGCTCGAAAGCAGCATCTTTCTCAATGTATTTTCGGTATTCGCTCAACGTCGTGGCACCAATGCAGTGTAGTTGACCACGAGCCAACATTGGTTTGAGGAGGTTTGCTGCGTCCATACCACCTTCGCCAGTAGCGCCCGCGCCCATAAGTAGATGAATCTCATCCACGAACAGGACGATCATGTCGTTGGAATTCTCGATCTCCTTGAGTACTCCTTTCATTCTCTCCTCAAACTCACCCCGGTACTTGCTACCAGCAACCAGAGATCCTACATCGAGAGAAAGGAGTTTACAAGCTGCGAGGTTGGCAGGGACGTCTGCATTGATGATCCGCTGCGCTAGTCCTTCGATGATGGTGGTCTTTCCGACACCAGGTTCACCGATCAGTACTGGGTTGTTCTTTGTTCTTCTGGACAGAATACGAATCACACGCCGAATCTCGTCCTCTCGTCCAATGACCGGATCTATTTTGCCTTCTCTTGCCAACTGCGTCATGTCAATCGTGAACTTTTTGAGGTTCTCGTTCTCTTCTTCCGCATCGGCCGTCTTGGAATCAACTCGCTTGGTACCACGTATTTGTTGGATGGCGGCATCAATGAGTTTGTTGTTTGGGATATTGGCTTCACGGAGACAGTCTTGGATCTTTTGATCTTGGGCAAGAGCAGTGATCAGATGGTCAACGGCAATGTAACTGTCTTTCTGCGTCTTTTGCAGTTCCTGGGCCGATCTGATCACTTTGGAAAGAGCGGGCGACATGGTGACATGGTCTGGAGGAGGATCTTGACTTGGTAACCGTACAAGAGCCTTCTTCAGTGCTCTGTCGAGTTGTTGGATGTCGCCATGGGCTCGTTCGACGACTTGTTTGAAGAGAGGAGCCGACGCATTCTGCTGTGAGGCGTTGACTGTGGTCTGTTGATCTTTTGACTCGTCTGGAGGGGGATCGAAGAGGGCGACTGCTAGGTGAAGAGGTAGGATCTGTGTATGGGCGTACTGCTCACACAGATTGGCAGCGTCGCCCAGAGCCTTTGCGGCTTTATCAGTAAACTGAGGCCCGGCTGAAGCCATAGTTCAATGATCTGGAATGTGAATAGTTCTATCAATCGTTGTGTATGTGTGTGACAAGCGAGAAATGAAAGAGACGAGAACGTGACATACGAGTACAGGTAGATATATTGCTCCCGGATTGCATCCGGGAAAACATATGATATGACGCACCTTCGAGAAGCGTCGACTGACTTCTCGCCGGCTGTAGATGCCGCTAGGGTCAACTAGAACGGTCTGACAGGTTCGATTTTCTCTTTGCCGGCCCAAGGCCTCCAGTGGCCTCCTTAGCGAACAGGGACACCAATGGACGCCCTAGGGTCAACTAACAGCCATTGTGGTACCGCCTTGGGCGCATTGGGTACCAAGCTGCTCTCGTCAGACCAGCGTGCCAGCCTATCTTGCTTTAGGGTGAGCTCTCTTCGCTGCGTCGGTAGGAGCGTTCCACCATCATACCACACTTCCTCTTCAATGATAGTTGATGCGGGGATTCCTACTGCAAGGACTTTGTCCGCTGATGACTGGTAACACAGATAATCTACTGTCAGCACATGTCCCATCGGCAATGACGATTGTTCCCGCACGCGGCAGACGTCTTCTCTTCCTCCACAGGCTGCTACTTCAACGGCTGAGGGCGGACTCAGCTGGAGCTCGCGAAAGCTTTGCAAACTGGTGCGAAAAGCATGCTCATCATCATAAGAAACTATAACTGGGATTTCTGGCATTCTCGTCAAACCAAACAATGAAGATTACAAGGTCATTCTGGTCTCATCCCTCTCAAAGATAGTCGTGTTTCCATACCGTCTGCTCGCTGTCCATTGCGTTCATTCATGCCTTCAAAACAAATTGCTTCAGGTAAAGGTAGTGATCCATGTTCTTGTCTACCGTGTCCCGAATGATTTTTGCGCCCTCCTCACCATATTTCTCCTTCCATTCGGCGTCCCATTGAGCTTCCGTCTTTGCAACTTTTTTCTGCCAACAGTCAGTTGTGGTCTCAAATCGTCATCGACTAGTGACACATACGTGAGCTCTAGGCTTGAGGTCTGTCGAATCAATGGCATCTTCATGCCATCCCTTCCACTTCTCAAATGCCGCCTTTGCACGCTCATGGTCTTCTTCGTTGTCCCAATTAAGCATATCGAGAGTAAATTCAAGTCCAACGCTCTTACAATAAGCCCTGAGAACACCTTCTGGATCATCGAGCAGATCGTCTGCATCAATCATGCAGATCTCGGGCTTGTCTGCGTCGCCATGGGCGACACCATTTGCTTGGCCGGTGATTTTCTTCCCAACCAAACCGCTTTCCCTGGCATAGTCGAAGAAGCGCCGAAGCTCGTCGTAGCCAGCTTCACTCGGGTAGAACACATACCACCCGGTCATGTCATCCAATGGTGGAATGCAGCATCGATAATAGCTTGGAATGCTCGAGTGAGGGTCTCGAATCAAGAACGTGAAATGGAACTGTTCGAGTAAAGCCCTGGGCACAACGGTCGGATTTCCCGGTTCACCTTCGGTTGGGTATGGGAACGGCGGCTTAGCGCTGGGAACATGACCGTTGACGCCGTTGACTCCGTTGACTCCATTGGTTCCATTGACCCCATTGACTGCTGTGTCGGTGCCAATGCCTCGTTTTTTGGTCAGCAAAGAAGGCGCAATTCTGGCCGGTTGCTGCTCAGGTGGAAACAGGTAATAAGTGATGTCCTTAATGAAGACACGTTTACCCTGTCCAGGGTGAGCAAGCATTTCACATGGCATGGACGAATGTCCGCATCAAAGCAGGACGATTGGAGAAGTATCACACCTCAGATCCTTCCCGTTCGAGACGATCGAAAATTGTCTTGTAGGTCGAGTTGCTGAATCCGGTGGCTCTTCTCGCCTCCTCGTCATGCTCATAACGCACGCCCATCCTCTCCGGACTGGAGAGTCATCAGATATGACCCCCACGCCGGTTGTCGACTTACCCGTAGTAGAATGCATCGCCAAACGGCTCATGGACGCATGCCAGATCCTTCCTGGTCATGAAAACCTTTTGGCTTGGTCAGCAATGAAAACATGGCGGCATCCAGTGAATCGAACACGTTCAAACGCGGTGCTGCACGCACGTGGGTGCGTCGCACAGAAGATTGGTTTCGTGTTGGCCATGATGGCAAATCTCCCCCAACGACAATTTTACAAGTCGGCTGAGAGGCTGGCTGAGTTTGGTATGGAAACCAAATAGAAAAGAATGTCAAGGTTCTTCCAACCCAGAGATATAAATAGCTCCTTTCGGTCAGCTATGGTGAATATCGCGACTACTCGAGGCAGCCTGAGGGAAAAGAAGATCTCGGCATGCCAGCTCGAGGTGCCACGCTATACTTATGGAAAGTTCATGTACGAAGTCCATTGGCAAGCCTGAGTCTGAGCACTGAACCTTTCTTCTAGCGCTCTTTCCGAGACGAATGGTTGAGAACCTCAGGACATGACAATTCGTCATTGCTCCATCTGCCCACTGATGTTGAGCTTTGTTCATGACGCGAACGTCGGAGCGATTCGTTGGCTGACAGCGGCTACGCCCCGCAGATCTGGGATGGCTGGCATCCTGCCCACCCTGCCTCATCCACATTTTCCAGGAACATGTGCTGATCGTCCCAAGGCCATTCTCGGCGCGGGTAGTGCGGGTCGTATACGGGCTGTCGTGGGATTTTTCTGCATCCTAGTGGCAAAATAAGCGATCGAAATCCTGGTAGTTTGTACAAATAACATCGACAAAAGCAGTCAGTCATCATGCGTTCTCGATGCGACAGAGAGCGGGCTTGTCCTGGTGGTCTCGGAAAAAATCCAGACCTGCAGACCATGTCACGTGAGCCAAGACATTCGCCTGAAGCGCCACAACTTGGCCACAACTTGGCCACGTTTTCATCGAGCTTACGAACTGCCGTTCTTCCCAGTTCCCACAGTACCAGTACCACAGTACTTCCGCCATATGTTCCGCTTATCTTGGAATTGTACTTATTCCTGGACCTCTTGTTGCTGCTACAGCCTTGCCGCTCGATTTCGTTCAAATGGCGCTGAGAAAGTCATGGAGGTCAGATAGCGAAGCTCTCGATAAAAGGCTTGGATCGGCCACGTCGGTTCTGATATTAGAAAGCAGTCCCCTTATGTACATTCGTGCTTCAGCCATCTGTTGAGATGCTAGCTTCAATCATCCATGCTACCATAAAGAACTCCATCCTCAATACAATAAAGGAAGATCATTAAAGGGTATCACGTCTAGCTCAAAAAGCGCCCATGTTTCCAGTCATCCATCTCTGCGCCGTCAACATTCCCCAACCTACTCATTCCCATATCCATACCTGTATGTTCCACACAGTCCAAAAACCCACCCTGCCTCCTTCGTCCCAGGGAACTGCAGCATGTAAACCGTCTCGCGTCCCATGGTCACGCCACCCGTATGTCCAATGATCTCGTCTTCCTTCCACACCTTGACCGCGATGCCCGTCTGCATGATGCGCTCAAAGCAGCTCTCGCCGAGCACCGCATCTAACAATATTACATCGGGAGCCTTGTTACGAACGATCAGGACCCTCTTCTCGCGACCATTTCCGTGAACACGGTGTGGAGTATGACTTGAACTGGGCAGCCGCGGTCCACGATCGCCTGCTGGTTCGCCATTCGACGGCGAACGTGTGTGTGATGGTGTCGCAGCCGGTGATGGGGCGACAGACGCAGCTCCCGCGGCTCTACTTGCCTGTGTCGACGTAGGGACTCCAGGCGCAGGCAGAACACTCAACCTGGCCGCGCCCAGATTTTCCCAATGCTGGCCTTTGCGGATGTACATGCGGATCTTCATATTGTTCACCATGCCGCCTCCATTGGCAGCATCGGCGCTGGTAGCGGGAACATTCGGTCCATCTTTACCAGGTATGAAGCCCAACTGACTTGGAGCTGGGGTGCTCGAACCAGAACCCGTGCCTGTGCCTGTGCCGCTGCTCGATGAGTACAATGACGGTCCTGTGCCAATGCTGCCATTCCTGCGCAGAACTGAACTTCGATTAAGATTGAACGCTGGCTTGGCGCTGAATCGTCTGAGGGCGGAAAATGCGCTGGCCATGGTTCCCGAACTTTCGACGGACATGTCGATCGATGCTGGTGTCGGCGCAGACGAGGCGCGGTAGCTCGACTTCTTTGCGCTGCCGAAGCTGAACCAAGAGCTCGCTCGGGATCGAGGCCGGTCGGGGTTGACGTTGAATGTGACAGTGCTTTGGCGTGGCCGGGCTCGTTCAAGTTCGATGTACGTGGGATTATTGCAGCGTGCCCAGTTGATCATTCCGTACAGGGTGTCGCATGCTTGCAGATTGCTGGAGCGGAACATGATGTTGCTGCTAGTGCGGATCCTAGAGTTAGGGGTCGGTGGAGATCTGATCTGAATATCCAACGCAGCACCCTTGCGGAGCATGACCAGGGGCGTAAGTTCGAATGCCACTAACGGTTGTCGGGACATGGATGTTGTTTGCGAGTTCCCTCCTTCTTGATTTGCATCGTCTGGGTTTGAATGCTCGGCCGACATTTCATAAGCTTCAATCAGGCCTGGAGTGATGACAACTGAACATTCGTCTGGGTGAATCATTTCCCATACTCCCGAGTCTGACCATGAACAAATCAACGCGGTTGTCTTTTTCTTCTGGTCAGCTGGAACAGTGTTGGAATAAGGCACTCTCCGATATGGTCCTTGAGAAGCTGAATCCGAGGGTGCCAGCGTTCTGGTACCTGTAGATTGCATTGAGGATGGAGGATATGATTGTTTTGATGGTCGACGCTCCGCAGAAGCTATTGCCACTAGTGGTGTTGCCTTGTCTTGACGCTCGGTGCTAAAGTCCTCGGAGGTATCAGAGTCACTCAGACTTTCTGCATCATAGTTGGATGAACTGTCCGAGCTGATGGAAGGTGCATATTCATGCTTCAAGGGAGAAGATGTCCTCCTCCTCATAGTCTTCTCTGATGCCGTCGGGGTTGCTTTCAGTTCTGGGATATGATTGCTCTTCGCTTGTGATTGTACGTCCTTCGAGGTGCGGTGTGGAGGAGTAGGCGGAGGTGACGGCTCGGGGCTGTTGTCAGTCATGGCAGGTCGAGCTTGACGTGGTACGATTGCCGGTGGTGCTGGAACATCCTCAGTGAAAATCTGACTTCTTGACGAGCTTTGGTAATGTCCAGACTTGGGGTTCGACTTCTGCTCTCGCGACGTCTGCTTCCTCTCATGACGGTCTTCGAGCCCAGAGTTGACCAACCCCATGTTGGTTGACTGTGACTGTGACTGCGGTCTGACTCTGGCCACAGTAGGGAGATCCTTTGACGGAGTTGAAGAAGGCGCTCGGTGAAAGACAGGTCGCTCAGGTCTCGTTTCTTGTGCTACACTTGTCCGAGAATTGGAGCTTCCAGTTGACTGACCTAATGGAGGCTTCTCAGACCCAGAAGACGATGCTCGTTGATCATTCTTTGAGGACTGACTGAGTTTGAAGAGAGGAGAAGATTTGAGGTCGCGGGAATCAAGTTCGGTTGCGCTGGCCCTTTGTTTGTCGTCGTTTCGTGAAAGTACAGGCAGAATTCCACGAGTTGAACGTTCCGGAACAAGAGGCCCAGGAGGGGACCCGGGCGCCGTAGCAACACGTGTCCGCTCTGGTAGGGAATCCATCCTGGGCAACTTGTATTTTGAAGTCGACGATGTTGTCATTGTCTTGATGGATTGATCTGAGATTGTTGACCTGTCGGACGACAAGACTGATGGGACAGGTCGCTTGCTTCCCGTTGACTGTGTCTGGTACTGTGTTGTCTGGGGCTTTGATGCTAGACCACCACCTAGGTTCAGGCGCGGTAGAGGTTTGTCGGCAATTATCTTTGTGTCTTCTGAACGACGACTGACACCATTCCGTGCAGCGAGGACAGATGGTTCTCCAATTGGTATGTCTACGTTGGCCTGTTCCAGCTCATGGTTGATTGACCGACTCTCCGTTTCACTGTCCTTAGAGATTTCGCTCTCATTCGGAGTTGTGGACGATGTCTTTGGGCGATGTGATCGCTTCACAAAACTTGGTGTCATGTTGAGCCTTGGTGGTAGTGGATTGGAGCCAAGCATGCCCATCCACTCATTGACAGCCTCTTTATCATCAGTCTTCAAGGCGAGGAGTTCTTGCCATTCCTTTCCAAGCCCTGCGCGGCCGCGCACCATGACAACGAGATCAAAATCATCTTCCCCACGCCTGGCTGATACTGAGTTCAACAGGACTGGTGCAAAAAGAAGCCACTTCCCGGTGTCATCAACTTCACAGATCAATAGATCACCACCAGGAGCATCTCCACGGGCGTTGTCACGAAAGATCAATTCAATACCACAGTCCATTCTTTGCCCACTTGAGTGATAGAGTGTCAGGTTGAAGAAATCTCTGGCTTTGACACGTCGGGTGTTGTCCACAACGACACCTGCAACAGGCGCCATTGTCCTGATGTCTCGAGCCCTCATAGCATCGATATTTGCTGCTGCTTCATCCTCTAGACGAGCCTGTTCTTCTTGATGACGGCGCCTTGCGAAGGCGGTCAGGTCTGCAAAGGCATCGGTCATATGTGCTGCCAATGGCTTGTCGCTCCGATCTTTTATCTGGCCAAAAGTTTTGCTTAAGGTTTTCACTCTGACGAGTGGTCTCTTCAGCAGATATGCAACATCCACCTTCTTGCCCTCACCATCGACCAGGTCTCCCGAGGCGTCGCGTGCCATGTCCTGCTCGGCCGAAGTGGCATTGTCAAGTGGAGCAAGATTGACCACGACATCCTGGAATCCGAGTCTCCAAGCTTGGAGATACTCTCGATAAGCCTTTTGTGCAGTTTGTGCCCAGGCCAGAAAACTGTCCAGCCTGTGAAGAGGGACGCGGCCATGCAAAGACTTCAATCTTTCGAGAGCAATGCCCATTTCGATGATTGGCTTGGTGAAGCTCATATCGTCTTGGGCGCTCGTCGAAGAAGTAAACAGTCCAGCTGCGGCTGCTGAGTCTGTTTTGGAGAGAACACTCTGAAGCAGCACTGGAATGACGCCGTCGACCAATGTCCGCAATTCCCGGCTGTACTTCTTCTCATCCGCCACCAGCCCTGCAAGGACTTCTTGAACAGACGCAGACTCTTCCGCTATGCGCCTACTTTTGGCACGACGAGCAGAGCGACGGCTTCTTCGAGGTCCTGGCATTGACAAGACAGACATCAAGTCCTCATGGGTTGTCAGTCTGCGCTTGAGGCCGGTGTCAGTCCGGGATGATACGCCCAATGATGGTGCGGCGGTATTGTCCTCTTTCCCGATTTCTTCAAGAGGAATTGGGGGAAGTTGATGTACCCCAACAGACGACGGGGTTTGCTCAGGGCTTGTGGACGACATGACCTGTTCTGTGCCAACGGCCCCTTCTCGCAGCTGTTCTACGTCCCTTGAAGTCTCGAAACTTGAAATCGACGCTTTGCTTGGAGAATCTCTGTGCCGACGAACCCTCGCGCCGGTCCTGCGTAATGTTGAGGGCGAGCAGTCACGAACATCTCCGCCCCTCTTTTCGCGGCCCCGAGATTTCGGCCTGGTATTCTCGTCGCTTCGCGGAGAGCGCATAGTCGTGCCATCTTCGTGCTCGTGAGACTCAATCGGCTCAGGGGGTTGCTGTTCAACTCGTGGGTCGATTGACTGCCATATCTGATTAGTATCAGGCACACAGGACCTCTCCATTGAGGATTTCTTCCTCCTAGTCCGCCTTCTCAGAGGAGCAGGGATCTCTACAGGCGGGAGGTCATCCGATCGAGCCCCGTCCACAAAAGGGTCGGGTTGCTCCTCAAGCCAGGCTTCAATGCTGGGAATTCTGTTGTTCATCGGCGTGAGGGTTTCTGACTTCAAGAACATGTCTTTGGTCTTCCCGAGAAGCCCACCTTTCTTGGGCCGCAGAACACCCGTTATCGCAGGCACAACTCCACTGCCCAGTGTTGCGACATATTTGCTCTGAGGTCGGATACCTTCGTTTGCTTCATCTGGTTGTATCGATGTTTCGGAATATCTGTCAAATTCCTCCGAGAACGTTGTTGTTTCCAAGCGTCGAGCCAGTTGATCATCGACTTGACTGGTGATATCATCAGACGCGGCCATGTCCTCATCGGCTGGGCCGGATTGATCAAACGGCCCAGGTCTGATCCTCATCCCATCATCATAGGGTGGAATCTGCTGTACTTCTGAGCCCTTCTCATAACTGAATTGTCGACGCGATCGCCGTCTCTCTCTAGGCCTCTTTTGGGTGGAAGTATATGACAAATCATACCGAGCCGAGTCTGGCTTTGGTCTTGGAGCTGACTTGGAATGTTTCTGCTCTTTCGGATCCCTACTTGCTTTCCAGTGACCATCACTAATGATCCTTTTTCTGGGGGTACTGCTGCTTCTTGCCCCGAGTTGTTCTTTCTCCATCTTCTCTTTGGATCGTCCACCGCGGTGCGACCTATTCTCGTCTCCATATTCTGATCTTGAAAGTGAAGCTAGGGAAGGACACTCGGATCTGGGCATTGACCGTATACTCAGAGCATCCGGATCGATGGCGTTGGCCGCCCCCTGTGCTTGCCATTGGCGTATGCGGCCCTGCACTGGACTCGAGTCGCAGTACCCGAAGTTTCGACTGGATGCTACATAGGGACTCTCGGCGGACGAATGCGGTTCGTTGCGTTGGGTTCTGGAGGTCTTGCGGGAAGACTTCAGAGGTGGTTCTGGTCGCATTGAATAGATTCGTCAAATGCCGCTCCCTCCTATGACTTCGTACCGGTGACTCGTTTCTTTTCTCGTTTGTTGTGTCGCTGCGGATGGTGCTGTTTTGGCATCGTGATACCCAAGGAATAGACGTGGTTCGGGTTGCAATCTTCTGCGCCTATGGTCAAATTCATCCAAGACCGCACAGATCAGCAAGTTGAGACATTCAAGAAGCCGGATATGTCATACAACATGGAATTCTACCAAAACCAAGACTGGGCGGTGCAGTGCATGGATTGCTATGCGGGCTGCGCCAAACGTTCGCTTCGCTTGCGATGTGGATCTCGTATCGCAGGTTTGGCCCGGCAACCATCAACACAACCAACCATCACCTCCGATCTTCACCACTCTCAATTGGTCAAGATTTCTTTTCGGTAAATGGCTATCTCAAATGCCATGTGTGAGATCATCACCGTACATTGATGCACTTGTCTGGCGTCTACAGAAACAAAATTCTATGATTCTCGCACAGGAGTCGTATTTCTTTTGGGCTGAGCATGCATTTCCAGGACCGCATGTAGCCACTCTTTGCATTCTATCATCATCCTCTATTGGACCATCTTCCAGTCCTGTGTACCCAATTATGCACGCTTGACGTGTCCATTCTCTCTGGGCTTCTTGACTGCGCCGTTGCCTTGTAATGAGTGTGAAATTCGATCCAACGCCTTGAACGCTCTGGTTGTGGTCATTATGCTATCTGCTAGTAGGCCTATAATCTGTCAGTTGCGTCTCTTCCAAGGTTAAACGCCACTCACATCCAGGAATGACAATCCAGATAAAGTTCATGAAGAAAAAGTAGAACCAAAAATAATATGCCTCCGGTCGACAATATGTCAGTTCCTTGTAGTAGTGATCGAACAAGCTTGTAGCGTAGTAGAGCACGTCGCCGTATACCTGACCCAATGAGACGACCGCTTGAAGAGGATAGCGCAGCGGGTGGGAAGTGATGATGAAGTAGATCATCAGGAAGGAAAGAGGACCCCAGCAAATCTGCAATCGAATTAGTGTTGTTCATCTTTGATTTCGCAGGCAAGAGTCTCACGGCTGTGATGGTTTCCATGCAGAGCACAAAGGGGTCAGAGGTCAGGTATCTTGAGTCGGACAGCGCGTATTCCTTCCAAAGCTGCCCGAAGAGGTCCTGGGCTCCTCCCATCCGAGTATGGTTGTAGCAGAAGTATCCTTCAAAGAAGAGATGTATTGTTCCAGCTTTTCTACTGTCAGTCTCCTAACGCGGCAGAATCGACGCAGTTGTCCTTACACAAGCAAAACCACAGCACTATCGCCTTGTCCGTAGCTTTCAGACGTGGTGCCAATCTCCCTGTGAGCAGCCACGTAGCTCCGAGAACAGCAGCACAGCCGACCGCAAAGGCAGAAAGCAGTTGAGAGACCGTCTTGTCATTGGCGATGAAATTCGCGATCTCGACTCCGACCGGATAGAAGGGGTGGATGGGTTGCAACACATGGACCGGCTCCGCTGGAGGAGAAGGTACCGCTTTCTTGAAAAAGTCCATGGTGGAAGCTTAGGGTTCGCGAAGGGTCGAAGGTGGATAGGGAATTTCACGCAGCTCGTGCAGGTCGATTTAAACCCGTCGTTGGGAAAGTAAAGGAGTGAAGACACGGCGAGGGCTCGATTAGTCGACCAATATGAATGAGAATCTAGCAAGACAATAATGAAACCTCAAGTGAGTGAGTGAGCGAGTAAGTGAGTGAGTGAGTGCGTATGGGTCGAAATCAAGGCACAGTCTCTAGCTGCGATCACCGAGATTTCTTGTTGAGATCGTTCCACTCGGCAATCCGGTTGGCCTGCCGACGCCATGCCTTTCTCTTCTCTAGCTGGACTGGGCGGCGAAGTCCATATGAGAGCTAATACCTGCTTTGCTGCTTGAAAAATGATTGTGTGCCTTGAGGTTGTTACCAAACGCTCTGTGCAGCACATGTATGCTGATATCGTGGCCCGGCATCTCACCATAGATCTGAATCTGGCATCCTTGTTGGCGAAATGTGGGGGAGATTGATCGCCCCGAAAAACTTGGGGGCTCGAACGTCCAAAGAGATGTGGAACAAATAATGCTGACAGTTGCCCTCTTCTCTAGAGCACGTATCGAGCGCTGATTCAAGACCCAGAGAGGAACACCTACAACGCCTTATTAGATGGTACATTAAGAAAACTCCATATCCCTTCAAACATGCTACTAAATAAAGCACCACCCAGTCGAGACTTCACCTAGTAGGTTGTACACCCGACGTTCCAGCCGGCAGGATCCGTGCACACTTCACCCTGAAAGCACAGATGGCGGTCACAACGACTATTGCCCGCAGACACCAGGTGTAAGTCAGCCACGAAGGACCGAATCAATATATCGGCTTCCCCAAAGTACTACCGTACCTGTGCAATTCGTTTGGCTCAAGCATAAGAAGCTGCACATTGCCCAGCGGAATGTCTTTTTGGTGTGGATCTTCAGCTTACCACAACCTACTTCACGTGCATGGCGAAATATCGAGATCCAACCTTGCACAGCTTTTAGGCATCATTCATATCTTGTGGCAATGCCCTCCCTCGCGCTCCTCGTCAGCCTGAGCACCTTGCTCCTGCATGCTTATGTGAGTCTTGCTGAAAATCAACCTTGTGTAAATCCAAGTCCCGTTTTCAAAGAGGCCATACTGACCCACATCTTGTCAGGGTCAAACCATTGTCGCTACCAACACGGGCGACCAGACGCAGATCGTCAGCAACGGAGCCACGATAATCGATGGAACGACCATGTCCAGCTGCCCGGGTGCTGCAGTGCTCACAAAATCTGGAAGTCATAGCGGCGCATATTGCTGTATCGAGAAGAACCCTGCGACAGCCACAGCCTCGACGTGCGCTGGTTTCCCCTTCTGCTCGGACAGCACTGCCAATCCGATGACTATTTTCACACCCTCCTGCGAGGCTCTCATCCCAATGACTGCAAGTAACTATGCACAACTTGTGGCGAGTGCGACGAGTAGTGTCTCAATGAAGAGCGCAAGCCAGACGGCCGCGCCAGCCAGCACGAGTTCAGCAGGTGCTCAGACGACGAGCGACCCTACAAGCACAGCGTCCAGCGCGACACAGAACAACGCTGCTGCTTGCATCTTCTCGATGTCAGAGGTTTGGATGTTTTCCGGGTTGGGGCTCATGGCTGGTGTTTTTGCTGTTGTCGCTTAGATTCGCATTTCCGGTGGCTATGGTGTGCATATCAGGCAAGGGCAAGGGCAAAGAATATTTGGGGGTTTCATATAGGCGTAGATATTGAACAATTTCTCTTCAAAACCTGTTCAAGTACTGCGGCTGCCATCTCAACGACCAGGACGACCCATCAGAATCTCGCATGTCAAGCAACGCACGGAGAAGAAATTCGTAGCAGGGAAATGGAGTTGGAGTACAGTGACACGAGTGAGTACAGTAGAAGTGATGATGAGATCTCGGTTTAAGTTCTTATTCCTCCCTTATCTCCGAAGTCCTTACATTAATGAGACATCACTTCCCACAGACCTCATCCACTTCGCAGACAGTCTATATCATCGAGCCTCATCACTGTCATCGTGGATCTTTTTGAGCACGGTGATCACTGTGGAATCCTCCTGTAGACAGCTCGGTTCACCACTCCCTGGCTGACATCCCGTCATATCATAACCTCTGATACAACGTTGCACCTTTCGCCTCGGAGTCTTTGCCAATGGCACATCTAGTCGACCAGGCCCCCGAGGTCCTGCATCACATTTTCCAGTGCGTCGAACCTACAGATCTAGCCTCGCTCTCCCAGACGTGTCGATACCTCAAGCAACTCATTCAAAATGACGAATTATTGTGGAAGCTCCACTATCTATCTCGATTTGTAAGACTACGAGTACTTCCATCTCGTGCTATATGTTGAACTTCTATAATCAGGACCCTCCTCCCCATGACGGATCAGTATCATGGCGAGCCAGAGTAAGCAGCCTGGTCAATGTGCAGAAGATCTTGGAATCAGACGACCAGAATGTCAAGGCATGCCCTCGCCTTTCCATTCATCTTGTCCTCCGGACTAACCCCTCCCAGAACGCCGCAATCGAAGAAGTCCTAAGTCAAACCGTCGAGCTCACTGCACAGTCTGCCTTTCCATCGGCCAAAAACAGCAAATTCCTCGCCGAACATTTCGACAGACCCAGCAACATCAATGCCTTCCTCTGCAAATCCAGCCTCTTCGGCCTTGTGACGCCCAACAGGTGGACCAGCGCTCCAACCGAGTCTTCCCGCCAGCTTTCCGCCCAACTGCACGTCCTAGGCGGCATGAACCTGGAATCTCACTGGCCCAGCTTGGACGAATTCACGTGTCCACACCTCGCTGCCCGGATCGCCCACGAAAACGACGACGACTCCTCCGATTACGATGAAGATGACGACGACTCCTCCGACGCTGACCATGGCGAGCCTGACAATGGTACTGGTAGCTCAAGTACCATGTCCTCGCGACCAATTCTATATGTCCACGCCTACGCCCGCTCACGAGTCTACGACCTGCGCCGCTACACCCAGGAAAACATGTGGGGCCCATTTGTAAGTCTTCTTCCCGTCATGGACGTCTGCCGTCTGTCTGACCTCCAGACTCACCTTGGCCCGCACATACTGATCTTGGTCTTACTGTAGGATGACGACGGCGCCACTACCATCGATTGGGAAAAGGTCCAAGCAATCATGATCGTCCTGGCGTTCAACTACAGAATGTACACCGAACGCCGTGGGCCCGGCCCCTTCCCTTCCCTTACGCCTTCCACGTCTACGGGACCGCCACCTTTCTCGTCCACAATGGTCCCCTCCAACTCGACTACATCTCACTCCACGTCCACACCAGGGGCCTTCCGCCCCTGGAGCGAGCCCTTTGCCGGCATCGCAGCTAACAGCTTCGTATCCAGCCCGCTCTCCGGGAAACTCAAACCCAGCCCGCGCCCGGATCTCGACGCGCTCGACCCCTACGGCGTGACTGGCTCGTGGATGCGCATTGTCTGCTTCCTCGACTACAACGACCTGTACGCATTCAACTTCGAGTCCAGCCCAGTCGATCCCAGCGGCGAACGTCAGCCCATCGCGACACGCGAGGCGTTTCGTCTGATCCGGCTACAACTCCGCGTCACTTCGGTCGAGGCTCCGGGGCCCGACGACGGACAGGATCTCCCCGTCGTCCACTTCGAAGGCATCAGCCGCAGTACGTTCATGGCGTGGGACCCCAATGCGAACAGCCGCATCAGAGGCACAGTGCGGCAAACACCTGGGGGTGCAATACGCTGGACGACGTTCAGTATTTTCCACGGCGAGGTAAGCCCAGACCATTATTTCAGATTCCGTGGCGAAACACATCAGCCCCCCCACTGACACGTTTCTTCCAGGAGCGCTGGCGCAGCGAGGGCGTGCAGATTGGCGGGATCAGGAGCGCCAGGGGGATTCTGGGGAACTGGTTCGATAAGGACTACGATCCGCACGGGCCTGCGGGGCCGACGGCGTTTTGGAAAGTCAGTGATCAGATTGTCGAGGAGAAAGAAAGAATACCACCGCAGATGATGCAGATTCTTGTGACGGAGTTGTTTGCTGATTGAACTGGGTGAGTGGAAGAAGCGAAGGAGAGGCATGGGGAGCGTCTGCTATGTTTTTGGAATGAATTATGGACCTGTTCTCATTGCTGGGGGTATCGCCAATGGCATCTGCGAACTAGGAAGCACACGACGAGGATGAGATTCACGATATTTATCTGTTAACCATCCTTTCATCGAGGTGATGGTTCGTACCTAACGAGAATCAACCTGGGTCCATCTTCCAGGCAAGAGGTCGTCCATCATGGCGAGATAGACGTCCTGCGCGCCACGAATAGACGAAATTGCATGAGATTGTTTGTAGATGATGTGGAAAATGGACCATTCATTTTGTACGTCACACAAACAAGCCACCAGACCACAATATTTGGCCGGAGAGGTATATATAGCTCATCATATCCATCACTGGCACAATTCGCACACTGCGTTATTGTCACAGGAGAAAGCCCAAAACTCCTCGTGAATAGAGTACATAGTCGGAAACATGACGACCTGAGAAAACGCCCGCTAAAGCCCTGGAATAAGGCGATAAATGTCCTATTCAGTTCGTTCAATCAATCTCCATTCTGTTTGCTGTAGGTCGTGATGCCGCATACTTCGGGCCACTCGACATTTCCGTGGCGTATGGTGCATATGCACTTCCGATTGGCTTCTCTTCTTCATCAATGCTTGCAGACTTGTAGATGTAGGGCTTGAGACCCTTTTTGTAGTTACTGGCGCACAGGCAAGCATTTGTGATGGTGAGTAGGATAGAAATGATAGTTAGGACAGCGAAACTGGTCAATTCCTTCCGGGCTGGAAGATAAGGACCTTCGTGAGATGGTGAATACATGCGGACCATCTTGAAGATGAAGTAGGCAAGACCAGCAAAATAGAGTATCTGCAGGCAGGTGAGCAATAGGAAAAGAACAACTGTGAGTACAGACTTACGATAACTCCGATCGTGCCTATCAGGTTCTCCCTTCGGACAAACCACGCAGCGGCCAGGAGAATGAAGATGCTCACCGGCATGGCTGCAATGGTAAGAGCGAATTCGGCTCGCCGCTGAGTGACAATGACAACGAATTGGACCGTGAAGCCGAGGAAGAAGAAAAAGTCGAATTTCAACAATGCGATATAGATCTGGTATTGGAGATAGCGTCGTTTCATTCGCAAGTCGGCCGAGATGCGCTTGTAGATGGTCCAGGCAAATTCATCGTTGAGTTTCCAGGCGCAGCCGGCCAGAAGAGCCGTTCCCACAGCAATGATAGCGGGTATGGCGATCAAGAAAGGCTTTGTGTCGCTCCAAACCTCCATCTGGATGAAGTCGTCATGCGACAGCTGAAACACAGCGTCCTTGATCTGCGAGATCTGGACCGCACCGTAGATAAGCAGGCCGACATTGTACATGACCAAGCCAATGACCTGGATAGTATTTTTCATTCTGAGAGCATCCCAGACCAGGAGCAGTTGGTAGAGGAAGCCGAAAATGTATAGAGTCAAGAAGGTAGGGATCGTCCGCGAAGCAGTCAAATGCGAGCTGCTGGATTCCAGGCGGATTTGAAAATGAGCGAAAGCATAACTGGACAAGCGCGTCAGTCAAAGAGTAACGTTCGATATGTTGGACTCTGCTTACCACTCGAAGGCGAGGACTATGCATGCCTGGGTCAGGGCGATCAGGCTGAAAGCCCAAGTCCATTTTGAATTTGGCGTGTACATGATTGATCTTGATCTTCTTTTCTCGAAGTCTTTCATAGCATAACCTTCGCGTTGGTGGTAACCTCCAGCCAAAGGTTGATAAGTACTTGGCTGGCCTCCGAGGAGGGAAGTACGAGCCTCGTGGGAGCGAATTTTGGCGATATTGAAGCGCGAATGGGTGGTGTCCTCTGCTCGTTTTCAGATGCCACTGTACCACAACCTGGAGTCGAGGTTTAGCGCAGTGACGGGCGGCCGTCAAGACTCGGTAAAGGAGACTGAAGTCTGTCGCAGGAGCGCTTCGAGAAATTCTATTCGGGGCTCGAGAAGGAATGGGGTGTCAAGTGTTGGTTGAGACGTCGAAATTCAAGCGCAAATGGCTGTTGGATCCTGCGGCTGAAACACTCAGGAGGGGAAATGCACGTATTGGATTGGTGGTCTGCGCTCTTCGGTGACAGTGGTGCTAAGCGAGGGGATGCTCGAACAAGTCGAGTTTGTGTGATTGTAGCCGGTAAGTGAGGTGGGTTGTTAGCGAGAGAATATGATGAGGATGAACAGAGAAGAAGATACGAGTTAGAAAAAGAATAGGTTGGATCAGGTAGCAGAGGATTGTGTACGTGTGTTTCGGTAGTACGGGGGCACCCAGAAGGAGCGTAGGAGGAGGAAGCCTGAGCAGAATTATGGAGTCGTTTAGATGCCGTGGATGCTTCACCAGCCTCTGCCAACGCTCTGCCTCTCTGTCAGGGTCCGCTGCGGCCTTTACGGAAACTGGGGGCCATTATTTTTGGCTGCCTCTGACTGCCCATAGGCAGGATGACTCCTCTCTCTTTCCTGTCTCCTTTTCAGCTCCGCCAGTCAGCGCTGCTTATCATCGAGCCATCTACGATCTCGCATCCATCCTCCATTCCCCGAGTATCGAGTGTGTTTGATGCTTCGGGGGCCGCAACTCTTGCTTTCCCAGTCATGAGCTCCGTAATGCACTCCTGTCCTCGTATTCGCCAGGTACATGGCTTGACCTGGGACGCCTGCGCCTCAATGTGAGGCTGTCACAGGAGTATTGGCCTTTCCGATCGAGCTGCGCCTCCTCGCGAAAAGCTGCCGACCTCCGGCGGGAATCGTGCATCACGTGATAAGAGGCCGTACCAGATGAACAATTGACTGAGACGTTGGGTTTCTTTTTTTCACCAACTAGGAATCATTGCATGTTGACAGACGTGAACCTCAAAGAAGCGGCAATTAGGGCAAAATATTGCTGGGAGAACGTACCTCACGAGATGGTTGTACCAGGCATTGAGGGAACTGGCTTACCTAAGGTAGGTGGGTAGGTAGTCATTCATGTGGAAGCATGTGCGGGGTAACTTATTACTCCCCTTACTGCACCTGCAAAGGCTTGATACCAAAGACGCCTTTCTTCGTTCAAATGCGTTGTTGATATTCACCTGAGTCGAGAGTTCCGTTGGCCGATTCTGCGTTCTTGTCGTCGTTCCGCGCTGTAATCTGTGCTGCAATCTCGAGTATGCCCCTAAAGCAAGCGTTAATCAATAAATCAATCGCAAGAGTCATCGTCTCTCCTCCTGCCGTCACACTCGCCGAGTCCACCGCCGTTCTACGACGACTGCAGTCTTTCGGTCCTGTCACTTCCTTCACACTCCGCGAATCGACCAGGAAACGTACGAAACCCTCTCAGAGCAACGTCGAGCAGCAAATGATCGATGTCGTCTTTTCGAACAATGGCACTGCTCAAATAGCCTGCGATGCGAGTCCCTTCGTCGTCAAAATCAACCATGATCTCCCTGATCCTAGAGTTGAAGACCCGTTCAATCTGCGAGGCCTACAATCAAGAGAACAACCTCGACCAACAACCATGACGTGCCTAGTCGAAGCACGAAATGAGCAGCTGCAATCTGGACAGAACACCCTCTCCAATGGATTTTCTCCGAGTATCAAGACTAGGTTACATCAAAGTCTATTCGAAGGAGAGCCGCCACCGAGCATTGCAGAAGGCGTTGCTGAAGGCCTCGGGGTCTTGCACTCGAATCAATCAGACATACTCAGTACCGCGCACCTCGTTGAACAACCTCCTGATCTCATGGCTATGTACAGGGAGTCTCGTGGAATTAAAATGCATCGGGAGGATGAAAACAAGGATCCGCGGCCCTCGACTCCGGTGCGCGTTGGTGGATCAAAGACCTTAGAGTGAAGGGTCGGTTGCATCGTTAAAGAGGAGTCGCAGCCATACGGGACGCACATGAACGTTTTCAAGGCAGTTTCGACCATTCGCACTTGATTCTGGACGGTGCCCGAGCGCAGCCTTTCGCAGATCTAGCATGGCAACAATCGAAGTCCTAACCGAGCCGCGGTAATTGCCCCCAAATCTGGCATCGAATCTATAGTGCGCCCGAAACTCGAATCTACAGGCTCTCCACTGTTAGGATCCTCACAGTCGCGTTCGTGGACTCGCCCATCACGAAGCTTTGCTACTCAGTCGTTCAATTTTTTTTGAGATCCTCGCCCACATTCTCTCTTTGGAGCTCTGTTGCTTAGGCCTTTCAGCTTTTGGCCATCCATTGTCACATTGCTCTGCAATGGACAGGTACCTTCACGCGGTGCAGAGCGTGAGTAACCTAACTTGTCGTTAGGTGAAACCAAATCCTGTCTTTATATATGTATTTGCTCGCAACGGCCGGTTTTGTTACGTTCGCAATGGCTTGGTGGAGAGTAGTCAGGCCGTTCTTCGATGGGCTATCATGGACGGTAGTGGCAGCATTCCGGAGATCTTGGGGTGTGGCCGTGGAGCAATGCGCTTCTCTTGACACAGTTCACGCGTCGTTACAACCTTTTCCTTCTCCAGAGATCGCACCCATCTCAAATGCACGACTTCTGCCTCGAAAGTGACGGCTATTGAGAGAAGCAGTTCACTTCCTAACTGCTCTTCGCCACCATCTGCACCGCTGCAAGCCGCTTTACCTCGACGCGGAGCAGTACTTTTGGCGATGGAGGAATGGTGAGCATCGTACAAGTCACCGTGGCATTTCATCTCAGCAGGAACCATGCGAATACGAGCCGCTGGAGAGTCCCGACTTTCTCCAACAACAAGTACAGTAACTTATCGTCAACCGGCTGCCTCGGAATCATACAATATGCGAGCTCTACACACCCTTGCTCAAGACTGTGTGCCACTACCTGGACAACGCATCTGCGCCCTGCAGACATCAGGGGTGGACAACTCCTCCCGGCAACGATCGTCTTTGGAGCGTCTATGGACTTTCCATGCCTCACTGCATAAGAAGACAACGCCTCCTGGTTTTGTGGGTTGCGATTTGCCTACAGGAGTCTTTGAAGTTATCCTTCCATACAGCTCTCTCAGAAACCTTTGGGCCGCGAGGTGATGCTTGTGTTTGACGTTTCCGAGACGACCTCGGTAGTGCACATTTTCTCTGATACTGTTCCTTCTCGTTTCCTAGAACGGCTCAGATGCCCTGGCACACTATGTTTACTTCTACCACCCAAGGAATCTTCACAAAGCGTCATTACCTGGTTGGAGAAGTTGACAGCGTGCAAATCGCAATTCAGCAACCCCCCGGCGGGATTTGGTATCTTAAACTTGTCACGAAGACGGCCTATCGCGATGTTATACAAGCTGGAGTTATGGTTGTTTTACACTTCAAGAAATCGCCAAAAACAGCTTGCCGGCTGACGAGAGATTCAAGGAGAAGCTCTATGACAAAGTGATGCGGCTGATTTTAGCCGGCGACACTCGTTGGGGCACTCATAACTACGCAACAGACAATCGCACGACTTAGAATGGAGAATCGTCCAGTAGGACACATTTTCTCTGAGCGGGTCCCGGTCCCTTTTTTGGACACGGCTAGAAACTCTTTTCATTTATATCCATAACTTGTTGAACGCAACTACATAGCCGGTCAGTATTTCAAGCCCTGATGAGCCCTCTGAAGGTGGATAGATTCTGCAGACAAGTGCTCTATTGGGGTTGCTGACAGTCAAATCCCATTTGTCAACATCAAACGACCAGCATCTATCGCTCTCTTAATAGAGATCCAACCATCGTTAACGCGACGGTCATCTCCTCCTTATGTGAACATGGTTGTTCACGCCGCCCAGTATACCGGGAAAGGAGTCTAGCATGAACCGGTTTCTCCTCATGGAGGGAGTTGCCGCAATGCAGATTCCTACTATGGTCTGGCCCGCTTATTCGCCAGATTTCAATCCCATTGAGACGATATGGTCCTGGATGAAGCTGTTATCCAACGTGGATTGGAAATTGGTTTCTTCGAATATCAGTCGACGTTTCATCAAAAGTTGGATGCATGGACGGACCGTCTACCGTTTAGCGTACGAAGGTAGGATCGCGACTAGGAACTCTATCTCGGAATTCGTGGTGCTGAAAAATGGTAGTGGTCTTTTCTAGACGTATCCCTCCACCCCCCTCAGCGACCGCAAGGTCGACCATGACCTCTTGTCCCACGACCACAAACTGTGCACTTCCGAGGAAGCGGACAGAAGACCGGTGTTCTTTGGGATAAAATTTCTCCCAAGCGCGCAGAACCTTGACGGATGATCGCACCAGCCTCAACAGGGAAATGGTAGAGCCGTACCGACATTATCCGAGGGACTCTCACGACATTTGTCTAGATCTCATGGCACTACGAATCCAACCAAGCGGGTCTGTACACCCGCCGAAAGGGTTACCGCCTTGGCGTGGGCTCGCGAGTATGAGTCTGCTACCTGGGATAGACGAGAGTCTTCCGAGCAAGCAGGCGTCGACCGAGTCTACACACCGCTTGTGCCTTGGGAAACTAGGGTCCAATGTCCGTCCGCAGCTTATCCTCAGCGCCACCGGCATCGACATTGGATCCTTCGAGACCCAAATCCTGACCTTTCTCGTACTTATCGCTGGCCTCGCGTACGGTTATCCAAAATGCCTAGACTTCGTCAACACGAAGTTAATGTGCCATATCACCTTGGAAGGCTCGGACGTCACCTCCGCCTCGGCTGTAAAATTCATCAGGCACAAGTTTGACAAAGCAAAGGGTCGTGACTTAACTGTCAGATCGATACGGATGAGCGAAGACAACGACCCCATCCCCACCAAGGACGGATTTGCCGACTTATCCAAATTTCGATGGATGAGGCAGTACATGCCGGGGTTGGGTCGCTACCGTGGGCACTGGGTCAGATTGAGTCGGAGCACCACGGACACAAGGTTCGCCGAAGCCGTCAACTATGCACCTCCAGGCTGGACGTCGGGCCACTACACTGAATGCGAAGAAAGACACGACTATGCTAAGCATGGATTATAGATATATAAACTAAATAGCTTCGACAACATCGAAGCTACGCACGGTTACGAACTCTCTTCTTTGCTCGATGGTATCTCGATCTCACGTCCGAGCAACGTGACATGATCATAGGGACCGACGAGAGACGGGTCACAAGCGGCCACCATCGTAAAGTTCGTGTCACACGACGCGCTGGAGAGCAATGGGATGTCACATGCCTCGTTGACCGCATCCAACGTAGGAAAGGTTGGATGTTCTGGGGGAAGTTTTTCGGGACAAGAAAATTGCCAGGAATCATCTGGCAAAAGGCCTGGGGCAAAATCTCTTCCGTCAGGTATATCCAACATGTATTTGAAGCATTTGACGCATGGCTATCTTCAGAACCAGATTCGGCGCAATTGCGCCAATCTCTGATACTCCAGCAAGACAATGCGCCTTCACATACGTAGTATTGCACGAATCACTCGACAATGGTTTCGAGAAAGGGCCATCCACACCTTTAAATGGCCTGCGAACTCCCCAGATTTGAATCCAATCGAATCCATTTGGTGTCAAATGAAGGATGTCATTCCGAAGCGATATCCAGAGTATTTGCCCCAGCGACTCCTAGAGCAAGCAGTATTGGACGTCTGGAATGCTATCTCTGAGCACAGTTTGCGCGCTCAATTTTGGAGACGATGCCACGACGTTACCGCGACGTTATCGCAGCAAATGGTGGACCCATCGGATGGTGAAGCAATTGGCCCGTAGACAGACAGGGAACCCTAGCAAATGGTATTAAATCTATACTCCATACATTAAGTTATAAATTCGAAAAAGACCTCAAAACTTGCACGGGGTCAAAAACGTTTGATCAAATCATCAAACATAACGCAACATACTATATTGGGGTATCGTCAAATAGCGTACTCCGTGTGCCATCTCATTCCCAGATCAGAACACATCCCATCTCCCGGAAGAAAACTCACAAAATCCCAGAAAACGCCCGCTTTCGAAAAGTACATTCCCTCAACATCATACTGGATTGTGTCTTTCCAAATTTCTTCTCCCCATATCTCAATTCAGCAACGTCTCAAAGCCCTTGATACTCCTGTGTCGCAGCTGTCCAGCTGTCCATGCTCGGACGTTGCAAAATCTCAACCTTGCAGTGCATGTCTCCATCCCTCCCTCCGCAATATTCGTGGTCGAGATGGTGAATCGACAAAGCTCAGCCACGTCGTAGGCGAGTAGATAGCCACGAGTACGGCTGGTGTACGTGGAAGGCCGGGTCCGGCAAGTGGCTTGCTCACAAGGCGAGCACAACCATCCCAGCCAAGGGGAACATGGGCGTGGTGACGACTCTGCCTCGATGTCGCTGTCCGAGGATATAGTATTCCTGTGCTCACCAGGGCAAAAAGTAAGTCTTGAGCCGTAATATTCAATCTCAAACCCAGATCCGGACTAATGAAAAATTGCTCTCCTCGCTCTGCAACTCTTCGTCGAGATTTCTTTCTCGATCTGCCGTGCAGAAATCTTTCACGCAATGTTTTCGTCTCCATCTGCACACACACAGACACACAGACACACACAGTCTCTCCACATCTCAAGCTTCACGGCCACACTGCACTTGCTGGATCTGCAGATTGGGACTTTTCGTGTACTTGTCGTCGATCTCAATTCTTCCCCTTTGACACCCAAAAGAGTAAGAAAGATGATAAGACCGAAAACAAGAGGATCGGGATCATAAATCAAAATCAAGCGAAAAGACTCACGCTCTGGGTCCTAGGTCCACCAGGCCTATTCCCTGCGCTATATCCGGGCCGATACTCTGGCGGTGCTCCTGTATCGCTCCCCATGCCGATCCCCGAATGCAGCATCGTCGACGTCGGATCGACTAGACTCAAATGTCTCGTCCCGCCACCGAGAAGGGGTTCAATCGGACTGGTCTCTTGATACACGGGACTTTCGCCGCCCACTTCGAATTCGCCGAGCTCGCCTTGCGCAGCCCGCGCCTCGTATAGACCAAACTGTGCTTCAATCTCCGCTGCAATGGTTGCGTCGGACTCGTGAAGCCCCGCCGGCGGCACGCCACCTTCGGCACAGATTTGTATCGGCGTTTTCAGAACGACGTGGCTGTTCGCGACATTTGTACCGGGCGAGCGGAAGGAGACATTAAGCTCGACCGAATACGTGCGTGATATGATGCAGCTGTGGAAAGTCGGCACAAAGACCTTGGGGCGATTGGTGCTAGATGTGCTCGGCAGAGCGATCGGCACGAGCACGGTTGCGGTGTAGAATGGCAGGCCGGGTTGGTAGGTGCAGGATGGCTCGGGGATCGAGGATGTCGAAGACGTAGAATATGTCGACGGGCGGCGGGAGATGTCTGAGGATGAGAAGCTCTCCCTTTCGGACGGGTTGTGGCGTGTCCACGACACTGTCGACAGGTTGCGTGCGGAGAGCGGGATACTCTCCGGATACACGCCGTGCAACGTGGACCAATTGTCGTGTTTGCGCATCTCCGGGAGGACTCTGTACGGCGCCGCGCCGAAGAAGGTGTATACTTTGAGTTTACTTGTGATCGAGTCGAGTGGAGGGGGAACATCCTCCGGGGTCAGAGGGTCGAAGCGCAGGTTGACAGTGGCCATCGAAGCGACTGGTTCGATCTGTCGCCTTCGCGGATGAGGAAGGCGCAGGCTCTTGGGCTGAGTTGTTTCGGCGGTGAGGCGGCCCGTCTTGCCAATTTTGAAGAGCCCTTTCTTGACACTCTTCTCCTTGCGCATGACGTGGTCGGATTGATCGTTCTCGATGGGCAGCGGTGGTACTTCGTCGCGAGCGGGCACGATTCGGATGCGTTCTGATCTGTCGGCCAGTTCGAGCAGTCTGCCGGTGGCGTTCCATTTGGTGACCCGGGCACGAATGCTGTAGCTAATCCTTGACATTTCCGGAGCAAGATCGTCCATGAGTGTATGGCCGTCGCCGGAAATGCTAGGGTCGCCTAGACTAGGAGGCAATTGGACATGTTCTTTCCTGATGTCGTCGTTGTCGACTTTGTGCGAGCAGATGAATGGGAGTAGCCGGTCGGGAACGACGAATGTGAATGGGATGCTGTAAGTTACATTGGCTTCAAACATGTTGTCTGGGGGAAGTAGATGTTCTGCAATTGGTTGCTGCACCTTCAGAAAAGTATGTTTTCCTGTCGTGCGACCGGTCGTAGGCGCTGTTGTCGCGATCTTCTCGACGTACGTACAACTTTGGCCCTCAAAAGTGACGGCGAGTTCGTCGAAAGAAGTGTCCTTTTCGAACTTGACGTTCACATGGCCTTTGATCTCGTCGTATGTAGAGTAGGAATGAACGAACTCGGCGTATCCGTCCAGGACGATGTCGAGTTCATTCTTCCTGCGGAGTCCGATAGCGTTTGCGAGGGCCGAACCTTTCCTTCCCTCTCGTGTGTTGACTGGCAGTGAGCGAGAGCGAGCGGTATATGAAGGCACTGAAACCGTGGAGGCCAGGAATGAAGGCATCTCGCCGGATATTGTTTGACGAGGATTGCTCATGATGGAAAAGGAGGAAAAGACCCCCGGAAGTTGTAGACGGTGTGATAAAGCTAGTCGCTATGTCGATGATTCAGGACTGGGCGTTTGATGGACAAAGAGGGGTCGATCGGACGACGGCCTGCATGAGACCAGGTTTGCGGGGATGGATTTGCAGCTGCCAAAGACTTGCGATGGTGGCTGTAGCTGTTGATTGGAGAGGAGATAGCAGAGGATAAGCACGATGGAAAGTCGGCAAGATATCAGTAGTGAACAGGTAGTAGGTGGTAGGCTCGTCTTCTTTATATCCTCGTGTACTGCGTACGGAATGATCAATGCTGACAATATCCAACAGCTTCACAGGGGGGCTTGTCATCATATCATATATATTACTGCGTACGGATAAACTGACGCGTATTCGGAATGAGCTCACCGTCATGTCAAAATAGAATGGATGCTTCGAAAGGCGTGGCCATACTCATAGTGGACTTGAATCCTCTCCACGCCGTGACTCATGAACGTGTAGGTATTCTCAAAGCAGGAGTTGACAACGAAGGGCGGGAAGTCTAGCAAGTGCAAGTGCCTAGCACGTGCCTAACAAGGAGTCTCCAGTGCCGTGAGTGTCCATTGTCCTATCCGAAGTGTCAGCGCCGCAAACTCTTCCCATCCATGTGGTGGTTGTGGATTGATCAAAACTCCACTTTGTACGCCCTTCGATGTCTTGCTCGCACTGCCAACTGGTTGCTGGTTTCCACCTTTCCACATCTCCAGTTTCTGTTTGTAAGCGATATTCCTTACAGGAGCCAATTTAGACGACATGTCTTTGACGGGCTGAGTAATATCGTGATGGACTGATGGACTGATGGACTGATGGACCATATTTTCAGGCATCCATCTCTCTGGGTTATGGGTTTTGTCCGACTGAACACGAGGCTCCTCGTCCGATGTCGCTCATGACTCACATCAGCATCAGAACGAACTGTTGTGAACCGCTGTTTTCCCTTTTGAATGTATTGGATCATAAGCTTTTGGTTGCAAGGCTATACAATCTAGACCTTTCTCGTTGCCCATTCTATCATTATGAATCGGTGGTGACCAGGCTATCCCTCAATCCACCTTGACATCGCCGTAGATCCTGCAAACAAACATGTACGCCGTCAGGAACCCAATCGTCCCCGTCGCTAAGGAATAAACGGCGCATGCGAGAGCGCTGTAGCTGAAAAACAAAAGGCTGCTCACAAAGCCTTCGATGTGCAACCGCGTGGCATAGTACCACACGGAATAAACAAAGATCCAAAGTCCCGATGATCCTCCCACGAAGAAGGACTGCCACCACCAGTGGTAATTCTCCGCGCAAAGTTGTATGTAAGTCGTGATAATTACTGTCTCGGCGATGGTGATGGAGAGGAGTGCCGAGATAATGCTCAAAAAGCCGAAAACGTAATAGAAGGATGATTTGTCGAGGTAAAGTGACTTGAAGACGAAGATGAGTTCGATGAACAGGACTGCAAAGGATACGAGACCGGCTCCCAAAATAAGTCCGATCTGATGTTTAGAATACCATGCTTGTGCAGGGATCTGTCGAGGTATAGTATTGGTGCGTGTTGGATGCTCCCAGGCTGGTGATCGATGGTACCCGTAATAAGAACCCAAGTGGACGAGGGGAAGCTGGATGAGAAGCCATAGGCAAGCTAGGCCCAGTAACGTCGAGAAGGGAAGTGCCGTGGAGGATGCTTGTGCCCAGCAGAACAAGTTGAGCACAAATACGAGGGCGAAAAGCAGGCCGGGGAATAGGAGTGCAGTCTAGTAATACCGTCAGTGGAATGGATAACAATCACAACATCGTCAAGCTCACCATCATCGTATTTTTGCTCCAATTCTGGCCACCGAACGTCTTGTATACTCTTCCAGAGAAGTAGCCCGAAAATCCGCCAGCAAACACGAACAAACCAATCCCGACGCTCCAGAATCCACCGCGCCAGCTTGGGTTGATGATGCCAGCGCAGCTGAGACTTAGAAGTCCCACGATGACAAAGACGAGCTGCATTCCAGAGCCGACCAAAGGCGCAAGGAGTCCCCCATATGGTGGTGGTCTGAAGACATCGCCGTGAAGAAGTTTCCAACCACTGACTTCCTCAAGAGACTCTTCATCCGAAGATAGGTCGTCATCCGGTCCAGTTTCGGAGATCTTTTCGAGGATACCACTAGTTGACTTCTTCTTGTCAGTCCTCTTGCCGATGCGCAGTCTGGCCTCCTCAAGCACTCCATCTCCGCGACCCTTGACGTCGCCCTGCATCGTTCGTCCCCAGATCACAATGCAGATTGCGCCCAGTATTCCAGAGATGGTCAGAGAATTGAGGATAGCTAGCCAATGGGTGAACTTGCTCTCGGCCTGATCACTGAAGTATAGGTCCCATCGGTTTGCCCATTCCACCTCTTGATCTTCTCGAAAGTACACCGAGTATGTGTACGGGATCGTCATCGTAGCACCATCGTCCATGTCGATAACCTCATCCGGAATGTAGGATGAGTCGGGGAATTGTTCCCTGAGGTAACTGCTGTTTCCAGGAAGGTATAGGGCCAAGGGATCCTGATCTCCGGAGACGTCCAGCGGGCAGCCTGTCTCGTTGCGATGTCCTGCTGCGATGCTCTTGGGATAGACCTCGAACCCCACGACGACCTTCGCGCCATTGTCGCCCGCTCTCCCAGGAGCCGGACGCCAGCGTACGACAAGGGTATAGTGGTTGTAGTAGAAGTACCGTTCTTTTCCAGTCGCGAGATCAAAGTCCTTGTAACCCATCTTGAAGCCAGCCGCGTAGTATTTCCGGCTTCGATCGACGGTGACGAATGCCGTAGCTCCAGGGAGGTTGTCTAGAATCCAATCTGTGACGTACTCCTCTTCAATCAGCTGTTGAGCCCACTGCATGTCCCGTCGGCCCACGACTCGATCACACAAGTATTGGCAATCCACATCTCGTCCCATGTCAACCTCCAGATCCGACGTCTTGACCCGGTCACCTCGTAGGACTTCTCCGAGATTGAGAGGCACACTGTGTCCGCTGGCGTGTGACGAGCCATGATGTCTGTGGCCGGTGGGCGGACAGACGAAGGGTAGGTCGAAATAGGCGTACTGCAGCTGGCTGTGGTCTGAGTAGACCTTGTTCACGAGTAAGGGGATGTTCTCGTTATCATGGTAGCTGCGTATTGAATAGCCTAGGGGACGTCAGAAACATGCACAAGAAAACACTCAAGTCAATCAGCTCGTACCCGGAATATAGAAGGCGTTAGATAAGCAAGTGAACAAGAGGACTACGCGGCTCAACCAGGAGAAGGCGTGGAGTCGAACGTCAGGGGACATTGTGTCGATCAGAAGGGATATTAGCGAATGGAATCGGCACACAAGGGCCGCTTGTACGCAACAGAAGCAGTGAAGATCAGAAAAGAAGAGAAACGAGCATGGAAAGCGACGGGAAGGAGAGGGATGCTGGTGAATGCGAGCGAAAAAATGATTATCTGACAATCTATCTGGGGAACACGCTTGACCGGCGGAGGATTTGCTGATTGCGAACGGTCCAGAAGGCCAGAGCTGTGGATGCCAGGCTCCCAGGATGGGTGAATGGGTGATGGGGGCGCCCAGGAGAAAGCGTTGAGTGGACCTCCCGGAACTTTGACAGGCACAACAGGCCATTGGGCTCCGTGGACTCGGCGGTTGCTTGCGTACGAGCTACTCGGTCGTGTCGGTATAGGCACTTCAAAGGGAACCGAGAGCCCCAAGCCTTCGACGAGTAAGTTAGGGGCGATGGCCTGTCCCCGGCCCACCTAAAAGCACTTTCATCATGCACGACCATGTCGTTATTAATCGGCCACTAAACGAGATTCATCAAAGATCACCAGATCACGGAGAGAGACCTCCCCTAACTGGATACGACTATGGAGCTTGTGTCTGCTTATGATTCTGGAGCAGACCTAAGGCTGACCATTCAAGATGTTTCTCATTACTCCGTATTAATGTGGGATTGCCTCAGTTTGGACATGGATGGCGTGATAGTGCTAGAATGAATAACTATGGCTCGTGCCGTCTACCAACAATCAAGAGAATCGAGTGATCCGAGACCTTTTACGCTGTGTTCAAAACAGGTCTGTAGTATGTACCATAGTACTGTGCTGGCCTGCAGCAGACCCATCCGTCACATTGCTTGGGAGACGCGTGTCTCAGACATGATCCATTGAGGCTTTTGATGTGCCTCACAAATACTTTTTCTTACGATATCTATACCTCGGCTTCCCTGACTCAACTCTAGGCTATACTACCTACGAGAATTGCTCACAAAAGCCATGAACAAGAGGGCCAACTTGACCTGGCGCCTCGACACAATGCCAGTGCCCGATCCCCTCTAGAACCTCTAATCGTTTGCTCTTCTCATCCGTCCCCAACTCACTCAGGATCTTCTGGCATCCAGCCAACGGCGCGCTCTTATCCACTTCCCCTGCAATGATAAGGATAGGACACTTGACCTTTGCATACTCTGGCGGCGTTGCAGTCTCGATAGCCTTGCAGTTCGCACAGTACCCCTCCGGATCCTGGGCCATCAGCATTTCTCGAATGAACCCTTTCTGTGTTGCTGTAGCATTCGGGCCGGTGGCAGCATTCGGTATCGAGTTGGCCATTGCTTCGATTCCCTCTTTGAACAGTGAGCAAAGAGATACGTGAGAGTCCTTGTAGACTTGCCTTTCTTTACTGTCGGGATACGCTGTTTGAACACATTGGCTACAGCCTCGCTCGGATGGACAGGGCCGATACATATTCCCGCAACCACACGGTCTGGGGACGTCGAAGCCAAGTACGTCGGAAGCATGCCACCCATGGAGTAGCCTATGACAACGGCCCTGTCGACCTTGAGATGGTCGAGCAGACCGAGGACATCCTGGGCAATAGATGGGATGGATGTTTCCGTGCCTGCAGTATATTTAGATCGTCCAGCCCCATAGTTGTCGAAGATGATGCACCGGTAGGACGTGAGATAGGGGAAGATTGGGAAATAGTAATTCTGCGTCGAGCCAAGGCCGTGCACGAAGATCAAGGTAACCGGCGAAGTTTTGTTTTCTGAAGGCGCGATGTCCGTATAGTGTAGGACATGAGAGTTGACCGTTGCGAACGGCATTTTGAATTCCCGATGTAGGAGGCCAAAGAGCTGGAACTCTTAGTATACACACTTTGAGGCCGGCTCAGGGAATTCTCAAAAGAACAAAGGTAGCAATGGGAAACAGAAATTTCATATTGGGTAGGTATGTGAGCTGTAAGTTTACTGTGCTGTATGATGTCGTGGATGCCTTCCGAATCAGCTTCGGCTACGCCGATCATGGCTTTTGATTGCAAGTCATCGCTGCGACCCGGCCCGAGCACGTTGTTTACCATTACGGCATGATGTACAGGTCATTAAGGAGATGACCTCTGAACCATTGTTGTCGGAGAAGTATAGGTACCTGGTAGGTCCTAGTATTTAGAAAAACTACTGGGGACTGGAATAGTATTGTTTTCTGTAGAGGTAGTCGTCTTGTCCATTCTTTTCTCTGCTCTCAATTCGGTGCCACAGCAGCCTCCCAGAACCAGAGGAACCCTTCAACCTCATCGACACAGAGGTCCTTCTACTGTCTCCTTCCACTCGCTCAAATTCGAGTACAAGCCATTAGACTGTACAGTTGTATATATGTCACAACAAAACTCGCCCATTCCCGACGCCTGCTCTCTTATTTGGGTATTTTTCCACCTCACCCGGTGAGCCAGCAAAGTCAAAAGCATGCCTGCAACATGCAGACCAACAACAAGAAACAAAACAAATGGAACAACACCTCTGTGAAAGTGCGTCGCCAGCACAGGCCTCCGCTTTTTGATTCAAAGAGACCGTCAAAACCTGGTCAGGTGAAAACATTGTACACCGTCGAGATGCCATTAAAAGGGTTATTTTTTGCGTTGCGGATTCTTTTCGACTGCCAATCCCCCTGATCTGGGACCTCATGCACCAGGGTCCCTTCGAGCTCAAGCTTGAGTCTACCCAGCATCAATTTATGGGACGCCTCGCTAAAAATGCCGACAGACTTTTCGATAGAATGCTGTTCTAATACCACAAAAAGAAGTGAAGATATCGGTAAGGACGCGGTCAAGGCCGAACATCGAGGATTCACAGGGCCACGTCCAGTACCAAACTCACGTCCTGTACTTGTGGGCCTGCTAGATCTTCCAGGACCGGAATGAGATCCAATAGCTCGTTGTCATGAGCGTCGGAAAACCAGGAGCTTATGGGCACAGCATGTTGTGGATGGAAAATGTAGGATGTTGGTGAGTTGTCGATGATGATCGTGTCCTTCAGCTCTCGTCCTACTTGTGATAAGTCCTATTATAAGTCAGCAAGATGTTTCCAAAGCCAATTCCGAGTAGTCTTACCTTGACGTAATTGCCCTGGTGGTTGTAACAACTTTCTCTGAATAGCCTGTGGTGGACCACTTTGTGAATGTCAAGCTGATCCAGCAACGGGTCTCCGTATTTCGAGACAGATGCTGTGAAAACCACCACTTCGTATAACTCGCCCACCCTTTTCATAAACTGGTCCACGCCCGGTCTTTTGATGACGTAAACGTTGTGATATTGACCTTCGATTTCAACGGGAATAGTGAAATCAGCCTGGTTGAGGATCTTGAAGCTACTGTGTACCAAAGTCTCATCCAGATCAAGTATTAGGCATTTTCGTCCCTTGAGCGGAGGCTGTGCAGGAGGCAAAAGCCATGTTTGCTTTTCTGGCGCGGCTTCTGGAACGGGAGGGACCTCTTTCGTGATGACCTGTTCCTGTCGTTTTGCCAAAGGAGGAGGCGGCGGCAGAGGCACCTGGGGTTGAAGCTCTGCGGGTTGCACTGGTTCATCAATAGGCTCCCCTTCAATTTCGGGCACTGCAGGAGGCGCCTCCTCCATCTCAACATCACTTGTCTCCGCGCTTTCCGGTTCATGAGCTTTTGTAGGGTGTTCGGGCTCGATCGGTGTCGCAGCGATTATGTTGACGTCTGGCTTGCCGACTGTGTCGGGTGCGTGGACGGTGAAAGTTCTGATGTCGTCTTGTCCGGGAGCAGCACTAGTCACCGCTTCTCTTTCAATATCTTGCCCTGGACCTGCTGTGGTCATAGTCTCGTTGGGCACAGTAGCTTTTTCATGATATGGTAGCTCCCGCGATAGCCTGGGTCTTGCATCATCAATTGGCCTTTTCTCGGACAGGTCTACCTTCTCTTCCTCTACCGTTCGTCCTGGTAGCAATGGCTCACCAACTGATGTCCTACCTTCCTGGACTTTTTCGTTCTCCACCGTTTGTTCTTGTGGACGAGAGGCTGTCCTTTGTGCTGTCGGCTGGATTCTGATCTTCTTCGCGGCAACCTCAGGATCATCCGACCTGTTATCGCTCGGCGACTCATGTGGCATGCAGCAATTTAGGAGGGCAAGGAATCCGCCTCGACTTTTCTGGCTGGTTTTCGAAACAGGACTATGAGGAAGAGGTGGGACTGCTTCTTTGGAGGCATCTCTAGCCCGGGCGGGTTTTGCTGAGCGCTTACTGCTCCTGCTATTGCCCCTACTCCGACTTAACAGGCTTCGCTTGGAACCTCGTCGGGGAGATGGAGGAGGTTCATCGGGCGCTCGCGCTAGAGGAGGTACGATAGGGGTTTGTTCTGCGGCCTTTTGATGGGACGATGTGCGGGAGGGGATGTTGACCGGCAATGTCTGCTGTTGGGGCTTCTCTGTCATCGTTTCGTTGTCTTGAGGAGCTTCGTTTGAGGATCCAGCGGAAGGAGAGATCGAGTTGTCGGGCGATTTGAGGTCTTGTGCCGAAACGCCTACTAGAAAGTTATCAGCACACCCCTACTCGATTGCACTGAAGCAGCAAAACCGAGCTTGATTTCACAGTACTTGGACCATCGTACCTGATGAAGGCTGCGTGGTAGCGCTGCCACTCATGTGGGGCGAGCGGTCGGCCTACAAAGACCTGGTCTTTGGGCGTGCGCGCAGACAGATGTAGCGGGCAGATAAGAACACCATGCGCCGATCTCGAGGACAGTGCTTAGGAGGTTAATTATGGTATGCCCGATGTGGTCGCGAATGAGCGAGAGGACGACCACACGGCTAGCGACGATGCGGCTGAATTGACTGAATGATGACGGGCGAAATGCGGGAGGTGACCTGATGAGGTCGTAGCAGGATGTGGTTAGTCGATAGGATGTCGGCAGGCGAATAAGGAAATGGGCGGATTAGATGGTGTAAGAATGGAAGAGCGTGTGAATCAAATGCTCTGAAGATGAACTACAGGCGATGCAGGTGTTTCTCGAGGGCGCAGGGTTTGATGGAAACGAAGTTGACAAAAGGTCGTTGGTCAGCCAGAGCAAGTGCTGTGAATCCGGGATTCGAGATCAGCGAGCAAGAGCAGCAGCGAGAAGGAGCCCGAGTAGGTGCAGCCTGCAATCCGCGAGTGATGGAGGCGGATGTTTAGGCCAGTCAGAAGAGTGGGCTGTCGGTACAGGCGGGTTTCCCGTTTAGCAGTGACGGCAGCGAGACAAATGGAGATGGATGGTGGGCTGGCAAGGCACAGAGACACCAAACACCCACCGAAGGGCTTGGGGCTTGGGCGGTTGCACGCTCGCTCGCTCAGGTCTTCCACATCTGCACTCTGTGGCTCTCCATCTGCTTTTCCTGTCTCCATTCTTTTCCATCCTCTCATCATCATCAGTCGGGCATCTTTGCATATTCCACTCCTCTCGTCATGATTCAAGCTTGATCAGCGTCTCCGCTAATATTCACATGCTTCCCTGCCGTCCGTGGCTCTTTTCCCGTCAGAGCCATCAGAAGCCTTTTCTTCAAATGCCATGCCGCTCTCTAGTCCTTTCCCATCGTCGACTTTGGTACTCCTGATATTGTACCCCATCCTCAATGCTTCAATACCAATCTCTAACCCCCCCAGTCTCCACCTCACCGGACAGCCGAAGTGGCTTTGGGCATTGGCTACGGGGACTATTCCCTAGTTTCAGGGCAGACTCTCGGGCGGAAATTGGGCGACGGAAGCTGCATCTTGCCCACCTTGACACCCCACGAATCGTTGCTTCCACTCGAGAAATGCGGGCAGCACTGGTTGTTCGAGCATTGTTGTGCTTTGCAGCCATTGGCGACCGGGCGAATCTTTTGCCTGTTACTCATGATGCTCCGTCTAAGTGACTTTGATAATGGTTGGCCGCTTTATCGCAGCCATCAACAGCCCTGATTGACTTGGAGGACCTCTCCCCACGCTAAGTTGCATTGCTAGTCTGTGATAGACTCGCATCTCACGCCATTAGCCGCCAATCTCGTGTCTAGCCGTACATCTGTTTTCCACCTCGAATGCGGCTTCATTGACAGTGGCAGGAGGGAGTACGCCCTTCCTAAATCCTGGCAATAGGCGATCTGGTCGAAGGCTACGACATCTCATACTGTTCTGCGTAAAGCTTTGGTCGGCCAAATGTCTCGGTAGCCGCGCTGGATGTTCATGTCAAACACATGGCGCCCACCACGGCGCCACAACCTCCGGGATGCATTGACAACCTCACCGCCACACCGCGTGATGCGAGGATTGATGTGGTACCAAATCGGTAAAGGAGGTGTGCTCATAGATGCAGAATAGGACAGCGCTGGCGGGGATGTCGTCTTCTCTATTCCACTTCAGGTTGTCTTTCACACCTCTTTGGGAAGAACTTGCATGAACTTTTCCGCCATCACATGGCTCATCTCTATAGCAAGTGGTCGCTCTGGCCACACCTGGCCAGGTTGGCGCGGCATGGACCTGAGTCAGCATTGACGTGCTGTGGCCTTCGGGCCTTCGAAGCCAGTATGCCCCGCTAAGGCAAGAGATGGCAATGACACGCGAAGATAAGCTGCATAGGACGATCCTAGATGTCAAGCCTGGGGGGCGAAAAACTCGGCACGATCCGGTCAAAGCGGACAGCTCTTACAATGAAGCTGGGCGACCAAGGACAGAGCAGACAGTCGCGTCGCCGAGCTACTTGATAACATGACGAATGCCCGTCGATATAACAAAGATATCGCTTGCCCCTTGGGTGGACATCTGTGCGATCCCTCGGACATTATTTTCACCAGAGATCTGCGGCGGCTCAATGCCATCCACGCCGAAGACTCTAAGTGAGTCCGATGTACTCTTCATCGAACTGCGATATGCTGATGCTGATAACATTCTTTACATAAATACACTATGACAAATTCTGATCATTCTTGTCGACTTTTGACCTTTACTCGAAAATCGGTTGGCTTGATGAACCAGGTATTCTCCGTACTCCAAGGGCGATCCGGATACTCAAGCTGGAAATCGAATTTTCGCACAATTTGGGGGATCAGTTTCGACATCTCCAAGAACGAAATATGCCGGCCTATACAGGTCCTCGAACCTAGACCAAACTCCAAGGCGGTCAGTAACGGAAAGGGCGGGTGTCGAAAGAGAATTGGATACTTACCGGCATGTAGTAGGCCTCCATATTCTTGAAACTCTCGCCTCCCTCCTTCTCAGCTTCGATCCATCTCTCGGGTCGAAACTCCTTGGCGTGTGGACCAAAGACATCTTCGTTAAAATGTGCACACCAGGTGTTAATTCCGATAGTGGTACCCTCGGGAAAGAAATAGCCACATATCTCAACGCCTCCTTCCGGGACAACTCTCCATAATGGCAAGCCTGTTGCGGAATGGATACGCAGAGCTTCCTTCATCACAGCCTGAAGGTAGGGCATATCCTGACTTTCCTTGAACGACACGTTCGGGTTGCCGCAACGCCCTTGCTCTTCAAAATGCTTGATTTCTTCCCTCAGCTTCTTCAACGTGTTCGGATATCTTATAAGGTTGTATAGTATGGACGAAAGACTGACGGCCGTCGTATCCGACCCGGCGATGATATTTGACAAGCCCATCATCTGCAAGTTGTCAGAATGCTATACCTGTACAGACAGACAAAGCACAAGACTGGCGTTTGAACAGCACAACTTTTCGAAAGGGAGAGAACTTACGAAAACATGATACGGCGTGACCCTTGCTGGATCTTCCTTGTTCGCAACCATGAGCTTGTCCAGGAAATCCATGGGCCCGCTCTCATCCCTCTCTCCAACCTCCTTGACACCATCCCCTGTCTTATCCTTGGCCTTTCTCATCTCAATCCTTTGCTGCACATACTTCATCAGATAGGTCCTGCCCGATGCACCACCCACGCCCAAACGGCTCAAAATATTGAAAATCAGCGGGTGCCAGGAGGCATAGATCCCCACCAGCGCTCCGTATCTCAATACCCCATGCAGCGCCTTCAACAACCCGGCAATATCCTCGCCCCTGTCCAAAAACCCGAATCTTTGTGAATATGTGATGTTTCCAATAACATCAAATGCGTAGCATTGTAGCCAATGCGCCATATCGATGGTCTCGCCCGATTCGGCGAACTCGCCCAGCCGCTCTCTGAAGATTGCCGTACACTCGTTCACGTACCCCTCGTAGCTCACCAGACTTGACATGGAGTACATCGCCTGAAACCGCTTGCGCGTCTCCGCGTGCCGCTTCATATCACGGTCGGGAAACAAAGTCCAGCGATTTGGGTCAGGGTGTCTCCAGGCATCGTACCAGTCGGACTTTGGGAATTTGGAGCCAATGCTGTACACTTTCTTGACGATTTCGGGTGAGTCGATGCTGTACAGGTCTACGCCGACACGCACGACCGGGCCGTAAGTTCGGTGCAGAGCGACGTCATCATGTTCCCAGCGGCCCAGGGCGACGCGAGCGAAGTAGTATATCCGTCCAAAGCGGGCGAGGAATGGGCCAGGCACGGAGCGCAAGGGTGATGTGAGGTTTCTGTACAGGAAGACGAGGGCTTGACTCGTAATGAAGATGGCGACTGCCCAGAAGGCGTAGCGGAAGAGTGCGTTCGTGCTGGACATTGTTATCTCGTCGTTTTTGAGCTTCATGCTGGCGAGCAATTCGGTCTTCAGTCCTGATATACTGGGCAACATACTTCTTGTTGGTATGGAAGGCAAGTCCACGTTGACTTTGGCTTGGATTTATCTTTTTGTGAAGCCCAAGGCTGTTGAGACGCTGGACCTACGGATTCAGTTGGTGTCAAAGAACGCTGATGGTCTGGCTCACTGCAGCTCGTGTACGAGAGCATATAGCATGGAAGTCTTGATCGACGTGTCTATCGTGGGGGGGCCTTGGGTGATTTTAATTTGGCGCACGACTTCAGACGTCTGCGCACACAGCTTGCTTGTGTCTGACTTCGGCCGCAACTTGATTCGTGGTCCGGTAGATAGAAGATTACTACATAGGGTCAATTGTTCAGTATCTCGGCCGGAGACACGCAGCATCATGGGCTTCGGCAATCGAGTTGAGAAGGAAATAGCCAATCCCTTTGTCGGGTTGGGCGTCTTGGGATGTCGTGGGTGTGTATCGGATAGGTCCGCAGAGAGCGCGGGGGAAGACAGCTCCCGAGAGGTTATGCTAAAGGGTACGTAAACTTGGGCTTTCTGACATCTGCCGGCATCTCACATCTTATCCTCGGGCTCTCGCCGCGGATCAACAATTCGGCAGTAGGGTGGAAGATCACCAGCAGGTCGCAGCCTGCCCTCGATAATGCCGCAGGAGCTGATGCTAGAATTGATGACTGAATGAGCCCTCCTAGCAGAACGCGAATCCTGCTGGTATTTCTACTCCCGGAGGAATACTCACTCAAACACCGCTGCAATTTCAAGGTGTAGGCGATTTCTTCAGGGAAGATTGACATGTCATTGATGTGTTTGGCATTCTATTCTGTCACCAGCCATTCAGGTCACGGGCTCGTTCCTGCAGCTGTTATCTTTTGAAGAGCGAGACTCGAGAAATACGGGAGGGGAGACCGTTGCGAATAGGTAGGAGATGAACCAGAAACGCTGGTCGATATGAATTAATCGGCGGCGCTCGTTGGTTGAGCTGGGTATTGCAAGTGAGGGGATTCAATGGCAAATCTCATGGTCGCAGAGATATGCAAATTAAAAAGAGGCCATGAGTGACTGACTCAATGTAGGAGGGACGATATGGGCCTCGGGAATCCTACCTCTGACAGATTTCCAACTCCCTGTCTCTAGATGAATAAACCAGGTGAAGAAGCCAGGTTCCTCAATGCATAAATGCTGAGATGAGAACATTTCACAACCTTCTCGGCATGGAAGGCTGGAAGAGCAGGGTGCTGACAGTGTGTAGACTGAGTTCCTCCTCCCTGATCGATGCAAGAAGATAATCTCGCACAAATTGCAGCGAGGGAAACAGATGAGAGGTCGTGAACATCCAAGCCTGGTGAGGCTCCGCGATAGATCCCGGTTCAGGCAGCAATAAGATATAGCTCGATCAACATTGGGTTCAAGCAAAGAATGGAGTTCCGGGTAGCTGCTGTTACGTAGCTGGTCGAACGTGGAAGGTCAACGAAGGATCACGCTACCAAGGCAGGACAGAAGCGACTTGTGATGTAGGGCGATCCTCCCCTGTCGATGAATTTTGAGGGTTGCGAGTGGGAAGCCATTGCCCTCATCCACCATCCATCCCTCGCAGAGCCATGACATCATTTTCTCGTCTCTCGTGGGCTTTCATCACCCGAATAAAAGGTACCTGACCACCTTTTCAATTCAAGATCACTCACACACACAAACTACTCTGATACTTCTACAAGATCAATTGCGTACCCAATCTTCACATAACATCATCTTCACTTTCTATCTGAAACGTACGCCCGTCAAGACACTGTTTCGTTGCCCTTTGCTGACTCTCTCTAGCAAATAACACCCCGCCCACCGTTCCTTCTACAAGCTTCATCTCCTTCAACAAGTCGTGTGATCACACCACAACTAGACACTACCTCGCTCCTTTGATCAAAAATGACTCGCGGAAACGGACCAGTCACCAAAGTCTTCTACAAGGGCTCGACCGAAGATTTCATCGTCTTCATCGAGTCCCCCGAAGACCTTGCCAAATGGAAGCAGGACAAGTCCATCCCACTCACGGACGTCGTCAACTCATTCAAGATCATGGTAACACACAAGCACGGCGCTCAAGGACAAATGGACACTGCATCAAAAGCTAGTCTCGAGAACGAGTTCGGCACTAAGAATGAAGACGAGGTCATCATCAAGATCCTTGAGCAGGGCCAGCCGCAGTCTGTTCAGGTAAGACATTCTACCCCTCCTCTGGGAAAGCTTCAACGCACATGCTGACACGGTCTCTTACGCAGTCCTCTGAACGTGGCGGAGATCGTAACGAGACCATGGGACCCAGACAAGGACACCCCACTGCATAGAAAGCCAGTCTACGACGCGGGGGCAACCACATCGAGTTCCGCTCGAAGAGTCGCCTGCGAAACCGAAGAATGCCTCATCTGAACAAGCATGCATGGTTAATGGGAATGAGTTGTCAAACTAAGGCACACCGTTGATTGTACGATATGAGCTGGAATACCAATGGAATCACCTTCAAAAAGTGGACGGACAAGCCACAGAGCATATTGCTGCTACCAAGAGCATGATAGCTATGCAGAAACATTCCGTTATGCTGGAAATTAAGCTCGATTCACGGGAATTACTCGTACATTCAAGCCCGCGTTGTTCTTTCTGTTCTCGTTCGCCTTCCTCCCTGGTGTCGTGCTATCGGGGACGTCTAAAATAAATCTGCAATACTTGAGCTTCCGGTCCAAGGGCAGAAAGAAGCCTATGTACCATACACATCTGATTCTTACACAAGAAGGTCGGTGCCCTTGGCAGTAAGATACGTGCCAGCAGGACTGTGCGCAATCTTACTCGTTACTCGTCCAAAACGAGCTGGAGAGAGGTGTTTCTTTTGCATCTTTTTTTTGGTTGAGCGCTACCTAGAAGCATTTGCATCTAAAACCCTTGCACCTGACCCGCCATACAGGCCGGGGCCGTCACTTCAGACTGTCTCATAGCCAAATCGTAAGAATGCTGTTGGTACATGAAAAGCTTCCTGGCTCCATCTTTGTTCGACGGCCTCGCCTTCATCTCGTGGTATCTCTCTTTCGCTTCGCTTCGCTGGGCAGACGTAAAAAAACAATAAAATATTCAACTCCGCTTTCAAGCCCTGTACAATGAAATGATCAATGAGGAAAAGGATGTCAGGAACGTCTGAACAGGCTAAAGAACCTAAGTTCGCTCGGAAAACTCCATGACAAGACATCCCGCTCCCAAACGCTTCGTTTAGAAATGCTCTTTCCAGAATCGGAACTTGACCAGATCGTTGCTGGTGTACTTGCACGCGTCCTTGATCTCGCGGGCTGCCGCTCCGGGACCGCAAAAGTACACACCGACCGTGGCCTTCATCTGTGCAGTGATGCTACCCTCCTTGCCCACGTCGAGGTATGTCTGGTCCATGAGGCCGTCGCGCATGGCCCCGAAGAGACGCTTGAAGTCCGGTCGGCCGTATTGAGTCTTGGTGCGGAGCTCCGTCAAGGGATCGACGGCGTTGCCCACGGTGTTCAGGTAGATGTTGGCAGCAGTGTTCTGGTCCACCTTCTGTGTGAGGTATGTGTGGATGCGGAGGAATTCGGGACCGCCGACAGACTGTGCAGCCTCGGCTGATTGTTGTTCGAGAGAAGACAGCAGCGTCTGGAACCATTCAAAGGACTCGATGCTCCGAGTGACCCAGAGGAACTCGACACGCTTGAGTCGGCGTGGCGGGTTGGGTCCAGCGCGGATGTTGTAGATGTGTTTGAGTACAGATGCCCAAGGCGTGACACCAATGCCTGTACCAATGAGCACGGCAATTTCGTTGTCGAAAACGTCCTCGGCAGGGGCACCGTACGGTCCATCAATACGGATGGCGGGCATTTCCTGCCCTGCCGAGAGGGCGATCTCGTAGATTCCGTTGCTTTCCATGTCGGAGAATTGTTTGGCCTGAGCAGGTCCACAACCAAGTGCATCACCAAGAGCCTTGGTCCAATCGCCCACCTGCCGGACATGAATTGAGATGTAAGGGTCGAAGGGGCAAGATGTGATTGTGAAAGGATGCCACTGCTGGCCCGATACCGCTGGTACGTTGATGAAGAGCCACTGACCAGCCTTGTATCTCATGCTGGGTTTCTGGAATTGGATTTCCATCGCGTCATAAGGATGGCGGATGACCTTGTAAATCTTGGTTTCCCTTCTGGCTCGAATTTCTCTCCAGAGACGTTCAAACAAATAAAGGCCACCCCCCCAAAGTTCCCATCGCCAACCCTGGTATCCGATGCAATGGGTCCAGAACGGCTTTCCAGCGAATGGAGAAAATGGTAGTGCTGTATCACGGACGAAGCAGCCCGTAGCGTGGGTGTACATACCCAGCAAGAAAGGGATAAAGAGGTGGTGGGTGTACCAAAATGTCTCGAAGGATTGCTGTCGAATCTTGTGGTGTGCAGTGGTGTACATAAGCAGCATGCATAAAAGCATGATGTGACCTGTGATGCCACCAGGCTGGGTATAATGAATCTGAATGGCCGTCACCGGTCGAATTTGAGACTGTTCGACGTTGAAAAAGTTGACGTAGTGAGCAGTGACGTGAACGATTGTGAAAACTAGCATGGCGTAGGCACATTGCCGATGGAACCATATCGTCTCGTCCAGAGGAAGAAACTTGAACTTGGGTCGAATGAAGCGCATCAGGTTGCGGCACATGGGCAGCAGGATGAACAGGACATCGAACGACAGTACGAGGCCGGCGCCTCGAGACATCCATACTGAAAAGGTGAGAGTGTTCAGACCAGCTAGTCGAGGATCTGATGCTTGCTTGTACCTATATATCGTTCTCAGTCTCATCATCAACCCGATCAATACGATGCTCTTACCAGCCGAAGGCGAACAAGCCCCAATGGAGACCCCACCACAGGACATAGAAGACGATCTTGCTCAGAGAAAAGTGCGACTTGAGAGTGGCCATGACTGGATATCAAATCCAAGGCCTGTTGTATGAAGTTCTAAAATCCAGTCCCGAAAGTTGAGCTTCTCGGTTTCTCGACTTATTGAGATTGCATGCCGGTTTGCTGTAAGAAAAACGAGGGGCAGGAGTCGACCAGCGAAAAAAGAAGTGAAGGAGTGATTGTCGCTTCAATTGGGAGAGGCGATGAAGACCAGGTTAATCGAAAAGAGCCGCAAGCTGGAGCTTTTGAGATAACCTCCTGGAGCGATGCTGGAATCTCCGGAGGTTGGATACCCGAGATATGGAGTCCGATCAGTCGATCACACGCTTGATCATACCAACAGGAGGTACTGATAGTAAATTGATCCGCTGATGGCAGCGGGATGAGGCAAAGGGTCAAACGAGACGGTTGCTCGGTGAGGGTTTGGTAGTATGGGAGGTGGTCGAGGTCGAAACAGACTTGAGGTGGAACCTGGGACAGTAGATGTAACAGGGGAGGTTTTGGGTTGGCCGTGCAAAAAGGAGGGTATTTTCTAGCGTTTTCGGGGATACCATCAGATGCAGAAGCAATAGACAACGTGATAGACAAGAGGAAATGTGACTATGAGATGGAAAGGAAACAAACTGTTGAACTGGTAGAACATGATGGTTAGCGAAGCATTATGCAGAGTAAAGCACATTGAAAAGCATCTAAGGCAAAGCGGTAAAGCCGAGCCAGGGTCTTGGTGGTAAGCGTGGAGAAGACCCTGGTCCAGCGACGGCCACGTTTGACCTCTTGTGGACGCCTGGGCGGCTATTGGATGGCGGAGAGGAAAAAGAGGCTGGATGAGACGAATACAAGATCGAGCTTGTCACAGCCACTGGGTTTGCGATACGGAATAAGTGGTGGATGGCGAGGATGGCTCGAGGTGATCGGGAGGAAAAGGCTTCGCGGGAGCTCCCATCGGTTCCTCGGCAGGCAGAACAAGGCTTCTGGTAGGTTCAGAGGGTGATTGAGGTATCGAGAATCCATCATCATCATCATAATCAGTGGTCTGTTGTGAATCCAGCGAGTTTGGTGGTGAATTGTCACGGTCGGGGAAATCCGAATTGGGCAAATGGTTCTCAAGATGAGGGCGACAACGTATCAGAATGAATCTGCAACCGCCAGAGGAAAAAGAAGCCTGGTGAGGGCAGTAAGCCGAGTGACCCCAAAAGAAGCAGGTACATCTGACTGGCTCTGCCAATATTAGTTCCGCCGCAGTTCCCGTATCACATCCCGGCCTCTGTGTCTTCATTCGTTCGCTGGGCATCTCAATGAACCTGCATGCTGTAAAGCCAGCTATTTTCAGCGCCTATCCATCCTGCCTGGAAGTGGCCGAGGCATCCTCTACAGGCCACCACTACACCCAATCCCCGCCTTCATCATCCCACCACCGCGAATCATCACCTTCGTCTACCAGATACAATACCAGATCTGGTGAATGCAACCTCCAGACTATTGCGAGGTGGAGTGAAGAACCATGTCGATGATATTCCTGTCCAATGGTGGTTGCAGATTTACTCGCCGGCCAGAGCTTCAACGTAGGTCACTCGATGTAAGTCCATAGTAGCCATGGGCCTCTCTATCGCAAGACAATGCCATATCTCGCTTTCAACGACAGCCCAACTCTCAATTCATTTAACTCTACTCAACGTCTGCATCCCAAACCTCCATACCGTCGAATCCACCATCAGACTCGAAATACTGAGGTCGTGGCAAAATCGTGAGACTCACTCCACACCTGTAACACTTGCTGTCTCCGAAGCGCTTCAACCACTACCCTGCGACAAGACCACACCTGCTACCAATCTCTTACGCGCCAATTCACTGCCATAAAACTCTGACGACAGAGAGAGTCTCAGACAAGCATCTCAAGCCCTTTAGCTCCCCTTCTCTGACTGTTGCTCCCTCGACGTCGACATCACCTCCAGCCGATTTCTCTGACCGGCTTGGCCTTGGACCGAGATCACCAGGGACTCCTTGACATAAGGGAGCTCTCTTGGTCTCCTCATATACCTCTGAAGCCCAATGTACCATTTGTGAACGCCAGACGCAGGCCGTCCTTTTCTCCGTCCTCCTGAACACAGTCATTTACATTCACCACCGACTTTCGTTTCTTGAATCGCCAATTTTTGGATACCCTTTCCATTCACTGCCACTCACTCGACCTTTTCGAACACATTGATCAAACATGGGAAAGCTCATCAAGAACCACTGGGCACGCCTCATCGTCCTGACGGCTGCCGTATACCACGTCGCCGCCGCCCTTGAGGGGTTCTTCTGGCCCAAGATCTTCTTCGACTTCCTCACCAAGAATCTCGATGGCGCCGTCAAGCCCTTTCCTGTTTTACAAATCATCAACTTATTGTTGGGTACCTTGGTGTTTGCTTGGGAATGGCCATTGAAATTCGTGGTCAAGATGGTGCCTGGCCTGCATCGGAGTATGGAAGCAAGATTGGTGTTATACCCTCTTTGTGCGTTGACTGGTGTCTTGCAATACCAAGCCACCAATTCAGCACTTTATTTCCTCATCGGTGTGATTATTTATTTCTGGGCCTTTTCAGAAGGAGAGGTTAGTCTACTCACCGGTCACTCACCCGAAGCTGCATCTTGCTGACATAACATTTCCAGACTATATGTCCCGAGCCCTGGACTGTGCCGAGGAGAGAGGGAGCCAGAATCGGCAAAGTATGAAAGAATCAGTGTAAACAGGATGCATCTTCAGGAGAGAATGGATGAAAGGAAATGAGCTGCGCTCCTCGCCTCCAATGGTTGGCGGGTTGTTGCTACACGGGCCTGAGAGACCCTTTGCAGAAGTCATGACTGTCATTAGTAGCAAGCGTGTACAGAAATCTCCCACCCGGCATGGCAACTGAATAGATTTGTCCAGCTGGAGCATCTAGATCGATATGAACTGGTGAAAGAGTCTTCTCATGTCGTCGTAGTCGAAGTTCCAAAAGGGGTCGAAGCCTTGGGCAAGGCTAGCATGACCGACCATTAGTACTAGTAGTCTTGAGATCACGGCAAAGGTGGGATTAAGGCCTCCAAAGTTGGCCACAGAACGATGTCGTGCATATTGACCATGCATCAGTACTGAAGAGCATCGTGGTGATAAATGATCATGGATTGCTTGTTATTATTATTGTGCTTTTACATGTTCTACCTAACTGCGTACGGAGTTTTGATCAATGCACGTTGCCGTGGCGTAAATAGGACTCAGAAGAGGCTTGCAGTGATCGACGCAACTCCGAGTGGACTCGTCACCTGGCAGCTGTCAACCAACATCTTGTCCTCTTCACAACGCTCGACATCAAGAAGCTTTTGAGCTCGGAGCCACAAACAAGAACAACTTCCCTCCATGTTTAATGCATCACTAACACCTCCCATGGTGCTGAACAGGCAGCAGAAGAAGCCCAAGCACCAATCTGGCCCAGCAAGATTCGCCTTCTCTGGCTGAAACCACATGGCGCTTTCCGGCCCTGATATGAACCCAGCCAATTCATTCAGATGGATGGGCCCCAACAGAGCCATAGAACCAACAAAAACACGTCGCGACTCTGGCTGAGAGGCTTGCCCACGCTCAAGCTCGAGACGCTCTCGAGTTTAATTGCGCCTCCCTCCGTCTATCCGCTCTACGACTGGCGATGTGGTGCTGCCAATTTCCAAAAGCCCCTGTCCGGTGGAACCCACGTCTCGAACGGCGCACGAGGCTGTCCCTGCTTAGCCTGTCACGCCCCGAGACCCATCACCCCATTTCACTCTTCCCACGACTCCCCTATCCCGATATATACTCACCTTGCTCGTCGAGTCAACCTAAGTACCTCTCTCTTTTCTTCTCTTGTTGACATCGACCGACTCCAGAAGTTACATTCACTCATTTCATAAAACAATCCCAACCCCGTGTTTCCTCGTCGAACACATCCATTCGTTACTTATCCCCACATATCCAAAACCAAAATGAAGGCCTTCATCGCTGTTCCCGCGCTCTTCGCCGCCGCCGCCGTGGCCAGCCCAAGCTGGTCCTTCACATTCACTTTCTCCGACGCCCACAGCACCTGGACCTCGTGCACATACGCGACCGCCGCTCCCAACGCGACCACCGCCGTGCCAACCTCCAGCGCCTGGACTGGCCCGTCCGAATGGACCTCGACCACCAGCTACAACGCGACCTTCAGCTCCGGCTCAAGCACCTGGGCCGTCCCCGAGACTGTCTCCTACAGCCTCGGCGAGACCTGGACCAGCATGATCGCTGCCACTGTTACTCCTCCCTCCAGCACCGTCTCGGTTGAAGCTACCACCGCTGCCCCAGCCACTACGACTCCCGCTTCCACCACGGCTGCTGCTCCTGCCTCGACTTTCACCGGTGCTGCCAACGTCAACGGCAAGATGGCCGGTGGTGCTGCTTTGGCCTTTGCTGGTCTCGCTTTGGTTCTGTAATAGGCATCAGTCTCCCAACAGAGTTCACAACCACACAGACATCTGAGCCAGAAAGAAAAGGAAAAAGCAGCCAGCGGTCCCAAGCTGCGGCAAGTCAAATCGAGCCGTCCTCACACGATACCCAGAGTCTGACGCGCGACGAAATGTACAAGCACATCCGCTACGTGCCCGCAAGGCTCTAGGCACGACGACTCCTACTCCTGCTCGTGCATCTGGAAATGAGCAGAAGGGCCAATCAATCCATTAATCTTTTCAAACGCTCATCGCTTAATGATCCCTGTACATATATCTTACATATCTTACTGCTTATATACCAATCCTAACGTCTGAGCTTGGGAAAGAATATCCGGTTGGAAACACAACTCATGGGAAGTGCACATTTCCCCTTTTGTTCGGTCCAACCTTTACGCTATCCTTCTTGCCAATGACTCCGAGTATTTTGGGTGTCAAGCATCATCCTAGAATGACATGTGTACTGTACTGCCCATGCAAAGCACTCTTGCCAGCGTTTGGACCCAGCGCGCCCTTCAGTCTCATAGCAAGCCACAGAGCAACTTCACACTCATATTCCTCTCCTGATCCACATCAACACCTCAGGGAAATTGTTCTGATCCTTGCTCCTGGCTCCTCTCCACCATCATAGCCAATCACCGCCCTTCGTGCCCTATGCGAGCGACGAAATAGGCATCGTCTACCGCCGTCTGAAGCTTAACTAAACTGCTGGCTTCGGTTCGGCAGGTCGGTCACGTCGGTCCAGCTGTGGCGGTTTGGCGAGCTGAACTCTGCTATTTTGAGACTGCAGTCCACCACGTATTGCTACGTCCTCCGTACTTAGACAGCTAGCATACCACCATACTTACTCTGTACTTGAGAAGTTTCATGATTGATGGATTCCGCCCGACAGAAGGACCAACAAGGTGCAAAATATGGCCCTTGACTAGACATGAAAGAACGCGTCTTCATCTATTGCTGTTTTCATCTTCTACCCCTACAATCCTGTCGTCTATTTGGTTGAATGCAAGATGTTGCGAAAGCCTTCAGCCGACAAGCCCTTCAATATCCCAAGAGGATTGCTCCATCGCTTCTTCCTACCTGCCAACCCTTCCTCGACTATTTCATGCTTTTCTGGTGGTTCTTTATCTTCCGAATAAAACACTTCTGCAGGATCCTCCGGGCCTACCTCTGGCATAGGTTCCTGAACAGGCCGCTTGGTCTTCGACGTTCTGCTTGGCAAGCTGTTGTCGCCGTGGGCGAACGAGATCCTCTTTGTTCCGCTCCCTATCATCCGTGCGACCACATTATCCATGGTATCAAGTTCCGGCACATCATGCGATTTCTTCCGCGCAGCCGTGGACTCATCAAAGCTGTCTTTCCGCACCTCGAAGATGGGTGCCGACTGTTTCGACCTGCTCCGACTAGCGTCTGTGAATGCTTCATATGATTTGCGACTGGCAAGTGACATACTTCCAGAGCGCCGTGAAAACGGAGCGTGAATTGATGCCAAACTCAGCTTGCGCACCAATGATCCTGCCGAAGCCCGAATGATTTGGCCTCCGCGAGATCCGATCATCCCAGGATATGGCAATCTGTCTTTGGTCCAGATGTCGCTAAGACTTGCCTCAAGCCTTGCACGTTCTGACCGTTTCGGCGACAATACCGCGATGCGGTTGGATGTCATGTGAGACTGTGATCGGTTAATAGCAGCAGGTATCGGCTGGCGGAACTCGTGTAGATCTTGTGCGTTGTGAGTGTTGCGTATGATGACCTGGCAAACATTGGCTCGATTTCCAATCGTGGCCGCTCTTTGGACCGAGGGATGTCTGGCCAGTGTGTGGGTTTGTTGGCCGTAGACCATGCCAATAGACCTCAGCTCAAGGCCGACGCATGAAGGCAGCTCGACTAAGCGTTCTTCTGTTCTTCTACTAGGGGGTTCTTTGCTCTGCATACCATTTTTCCAAGCTTGCTCTTCCGCAGAGGAGCATGCGCTGAAGATGAATTCGTGAAGATGCCCACTGACCCCGAAGCAGATCTTCCAAGTGTGCAAGGTGGAATGACATTGAAGGCCTAGGGGTGGTCAACGCAGGTTACTGTGCCGCTTGGGGAAGACTTACCCCGGCCATCGCTTGACGAGCCGACAGTCAGGTCGTAATCATGCAGCACGGCTACGACCTCGAAAGATGGGGTCGCCCCGGCAGGCAAGGCCACCATCAGACTGTTCTCGAACAATATGCAAAGAGCATAGCAGCCATCAATTCGGCTCTTTGTCTGCCAAGTAACATGCAATACGCCACAAAGTTGAATGTTACCCAACAGTCGAAAATGTTCAGGTCTCATTGATATCGTTCCGTAAATCAGTCTCGATTGGACTGACCATCGACGCTGCACCTGAGCTCGGGTCTCATGATTATCTGTTGCTTGGTTCACCGACTGAACAATTGTCCTCAAGCATTTCAAGGTCTCTTCGACTTGAGAGTGAGCACTTGGGCAGTCTGCGACCGGAGTATGCCTGAGGAGGTCGTCAAAGAGTAGCGGGTACTTGGTCACACGCTGAATAGGCTTGATCAGAAGATCGCCCACGGTGAGACCCTTCCTCTCATGCTGCTGCTTGGAGTTGAGGGCTACGAGCGACCTGGACAGTGACTCGAGGCCTGACTCATACGTTGACCACAGAGTAGGCGCATGCCTTTGCAGTTCGTGTGCAATGAGGCTGTGATTGGCGCAATATTCTTCATAGAGGAAGAAGTCACTCAAGAACTCTGCAAAGACGGCTGCCATGTCGGACACGTCTCTTGGCTCAGCACATCCTAGGTAAGTCCGACCACGACCGATTTCTGAAGAATCCACAGAACTACTTGTATGCCTGTGACCTCGACCGAGCTTGAAAAGGGCATTTGATTCCATACTTCGCCAGCGTCTGTGTCGGCGAGGGGAGCCGAGGTCCCGGGGTGAAGTGGTGTCTGCCCACTTGCGCACCGCAGCCTCGTAAGCGGCCTGGTGAAGGGTCTCTAACAGTCGCTCGTGCGTATGCAGAAGATCGTGTACATTTCTCAAGATGGAAGACCTGGTCCTGTTCGATATGGTCATGGCAGACGCCAGCAAAGTTGAATAGAGGTAGATAAGGGCCTTGAGATCGGCGATGTAGCTTTCTTCCGTAGCCATTAATTCAGCCAGTATCTGCCTTCTCTTCATACCTCTGCGAAAGGCAGCTTCATCCATGGAGGCACTCGTAGCAGGGCGGTCGCTGTCCGTTGACAGCCGGGCATGGGAACCGAAAATTCCATAGCTATCTGTCGACCTACCGAATCTAAAAGATCGAGGAACATTTGTGAAACTTGAATTGCTCACGCTTGCTGTCTTCATAGTGTGTACGAATGCAGACGACGCAACAGAAAGTCGTTTTCTGTGGCAGGCTGGATGTAGAACCATGGATGCTGGCGCGTTCTCAGATCGAACTGGGAGCAAAGAGCTCTGATGATCGTGTGATGGTTCACCCAATGGATCAACGGAGCCAAGCCATGTTTCCGTCTCTTCAGTGGATATAGTGTCTGTAGTTGTTGATCCCTTCACCGGTGTGAACGGCAAGCTTGTTGGTGAGGAGACATCACTTCCGGAATGCGCTGGAGTCTTTTGTTTCGTACGCTTTGGTACGCATGCTCTGCGTTTCTTTTCGTTCACCAACTCGGTCAATGGTTGAGGACTTTTCGGCTTAGCAGACGACTTCTGAGACGGGTTGAGGCAGCGGTCCCGGCTCGAAAAGGCGTTCCGCGGGGCTGCCACGTCGATACTTGAGGGATATAGCTTCGGTGCTTCAGATGCGAGCCTGGCAGAAAAGGATCGAAAGGCCGTCGAAGGGTTATCACTGAAGAGTAACGGGTCTCGATTTTCATCGTTTGTCGGCACCGGTGCCGATGCAACAGATGGAATAGAAGCAGAGGAGATCTGGAGGTCTTGATGAATGACGAAAGGAGATAAAGCGGTCGAAGAAGCCACGGAAGGACCAGGATAAGATGAGTCTGAGCCACCCAAGATACCTGGTTCTGTACTGAAAATTCTGCTGAATGGGCCTGCGATGACTGACGGTAAAAGTTGTGCTGTCATTGTGTATTGATAGGAGGATAAATTGGAATCAATGAAAGATAGGATTGCAATGATGGGAGACAAAATGAAAGCCAACGGTCAAAAATCCCATTGGGAAGACCAAACGACCAAAGTCGACAATGTTCCAAAAGCTGAGTGATAGAGCATGACAACGGTGGCAGCGAAGGAGAAACAGCTTGAGAGCGGTTTAAACAGGCAGATTCTCAATAAGCAATGGAGGAAGGAGAGGTTCGGCAAGCCTAGGGTGAGGAAGGAACTGGTTGAAGAGATACTGCTCGCTATTCTTGCACCAAATTGACCTGTACCTCTGAGCAAGCCTTTCCATCATGGCGAAGCTTTGCGACTGTCAACAACCATGAAACGTTAGGACAATAAAATTGTTTGTGAAACCTGGGCGTCTGAAGCCACGGGGTACAGGGACGGAAAAGCAGTGCCTTTCGGAGTCATCACTTCAAGGCTGAAAAAAGCTCAATGCCGTGTCTTGGAATGGCGGGGAGCGGTGCTCTATGGGCGGCCTGGAGGGTGTTCTTTTTGTGCAGAATTGAGGCACTTCAAAAAGCGAGTTGAATTTCGAAGCCTTCGTGAGCCTTTCACCCTTTGATATTGCCGCGGGTTAACATCGGCTAATTGCCTTCCCCCGCATTGTTAATTTGGTGCCACTTGCCGCTCTGGATTGCGCATCTCATCAGTTGCCTACGGCTTATGGTTTCATCTCAAAATATCCACCACGTTTGTCGTCATCCTCAAACCAAGGCAAGACCATGGGACTGCCGATGGATCCGAATCTTTCAGAAATCCACGTCCCCAGTGGACCTACGTCCGTCCAGCAAGGCCAATCTTTCGAGGGCTTGACGCTACAACAGCTCATTCTTCGGAAAGACGACCTCGAGGTCGAACTGAAAGCCTTGGGGGCAGTCCTTGACAGCCATGGGGTCACTATGCAGACGAGTCTTACAACCTTCGATGGCTTTCCGCGATCCGACATCGACGTGGCACAAGTGCGCGTGACGCGAGCTCGGATCATTTCGCTACGCAATGACTGGAAAGATCTTATGGACAGAATAGAGAAAGGCCTTCATCAGCACCATGCTAAATACCAGCAGTCGGACGACTACAAAAACTCCTTACTCCAACCAGAACAGCTCCCCTCCACCGCCTCTCAGCCTACACCTTCCGTCCCCGAGACTCCCTTTGCTAGAGTGAACAGCATCGAGCCTGGTAGTCCTGCCAATGAGGCCGGTCTGAAGTCCGGCGATCTGATCAGAAGATTTGGTACTGCGATCTGGTCAAATCATGAGAGACTAAGAAAAGTTGGGGAGGTTGTCAGTCAGAATCTGGGTCGGCCCATCCAGGTCAAGGTCTCAAGAGACGCAGGATCGGGTACACAAGAGCTAGATTTGAGGTTGACCCCACGACAAAACTGGGGAGGAAGAGGTACACTAGGTTGCCATATTGTTCCTGTGTGAGATAGGGAGGAGAGACCACCACGTCTGAGGCACAGGAAGTGCCATCCAGAACGAACTACAATGCCCGTTCGGCTTCGGGCACCACCAGAAGAAGACAATGTTCCCATTCCAGGCGTCAGAGCTTGTTCACCCAGTGACTCAACCAGGCTCCTGCAGAATGAACGGGTTTTACCAACCAATGTTCGAAGAGAAGGCACGGATGGGCGATTAGGGCCAGCCTCACCAGCCGGAGGCATGTAGCAGCCGATAGGCGTGCAATGTCAGCAATGCTAGCTTGGGTCCTGGGTGCGAAAAACTGCCGCAAAGCTCTTGACACAGATGAGCAGATTTGCTGTACTGTGTACACAATGTATCAGTCTGCCTCGTTTATACCATGTTAGCTGTAACAATAGAAACTATTACTAGCAAGATACCTCGCAATCGAAGATACTGGAATATTGTGCAGAATCTATCAACACGTGACCGCCTGAAGATTATCGGAGGCGGCTGCCGTCACTCGGGCAGCAATCTTTTGCAATCAACTGTCGGAGAGCAGATGAAATGACGGACCAGGCTTGGCATATGCGAGTTCCAGTGAAAACAGTCTTTCCGCCTCTTTCAACCTGCGCTGCCTTTTCGCAAATACCTTGCAAACTCACCACTTTCTTGTCTTTTTCCATCTCGCTTGCAGAGATATCCTATTCATTGAGATCCGTGGTATTGGACCTGATCTCGAGAATCACCTAAACCCTCAACTGCCATCCCCATACCTCGCCCTCAACATACCAAACATTGACAATGGCGGAAGCTCAAACAGGCGTACCAACCTTCAAGCTCGTCTTGGTCGGTGATGGTGGTACCGGAAAGGTATGAGAACCTGAAACACTTCTTTCCGCTCTTTATCGCATCTGAGCGATGCTCGCATCCGTCCCGAGACAATTGCTCACACATTTTGATAGACTACCTTCGTCAAACGCCATCTTACAGGTGAATTCGAAAAGAAGTACATTGCCACTCTCGGTGTCGAAGTCCATCCTCTAGGTTTCTCAACCGTACGTCCCTCTGCAGCGCCAAAAGAGTCGCGATCTAACGACGATTTAGAACTTGGGTCAAATCCAATTCGACGTGTGGGACACCGCAGGTCAAGAGAAGTTCGGTGGTCTGAGAGATGGCTACTACATCAATGGCCAGTGTGGTATCATCATGGTGAGGATTTGGCTGTTCAAAAGAGATCTTTGTGAATCGTTTTTGACGACTTCTAGTTCGACGTCACCTCAAGAATCACCTACAAGAACGTCCCCAACTGGCATCGTAAGTCGCATATATTACGTTGCATGCAGATTGAATAACTAACAAAATGCGCAGGTGACCTCGTCCGCGTCTGCGAAAACATCCCGATCGTCCTCTGCGGTAACAAAGTCGACGTCAAGGAGCGCAAAGTCAAGGCTAAGACCATCACCTTCCACCGCAAGAAGAATTTGCAATACTACGATATCTCCGCCAAGTCCAACTACAACTTCGAGAAGCCCTTCCTCTGGCTGGCTCGGAAGTTGGTCGGCAACCCTCAACTCGAATTTGTCGCTGCTCCCGCTCTTGCACCTCCTGAGGTCCAGGTCAACCAAGAACTACTTGATCAATACCAGAAGGAAATGACCGAAGCTGCGGCCATGCCTCTGCCTGATGAGGAAGATCCTGACTTGTGAGCGCACAACAGCGGTCTGCGGTCGCAGTCGTATCTCTCTTGGTCAACGAGATCGGTGTGAAGACAGGATTCGGGCTAGCGAGACGACAAATAGAAGGTCGTATTGATTTCCCATCAAGGGTGGGGCACATGGGATGGGGTGGTGTCGAAAGAGCCCAGGAAGTCCTTTTGCCCGTCATTCGAACAGCAAAGAGGATCGTCAACCCTGGATGACGAAGTGAACGACGAACGATGAGCTTGCTGAACTAAGAATATCACAAAAGCAAACTGCATGATACAGAAAGTTTCTCTTGCTCATTCTGCGATAGGTCTAGACTACAATATGATAGCATAGCGAGAATGAATTCAGTTGAATAAATCATCATGATCAATTTTAGAGTCTCGATCGTTTTGCTGCTTTTGTATCGCTTCACGGCCTGCTCGTTGCAACGTGTGAACCTTCTACAAGCTCTATTTCACGCTTTATAGCTTCATGTGAGGGAGAGGTGCCCTTTTTCACCTGATGAGACTCCTCCCTCCGTTCCCTCGAGTACACTCACAAATACATCCGACTGCCTTGACCGTCAATTCGGGCTTCGTCGATGCGCGTTCGATATCTGCCGGCTGAACTTGCCCGTCTTCATGAGCGACATGTTCTCACCAATAATGTGCGGGAGCCGTGGCCGAACTGCAAAGAATACAATGTTGCAAGCATTGCCTTGGAAGGAGACATCCCACGTCGACATTCGCACCGGGTGGTCGTAGTAGGCCACTTTGGAGGTGGGTATGGTCAAGCGGCCCTCGGAAACCATGCGTTCGAAGTTGAAGCCCAGGCGGGGATGGAGGCACATTACTTCCTCGAGGACGTCTTGACGACCTATATCACTTTGTTGACATGGTAACAACAAGACTTCGTCGTGGAATGGGAGTGGATAGGCGGCTGGCTCAAATGGCCTCACACATGGTGCCCATGTGGTTTCTTTTCTTGCCTGAAGCCAGAAAAACGCTGGGAGGTGATGTCACCTCTCGCATCGAAACCGCCTGTCAGTTTTCCAATCAGCATCGTGAGCATCTGCACAAGGGAGGTGGAGAATCGACCAAGGGGGCCACGAGCAGGCGCACCATTGCCAACTGCTCAGAGATTTCAGTTCGTTGTCGTTGCAACTCGTATGTCGCTGGGAAGAAGATCGCAGTACGCGCATTCGTCTGCGGAGGGTCTCCTACCTCGGTAGATTGGCCATCGAGCAACCAGTGGGATACATATACGCGCAGGGATCCTAAACGGTTCGGCTCTTCGTGTCAAGAAGAGCTCTTCGAGACGATCCTCCTAGCCTGCCGTATCTCTCACGCGAGGGTTCAATGGTGCGTGGGGAGCCTGGCGACTTTGAGCCACCGCCACTGGGTGAGCAGCTAGGAAGCTTCCGTTAAAAGGCGCCCTGGAATGGCTCTCAGACTTCAGCAAAGTCTACCTTCATATCTTCTGCGCTGCAGGACTGTGCTGTTATCTGCGCAAAAGGACATGCAAAACAGGACAAACCTCAACGAGTATGCAGGTCAAGATCATGTCTGCGCGATGTTGGAGTGGACGGGCACGATTCAAAGGTCATACTAGCACGCTGGGTCTGACGAATCAAATAGTTCTATATCTAGCCACACAAACAGAATAGGTTTTTAAACAAAAAGGTAATAATATTCAACTCCCGCCCAGTTCGAGTATCTCCTTTACGTGAGTTTGGCAATTGGACAAAAAGAGAAACAAGACAAGGTCAAGGTTGATACTCCTTCACCTTCTCGGCTCTGCTCAGGCCGTCGTTGAGGTCGTACCCGGGTTCGAACCGGGGTTGCCGGAATACATGTATCAAAATCCGGAGTGATAACCACTACACTATACAACCATGGAAAACTCGAGGCCAATTCAGGTCAAGTTTTCTAAGAGTAGAACTATTATAGCAATAATTTGGAGGATTGGCATCGGCACCAAAAGCGCCTATTGGAATTGACCTCTAGGGGTCACACGGCCCCCAGGTGGAGCGGCGTCGCCCACTTCCCAGAAGCCTGAGAAGGAATGACCTCGCCTTGGATTTACTAGTCTAGATCTTGGCATTTGAATGACAAGTTTATGAAGAAGGGTGTCAGCCTTTTAGGAACGCGGTTGCATGTTCGAGGTAATAGAAGTTGTCTTCCATTGTACATTCGCGCTACCTTATGCTTGAGTGTGCCTATCCACATTGGAAATCAAATGCTCGAACGCTCAAGAGGCCCGCCGTAGCTGGGATGCCTTTCCTGACTCCAACGACCCGGTGCGCCCAAGCACACCATGCTCAATCCAACCAACATGACATGACATGCGAAAGCCCGCATTGCGCTGAATCACTGCTAAATCATGCACCATCACGCTAAATGTTGAGATGCCCTCTTTTTCCCAACTGCGATGCTGCGCCGTGGTCTTCATGTTCGCCGTGATACCATCCTGAGCCGGAAACAAGTCGTCTCGTTGCATGTGACTGCTCGAGCCCTCATCTCTCAACTCAGATACTCTGTCGAAATTTGTACTCCTAACGCGCCTGTTGCTGATCATGCTGAAGTGAAACAGGGACGAACCTCTTCTCCGTACACCGGTCCGTCAAGATAGTGTCGATTTTAGCCTCGCTGTCCTCTCCGGTACGATAGGCTTCAATCTCCAATCCCACGCCTCTCATCGCAGCCAAGACCGCTCGAACGTTCAGATTGATCGTCTCCACTGGCTCTTGCGCCTTCATCAAATACCGCGTTAAGTTGGGAAAGAGGACGCCAAAATCAGACTGCGAAAGATGGGCACTGTCTGGAATGAGGAAGAGCTTTGGCGCTATACTGTCTGCTGCCTCGAAGGATGGCGCAAAAGAGGTCATTGATGTGGAGGCACTGTGCTCCGAAGTTCTGCTAGGACTAGGAGAAGAAGTTCGGCTCAGTGCAGGAGACTGTGATGCTGATGACAAAGGCGTGAGCTCGTCGATATCTGATGCTCCATCATTACTTCCCTCTGCATCTTGGTTCAACGCTGCTTCTGTTTCCAGCTCCGGTTCGAACGCGGCTTTGTTCGGAGGCGTGGCAAGCGTTGCATCGTCGATTGTGGGGTTGGACCTCGGTCTTTGTCGCTCAAAAGCCTCCATCGCTTCAACGGGGTCGGCTGAAAGTGCTGCCTTCATTCGGTTCAACAAATCCGTGTATTTGTAAAACTCTGCCGTCACAATGGCAACGACGTTGGTGGTGGTACTGTCACCATTTTCAGGTCGTTTGCCTTCGTAGCAAGGCAACGGTCGCTCCCAGAGCCATTGCGTCAGCTCGCCACGGAGAGGCATCGTCCACAGATCGAGCAAGCCAACTGGTGAGTCCGGGGTGATCTGTCGGATTAGATCACTGTTTGAAGCCGGCTTGTAAAGAGGTCGCCAATCGAGGTCATTCTCATACGGGGTCCCCTTTAACGAGGGTAGGGATTCCTGGTAGTAGACTGATTTGACGAATTGAACAACGGTCGCGGCGCCGAAGGAGTGACCCACCCACGTAACGCGCCCCGGCTGGAGATCAAGTGTGTCCTTGAGAGCAGGTTGCTCGCTTGCTTTGCTCTTCTCTGGACTGGCGTAGTTGGTGAAGCTGTCTCCTGCATTCAAGCTCGTTATTGCAGTGTAGAGTTGGTCAAGCTCCCATAGCCGGATACGGAGCTGGGCGTTGCGGGAGTTCAGGACTTCAGCCGTTGGGGAATGGGCGTGCTTCTGATATGGGATTGAAGTGGTCGACCCATCCGCTGAGCGTATGAGAGAGATTGGAGCGCTTCCATCTCGATGTTCTGGTGCAACGCATACGATGCCAAAGCTGGCTAGAGACGTACATATTGAACTGTAGGTGTTGAAGTTGCCACCTAGTCCATGAGAGAAGATCGCTAGTGGGTACTTCGTGGACTTGTCTCTCGGCAGTAAAGGCGCCTCTGCCACGACGGGAAGATTCGTGTAATTGATAGTGAATGGCAGGTAAGAGAGAAGGGATGAAACACGTGGTTTAGCTCCCAGGAAGCTGGCATATGCTTGCTGCCAGGTTCGTTGTGGATGTGGAAGCCAAGGTACCGAGACCTCGGAGGAAGCTGATTGTGTGGTGGGATAGAAAATACGGAATTTAATGGTCGAGATTTTTGAGTCTGGTGTAGGTGAGGAGGAGGGGATCTCAGATACTGGGATCTCCCATTCTACCGTACCGACTTTGTGCGGTCCCAGTGGTTTGGGTAGAGATGGAATAGGGTTGAGGTAGGATGAGATCATCCTGGCTCGTGTTGGCCTCCAATTTGGGGAGATGGAAATTGGTCTCGTGCTGGGGGTCAAAAGTATCTCGAGGAGAGCAATACAACAATAATTAAAGAGCGAAGGGGGGATCTAGTAATCTAGAGATTAACACGGACAGAATTGCAGTGACGACTACAGAGGGAACGTGATAGAATATGTAGTACGGAGTATCTGCGAGAGTGAAATTCAATGACTTAAAAAGAAGACTCGCGTGCCCACCTACTAAGTTCTGTGAAGATTTTCCAAGGCGAGGCCGAACGAAACCAGGGCCAAAGCGTTGATGTCATTCATTGGAAGCTTGAAAAGCGTTCCGACAAGCCGACCGCTGCACATGAAAAAATCGTGATGGTGGATGCCACTGTCACGCTCTTCAACCCGGCGAATGGGATTGACCGCAGGTCTTGCCACCGACAAGAAAGGACAAGAAATGACAAGAAAACCACGGCCCAGAATCGACAGTTGAGCCGAGGCCAAATACATATCACGTGATATGATTCTGCCTTGAAAACTTGCTCGCTTGGCCTGTTTTCTCGCGGCGCGTTTTCCCAATACCTAACTTCTGGTAGCACATCACTCTCATTGCCGGCTACTACGTCCAACAGCATCATAAGTGGCAGCACTCATCTTCTCGATCCTTGGCGCCGGCTTGTTTTCTCTTTGTGTGTCTCTCACTCCTCAAGGGCTGCTTGTATAGCCGTACACTTGGACCTTTTCTCGCGTTTTGCTCTCGAGCCCACCACGCGCCGGCGCGGTCCGCCAATTCCCATCCATCAAAGATTGAGCTTGATGTGCTATACCCATAGGATCAGTGATGACACCGTCTGGCCATAGGAACCTTTACCATGGTGATTCTGATGAAGCCTATCATGCGTCTCCACCTTCAAAGGACGGTGCAGAGTAGATAGGTTGTATGTATTCAAAGACCTCGCGTCAAAGCTATCGCGCTTCTCCTTGGGGGTTCAACAAACTCGGCGTTTGGCGCGTATCACCCACGTTCTTCCTTAGCATCATGCACAAACATGCAGCATATGCACTTCGAGCTCCCAGCCGTCACACTAAACACCTTTGCCTGCCTATAACCTCGTGTATTTCCCTTTTCGCGCATTCACGACCGCGCAATACTCGCGATACAGCCACTGAAAACAAATGCAAAATGCCTTTCCCCCTCAACTTTCACCGGTCTCACGATCTGCGCAAAAATGGTTCGCTATATTCTTTGTCCTGCCACCCGCCTTCATCTGGGAAATAACCCCTCGATTCCCTCCACCTTCTCTGCCTGATCTCCTACACACCCTACTCATCAAGGGAGCACGAAGCTTCCATTGTTGCGGCCCTTAGTATTCTACCGGCAAGGACCTTTTGTGCATAACGAGATCGTTGTATTCTTTGCACTTTGTTTTCTTCTTGAAAAATCTCCACTCTGCTCGATATTGTTCGCTATTTGATTTCGGTTTACCAGGAGATTTGTCATTTTGTAACAGCCCACAGCTTTGTTACGGCAGCCACTTGTATACAACGCAAGCTATGCGCTTCGTCAGAAATGACTGTACCGGCCCTTGCCAAATTTTGGCAAACAGACCTTACTCGCGAAAGCTTGTTGTCTTTCCTCCCCAAAGCTGATCTTCGATCTCTACGGCTGGTCTGCAGGGAATATTCCAGGGATATCGCTCCTATACTCTTCAAAAGCCTCGATATCCATTTCACCACCTATGCTTTCACGCGCAGGGCGCGAATGTCGGCATTGGAGAGGGTTGGCCACTATGTGCGAAAGCTGTCCTTCATCATGCCCCATGAATCCGAGACTTTTCTCCCACCACTCCTGGTTCCAGGCACTTCGGACGAAGTTACCTTTGTCTATGAGCCTCGCTCAAGTATGTCAAGACCACCATCTTCCAGCAGCTCTTCGACTTCGAGCTCGACGTCCAAGTATGGGTCCTGGGAACTGAACGACTTACTGGTCAAACAATATCCTCCCTTGTTTCATGCCGCAACGAATGTTGATTCATTCTTCCGAGCAGTCATTGCTCTCCCAAACTTGCGGCATCTAAAGATTTCATGTCCAGGCCAACCAACATCACAGAGATATCGCAAGGACATAGTCGATTATGCCCTCATTTCTCTGCGTTTGGCAGTCGAGAGTGCCAACCCTGTCCAGCTTGAAACATTAACACTTGAGCCTATACACCCGGGAGCCATACTTCACCTCCGACCTCACTTGACCTTTGGCTCTTCACCAGCTGCCTCGCGTGTTTGGCGACGCATCAAGAAACTCGACATCGAGATGGATAGCTTCGAGTATGGCCGCGATCATCCGGCAGATCAACTCAAGATCCTCCATAGCTACTTACAAGCTTTGCCGGCTCTAGAGCATTTCAAGTTCACGTGGAGGGGCAACAAGGGACCTTGTCCACTCGCACTCCACGTCGAGCCTTGCACTTCCCGGCCTACGTCGCTTCATTGTTCGAACGCCTGCCCAAACTCGAGTACAAAATCTTCTTGCCGACCTCTAAAGTTCCGGCACCTGAAGACCATGCATCTCAGCAATGCTTGCCTTGATGCACATCAGGCAGCGAGCTTTATCATGTCGCACCGCAAAGTCTTGCACGAATTCCAGTTTGATCGATGCCATCTAAGGTCGGGAACGTGGGACGACGCCTTGGCTCCCCTAACTCGAATAGTTGGGAACGACAGCTGGAAGCACAAACGAGAGGAAGTCATGGATGTTCCCCTGTTACTGTCTTCAGCGGACGACAAGAGCATGATGGACTGCGTCCAGGAACCATTATGGGATGATGTGATCCGTAAGAGTAGAGGTCTGAAGACTCTCCGCAAAATCAGCCTGAGGACAAGAGAGATGGTTCCTGAGCAGGTCAGACGTCTATTGAAGACAGCCAGAGTCGCATGGCATTAAGTCTGAGGCGGTAAGCGGCCTAGAGGACAACATGAAGATATCACCAAGTCGAGCTGAAGGTAATCATTCAGCTTGACCCTGGCTACTGCTACCAGGGTGCCAATTATTCAAAAGCTATTGTTTAGCTTGCACATTCGTCGCCAATCGAATATCTTTCCTCATGCTATGATTGCGAAGCGTAGAATTTGTCTCAGTATTACTCGTCTCGTAGAGGAACAATAGAAAGATCCATTATGCCACGCCGATATGGTTCGCATGATCTTGGATAGTGCACGATAGAGCCCCAGCAAGTGACGTGTTGTCTTGAGCTTGAAGGTTCCGTGGGCTCAATAACGTTAGGTAGGCATAGTTTAGTCTGCAATCCGTCAAGAAAATGTCAGAGACTTGGTTCGGACAGCCCCTGAAAATAGGGCCAGGTCTCGGGGCAGTTGGGGGCGGGAAAATGGCTGTTCGCCGCTCGAGCCTCTGAGGGACTCTACCCGGTCGAAGATCCTCCCGTGCGTAAACTGAGCCTAACTCACGACACTCAAGACCCTTTGGCGATTCCTCCTCACCACGATTCACGCCGCGCGTCAGACACATACCCCGAAATGGCACATGTGTTTGAGATTCCGCGAAGAAATCCAGCACCTCACCTTTCTGAATCCATAGACTTCATCTTCACTTGTTTTGATGATTCTTTTTTGTCATTCATTCGCTCGTTTCCTTGCGACCGATCCTCGTTCTAGCGACTATCTGCAGGCTCCAGAATATCCTCGAACCTAGTTACATCTGCGCTCGTTCCTCCTCTCTACAACTCTCCAACCTGCTACACCGGATCTTGGTAGACACTCTGGATTGGGTCGATCGCTCATGGTTATCGACATGGTCGCGCCTATCATTTTTTAGACCATCTGGTGAGATTCCACCTCCTGCCTCCGACAAGAGCACCATGTCTTCGCATGACAGAACGCCGCCGAGAACGGTCGGCCGGCAGTCGATACCTCTGCGAGACCTCTCGAGACCTCCCGACGGCGCATTGGCCGGCTCAGATGAATCAGAAATCTCAGGAGTAAAATCAAATGGCCACACCTCCAGACACAGTCGTACACGTTCCCTACTCACAGGTCGACGGACTCCTAATTATTCACGCTTGGAAGAAGAGTCGCCTACTAGAGAAGGAAATCCATATGGGCGCGTTGGATATGCTGCAAAAGGGGGGAGTGGCAATGACTCTCCTGTCGAGGATATTGGAGGCTTTGCGGCAGCAACTGTTGGATTGGACCTCAGTTTACCCTCTACACCTCCCAGTACTGGCGCATGGAGGCCTACGATTGTCACCACTCCTGCTGATACAGGCCTTAACGAGGCGGACAGTCTTTTCTCGCCCCCAGACTCTGACACAACTCCATTGACTGAAGGGCGCCGGTTCACATCCTCGGTCAACACGTCTAGTTCCGCCTCTAGAGGTCAACGGCACAACAGACAAGGGAAAGGGTCAAGCGTGCAGTGGACGGATGGGGAGTCTCCATCGCTTGCCCGTGGTCGAGGGTCTAGGCTGGGAGATGATCTGCCCTCTCTTAAGACAACTGCGAGTCTGCGTCGAAAGCTGAGTACCAGTAGCGGCGTGGCTCGTTTGACACCCGAACGAGCAGAGTCTGGGGAAAGGTCAAGGTCTCTATCGCCTTCTCCTTCTCCGATGGCCCGGGCAAACTCCATGCTGCGAGAGATATCCCAGCGTGTGGTCAACCTAAGTAACGACTCGGACATGGTCGAGCAGAACCTCCGGCGGAAGTCGTCGATACGCGATCAAAGACGGCCAAGTGCCTCAGCTCCTCATGTGCCACCTGTCCCCGATGAAGAAGAAGCACCAATCGCTCAACCTCCAATAGAGAAAGTTCCTTCTATCGAGACTTTTCCTGCGCCATTCATGCCTGTTCACTATCCAAACCCTCTGCTCGGCAAATCATGGGGCATTTTTGGCCCGGACAATGGGCTCCGGAAATGGCTCCTTGAGATTCTGGTACACCCGCTCACAGAACCCTTCATCCTGGTCTTGATCATTGCTCAAACAGTTCTGCTAGCGGTGAACGCCGCTACTGATGCCGTCTATCTCCAGTCGAGGACCAAGCGGTGGGGAAGCGGATTCGATTATGCGATCTTTGGGTTATTTGTGTTTTACACATTGGAACTGGTTGCTCGGACGATCGTGTCGGGCTTTATTTCGAATCCGCGCGAACACAGTACGATAAATCGTGATCTGGGGTTCAAACGAGCTGTGCTACATAAAGCAAATACGCTGTTCGCGGGTTCACAAGCACAAGACCTCCGACCTTCTAAAACCGATGCCTCAAGCCAACCCTCAATTGTCCGCGCATTCACTGGTGTTCCGGAACCCGGTGGTCCAGGTCACAGCAAGCACCAGCAAAAAGTACGTCTCGCACGAAGGGCCTTTCTCAGACACTCTTTCAACCGGCTTGACTTTGTGGCGGTTATCTCATACTGGATTTCTTTTGCCATGCAGATGACGCTTGTTGAGAGCAATACTCACGTCTATGTCTTCAACATGTTGAGCTGTCTTCGAATTCTACGATTACTGGGCTTGACAGCTGGGACGTCGATCATTCTTCGTAGTCTGAAGAAAGCGGCTCCTCTCCTCGTCCATGTCTCATTCCTGATTGGCTTCTTCTGGTTGCTTTTTGGTATTGTTGGTGTTCAAAGCTTCAAATCCAGCCTACGGCGGACTTGCGTGTGGGTTGGTGACGACGGCTCTGGTCAGAACTATACGCTCAATGTCGCTCCTGAGAACATACAATTTTGTGGCGGTTACCTGGACGCAGCCACCGGCGACCCGATGCCATGGCTGAAACTCGATGGTCAAAATGGTACCCACAGCGCGAAGGGGTACCTTTGCCCACAAGATTCCTTGTGCGTCGAAGGATCTCAAGGTCCCTATAATGGGACTGTGAGTTTCGACAACATTGTGCAGTCACTGGAACTCGTGTTCGTAATCATCAGTTCCAACACGTTCTCCGATCTTTTGTACTACCTCGCGGATTCTGACTACCTCGCCGCAGCACTTTTCTTTGCTGCCGGCATTGTTGTTCTCAGCTTGTGGCTAGTCAACTTGTTGGTCGCCGTCATTACATCTTCGTTCCAGATTATTCGTGAGGAAAGCAGACAGAGCGCATTCACGGCAGATACGATTGAGCAACCTGTGCTCGACGATGACGCCCAGACGAGAAAAAGCCAGTTGAAGAAGATCTTTGACAAGACCCATGTCTTCTGGGTGCTGGTCATCGTGTACGATCTGGTGGTACAGAGCTTGCGCAGCGCCTACATGAGCGACACTCGTGGAGACTTCATCATGAACTCCGAAACAATAGTGACACTGCTCCTCCTCGTCGAGATTGTTCTGCGCTTTCTCTGTGACTGGCGGAATTTCTTTCGGGGCAAACGGAACTGCGTCGACCTTTCCCTGGCTATTGTCACTTCTATCATGCAGATCCCGGTTATTCGCAATTCCGGTCAAGTCTACGCATGGCTCACCGCTTTTCAAATCGCTCGTGTGTATCGAGTTGTACTTGCGGTCAGGGTTACCAGAGAATTAATCATGCTGGTGTTCGGCAACATAGGCGGTCTACTCAACCTGATCCTTTTTGTTTTCCTGTTCACTTTCCTGGCTGCGGTCCTTGCCTCGCAGTTGTTGAGAGGAGATTTCCCCTCTGTGGACGCAGGCGGAGAGACTATTCCAGTCACATTCTTCGACATCTGGAACTCCTTTCTCGGGATGTATCAAGTCTTTTCGAGCGAAAATTGGACGGCCTTGATGTACAATGCGACCGAGTACAACTTGATATGGGACACAGCATGGCTGAGCGCAATGTTTTTCATTCTCTGGTTCATCATCTCGAACCTGATTGTTCTGAACATGTTTATTGCTGTCATCCAAGAAAGTTTCGATGTCTCGGAGGATGAGAAACGACTGCAACAGGTGAAAGCTTTTCTGAAGCAGAAAGAAATCAGTGGCTCTACTACTGGCAACTTGTCGCTTGCCGCTGTCTTCAAAATGGGACGGGATTCCATCAGGCACCGTGATGCCCTCGAATACGGCTCTGCTGCTGTTGAACAACTTTTGAAAGAAGCCGTCGTCAAAGATTTCCTGGACGAACAACAAGAGGGACTCTCAAAACGTCCGAACTCGATGCATGTGCCTGACGCTGGCGCGGTCAAGCCTGGGTTGCTTTCGAACTATTGGGGCAAGTTGGTCGGACTCAATAAGCACAGAGAACCAAACCCCTTCTACTCCAATGCTAGGTTTGCCAGAGCCAATGAGGAGTTTGATCCACGGGCGGCTGCGAAACGAGTTGTCATGACCACTGAGAACCGGCGACGCGCTCAGCGCCAATACTTACAGAAACATCCAAGGTACAATGTGTCGCTTTTCATCTTCAAGCCGAACAACCCCATAAGGAGGCTCTGTCAATATCTCGTCGGACCAGGACGAGGGAGTGAGCGCGTGGAAGGTGTCTCGCCCTACAGGCCGGCATGGTATGCCTTCTCTGCATTCACATATGCCGCCATTGTCGCGATGGTAATACTGGCCTGCATCACTACGCCGTTGTACCAACGTGGCTATTTCCAGGATCACGACTCAAGCTTCGCGAACTGGTTTGTCTGGACAGATCTTGGATTTGCCACTCTTTTCACAGCTGAAGCTGTCATCAAAGCCATTGCAGATGGGCTTTTCTTCACGCCGCATGCCTACTTCCGAAGTGTTTGGGGCTTCATCGATGGCATTGTGTTGATTACGCTATGGATCAACGTCATTACTACCATGTTTCGTGATGACGGAGTTTCGCGGGCTGTCGGCGCCTTCAAAGCATTGAGAGCCTTGCGATTGCTCAACATCAGCGATACTGCCCGAGAGACCTTTTACTCGGTAATTATCATTGGCGGATACAAGCTTGTTGCGGCCTCATTCGTGGCCATGAGTCTGTTAATTCCTTTTGCCATCCTGGGGGTGAACCTATTCAATGGGAAGATGAAAGCGTGTAATGACGGTGATTTCGCCTTCAACTCTCTGAGCGACTGCGTTGGGGAGTTCAACTCAACTCCGTTCAACTGGCCAGTATTGGCCCCAAGACAGGTGGCGAACCCATGGTACTCTTTCGATGACTTTGGCAGTGCCTTGTTCATACTTTTCCAAATTGTCTCTCAAGAAGGTTGGACCAACGTCATGTGGTCTGGGACGAGCATCACTGGTAAAGGACTGCAGCCCCAACCGTTTGCATCCCAGGGCAATGCTGTCTATTTTATCGTCTTCAACCTTTTGGGAGCAGTCTTTGTCCTGACGTTATTTATATCGGTGTTCATGCGCAACTACACGGAGCAAACAGGGGTTGCTTTTCTGACCGCCGAGCAACGTTCGTGGCTCGAACTACGGAAACTCCTTCGGCAAATCTCTCCTTCGAAGCGCTCAATTGGAGAGAGGACGTCTCGCATCAGAAAATGGTGCTATGAGCTCTCGATCAAGAAACGAGGAAAATGGCAACGTTTCGTCACTACCGTCCTGGTGCTGCATCTTATCCTCCTTTGTGTTGACTACTATCCAGAGCCAGCTTGGTGGGAGACGTTGCGTGAATGCATCTTCCTGGGTTTCGCGGTCATACTCATCGCCAACGTCGTAGTCAGAATAATTGGACTCTCCTGGCATCGGTTCCGGCGGAGCTCCTGGGACGTCTTTTCAATCTTCGCCCTGGCAGGAATTCTTGTAACCTCTCTAATGAGGCTTTCAAATGTCACTGCTCGAAGTTTCGAACAGGTGCACAAGCTCTTCCTAGTATCAGTCACCTTTCTACTCATCCCCCGGAACAATCAGCTAGACCAATTGTTCAAAACAGCTGCAGCATCTCTACCCCTCATTGCAAATCTACTTGCAACCTGGTTTGTACTGTTCTTGGTGTATGCGATAGCCTTCACGCAAGCCTTCGCATTGACACGATTTGGGCCTAACGAGAACAACAATATCAACTTCCGAACGGTACCGAAGGCACTGATTCTCCTCTTCAGGACCAGTATCGGCGAAGGGTGGAATCAGATCATGGAGGATTTCGCTACTATCGAGCCGCCTTTCTGCGTACAAGAAGCTAGTTTCTTCGAAAGCGACTGTGGTAGCTCTGCCTGGGCTAGAACGCTTTTCATCTCATGGAACATCATCAGCATGTACCTCTTCGTATCGCTGTTTGTGTCTCTCATATTCGAGAGCTTTTCCTACGTATACCAACAGAGCAGTGGGATGTCCATCGTCAGCCGAGACGAAATTCGGCGCTTCAAACACGCCTGGGCTGACTTCGACCCGAATGGTACCGGATTCATCTCCAAGGAACATTTCCCTCGCCTGCTTGGGGTAAGTTCGTCCGGAGACTACCTTGTTTCCCTAAGTACTGACCTTAACAGGAACTCTCCGGTGTCTTTTCGATGCGAATCTATGATGGCGACTTTTCTGTGCAGCGTATCAAGGAGGACTGCTCCTTCCAGCCGGGCGACCCTTTGCCACCCAGCGCCAGGATTGTTGACGGCATTGATCTGACCAAACTGTCAGAAAGAGTAAGCCAGATACCTGTTGATGAGATTCGAAAGCGACGGGAACGGATGAACGTGTTCTACGAAGAAGCTCTGCTTACCGCAGATCCTGACCGTGGTATTCCTTTCACAGCATGCCTTTTCTTGCTCACACACTACAATGTGATCACGGATTCACGAAGTTTACGATTAGAAGAGTTTCTCAGACGTCGCGCACGTCTTCAGAGGGTGCAGGAGACAATACGTCGGAACACCGTGGTCGGCTTCTTTGACACCATTTATTGGTCCAGGAAATTCAGGAAAGCCATTGAACGGCGACGAAACTCACGCCTAGGAGCACCTCCCACAATGCCCGTGCCTGAAATCTTCATCGAAAACCCCGACGACAACATTGAGAGCAGCAGCAGTACGCAGCCACGAGATTTCACGACTTCCACACCTACATACACACCGAAGAAACCACCATCAAGCTTACCACCACTCGATACATCATTCCTGGTCCGGGATTCGCTCCAGAGTCCAGCAAGGCTCAGTTTCGAGGAGTCACCGAGAGGCAGCCCGATCAGAGCCTCAAGGTTAGGCTCTGTGGACACCTCCTATCATGGCGCAAATAGGACATCCCCTACAACGCCAACACTAAGCCACAGCCGTCACGGCAGCACTGCGAGTGGCAACAGTGGACAAGGCGGTGTCATGGGAGATTTTGATGCCTCGGCATGGGGAGAGAGTATAAGGAGGAGCTTTACGACGAGAAGACCGCGGGGAGACCGTGACTGAGCAAGACTATATTTGACGAGGATTGACGACTGACATGACACTTCTTTGTACATACTGGATGGGCAACACGACCTTCAGGAGGCGGATAGAGAGCATAGCGAGGGCGTTTCTATGAGGCTACTCTAGACTCATGGTGGAAATGACGGCTTTGTTGCGTGTGCCATGTATTTGCATTACCATTGTATGGCAAGTGATTTTCTATCTCCGAACTTGAGATGATTCTCTCGCATGTGCCCTCTAAAGAGTACCTACCACCCAGCCTAGTCCAGCCTACTCTTGTGCACAGCACGAAGGGCGACAAGTCCCTCACCTGGAGAAGTTCTGGGTGTAGCTAAATGGAGTCATCGTCGTTAACGGAATAGTGCTTCTCTTGCTAGTCCCATGCTCCAGGCTGTGATGCACAGTTGAGGCACGGGTCCGACAGGAGAAGCCTCAATCTGATCGAGAAGGTCTTGGTGCGGATAACATCAAATCATTGCGGAACACGAAGGATTCCCCGATGGTTTGCAGTCCCCGTCTAGTCCCAAAATATCGACAGGTATCGACAGGGGAGACAAAGGATCAGCCCCTCAGGTGATTGAGATCTTCTCCTGAAACGCCTCTCGAACGAGCAATTGAGATGAGCCAAGCTAGGTTTTGTTCCGCTTGGAGGGGTAATCTCTTCTCGCGTCTGTTTCGGAGGGTTCGGTTGCGCGTCGATGAGGAAGCAAACCCAAACAAACCGGCTAGGAGACTGATCTCCTGGCCACAGGGTCTCTGGGTGGAGTGGGCACTGGGCACCAGTCAGATTGCTGCAACAACGCCAGGTCTGTGTGCTTGAACCAGTGGGATCTCGCAGGACGACGGGGGAGGCCCAGACCAGGGAGCCTGGTGGGTGCTATCGCGTCAAGCTGCAAGACACTCGCGTTTCGTTTGGAAGCTTTGCGAGCAACTGTGGTACTCCGTACCATGGTAAAAGTTTTCCACATCCTGGCCTTTCAGGAGCAGAGCCTGTCTTGACAAGGCACCTTGACGTTTGACAATCCCGCAGACTTCCCTAGCGATCTAGTGACGCTATTGCCTATCATGTATCGTTTGAGTCTGAGCAGGTGGTCCACGCTTCAAGCGGCTCCCCGGGCTATACATAATGTCTCCGGGAGACAGATTTGACATGGACCTTCTCGACAGGAATGTCTCACTGACCTCTCAGCTTGCTCCCTTTTTGCACTGACCTGCTTTTCTTTTAGCAACCTGCGATTGCCTGTGTGATTTCCTAGGCAACATTGGTAGACCTGCTGTACAGGACTCACTGACCACATTCTCTTTTCCGCTACCACCTCGACGACCTGCTGGACAACGTCGAGTTGAAAGAGCTACTAAGCTTGATACGAAATACCAGTCCTTCATTGACTTAAGAAATTTGATTTTCGCTCCAGGAAATGGCGGTTGCACAGTTAGTCTATCACTACGAGTCAATCATTCACCAGGAACCATCCATTAAACCTGTACCTAGAAGCCTTCGCAACCACACTTCATCATCATCGCGAGTCCGGTTATCCTTGCAGACCATATTCAGTCACAATCCTCTACATCGCTCACGGAAGAGCTCAAGCACAATGAGCTGCTCGACAGCCGCTTCTTCCGTCAAGTCGTCCCCGAGTTCATCCTTCAGCAGCTTCGGGAACAGGGTGCGGATGCAAGCCCTTGAGAACCTGAACAATACCATCTCTCCCGTCCTCTCGACATCGAGCCCTTCGAACTTCATCCGTCGGCAGCCCTCAGCTATTGACATGGCGCTTGAGGAGGAAAAATATGCGGACCCAGTGGAGCTCATTGGGTTGGGCTTGCTAGAGCCTAGACCTCGCGCAAACACCAATGCTTCCACGCCGTCCTCTCAGTGCTCAATGATGGAATTCATGAGCGAGAGCATGCAGGGCCCGGTTGTTCTTGACGGCATCTTTGAAGTCATGGAACGTGCATAAAGACACAACCAGCAAAGGTGTGACGACGGGTGGGCTTTTGTTTACGGTCGCCGACCGCCTGTTGTCGACGACCTGTGGATGGAACAGGCAATGAAATTTATGAAGATATGTGAAATGTAAGAGTAGGATATTCGATTCTGGACAGAGGCTTTAGGGCTATGGACTTTGCATAGGACGGTTTGGCAGGGATGGGTTAGATACTTGATACCAGATTTTAATAGCTGCGAAGGAGGAATGGAATTCGATAGACCCAGAACCAGCAACTGCCCTGGTATTGACGTGACAAGTCAGAAGCGTGGACATGGCATCCTTCTCCGCATACTCCCCTGTGACAATCCTGCATGTACATACGGGATCTGCGTCAGATATGCAACGCCAGCATTGGGAGCAGAAGAGCGGGTAAGTTTCCTGGACGTCTCTCAACATTGCAATGGCCAATTTGATGACCGCATATTGCTGCCTTTGGAGGGAGAGACACTGTCATAGGATGGTCGCTGGTGGTCGACTGTTTACGGACGTAGGATGGTGACGGATGAAATGCACCATGGCGTACACGGGCGTACTCCGTTAAAGCGCCCAGACATTTCGACAATTACTACTGACCTCGGTCGACATGATTACTATTCACTCATTCCTTCTTACCTTCTTTTAGTTAGATTCTATCCCATCACTTCTGCAATACGATGAGTACGACTTCTAGTTCGAGCAAGGCTGCCGCTCAACCTCAGCAAAGTCGCGGCCCTCGCTCGGGTTCCTTACGTTTGCATCGTGATCTGGCCTCTTCCTCTTCGCGGCACGGCTGACGCATGATCGCAGACACCTAGCCTTCCAGTCGCTCTAAGGAGTCCCGATCTCACCTTTTATGTCCTCTTAGACCTGCCTGGCCATGTCTGACTAATTCTCCAGGTCTTGCGTGATCTTGTTAAAGCAGCAGTTCTGAGGAGGTGCTATTACAATGCTCTCTGGCCATTTTATACTCTTCCTTTCTGAATCCACTCTCTGATGTCCAGAAAAGGTGTTTGGTTGTCGATAGATCCCACTCTCCGCCCAAATTGTGGACCCAAGGAACTGTCGCAAGTACTTGGATGGGCTTATTGTTCGGTCAGATATTGAAAGAGACCATCTACCTTGTCTCGAGGCATACCCGACACGATCGGCTGGTGTATCTGTGCCAAAGATAAAGGCGCCCAATCACTACCAGTTATCCATCGGTAATTGATATAGGTGGCCAGCAACGACCTTGGGACACAGCCTCTCAGCCTTCTCCATTCCAGCTAAGTCAGACTGACTAATCATTTCTTCTCGACATTGGCCTCAACCTACCCTCTTGGCCTGACAATGTCCGTCGCCATGCAAGCTTTTGCAAAGCAGCAATTTGGCGATCGAACATATACCTCCCTTCAATCTATCGTGGACGACCCCGCCCAGGCTCTTATCTCGTCCAGTGCCGCCATTCAGAGCCACAGACCAGTTAATGGAGGTCTTGACGACATCCTGTCTGCCTCTCGCTACCCGCAAGCCTTGATGGAACCTTATCAGGACCCAACTTCGGACTCTCGCAAGAACAAAGCTACATCATCGGACCAGTTCTACGGAGGTCTCGTGTTCACAGGGCCATTGACCGACAGCAATCAGTCGTCTGTGGAACCGGAACAGTCACCAACACAAAGGAAAAAGAGGGCAGCTAAACGAGCATCGGCAGGTGACGCCGAGGATCAACCAGAGAGCAAGAAGCAAAGAGGTCGTCCTAGGCTTGACACTTATGATGAGACCGCAGCAGATCGCCGCCGGACCCAGATCCGTCTGGCCCAGCGAGCCTATCGAAACCGCAAAGAGACCACCATCTCAGCGCTGAAGCAAAAGGTGACAGATCTCCAGGATACTATCGACCAAATGAACAAGACCTTTCTGAGTTTGCACGACAACATGGTCGATGCTGGAATCTTAACGTCGCACTATACCTTGGGTCGCCAACTGCAGGCTGCGACAGAGGAGTTTGTCGCCTTGGCCAAGATTACATCCTCTGAATCAGACGACGAGGATGACAAGATTGCCCAAATCACCAAGGGCGATTCTGATCAATCCGGTACCCGGAACGAGAGAAGACGTAGCAACAACTCCATGGAACCGAAGACTGTGTCTCGCTCCACGAAGGCGACAAATATCGACCGGAGAAGCAGCGGCGGCCGCACTTCTACCGACGCAGATGCCGACCTCGAAGAACTTCAATTGACGAACACCAGCAATGACGACACCAACACGCTTTTCGCGACATTCTACAATGACAGCTCTAACCTGGATGGCCTCGACAACCTGATGTCCTTCAACGCTACAGTCCCCGAGATCGCATTCTCCGATGAAGCCGTTTATAACAAGCCACTCGCTCTCGAGCGACCTCTGAAGCCGACATACCATCAAGGCAATTATACGTACAGCTTCCAGGAGACCACCTTCGCACGACGCTTGCACAGAATGTGTCTGGAACGCGCGTTCCGCTATTTGACGGTTCCGAACATCTCCCCGGACAGGATCAAGCGTGCGTTTCGATTCACGTTCTGCTTCTCGAACCGCAAGCGCATGCTCCAACGATTCCAGGAAATGTTGAAGCGCAAGGCTGGCGAGTCCCTGGAAAATTGGAACGTGCCTTTCTTCCACATCGGTGGGGCCGGCACGCACTTCCCTCGGCGCGATGATGGTGGCAACCCAATCTATCCTCCTAATATGGTCAGTCCAGCAAAGGCGTTCGGGCCCCAACCATTTATCGAAGTGGAGACGCCCCGTATGGAGGCATCAACCAAAGAGATGCTCGAGAACATAGGGTTCGGCGGCGAGTGGTACGACTCGCACGACGTCGAGGAATACCTAAAGACAAAGGGGATCTTCCTCGACGGCCAGAGCTCTTTCGTGGAACTTGATCCTAGCGTCCTCATCCTCGTCAAGGCCAGTAGAGGCTTGAGCGAGACATCCAGTTCCAGCTTCACCCCGACCGAGCCCAGTATTCGGACTCCGAGTCCTCTGCTTGCGGGCCTCGGGAATCCCCTTGTCGACCCCTTTTTGGCACGCGATTTAAGTGAAATGTACACCAATCCCTCGACTGTCTTCCCGACGATGCAGAGCACCGCGGCCGCTGCAAGTGAAAACCTTCTTCACTCCATATCGAATAAGCCCAACTCCGATCCCTGGGCGGAGTTTACGGCCGCGGCACATAGTTCGCCTGGCTCCACGCCTACGTTCCAAGATCTGATGGGACGTAGACAAGCGCCAGTTACCTTTGATGTGGAGGCGTTTCTTGAGCGCATGGTGGAAGACAGTGCATGTCTGGGTCGGGCGCCGGGTTTCAGGAAGGAAGCGATTGACAATGCACTGGTCTTGAGTTTGCAGGAGAGTTTTTAGCCCTCCGATTGCAGAAGCAGCAACAGGCTATATACCGTTGTATTTCATGTTGGCGTTCGAGAGTAAACTTATCAGCATGAAATCTCTCGTGTTGGGAAGTTTGCCAACTGTCAAGCTCCAAGGCTCTGTAGTGTGCGCTTTAGGGATGGTGCTTTATCCAATAATTATTCCCTCCAACTCAACCAACCACTGCTGTTCCTTTCATCTTCAAGGCTCTCACCAGACATCACTCTGAAAAGTCGTAAATCGTAAGATTCACGGACAAGTGTCAAACTTTGGTGCTCCAACCAAAGTCTGTTGATGATTGAACCATAAGAGGCCATCTTTCCATCAGAGCTGCGGTCATTCGCATCCTCATGGGTGCATAAGCACGACTTGTCCTGCACAACGCAACACGACGTACGGAGAACCTAGGGGCGACGCCTCGCGCATGCTATGTAGGTGGCCTTAAGTTCAAAAAAGGACTCACTCTGAGCAGGCAAACGCTGTCATAAGAAGGGTTTGTGGTAGCGATTGAATTCCGACACAAGGCAAGCGACAGATAAAGCGCGGCAATATCTCCGAGCCGTTTGTTCAACATACACGCGTCCGACATCAGCCACCACCATCCTCCCTCGCTACTTCTTCTCCTGGCTGGGATCAAAGTCGCCAAAATCGTCTCCCTGTCGTCCACTGAGGTAGTCCAGGGGCGTCCTGAACAGGACGGCCCCGATATTCGGGCTGGACAAAGTATACCCCATAGCCTTCTGCGCCTCGGGGGTCCAGCTTAACACCTCCTCGGGGCTATTCGCCAGATAGGCATTCTCCTCCTGGCGCATATAGCCGCGCGTGAAGAAGAAGCCATGCACCACCCGGCGCTCGTTCTGCGTCATGTTCGCCCCGCCGGCGTGGTACAAACTGCCCAGCATGATCCACATGTCGCCCGGCTCGAGCGCGGCGTGCGTGGCCTCGTGTAGATGCGGCACTCGCTCATTGTCCCACAGATGACTGCCGGGGATCGCCAACGTCGCGCCATTCTCGTACGTCGTCGGCACGCCCGCGATGAGGAAGCCGATCAGCACGTCCGAGCCAACTCGGTAGCCCCCGCCCCCCTGGGGTGTCGGTGTCTGATCGGTATGGTCGACGTGGTAATTCTTGTCGTCGCGATGGAGGCGCTGTGCCTGGGCGCCCGGTCCGATGTCGAAGGTCAGGGCGATGGTGCACACGGCTTCGCTGGTGTATGTGTGCTTGGTCTCGCCGTAGTAGTTGGACGTGGTTTTGTCGATGAAGGTCGCGTTCACGGCCCGGATCAGCGGGTCGACGAACCATGTATCCCTGGCCGTTGGGCTGCGGCCGACGAGGTTGGGACACCGCCGCGTTTCGGGCGGGAACAAATCACCCTGGTTCCAAGAGGGCTTAGCCAAGGGGGATTCCATATTGCGGAGTATATAAAGATGAACAAGGGACTAGCTCTAAGTAGTGGTCATGGATCGGGGCTCACCTTCCATGGTTTATCGGCTTCGAGGTATGGCTGGACCTCCCTGTTCACTGTCGAGATGGTGTTGGCGTCGGCGAAGCCCTTGACGACGCAGCACCCGTCCTTAATGATGGCGTTGATGACTCCTTCGGTATCAGACCGCTCCAGGCGCTGAATGGTTGGTAGAGTGACGGTCATTGTTCCCTATTGAACAGAGCAGACCGACTGAAATGTCCTTCAATGATCGCTCTTCAATTAGGTACGAATGCAGAAGACCTCGATGAGATAGAAACAACTCTGGACTTTGAGTCACTTACTGAACACCCTTATAAGTCTTCCTTAAGTCGTATACCACGTTGTCCTTGCCTCCAGTCTAATATGTGGCCGTAGACGCGAGAATACTCGCCGACTCAATTCGGTCATCTCCGTCAATCACAATTGTCTCGCTTTCATGGGATTGATAAGGGTTTGGTAGTGTGGCAGACAATATACGTGCTATTGACGCCGACTCTTGCCTTGATCGTCCTCGATTTTGGCAAAGTCTAGAACCTGGAGCTCCAATCATAGTATTTTACATCATGACAATATTTGGACCCTTGACATCCTGGGTCTCAACTCAAGTCCATGTGACCCGTGAGATTATGCGCCAGTCGATCCCCAAGTCTCGTCAGCTCCATACAAGCTCCATAACGCCGTCGCTGAGGTCAATCGTAGTCGTACATCAAAAAGAAAAATGCATCGTAACGGTGAGTTCTCTGGCCGTCCCTCACACTCATTTCAAGCTCAATCAATCTTCCCTCTTCTTGCGCCTGGATTTCACGCCAGGTTTCCACAAGAACTTTCGGCAATTCTTCTCTCCGCATTGACACCGAATAAGTCCATCGGCTAGTTCTGTATCGCCACTATGCACACCAGCAATGGCATCAGCGTCTGAACTTTCGTTGTCATCTTCGTCTCTCTTGGCCTTGTAATCGATGGTGATCTCCGTGCCGGCTTTGATATCCTTAATAGCAAAGAAGGGGAGGTAATAGACTCTTTTGTCACCTTTGTGAACCTGGACGATGAAGCTGCGAGCATTTGGGTTGCAACTGTGGTTGATAAACCGCATGGCTGAGCCAAAGCGCTTTCCGTCAACATGATACGACACCCCGCCAAAGCTGAACCAGTCCAACGTGTAGATATAGCTGGGTTCAGCCTCTTCCACGGCATCCTCTCGAGCGCGGAGCTCTTCTTCTGTGATTACCTCTCCTAGATAGAGATCGATAAATTGGCCCTTCACGATATCTTGTGATGACCGTACACCAAAGCCACATTTTTCAGTTTGGAATATTTCCAGTGGTAGAGTTCGGCCCTCTCCCACGACTCGGTTCCAGCAGTCGGGACCGCACTTGCAAAGCTCATTGCATTCTGTGATTTCAAAGTGTTTGGCGGCGGGATCGAGCTCTTGGGCGAGATATTGCTCTGAAAGTACGACAATGCCATCGGCTCGGCGAGTGTAGGTTGGTTTCTGTTCGATATGATGGCCGGCTTTGTCTTTCCAATCCTTCGTGAAGCATTTGCAGGAAATATGGCACTCCGAACAGTCGCAGCCATAATTAGTCCTTGGTGGAGCCGTCTTGATACCCGCCTGACTGAAGACATACCGGTCGATAAACTGGAACTTCCCGTGTAGGCGTTTCTCGTTGACCTCGTTCGTAAAGGTTAGCGGAGGAGTGACTTGCTCGTCAAAGCGACTTGTGAGGATCTGTCTCGCCGCTTCGGCTGGGTGAAGTACTTCTTCGCCAATGCTGAGATTCTTGAGTGACTGGGTCATTTCGTCGTCGATTTGAGCGTTACTTCTTAGTATCTTTCTAGCCTTCTTGGTAGCGAGCTTCTTCATGTGTTGGTTACACTCGTCGTCCAACTTTGGCTGTAAGAAGTTCGAAAAGCAGTCGCCAAAGAGACGTCGTGCTTCTTCGGGGTTCTCGAGAGCGATGGCTGGGCCTTTCTTTAGTTGCTTGAGCATAGATTTTCTCTGATCGGACAGTGACTTCGGCACGGGGCCACGGAACTTTTCAAGTAGTTCTTGAGAAGAGTGTACCACGACTTCTATCCGAGCTTGCATTGGCAGCGGCTTCTTCTGGGTAGGTGTGGGAATGTTCTGCTCTTGACTGAGTCGTAATGGTACATTGTGAAATGGTACGTTTATAGAGGTTACCCTCTGAGCAGTAGATTTTGACGAGGTGACTGAAGAGCGGCTGGTAGGAACAGTGGGCTTTGGTATAGTGGACACTACCGATGTCGCCCTAGACTGCGTACGCGGCTGCTTCGTCTTTTGTTCTTTGTTTTTTGAGTCTCTGAATTTGACCGCCAGTTCATCTGTCGCAGTCTTCACGGCCATGATCTTCTCCAGCACAGAGCTGGCAGGCTTTGTAGAGGGTCGCGTACTGTCCACCGACGGCGCACGCCGCGGCCGTTGTTCATCTCTTTCATGATGTGCGTATGGAGATCTTCTTTTCCAAGGAGAAATTCTGGGTTTGCCAGTAGACTGTGGGGAAGGCTTTACAGCCCTGGAGAGCGCCGCGTCTGGCGTGGAAGGACGTGATGGTAGGGCTTCAGCAGCACCATTTGTGCTCGCGCCACGGGAGGAAGAGGCTCGGCCAGTTGACCCATTTGTGAGCGGAATCGGGGTGCTCGTTCGGCCAGTTGATGTAGACGTCTCAGACTTCAGTCTCTTGGGAGCAGGAGCTGTTATAACCTTTATCAAATGCAGTTAGCTATTATATTCTTGTTGTGAGAGGTAGTGGTCCACAGGATTGCTAAAGAGAAATGTGAAGGCCTCCTAGCTAGGTATAGGGATGCTAATAGGGCTGAGACAGCTCCTAAAGGTAAGATAACTTACATCGTCTTCTAAATCAGAGTCGTCTGGGATGATAATAACATTCTGAGAGAATGCCTAGAGGTTGTTAGCGGTGCCCCAGCAATAAGTAAAGGTATATCCAAAAGATAGCAGCGCAGTTAGGCTATATATCAGTTCAAGGAGGGACACAGAGACGCGTAAAGCTCGGGCCCCCTAGAAACTGTATTCGTGCCTAGAAAAGCAGCTAAAGAGAACTTCTATAGCGGGATAATACAGCATAAAATATCAATAAATAAAAGCAAGAAAACATAAGGCTTACCTTTAACAAATTGTCCTCGTATTTGCGCTTCTGGGCCGGATTAGAGGCCGCCATCGCGCTCTGCGACAGCGCGCCTCTTAGGTCTGCTCAGAAAACGCTCTCTTCAGTGGTGGGTTTATTTTAGGATTTAAATAAACTCCTTTCCTAGTATTTCTAGGGCTTGGAAAGTGGTAGAGACAGACTTAAAATCGAACTTGGTTTAAAAATAAATAGAAGGAAGGCCAATTTAGAATAACACCTACTTTATATCGCCAAGACTATGACCGCCTTTCTCTTAGCTAAATTACTTCACTTATACGTATTTCTACTATACATTAAATCAAGACTTAATATTAAATTTAAGACTTAATATCAAATTAAGAATTAATATTAAATTAAGATATAGTTAATCAAAGAGAATATTATCGATAATAATTTATTTTTCTAGTAATTTATTTTTTAAGGTAATATACCCTTATTATATACGGTCTTTACCTTTCTTAGTAACTTAAAACCCACGCGATCCCGGCGATAGAAAACATAGGAAACTCCGTTGTCGAGGACGGTCACTCCATAGGCATAAGGACACCGAGCAGAGGACGAGTGAATGCATATAGAATGGGCGCCATAGGAGTTACCACCGTTCATTGGCTTTGGCGGTGATGGTTTCCCCGACGTCATTCCGAAGCCTAAAAGCACTCGCAATTATTGTGTCCCAGACGACCGCTGATGCTATATCGTCTATGAATTTTGTGGATCATTCACTTTGCTAATACGAAGCTGTGGACTCTCACGACTCTTCTCGATCCAGTCCCTCGCAATCATCTCCATCATCATCGTTATCATCGAATCCCAGCTCCTCTCCCTCCATCTCATCCTCCAACCCACCTACCAGATATTTCTCGTTTTTACCCTCCGTTCCATCCGCAACCACATTCCCGTCCTGTACTTCACAACCGACGAGCGTCGTCTTGTTTCCGACCTTTGCCTTCTTTCCGACGACCGTATTCGTAAGGACACACTTATCGCCGATTGTCACGCCGTCCATGATCACACATCCCGTTATCCTGCTCCCAGTCCCAATCGCCACGCTCGCCCCAATGACACTGGACTTGATCACGCACTGTGTCGCAATGGTACTGTTACTATCGATCAGCGTGTCCGATCGTGAAATCGTGACCCGCGGCGCAATGGTCGTGGTGGCGTGGACCTTCACCTGGTGCGAGAACGGGGATACGGGTGTCTTGGCGGCAAGGCACTCTTCGATAGATGGCAATTTGGCGAGTGATAGCGAGACAGATAATAATAATGGTGTAGTATCGACTCGTCTCACGAGCGGTGTTTCGGGCGTAGAAGGTAGAATGTACGACAGTATCGGCGGCACCACAGGAACTGAGCTGGCTTCCTCGTAGTCATGGGATCCTTCGACCGGCGAGATGATGCTATCATCCGGATCTGCCTGAACTCTTGAGGCCAGTCTGGCCGTGCGCACAGCCGGCGTCGAGTTTACCTGCGCCTGCGTAGTGATCTGCGTACTGCTTAGCGAAAGCAGATCGATCTCCTCCTCAATCGGTCGCTCATGCTGGGGTATATCATTCCGTTCCGGGTTCGAAGTCTGCGAGAATATCTTCCGTGCGCCAAATCGTGCCCGGTACGCTGGTTTGCGCCACTCCGCTTTTGCCCATGTCCCCACGAGATCTTCGCTGACTGACTCAAAGTCCTCGTTCAATCTGGCGAATTCTTTCGCCCAGTATGGAAGAAAGTAGATATGAGAGTCACGGTATTTGGTCAGACACTTAATGGCGCCGTGCTTGCGCAGCAGAGATTGTCGAATTTTCCAGGACTTGTCCTCCTCACACTGATCCCAGAGTTCGGACATGGGCATGGCCCAGACGAGTTTGCGCAATATACCCTGGCCTTGAGATGATTTGGACAACGATGAAGGGACGTCGTGCTCCGGGTCGAGTTTCGTGGTGCACATGAAGTCGCATTCTTCGTGCTTGACGGATTCTTCACGGTCGAGAGTGTTGTACCATATGCTCAGTCCGCCCCGACGGCCGCGCCGTTCGCCGCCCAATGCAAGGAGCTCGTTGCGCGAAGCTTCGATGTCTTCGTTGCGCCCGATACCGCCAGGACCAGCAAGCCGAGTGAGATACGTTTCGAGGAAGTTTTCTCCAGGGATGGCGCAGATGAGATCGCACGGCAAGAGAACAAAATCGGATTTGATTACTGCTTGGACCTCGGGGAGACGGAGGAGTTCGGCGGTTGGGGTGGTGAATTCGAGATCCTCAGGAGCTAGGAGGTCGGGACTTGGTGATGGGAGAGAGGTGAGGTATGGGTTTTGTGCGAGGGCCGCTGCGATGGGTTCTTTTGATGTTGGTGGAGTAATGAGTGTGATGTCGGTCACACCCATGCGGTAACACCAGTCCAAGACGTACCATACCATAGGACGATTGCCGATTTCGACCAGCGCCTTGGGAAATTCCGAGGGGACACTCGTGAAAGTGCTAAGACCGATGCCCGGACCGCACAGTATCAGCGCCTGGAATCCGGTCTGAGGCATTTTGAGGGGCTTCGAAAGGAGACCTCTCTGGAGAGTTTGAAGGTGAGGTTGGCGCGTTATATGTGTGAATGGTCGTGACTCATGCCGGGTCGGTCGTACTGAGTAGGCGAGATTGCGTAGAGGTGACCGCGTGTGTGTTTCGACTGGATCGGTTACGCTTTCTTCTTGGTCGACACCGAGTGCTCGATACAGAGATGGTGGCGCCGGCTGATAGGGAGGAGTTGATCCAAGGACGCCCTGTCTGCCTCGTACGATGGCTGAAAGACGCAAAAATTGGATACGCGGGTTTAGAGAATGTGGCGACGCACTTTCAGTAGCGCTAACGGTCTCCTGGATCTGTTGAAGCTCTCGAGAGTCGGGATTGATGCCGTCAACGTCACCAAGTAGACTGATAGTATTTTCTGCTTCAGATGAGAAGCGAGTCTGCATGTAGATGAAGGATTTTGTTCCCATCGTGACAGCGATGGCGACGTCTGACAGAGGTTGATGTAAGTCTTGGCATTTCAGTTCGGCTGGGATGAAGTCCGGCTGATCTACCGAGTGACATTCTTTGATGGGAATGTGCACTCTTGGAACACGACAACGGTAGGGAAGCTGGTCACTACATGTCTATTGTGGTCATTATCATTGTCATTGCTTTTGGTGAGTCCATCCTTGCTAAGTTGGTTCAATTTCTACGTGGCACGAGCGACAATGCTGTTTCACTGGAGCAAACGCGCTTTGACAATGGCACCAGTTATCTTTCAAAGCTCCATGGCCAATCATAACTGTTGCGTAAGACTTGCTGGATGGACAAGCAAAAGAATGCCTCATTCGTCTACACGGACGCTAAGCTGCCTGAGCCTGCTCACCATCATTCAGGTGTTCACCAATGCCGTTCTCGATAGACTTGTCCTTCTCCCAGCTGCGATCTAAGACGCCGTTGAGTGCATCCTGGAAGATGTGACAATTGTAGTCAATAAGGCCCTTCTTGTCCTTTGCCTCATCGTTCTTGATGACTGTAACCAGGCAGAGATATCTAGCATAGGGTCAGTACGGTGGACACTGGCTAGGATGCTTTTTCTCACCTATTCATCTCCTTGAGGTAGATCATTGTCCCATCATGAATGGTTACTGATGATTCAGCCTCCTGCATTTGCTCTCCCAGCACCTTGTTATGAATGCGCTCATAACCATAGATGTCCGTGATGTCCACAATGACATCGATGTAGTCCGAGCACATTTCATACACCTCCATATCGATTGGTCGGGTATCGCTAGCAACGTAGATTTTTGTGAGAATGTCGAAAAGGTATGCCTTGGCCATTCCGCAGTTGTTGACTAAGATGTTGAGCAGGTTCTCTAGAGTGTCAAGCTGGGGGATCAATTTTTGAATGACTTTACTGAAGGCTTCGAAGATGGAATGGTCGTAGATGGATGTCAAGTGATACGTGATGTTCGGATTGATGTACCCAGCATCGCTGAGGTCGTCACTGACTCGTTGTACAATGTCTTGGTAGATGTCCGAGCGCAGCTCCTCATTGAGACTATCAATTTTGTGGACGAAAACCTCAACATTGATGTGAGGGAAGGTGCTTTGAAGGTTCAGGATTGTTGTGGTCAATCGATTCAATGAATCAGTGTAGTCATCTTGTGCGTCAATAACCCACACAAGAGCTCCAATCTCGGAAAAGATCTCGGTGGTGTCGAATGTGGGGTCGAAATAGTCGAGCTGTCCAGGAAAATCCCAAACCTGAAAGTCCATGAACGATCTTACCGAGTCTTTCTGTATTCGGGTGGTGGATTCGAGGAATAAAGTCTCTTGAGGGGGCATTTTATGAAACACGACACTAGTTATTGATGACTTGCCGCTCCTATAGATTGTCAGCCTTCTTCGGCTTAAGAGACGCATTCATCGACTAACCGACGCTGGCCCATCAGCAGCAGGCGGGGCTTGTTCTGCCGAAGCTTCTTGTCCATTGCCAGCGAGCTCCGTCAATTCGGAGTGCGATGGTGCAGGCGTAGCTCCCGAGGTCTTTGGAGTTTTTGGCGTCTCAGGACGCTTGATCGACAAGAGCTGCAAGGCTCGAGCCGGGGGAGATCCAGGAGGTGTAGTGGTGGCGGCGGTGGTGGTCGTAAGGTTTTGAAGAGCTGAAGCCGGGGGAGAGCCAAGAGGAGTGGTGGTAGTAGGGGTCTGAAGAGCTGAACCCGAAGCAGAAGGATGAGGGGACGTGGTCGAAGCTTGAGTGTTCAACGCCGGCTCTGCATGGCGAGTTCTAGAATGGGCAGGTCTGTCAGAATCTACCATTAGCATCTGGTGGCTGAACATACGGCCCAGGATGCAACGCTCGATGCTCACGAGCATCAATCTCGCTATCGGTCGAGCTTCGGGGAAGGCTCGAGGACCTGGCGCCATTGATATATAACGGCATTTTGATGACCTCGAAGAGTTGAAGATGGCAATGGTGATGGTGATGGGGCTGGTTAAGTGTGTACAGCAACGAAAATGAAGAGAGGAGAACAAAGACAGAAAGCGCGTTTTCATCTTCCCACAGCCCATGCCATGGAGTCGCGGCGATGTTTTGTTGACGCACCTCCACGACATGATCGCAGAACACCTCCCTGCCGCATCCAGAGAACAATGAAACAGGAGCAACTCACATCACGTAGCCCGATCTACCATCTGGTATGTGTTTAAAACCTCCCCTTCACCTAGGGCACATCATGCGCTGTACTGAAATGCACTGCTGAACAGGATCTCGCCTTGTGTAGCTTCGACAGGATGCGACTGAAGCTGAAAACGGCAAAACAATGCCCTCACAAGCGACGGTGCTCTGGCAGACTGCCCAAGAGCAATCGCTAGATATTCCTGATCTGCACTCTGGGGAGTCTGACAGTCTGACAGGGACAAATGATTGCCAGGGCGAATTGCGGTATGTTGCTGTTGTTTCACAATCTGTCGCTAGATACCAGAGGTCTGATGTAGTAGTGGCTTGAGATTAGGAGTTTTGTTCTTCCGCTCCGAAACACTGGTCTACGGCGGTACATACGGCATGACAAACAATTTGCTACGGTGGCACATGGTCTATACAAATGCCACCATGACAGTCGCCATAATCTGGAGCGACAAAGAAAGAATGTATATCAACTGGCTGTATTCCGTGGGTGAGAGAGTTCTGCTGTTGCCGTCATTGAGCAGGACGTACACCGTGAGTACAAAGGCATGAAACATGCTGCAATATCTGGCGGTCACTATCAAGACTTAGGCTGGCTGAAGAACATATATTTGCGGGCTGTATTCAACTGCCTAGAGGTATCTACTATTCCAATCGATGTAAGTGGCAGCCACTCCAGCTGTAATAGTCGGATCCCGGGGCATCATCATACGGGCTGTATTCTATAAATTGAAAGCTCTGCCATTCCAGTCAATGCTATGGAAGTGCCCCTCCTGTCAGATTTTTGCAGTGGTCTTTTGGGTGAACCTCAGATGGAGATGGAATGCCAGCACCCGTGGAATTGATCAGGGACGGATACAACGAGAAGGCTGGTTCAATGCCGTCAGCACTAAGCAGGGAATGTTAAGGTATGAAGATCTTAGGGGGAGTTCCTGAATAATCTAGTCTAGGACAATAGATATTACAGAATCCATCCAGCAGGAGCCCTGTTACGCTTTATCAGCCTGACGACATGAAGCCTTATGGATGAAACTCGGCCAGTTCTTCGAGCACCGGATTGCATGGCCGCGAGTATCACAGTACGTACGAGAGACGCTGGATGAGCATGAAGAGCCAGAATTAATAATGAGGCAATGTAGGTGGAGTGGTGGACCTCCGATTGCTGAGTTGTGTTCCGCGGCGCTGCTTTTGTCTTTTTTTGTTATTCTGATCCGCCTCGCCGCCAACTCCGGACGGCGATTAGATCATTTCTTATCCGTATCACTATTTACCAAATTCAACAAGTTTTTTCTCTCTCCCTGTTACATCCCGTGCCAGAGAATCAACCATGACTGCGCAATGACCGCCTTTTTCGGCTCCAGCCAGCCTGAACTATGCATTACGAATTCGCGATACTGATCAGTCTTGGGGCATTCCCAATTGGCTCCACCTCCCGGACTGTCCTCGTGTTTTCCTCTCATGGTCCTCAATCCCGACGTGCTTGGCTTCAAGCTGAATCACATTCTCGCTTACCTCTCTTGTCTCGCTGGCTCCATCCGCCCTCCATCGCATTTCCGTTGTCCTCAAACACAAGTCGGAACCCATGTGACTCTATCGGGTCTGACATAATGTTGCCTCTGTCGCCGCTGACCGCGCTGGGTCCACATTCCTTATGTCTGGCTGCGTGCTGCTAACGTCGTTCCCTAGCTTGACCCCTACCAGGATATATGAAATGTTGACTTCACGCAGTTCCCGGGTCGCTACCGTGGTCCTCTGACTCAATAGAAACGCCGAAGCATCTCTCCTTGAGAGAGTGTTGTGCTCCCTCATCCTTCCCATAACCCGCAATGGATATACCCCCGTTGGCGCAGCCTTGCCCGCTGTTGAGTCTTCCTGATGAGCTGAGACTCCATATTGTCAGCTATGTGAGAGCCCCTACTTCTCGATTGCAGAAGTCACTTGCTTATAGTTTAGCTTGACAAACGGAGAGATCTATTCAACCTCTCCAGAGCATGCCGCGTCCTCGAGGATGCGACCATGGCCCGTCTCTACCATAGTGTCGATCTCGACCTACCACAATCAAAAGCCTTAAAGACTATTCTTCGAGCACCGGTAATTGAATCTGTCCGAGATCTCACGGTAAGACATGGAAGGACGAATAGGAGGAACTCGGTGTACAATCGCAGGACGAAGTCCGACGCAGTCTCAGTGGAAGTGCATGTGAACGAAATACTCAACACTATACCCAAGGGACGCTTGATCAGATTTGGGTATGTGCCAAGTACGATTCATACATTCAGGGATGACATTGACGTTTGTAGATTGCTTCATCAGAGCCCACTGAGCCCGCAAGCCCTTAGCCTACTCACACAGCGCCATAAAAACACCATCCGGCACCTAAGTTTCTGTGAAGTCACTTCCTGGCAGGAGGAAACAGCCCTCGTGCCTGCCAACCTATCCAGCCTCGAGAGCCGAACGGTCAACGAAGGAGATGGAGTAGAAAAGATCATCTCTGCAAACAGAAACAGTCTGCAAAGATTACACTTGGGACAAGAGAGACATCTAATTGAACAATACCACCGGACAAGGGTTGGCTTCTTTGACCAAATCCCGCGGCCTTCAGATACCTTCTTCGCCACGGCTTTCGCGCTAGAAAGCATGCCACAGCTCCGCGAACTGTCACTCTGCGGGCTTGACCTCACATCTCTTCGACCAGCCTCGATCCAGCAGGCCCTGTTCCTTTGTCAACTCGAGCGCCTATCTCTCGAATCCTGCCCCGGCACTGCCGAACTTCTCGAATCTATAGCTGGCACATTCCACTGGTCGACGTACGCTCCTGACGCCCCTCAAAGTCCTCGCATAATTCCGTCGCTCAAGCACTTCCTCCTGCGGCACGAGAACCCAACCAACGCTCTCAAAGATGCCGTGATCCGCTTCCTCACTTCCTTCACTGGCCTGCGCGGTTTATCGCTGCTGTTCGAAAACGCCGCAATCCTCGAACGCCCCTCGACCCTTATTGCAGAACACGGTCCAACCCTACACACTCTCGTTCTTGAATCGCGCCTCCAACCCCGCGAGCATCTCAGCCTAGACACCTCTCGGCCCTTTGGCGTCGGCGGGTACAGTTCCGATCTGTGGGTCGACACAATCGACGACATCTCGCGGCTGTGCCCTAAGCTCGAATCTCTGGGCATGGGCTTTCCCTGGAACGACGAGATGGTCCGCTTGCGAAAAACGGCACTTCCTGCCCTGGCGAATCTCAAGACCATACATATCCGCAATTTCCCCGAGAACCAAGTGTTCAGCCAAATGGGCGACTACAGTATAAAGGAGTACGCGACCAAGTTTATAGAGTGGGCTTTCCCAGCGCTCCTAGGCGGTCAGAAACCCAGTCTCGAACAACTCGCAATCGGGCCCACGGTGTACGCGAGTCGATGGACGATGCTGCCCGCAACAAGCGCGAACGGCGCGAGAAACCAAGTACCCGAGTTTTTGAGAACGCATCATTTCTGTCTCGACTGGGCCAAGACACGATTCGGCCTGTGGAGTGCCCTTATCACGCCTGTGTCGGAGAAGTTCATGGAAGAGTTGGCTGGAGAGAAGCCGCTTCGAGGCGTGTTTGAGCAGGTCTGGTTGAGATGAAGCTCTTCTTTTCCATCATTCAATATTTGCGGGCATTTCTTTCTCTGTGGTTAGCTTGCCATCTACTGTCCCATCTCGGGTATTACTGCAGATTCGGAGTAACTTGAGTGCGACAGATGGTGATGGACTTGCACTGTTGCATCTGGCGTCGCGGCGTACCTATGGTTTGGTTTGCCCATGATACCCTCAAGCATAGATATAGTTTATGTCAAATGACATGGATTTGGGAAAACAAGTGTGATACCACTCTGTTCGCGTCAGTCCGTGAGTTGAATTGAAGCTCCATCCATCTGCTCTGGTTCTTAACTATCGAAAGGTGCTGGTATGAGGGATGTACGTTCTTGATTTGCTGGCTTTACTCCGGCGCATTTCTTCCGGGACCGATTCACGGGTCGATGGCAGCAAAAGGCATACTATCTACACTATATCACAAGCCTCCTATTAACTTGAACCTCTTAGGAAAGGCGATTGCGATCCAAAGATTTGTTATATTAATCTTCACTCCACTGCCTGACCCTTCTCTGCTGGAACGGTCTCTGTCCCTTGGTCGGGCTCCTCTATTCGATCCGCAGGTGGAAATCGGTTTCCTATCACTTGGCCCAGGCGCTGTCTCCTGGTATCCAGGAAGTCATCACCACTAACCCTACCACTTCTGGCGACTTGCTGAGATGGCGGACTGTTTCTTGGGGGCGTTAGAGCCTCGCCAGCCGCGTTCTGGTTTCCCTCGGGCACGATCTCTTTGCGCTCCCCACTGGAATCGCCGTTAACCGAATTCGAGTCTGAGGCGGAATCCTCCTGTCCCGAAGGAAGCCGTCCCTCGCCGTCCTCAGCAACCTCAGTCTGTGCCCCTCGCATCCGGACCTTGACTTTTCTGAATTTGATGTCCTTTTCCTGTTGTTCCAAAGCCTCCAACTTCTCCTTGTCCTGGTCTTTCACAATGGCATTGGTCTTGTCGTCCCACACCCAGTCTCCCGACTTGCCGCCACTCTTGGCGACCACACGAGTGGCCGTCAGTACCATGGCTTTGTCGACCCCTTTGAGCATGTCGTACATGGTAAGGCCGGCCACGGACGCGCTGGTTATGGCTTCCATCTCCACGCCCGTTTTGCCCTCACACTGCACGGTGGCCGTGATGACGACGCCACCAAACATCTTGGCTTTCTGATTCAGACCGAGTGATGACTTGTTGAAGGGTACGGGTAAGTTCCCATTTATAAAAGGCTCCAGCCTTACAGACACTCCCGTAATGCTCAGGCCTGGGTGTGCAAGCGGGATCAGATCGGCCGTCTTTTTGGCGGCCTGAATCCCGGCTATACGAGCCACAGAAAGAGCGTCACCCTTGCGGAGGCGTGCTGCAAGTAATGCATTATAGGTCTGACTGTTAGAAAAGAGTAGCACAGCCGTTGCTGTGGCAGATCGTGTTGTCGGCACTTTACCGGCAATCGAAACCATGTGCGCTTCACCACTAGAGTTGAGGTGGTTGAGCGCTGGAGGTGGTTCGGAGGAGTCAGAAGACGAGGAGGAGCTCTGCCGTACACTTCCTTCAGAAGCTGGCCTTCTTGTGCGGTCCACCCGCCATCGCGTGATTTGCCGTGTGAGAAATTGGGAGTACCTGGCGAGAGCAATGGTTCTATCCCTGGCAGGCCGTCTCTGCTGCTCAAGGCGCTTTCTGCTGTCGGCCCAAGTGCTAGTTGCAAATCCAGGAATGTTCTCTGACGTTTCCGATGGGATGTATCGAAAACCCTCCCGCGTGTGCACATATCGGTATGTGTTGAGCCTTAATCGAGCTTGTGACGCTGCCGATTGACTATAAGCTCGACGGGTGACAGCTGGATCGGGCGCCGAGCAGAAGGATATGTGTCGCCGTTGTGACCAGGATGTGTGTGGCGCTGAAGTTGGTAGTATGTGCAGAGGAATGAAGGAAAGCTGGTTCCCTCCGACAGGAACCATGGGTCGGGAGATTGACTGTAGCCGTGGCAAGGTTGGTGTGGAAGATCTGGGAGGCGAGTCATCTACAAAGCATGAAAGTCAGCATGACCACTGACAAGACAAGCAATGAGAAAAACATATCCAAGGGCAGTGTATGTTCAGACATGGAATGTGGTCTATGTTCATTATAGAAATAGTCATGTCTTGCAACATAAATGAGCTTTATATCGCCAGAAATGCATGAACACCTGGGATTAGGACAAGATTGTCATGGCTTACCCACCGATGAGGATCATTGGTCTGTTTTTCATGTTTTCCAGCTCGCCCATGCCGGCATGCTTCTCCTTCTTTCGCTTGACGGCCATGCCGATAACGTCGAGTAGTTTAGCTTCCTTTTCGGAGACTCCTAACTCACCAGTGCTATCTGGTACGCCTTGCCGTCGGCTCATCTCGAGATGTCGGATGGCTTCCATGGCTTCGGCGTCAATAGGCTTTCCGTTGTTGGATTCTCTAAGAATGTCGCGCAGAGAAACTTCGGCATTTCCAAATAGGCAGACCTTCAGATTGCCATCGCCTGTGATTCGAAGTCTGTTGCAGGTACCACAAAAATTGTGAGTCATGCTAGTGATGAACCCGATGCGGCCGGCAAAGCCAGGGACTTTGTAGGTCTTGCTGGTATCGTTCTTGTGGCCCTCGACTTTTTGTACGTCGGGATATTTTTGTCGGATAAGCGCAAGCATTTCGTCAAAGCTGATCATTTTCTTCTCTGACCACTTGTTCCCGTCAAAGGGCATGTACTCAATAAATCGCACTTCAATATCTTGTTCTCGACCAAGTTCGACAAATGGCAGAATTTCACTTTCATTCAATCCACGCATGACCACGCAATTGATTTTCAGCTTGATTTTGGCGCCCAACTTATTCATCTCCAGAATGCGGTTGATTGATTTCATAACAGCATCGTGTCCATTCCTGCGGGTCATTATGGTAAACTGGTAAGGATCGAGGGTATCCAAGCTCAAATTAACACCAGTCAAGCCGGACTCGACCATGGAATCAAGCTTGCGATGAAGAGATATTCCATTTGTGGTGATACACAACTCTTTAAGGCCGTTTCTCCTCAGGTTACCGATCTGCTGCATCAAACCCACAATGTCTTTTCGTACAGTAGGTTCGCCGCCTGTCAACCGAATTTTGTCGACGCCCTGATTGACGAACAACTCAGCAAGATAGACAATTTCTGGTGTTGTCAACAACTGCGCCGATGGCGACAGTTGCACGCCCTCTTCGGGCATACAATATAGGCAACGTAAATTGCATCGTTCGGTGACAGAAATACGCAGGTAATTGTGCTCCCGGGAATAGTTGTCCGTCAAGAAGGAAGAGAAGGGACGTGGTTCGTGTTCCTCTCGCAGTTTGTCTAATCGGCGCCGCTCAGGTCGAGATTGCAAGACCGGCTGCACAGTATGCGCTTGCCATTGGGGAGTCTCGGATTCAGCTGATTGAGGTTGGGCGGCCGCTGCGGTGGACAAGGAACGTTGGGGATATCGAAGCGGTTTGGTGTGGCGAAAGGATTGTGGCCTCGTCTGCCGCAAAGCTGTTGCCATCATTTGCTTGAATGCGGCCTCGGCCATGGTGAACGAGAGGAACAATCTCTGATGACTCCTGACATTGGGGAAAGAGCTAAAGGAAGGACTATATCGTCATTATGAGTACAGAATCGGCCCGGGGCCTGGGATAAAAGATGAGGCACGCGCGGAGAAGACAAGCAAATTGTCCACACGGATCGCTGGGCCGAAGAGTTGCAACAAATGTAGGATTAGTCACAATCTCACTGCCGTTGTGAGCTTTTCGGTGTGGGAGAAGCGAAAGAACGGAGATGAACGATGTTCAACGCCACATCCGTGGCGGTGCAGAGTTGTGGCGCTCGACTTGATCACGTGATCGGGGGGTTTTCAGGCCGACTTTCTGGCATCCACACCCACAACTCACGCTACGGACGAGATTACGAGTCCTTTTCTTCCACTCAAAAAAAAAAAACCCCCCCCGTAGAATGAAAAGGTCAATGCGCAGGGCAGTACACTGTAATATATGACTGTGTACAACACCCTCGGCGACGATTCCATATGTGGTATTTCCGTGGTTGAGTAAACGTCAGCTCAAAGGTTGAATTTTCTATTCTTGCAACTCGTCAGAGAGAGATACATGGTGGTCGACCTGTCCACAGATGCTTCCTATACGCGTACTTCGTACCAACCGGAAGGCTGCTTACTGGTCGCTAGATACAGAGTACCGTGTATACAATAGGTGATAGGGGCGTCGCTCTTCACGTGCTTCTCAGCTTCATGGCAGCGTGAATCGTCTCCATGAAGCGCGGGTCTGTTTCAGGTTCCGTGCTCCCAGTGTTTCGGAGCACGGTGCTTGTTATGCCTGAAGATTGTACCGGGAAAGGGTAATGTGCTTACCGATGTCTGACAAGCAATGTTCCGGCTTCTGTCGTAGAAACTTGCTCGAAGGCTCGCTTGAATCACTTCGTCTGTCAAATCAAAAAATCTCCATCTGACAGCGTTCGGCAGTTGACGAAACAAGTCACATTGATTAGACTTTCCAGACTTGACCTTTACTGGTATCTGCACCGGCCAGCGGTTGTTGAGGCCTTTAGGTAGCCAGAGGACGAGATAGCTGATGCGAATTCTCGGCTTGAAGAACAAAGGGTTACTTACAAGTATGAAGGAGCGAGTGGCATAAAACATAAGACTGCCAATATGTCGGTGTACTTGGCGAGTGTCTCTGGATTCGTGAATCAACTGGACCAAGAAGCGGTGGCTTGGTGGGTGACGGCGCAATGCAGTAGCCGATGTTCCGGGGAGTTCTGTCAACTTTGTACAGGCGTGGACCGGTCAGAACCAGTCGTGTGGTGACATGTGGGCCTGGGTCAAGACACAGCCTCAGTGCCTCTCCTTGCGGCTTTACCGGCTCACCCTTTCACTTCCAAGTCCTATGCTCGATTGCCAACTTCTCACCCCTTTCTGCTATCTTTCCTTCTTACAATCCTCCTTCAAACCCGTTATACCGTCTTCACGCCCTCGCTATATCCTTGACGGATACGACAAAGCGGAATTATATCGACTTTGAACGACTTGGGACGACAGTGAATCATTGACCATACTCCTGCGTTGAGAGTTCTATTTTAGGCAACACTCAGAACGCGCAGGCATCAAGGCCCACGCACCGTTATCAGCATCACCACTGTCGTTCTACAACACCATCAACCATGAACCATCTCAACACCAACTTCGATCCTGACTCCTTCCTCAACCTTGATCATGACTTTACTCCCTCCTCGACTCCGAGCGCCAGATCTGTACCCATGTTGACACCTCAATCCTCCACCATCCCAAACTCGGCAACCACTTTTGCCTCAACCTCCAATTCTCAATCCTTCCCAGCGCCCAGTTTCCAGTATGATGCGTATCATCAACAGACGGGTATTCCAATTGGGGCACTAGCAAGCACCTTCAATATCAACAGGGCAAGTGGACTACATTACAACGAATCGACCGGAGGGTTTGTGATGCCTACCGAGACCTTGAACATGCCTCTGAGCAATTTGGACGAGTTCGATTTCAGCCAGAATCCTTCGGACATGGACTTCGAGTCAGACTCTCCCAACGACCTTCCAACCATGTTCTATCCCGATCGATCCTCAAATCAGGCTCAATTTATCAGCCCAAACACCTTGGTTGCCCCCAACAACAACGGCGCTGCCCCTATGCAACGTATCTATCCTGGTATGCACAGCCAGCAGGCCGCCCAGGCAAGGGCTCACCAGGCTCAGAAGCAAGAACAGATGGCAAGACAACAGCAACAGCAACGACCCGCAGGCCAGAAGCCGCTTCCTGGCCCTTCGCCTACAAAGTCTCAACCAGCCAAGGATCCTCTTGTCGAAGAGAGCATATCCAAGGTTTTGAACCGTATGAGACATGCCAGCGTCGTGTCAACGTCGCCTGATGAAACCACCCCTGGTGCTGGCGTGTCGAACATGCCTAGGATCAAGAAGGATGAGGACGACATGGACGAGGATGAACGACTCTTGGCCAGTGAAGAAGGAAAGAAGTTGTCCAGCAAAGAACGACGTCAGCTCAGAAACAAGGTATCTGCTCGTGCATTTCGCTCTCGCAGAAAAGGTAAGATTTCAACCTCGACTCCATTTAACCACTCCGTACTGACTTTCTCTTACAGAATACATCACCCAATTGGAAGGCGAGGTCGCTGTCAAGGTACAAGAAGCAACGGACCTCCGTAACCAGAACCAACAGCTTCGGGAGGAGAACAGTCGTCTTACAGATCTCACCCGCATGCTACTATCATCTCAAGCCTTTTCCGGCTTCTTGCAAGAGCTGAGCCACTCGGGCATGTCAGCACCAAACGTTTTGAGCGAGTCCAAGCAACTGAAGGCTACTCAGAGCCATCCTCAGCCCGTTCAGAAGGACGCTGCTGGACATAATGCCACCCACCAAACGCATGTCCAGCAACCTCAGATTGGCATGGCATTGATTCCCGAAACTCCTATGGACTTCTCCACATTTCAGCCCTCGAATGCCTGGATGACCGCGCTTCCTACCAATGACTTCCAAGTCTACTCGGTCAGCGAGCTACCAGAAGCTCCTGTTCTTGACCTGGAAGCCTTGTCTGGAAAATCAAACCCGGCTGTGAGCAAGTCGAAGTCTGTCAAGGACGCTCCCAGGCTCGCACAAAGGCCTAGATCGTCGATGGAGGCGGTCGACAAGACTCAGACCAACCAAGTCGATGAGTCAGTCACCCTAGATCGTGACGCCTTTGCCTTATATTTCGAATCCTCCTCTGCATCTGCCTGCGAAGAGTCTTGTACGATTGACGACTCGACATTACTTGCCAAGGAGCAGCCTCTCTCAGACGATCTGAAACTGGACAGATTCAAGAAGGTGTGCGCTGAGCTGGATGAGGCCTGCCAAAGGCTTGCTGGTTTTGTTCCGAGTTTGGAGTGGGAGCGTTGAACAAGTCAGTGTTTAGAATTGGAACGAGGTTTACTGGCCATTGGGCCCATACTTTCTGCTTTGGGTTTCTTGGGTCTGCACATAGTTTACGAAATTCTTCATGATCTCCCACGAAATGATTTTCCTCCGCCCTGTTTCGTGACTAGCCATGTTCAATGCAAATGGCCAAATAGCAAGGCGTTCTCATGGTCCTCACACAGTAGATCGGGCGACAGCGAGTCAATGTGCAGTTTGATTGGCGGAGTAAGACATGGAGTGGTGGCTGACGCATTCATACACTTCTTCTGCGCAGCGCAACTTCTTTTTGAACTTTCATCGCCAATAATAATAATCGAGTCACATCGTCCCACGCTCATTCTGGTACAGTTCCTTCACGGGCCTGACTTGTACTTGGTCGGCAGTACATACCTTGTTTTATGTCCGCTTCTCATCGTCACTCGTTCTAGAAAAGTATCGCCCTGGCTCCCTCCACTTCCGCTTTTGTCTGTCGACAGACATTCTCTACTCAGCAACTTCTTGCCCGATGCTCGAATGCCACTCCTCTTTCATGCCAGCCATTCCTGATTCCAAGCCTTGAGAACCTCTCGATCGTCAGACGTCGCCAATTACATACAGCTCAATTACAGAGACAGACGTTCTGCACCCACCTTTTGGCTCGACTTGACTCGCCCAAAGTGCACTGTGTTGCTAGGAATGTTTGCACCCTAAGAAAAGGACCCAAAGAACGTCACGTACGAAGGTTGCACAGTTCAGGACAGCTGTTTGCTAGAAGTCGTGTGGAGAGAGTGCCATTGACATCAAAACAACGCATTTCGTTGCGAAGGCAGGCTGCGCGGATGGAGCACCAGAAGCAGGGACTCAAGTCTGTCGGAGTACGGACAAACTTCCACTTCCAGTTCATCACTACTCCTACTTCAGATACGCCTGGCACCAGTCTGATACTGCACTTTGACAACAAGAGATACATTTTTGGAGAACTCTGCGAGGGCACCCAGCGGGCAAGCATACAACGCGGGATTGGCTTGCGGAAAGTCCGAGGGCTGTTCCTCGCAGGGAAAACAGAATGGAACAACGGAGGGTTGATCGGTATGATCCTTACTATGGCCGACGTACAGCAAGGCGAAGTTGAGCCCAACGGTGCGGATAGTAGACGGCCAAGGCTCCATATCTACGGAGGACCGAAACAACTTCATTCTCTTGCTTGCGCTCGGCGGTTTGTGTTCCGCACAGGAATGCCTTTGTCAGTTCATGAATTCGACGCAGACAAACATCGGGTCCCGGAACAGATATATAAAGATGACAATATCAGCGTATGGGGGATTGCGGCAAGGCCGGCAGCATCAGAGTCTACAGAGTCAGAGGATACTGAATTTGGTGACTCCGACACTACATCTGAAGTGAAGGGAGAGGTCGACAACTCCCGAATAGACGTCGAACAAGGCCTGCGAAGTCACATCGTAAACAACATGTTTGATTCCGACTGGAAGAGAGACCGCCTTGTCCAGTGCAGACTCAAGGATATCAAATTACCCGCGCTCGTATGGGTAAGAGATCCAACGACAAAAAATTTGACACCCTACACCTGCCACGACGAGAACAACCTTGGCGGGCTGACTCTGGAGACGGATGTGTTAGTGAGGATGCCTTGGCCTGCGTCCACGGTCGAAAGACTTCCCAAAGTGTCAGGCCTTCCAGGTAATGTCTCTATGTCTTACGTTATCAAGGGTCATGCTCAGCGAGGGGCCTTCGATCCTGTCATGGCAAAAAGCTTGGGTCTAAAGCCTGGCCCGGCTTTTTCGAACCTAGTCGCGGGCAAAAGTGTCCAAAACGACGAAGGACGTACAATTACTCCTGACATGGTCCTCAAACCAAGCCGGCCGGGAAGAGGAGTGGCAATTTTTGACGTCCCATCAGCTTCCCATCTTCTCGACCTTGAGCAACAGCTGGGTGACCTCGAAGGCCAACTTTTCGAAGGAGTTGAGGCTGCTGTTTGGATAACTCAAGGCACCTTACCTCACGATGAGCGGTTCCAGAACCTGCTCCGCAAGCTCAAGCAGATCAAGCATGTCATTTCACATCCAGACATCTGTAATGATTATATTTCCCAGGACTCGAGTGCTATCTCGTCAATGCGGTTATCCAACATTGCTTCGGAGTTCTTCCTCGTCCCTCGATATAACAACTCGAATGGTTACAATCCTATCATTCAATCGAAGGCCAACGATTTCCAAAACTTAAATGAGGTCCTCGGCGTCAACGACCCCAACGTTGAAGTCGTCGCTGCAAGAAGAGGACTAAAAATCCATATTGAACCACATTTTGTGCTTGATGAAAGCGAGGTACCCCCTAACCTAGACTTGGCAACATTGAGCATGCCTACAGACCCAAGGGTCAAGGAACATCTACCGGACGATATGTCACCATATCGCAGGTCTTCAACCACTTTCTCGAAAATGTTGGCAGAACCGGAAGTTGTCACGCTCGGCACAGGCTCCGCTGCCCCCTCTAAATACCGTAATGTCTCTGCTGTTCTTTTACGCATGCCCGATGCATTGGGCAATTATCTCTTTGACTGCGGAGAAGGGACGCTGGGTCAGTTGAAACGACTTTATACCGCTGAAGAGTTGGACGAGATACTGTTCAATCTCAAGGGCGTCTGGATATCCCATCTGCACGCAGACCATCATCTGGGCACCGTCACAATCCTCCAAGCTGCCATGTCGGCTCGAAAACGGTTGTCCGGGCCAGAGAGGCCTCCGCCCGATCCTCCCTGTTTGATATCCGAAGTCAACATGATTGATTACATGAACGACTATCAGTCTGTACTTGGGCTATGCACAGAGTCGCTCTGCACTCCAATCGCCTGTCACTGGACGGAGGGAATGTCGCTTCGAGGAGAGCCGTTTGATTTCAGTCAGACAAATATCCCGATAAAGGAGCTGCGAACTGTAAAAGTCAGCCACTGCCACGGCGCGCAAGCCATTTCCGTCACGTTCACCAATGGATTCAAGTTCTCCTACAGTGGCGACTGCAGACCCAACGAGCTCTTCTGCAAGACCGGCGTCGATTCAGATGTGCTTGTGCACGAAGCCACGTTCGACGATGGTCTCGAAGGCGACGCCAGGGCCAAAAAGCACTGCACGACTGGTGAAGCCGTCGGCGTTGCTCTGGGCATGAAGGCTAAGAACTTGATTCTCACTCATTTCAGCCAGAGATACCAGAAGATACCAGTGCTGAGCAGCGTTAAGATGCCAGAACATGTATCTGAAGCAGAACTGCTAGACGACGACGATGCTGAGATGACCACCACGGGCCCTGCGCTTGGCGCGCATGACGCAGAATGCAAACCGTCTCAGACGTCCGATGCTACTGCGTGGACTGACCAAGACACGACGCGCAATCTCAACATCGGGGTTGCATTTGACTTGATGAGAGTCAAAATCTCGCAGATAGCGTCGATGAAAAGGCTGTTTCCTGCCATCTCGAAGATGTTCCAGGTCGAGGAAGAGAAGCGCGAGAGAGAGCGACAGGAGATTGCTGCTGGGCTACGGGCGGAAGAAGAACGCAAGATGGCTGACAAGCTCGCAAGGCAGGAGGCGAATAGGAGGAAGTGTGCACAGGGTCAGGCGAAACAGAAACAGGCGAAGAAGCAGAAGGGGAACAAGAGGAAATTGGAAACGGAGAAGGAGAAACAAGATGCCAGTAATGGCAGCATTGCCGGCACTGAGGCTATGGTGACTCAAGCCGGAGCAGAAGCAGAAGCACACGCTGGTGAGAGAATTGTCGCAAGTGCAAGTGTGAATGCTAAGTGTGCTCAGAACGGTGACGCTGAGACTCATGGCAATGGCCTCGGTCGAGAGGCAGCCAACTCCGTCAACAGTGCAACACGTCTGCAGACTTCCGATGTGCCGGGCCCGATTGGAACACCAGTGTGCACAGACAAAGCTGCCGAACATGCTGAATCGACCACCAGTCCAGCGAAAAGGCGTAAGCTGGATATGGAGTCTGAATAGACCTGGGCTGCGCTCATGTTGGAACTACATACCTAGGTACTGTAGCTCTGACAGGGCATGGCTGGGAGTGCCGAACACTCGCCGCACCCCGAGCTGCGCTGCGCAGCACACCGGCCATGATGGATGGAAACAAGCATTCAATGGCGGAGCTGCCGTGATCATCGGCAACAAGTATATAGCTTTCGACAAAGCAGCAAGACCACGTCAAGATTGTCGTCCGCCTCCAGCGTTCGCGGCTTGCTTTTCGGCTTGACCAGTAGCACATGGCAGTCAAGGTCAACAGGAAGAATCAACAACCGTCTGGCGTGCGGCGTGTAGAAAACCACTTGCGAGTGAATGCACGGTACGCGACCGAAATCTGCCGATCGAGGTGTGAATGAGATAGACTCGTATCTAGACAACTTGACGACCGGGCCGCATGAACCTCAGGTCGTCTCATCATCTCGACTTAGTGACTCTTCAATGGAAACTTTGACGCGCCCAATAGACGTCGACATCTTTCTGATCTTTTTGATGGACCTTGATGATTACCAGGTAGCTAGACCAATTCTTCGAGTCTGCAAGTCAAGTCCTGACGGCGTGCAGAGGTACAGTATTATCCGGGGGGAAGCTAAAGTAGAATTCCTTCCAAGTCTCTGGCTACTGGAGGAGAAGTCATACACTTGATGGGGCGCATTCTTATTTAATCTGTCTGCCCTCTGCGACTATCTACCTTTACCGAAGGCAATCCTGCAGTGCAGTGAAGCCGCCAAATAAGAGGACTATAAAGCACACTCTAACAAGATTCTAAAGTGTCTTTCAAAGAATGCCATGCCTGTTGCGAAACGATAAAGGGGGTGAACCTGAAGGAAGGGAAGGGCGGGGTCCGAAGACAGAAGGGGGCGAAGGGGGTATCATCGTGCTGTCTGGGTGTCTGTGTTTATCTCCGAACCGTTGCGCCATTATTATCATTCAGCCTTGCCAAAACTCCTGCACAACTTTCCACACCGCATCCATGCGTCTTAGACAGTCCCAGACTACTAGACCGCGAAGTCTTTTTCGACCACACCATGGCGCGCTCTCGTCTTGGTTCTGTGTGCTGATGCTGGGCCTGACGAGAGTAGCGACTCCGTGTCCTCATCGATCCTTGGTTCGCTCAACCAATTCTGGACCCGATGGGCGCCCAATTCGCAATCGATGCGTTGACGATGTCGTTCGAATTGGGAGTTGTAATCGAATGGCGGCGGAAGAGGTGAAGGTTCCGGACTAAGGAGGGGACCACTAAGACGTGACGGGAGGTGTTGAGGCAGTTGCAGTAGATTCAAGGGCTGAACGCTTTCCTGGCCATGTTCAAAGGATGGTCGCTTGTCCACATGACCATTTGTTCCGTACCGTGGGGGGTCTGGTTCGTCATCATATTTCGGCGGTTCCACTATGGTGTCGGCTTCTGATGAGAAATGACCTTTTCACGGACGGTGATCAGCGCTCTGACAGGGGGCTGAAAGGTGCTGTGCTGGGCTGGGCGATGGGCTGGTGTTGGGCAAGGATGGTTATAGGGCGGCGGAGGTCGATGCCGGGGAGGCGGATAGTCATATTCGGGGCTAGAGATAGTTCTCGACATCAAGTCATGACGGTACCTTGATGTTGAGTTTGTCGTTTGACCTGTTCTCTTGCCCAACGTGCTGCATTGATGGTTCGCTGTGAGAAGTCGCGGCTAGCTCGAGTTTCTTTGATGAGTTTCGTCACCCATTCTTGTCGGTAGTAGTTGGACAATGACCCATCTGGGAACACTTCACTAAGATCGCTGGATATCGTTAGCTGTATGCAACATCAGAGGAAAAAGCACCTACGCAATGATGCCCATGCAAGCTCTTAGAAGGCCTTCGTTGCGGTTCACGTCCTGGGACACAGTCTGCAGGAATTCAAAGATTGGTGGAACATAGTTCTGAAGAATTTGCGCTTTCAAACCTGTCAGCAGGTGCCCATGATGTGGTCGTTTGATCATTTACCTTTCGGGGTGCCCTTGAAAGCTAGAATCAATCCCGACCAGGCATCAGCAATACCTGATCGAAGGGAGACAATGTAGTCGAGCATATCAAACGACACATCGTTTGCCACAGACACGTTGTTGGCTTGTTGAAGGACTTGTGCAACCACCGTGATGTAGGTCTCGAAATGTTCGCCAATGCTGGTAGCGACGTCACCAAATGTTTCGAGGATGGGCGGTTTGAGCTGGTTGGCGAGCTTGTCGGACTATATCAAGTCAGTCAAGATACACATGGAACATGAAGCGTACATACCCTAAGATTGTTCAGGAGGTAGTTCATAAATGTGTCGCAATATGGTTGAGCCTTATCTTCCAAAGCACGGACGATATCGCTGACGAGGCCAATAGCCAAAGAGCACATGTCGGGCGCGTCCTGGTTGCCCAAAGCATTATACAGATATGGGACAAATGAGTCCATATACTTGAGGAAATCCCCTGCCAAAGCATTGGCCAGTCCGCTAACAATTTGGAAGATGACCTCGGGAACAGCAGTCTGGCCTGTAACGTTGAGAATTTCCAAACAGGTCTGCATCACTCGATCGGCCTGCGGAGCAATGTTTTGCTCAAGTCTCTGAACAATGGCAAGCAATACACTGCTCAAGCTGACTTGCAACTCTTCGAGGGTGATCTTGTCGTCGATGCTGACAATTTGTTTCTGCATAGGAATCGTGCTCTCGAGGCGTTGAATAATGACGCTTGACAATTCAGCCACTATCTGCAAACTGTCATGCGCGGCATTCGTCACAAAGCCAGCGAGGACTTCATACGCGGCTGTTCGAAGTTGGTTGTTGGCGCCATCTTTCTCGGTAACTGCCAGAAGTGAAGTGATACTGTCCTGGAAATGTGGTGTCAGAGCATTTGCAGCTGCACCGTCCTCACCGACAAATCTTTCCGTCAGGTTCAAGAGAGCCAAGCAGCATGACGCGGCAATCTTTGGATTAGCCATCAAACCATTGAAGAGAGCCGACATAAGAGGTTGAAGGTGTGTTGACGGGTCAATGCAATCCGAGCAATAGTCACAGATTCTGCTCAGGGCATATGCTGCAGAATCTTGTACTTGGATGACAGGGTCTTGCATCATGCCGATCAAGACCGGTAGTGCCTGCTTCACAAGAGGATCGAGAGTCTTGATGTCCGGACCGTCCATGATTGCTCCAAAGGACGAGACGGCGGCATCTCGCTTCGTCCAGTCTTCGCTGCGCAAGTTTCCTTCCACAAATGCAAGGACAGCTGGCACAATCTCACCGCCAATGGTCTGAGCGTAAAGCTGCAGACACTGATAAGCGGCACGGGCGGTGTTGTACTCATCGTCGGCGTCATCCTCCGAGACCTTTGTCATCAATTGAAGCAGGACGGGAACGACCTCTCGGGCCGCAACTCTGGCAAAGTGGAAGTACGGACGCAGCTCGGTCGAGCCTTCTTGTTGTGCCTGTGTATTGTCGTCTTCGATGCTGATTTCCTCCTCGCAGACAGTGCACCAGAACTCGATGGCCAATTTTGCAACATCCTCCTCATCGTTCTTCATGCCTGCAATGGTCAAGCCGAACAAGGCCTTCTCCATGTAAAACCTCATTTTGTCGTAGTAGATGCCCATGATGCGGTTGAGACACCCAAAGGCAGCCGCTTGCACTCTCGTGTCTTCTGACTGTGTGGCCTCGCACACGACCTGCATGATGTAGTTTCGTTCGCCCTCATTCTCAAAGTTGCTGCGGATGAACTCGGTAGCGTCACTGAGAGCCGATAAGGCAGAAAGCCGAACGTCTTGGTTGACCTCTTCCTTTCTCGCACCCTGAACGACTGCCGTGAGGATGGCATTGGAGTAGCCCACCAGGGATTCCCGGAGCTCAAGATCGTCAGACTCGCAGATAAATCCAATACAAGTGAGACTAGATTGCTTCAACTTGTCCTCGCCGGCACCGACATTGTGGACCAAGGCAGGCATCAAGTCAGGCCACTCATTGCGGGGGAGCTCAATGGCAGCAATGGTTGCGATAAGCTGGGCAGAAGAAAGGGCAGCCTGCGGCGTAGCGTTCAGTGTCTTGAGTGCCAGCTCTTTGACCTGTCTCTTGATCTGTGGATCGACGCCCTGCAACCATCTTGCTTGTACTTCTCTTAATCGAGTGATGTCACGGTAAGAAAAGGCGTTTTTCAGGGCGAGACCAGCAGCCTGTCGGACTGAGGCGCTAGCTTGGTCGTTTGCGAGTTCTCGGGAGAGGATGGAAAGGTATTCGGACTGAAAAATGGGCACGATTAGCGAATTGACAGGTTGTTGGATGTAGAGGCTGAGACGTACAAAATTTCCCTCGCGGGCTTGTCTGAGCTGTTCTTCAGCATTGCCCCGGATCGCCGCATCTGATGGATATTAGTGGACAATTGGATAATCTGAAGAGGGTGTTTTGTACATACCCGGAGAAAAGGTGCTTTCTAGAACTTGGTTGACGTCCATGGCTGCTGAGTCGATCAGCGGTCAGGAAGGGAGAAAGTGGTCAAAATGCCGCGGAAAGGCTGCACTTTGTCGGGTTTTGATGAGGAAGAATGGTGTTCAGATGGTAGAAAAGGTAAAAAGCAGCGCAGGTCTAGAGTCAAGGAAAGAACGACCGGCAGGATCGAGATAGAAGGTGAGAAAGAAAGGTCGGTCGAGTGAAGAGTTGAGAAAGGACTGCAATTGCAGTTTGTGGTGGTGTTTTGCAGAATTGGGATTGATGTGGGATGTTGATACTTTACGGGCCTGGCCGCCTGCGACCTGGCAGTCTCCAGTCTCCAGTAAGCAGTCTCCAGTGCCTGACCGGTACTATTTAACCAGTACTTTAGCTTAACCAGAAACCGTAGACTACGAGTATCTCACGGTTAAGTCATTAGGTCATTCACTTCTGTTTAAGCGGCATGAGGAGTCCCCAAGACGGGCTCTCTAGGCACCAGGCTTTGTGCGAGGCTTCTGTCTGCCTGCACCAGCCTGTCAAGTCGCCTTCAGAGTCATGCAACTCTTTCTGTTCTATGCTGTCTTTTCCTCCTCGATGGCACATTGACCCCCAGACCTAAGTGAGTGAGCCTCACTAGCCGACTAGAGGCCCTAGTCGGCTCGGCCGGAGGCGTCTCGCTTATCCTGTCAGCTAGAGCCAATCGCTGCTCGGGCCTCTTGGTGTGCCTCATCTTCAATTGTCAAAGCCTCACTCTTGACCGTTTGTGTAAGCTCAAATAAACCAGTCCTGATTCTCTGACCAAATGGGCCATCGCCATATTTCACGACATGCCTTCGTCGGCATTAACACATGCGCATAGTGGTTGTCAGCATACAGTATATGTGCCACGTCCTGGGCCAGACCACATCGATGGGCCAGTGTGGGTTTTTCGAGTCTTGCGCTCATCCAGTCATGACCTCGTCGCCTGTATCACCGTCTCGTCCGTCTCCGGCATCAACAGCAGCGTCGAGATCGAGCACGACATATCCCAGGCCAGCTTCGTCGATCACAGCAACCACCCTTCGTCCGATTCTGCCATTGACTTCGAGCCTGGCCGGCCGCATGCCCGCGTCCATCCTTCCGGCTTCAAAGACATGCCGAAGCTCCCATCCATATGCTCCATCACTCCTGATGTCCCGTCTGAACAACCTGATATCAGTGGCTGTAGCAGCAAGGACGATAGACGTGGTGTCATCGACAACCTTGACGTCCAGGATCTCCTTCACGTCGGGGATCTTGGTCACCGGATTAGATATTGTGGCGAACTTCAGACCTTTGCCGCCTTCTTGCCGCAACGTCACGAGCACCTGCCGAACATGGCTCTTCTCTTGCTGGTCTTTTGACGTGACAAAAAGGCGGTACAAATTGTCGTCCACTTCGTCCGGCGCGATCCTGAGGTCGATATTTTGTCCGTCGGTTTGTGCCGGCAACTCCAGCATGTAGCTCGGAAGAATGTTCTTTCTGAACGTGTCTGCAACCTGTCCAAACACTGCCTCAGCTTGCTTCTGCATTCGCTCGACCAATTGCGCCAGTGTAGGATTCTTCTTGTCTTTGCTGCTGACTGCTCTTCTTTTGACGTAGTCGGCATAGAACCCAGCATCTGTATCTTCTTCAAGCAAACCACTTGCCGACTGCTCCTGCCCATCTGATCCGATGTATTTCTTCGTCCTGCTCTCCTTCATCGCGCCGCCCACATATTCCAGCACCATCTTCAGCTCGCTTTCTCCGGTCCAGGACTCTCTCAGCTCTTCCGCCCGCTCGCTGCCTTCTTCAAGAGCTTCGACTTCGCACTCCCATTTCAACCACTTCATAAACGCTGCGAATTCTTTGATCTCGACACCAACATCGAGGAGCAGATCCTCGGCCAGGATTCCCAGGGCATCAACGGTTTCTCTAAACTTCCTGAGGCTCATCTCATCAAGTCCCAATCTCGAGCTTGTCGGGCCAAACCGAGCAAGTCCATCAAGCCTCGATAGGACAACCAGACACCTTTCCAGCGCAGGCATCAGACATTCGCTTGTCAGTCTCCGGACAATGTCGAGGCAATCGCCGACAGCCTTATCCCATCTCTTCAGCCCTCTTTCCCCAACTTCATCGACCAACCACTCCTTGAACTTCGCATCACAATATCCGGTGACGGCAAGATGGTGCGCAGCATAGATAAAGTCCGAGTTCTCGTCCCCCTCGGCCAAAGACTCGTTGATGTTCCGGAGAAACCTCGTTGGTAAATCAAATGCCGCCTTGACCTCTGCAACCAACTGCATCTGAACCTGTGATATATACCGCAACAGGTTGCCCAACTGTGTCGCCTTCCTGGCGACAAGAGGCAGATTTCGCCCAGTCTGAGGTATGAATCTCAAGTCCAAGCTAACGAGATGCAGGCTCGAGTCGGGCCGATCTCCCGCAGACTGCTCCACGACAAGAAAGACGGCTGACAGAAAAGGATGACTCTCCACCCTGATCACTTTCGCTTTCTTGAAGTCGCTGGGCAAGCACCCGCCCACATCTACTGCTCCAATCTCGAAGGAATCAAAGACTCGCAAATGCACTTCACACCGGCCGTCGTCATCACCCTGCAAGCCCACCAAGAGGGCGTCCACGCCGTCCACGCTACTGCCAGGCGCAGACCCTGTCGGCCCACTCACATGAAATACAGCGTCCACGCTTGATCTCGAGCTGAAAATATCATCGCCAGTGCCTACCCCTTGCGGCGGCAATGTAGCAAGTCTCGGTAGAGACATTTCGACATCCAGCGCGCTCAACTCCCGCGGCAGATCAGCCTTCAACCGCAGTAGCTTGTCCACATCAGCTCTTAGACCGAGAATATGGTCTAGTGTGACCCGAGAGTCGCGCTGATCAAGACGTGATCGGATAGCAGTAGAGGAAGGAGAGGCAAAGTGAGTACTCCAGGACAGAATCGTCGGGGTCAATGATCGTGACTCGGGAGAGGATGAAGGATGCGTCGATCTCGAACTGGTTCGCAGTTGTGACTGTGACTGCGAGGAAGAGAAGCTACCGCCTGTGGCCGTCGGGTCCCGCGGCCGAGGACGGGTAGATAGTCGGTGCGCAATTTTACCCGTGAATGCGTTGATCAAGCACACTGTGCCATCTGCAGATGCAACTGCGAGAATTTGTCCTATCGATTCATTGATCGTCAGCCATTATGCCTGCTGCTCTGCGCATGTCGAGTATGAGGGACTTTTTCTTGCATGGTTGAATAGCGTTCTACCCTACGCAGGCGCGTTGCCCTCAGTGCGCTGACGCATGTGCATTCCCTGAAGCGATAGCTTCGTAAATCGTTCTTCCCACCCAAGAGCATCTCACATGATGACATCTCGGGATCCCTTTTCTTTGGTCCGGTCAGTCGCAGCATCGAAGTGCGGACTTTGCGCTGCAAGACCACCCAAGAGCGAGGCGAAAGAGAAAGGAAAGCACTTCGATGCTGCGGATGACCACCCAAGAGCGAGGCAAAATAGAAAAGGAAACGAAAATGAAAATAGAACTCACCGTCTCGTCTCCACGTCACCGCCCTAACAAACCCTTCCGCCTCGTCTGCTTCCCTGTCCTCACTATTGCGCAGACCCACATCGTCACCGTCGTCCTCAGTCTCAAAAGTCGCGCCAAACACCCTCTGCCCATTCAATCTCCATACATCGACATGACCACCCTTCTTCGTAACCGTGGCCACCAAGTCCATGGTCGGACAGTACGCTACCAAGTCGGGCCGGCATGGCTCGATGAGCGTACGTGTGGCGATTGGATGCATTGCGTCGTAGTCTCGCCCCGGGCTTGCAAGCGATGCAAAGCTTGTGATCGATGTATCCTGCCCAGACCGGGTGATTGGCTACTCGGTCGTTGCGCAACAGACCTGGTACCAAATAACCACTGAATTGGCTTGTCATGCCATTGACATTGTTGCTAGGTGAGTCTTTACCGTTATGCGAATGGATTCATTGACGTGCAATGGCAGAGGCGGGTACGGAGTATTTGTCGATTGGTCGCGACTGCGTCACGCGTTCTAAAGGCCAATCATGGAGATGGGAATCGTAGACAGCAAGACTTTGGTTGTTGGGCGTACTTAACCGGACCAAGCGCCAGAGTCAAATACTCGTCCAAACGGGTTTGTCAAGACAATTTCAAGAATTACTGGAGGAAAGATGTTGGCTGAGAGGTCGAGGGGCCGAAGCTCACGATCCATGCCAAGCCCTTTTTCCTTTTGCCTGTCCCTCCCTAAGTTCAGGTGTCAGTGGGTGTCCCCTACTCCGTACGGAGTGACTGGGATCTACAATTTCAGCCTCACCAGCCCTCTGGATCTTTTATTTACAATATAACATGTCCCTCGGTCTCCTATCCACTGTGACAAGCCGGTGATCATGATGCTGTCTATGCAGAATATATCATGTTCTCCTCTTATTTTTGGCCTTTGCCAGTCAAAAGAAATTCGTAACATCTGTGGTCCTGTTTATCCATCTCGTCTCCTGTGACATCGCATAAATCACAAATAACACCACCATACAATGCGGTCAACGCTATCAGGGCCAGACAGAATCAAGGGAAAGATCGTCAGCTGCGTGGAAGTCGAAGGAGTGGTGACCTCAAATGGCAGGCCATGATTGGTGGGAACGTACAACATTATAAGCGAACGTTGAAATAGTTTCAGTGGTGCATATCAATTAATGCTGTTGTATCATGCCACCAAGATATCTCAACTCATCGAGAAGTTGTTGCATGCTGGTAGAGTGAGGAAGAGTCGTCTCACGCAGACCCGTCACTTGAGGACGGAAATCCGCCGGTCGATGATGGTCTCCAAGCACCAAGGGAGACACGATTTCGGCGCCGGCTGTTGGCTTGAGTGTCACGCCAGATCCAACCTCTTCCGAGGGTAAACTGTAATGCTGGAATTTGCTCCAGGAAAAGCTTGCCTCCTTAGCACTATCGAGATCGGCATGAGAGCTTGGTGCTGCCGAGGATGCCACTGAGCTGATTGTTGAAAGGCTGAGTGCCGAAGGTAAGCCATTTGGTTGGGAATGCGGGTACTCTTTTGTCTGTACATCGTTTGAGGTTCTGGCTTGATTGATAACCTCAATGGTCTTGGAATCAGCACAACCGTAGTCTTCATCTACTGGCGGACTCATTGGCTCAAGATCAATAACGCTGGAAGAATATTCCGATTGAGGTGAGATCCTCGTTGTGCTGAGAGTCCAATCGGAGAAGTGGCTTCGCTCCTGGTTGATGTAGCTATCTACATTGGATCCCGTCTCGATAGTTGTGCTCGAGAATCGGCTTTGTAGATTCTCCATCTCGATAAGCAAGCGCTGTGTGGGAGACCCATCCACGCTGCTTGGCGGGTATGCCGACGACGGCGTGTTGGGCAGAGTCGGTAGTCGTTTCTCGAGGTCGATTGGTACCTGGCCATCATCAGTAGGCGGTTGAGCTTCGACTTTGACCGCCGTCAGTGGTTGGCCTGGCGTGGATGCAGGAGACGCCACTTCTTTTAGAGTCTCCAGCGGTCGATATGGGGTGCTTGCTGGCTCTGTCGGCTTCCGCTCTGGGGTGCTCCCCCTCGTCAATGGGTTGCGCAAGGACGATGGCTCCCTCGAGAGCGATCGTTGTCTACGATGCTGAGCGAAGGAAGCTATTGTGACGGGTGCCGACCCTTCAATCTTTGCGTCGAAATCTTGACGCAAGGCCAGCCCGCTCGCCGGACCGGCTGATGGAAGATCGGCGAGCTCTAGTGGTTTTGCGGTCTCGACGGTGGATGAGGTGGGTGTCACACTGCGCCGCGAACTCCCTCGCGAAAGGAAAGGAGCAGGACTATACTCCGGACGGCCTCGATCCAAGGCACTGTCGGGGCTTGCTATACGTGGAGATTTCAGGGCCCGGATGGCGCCTATGATCCCTGCCGATCTGTTGCTTCCACGCGAAACAGACCTGCTCGGAGCCTCGAGTGATGGTTTCTTGGTCAATCTGCCAATTTTCAATTGTGTCGTGGCACTGCCAGGCTGAGAAGGTCCTCGGGATGATGCTGATCTGCCTCTTCTGTGATCGGCACTCGCTGGAGAGCTGCTTGAGGACCATGACTGCTGTGCTAAGGTAGGTGATGTCTTCAGTCGCGGCAACGACGGTTTTGCTGGTACTGGGCGAGGGTTCATGAACTTGTCGGAGGGGTCCATGGTGCGAAATTCGGAGCTGGTTGAGCTGACACTGTCGTTACGAGATCGACTGCTGCTTAAAGCAAAGGGTACATTCAAGACATTGACGAGTTGACCAGGAAGGAGAGGGCAGGCTGTTGTTGAGGGCTCGGCCGAGTTGTGGAATTCGATGTCGTCGTCAAGTTTATACTGTAGAACAGGTATGAGTCAAAATTCTTCGGAAACAAGGGGGCGGGTAGTCATACATAGTACCAGTATGTTCCCCCCATTCTCAGACCTCCTTCCCTGGGAGTTCCGGTCGAGTGATTGCCTCCGTCGCAGATAATGTTGGAAAAGCTATGGCATCCTGACCAATGCTCCGGGCCCGTGCGTGTATCTCTTTGCATGGGGTATGCGGTGGAGAAGTTGTCCCAGGAACCGTAAAGGCTCACTGACCTCGTAAAAGGAGGAACACGGCTGTTGCGCACAATCAGTCGGTATCCAAGGACAATGCATGATGGCAACGTACACTAAAAAGGTCATGAGCGTTGTAGGAGGCATTCTGCTGGATTATGTAAGTCACGGAGGGGGGTTCCCCTTTTTTTGCAACAAGCGGCCCTGCAACTTTGACAAGGTTATCTTGCCTGCAGGAAGCCTGTCTCAAGCAATAATAAACAGAGCAATCCTCTGAATCGAGGGGAATGAAATAATGTCGAACTCCAGACAGACCAGCTGGCAGGCGACCATGCAGTTGAATATCTGAGGTAGAGATGCGCTGACGGAGAATTATAGTCGAGTCTAGCCCATGCCAGTGACGCCACGAGCCCTGTCGACCCAGAAGGCTACAGAAGGCTTCAAATTGGATGGGTATTGCGAAACTCAGGCCGACCTCACGGCGTAGGGTCCAGCGAGATGCGTGACTGAAGCATGATTTTGCAGGAGGTGGGGATTATGGGGGCCGTGCTGAAACCGACCGAAGGCACGTCGGGAACGTGTTCGAGATGTTATGTTTGGAGAGCGCTTGTTTGAGGATTGGATGGATCTTGGGATGATGATTGTGATGTTGAAATGAGGCCAATGACAAAAAGCGAGCGTGGTGCTGTATGAGGCGGGCAGGCGCTTGATGATGGTGATTGCAGGGTAAGAGGAATCGCTGGGGCCAGGCGCTTGCTGGTGCAGCGATCTGGGAAGTCTCGACCAACGACAAGTGGCAAGGCAAAGGAGGGAGATGACTGGTCGTAGGAGCTCAAGAGGACGTGATGAGGCAATAATGGACAGTATACTGTATAGAGAGAGGCAGTGTGCGAGATTGCAGTCATTGACATGAAGGACCAAATGCAGTCGCCAAACGCAAAGTACGGAGTAGGAGGCAGACGAGAATAGATTTATCCAGACGTGCTAGAAGCAGCCATGATGGAAGTCAAGGCCGGCAATCAAGGCCAGCAAGGAACGGCGCCAGATCATCTGGGGAGGACATCGGATTCGGCAGTCAAAGTCCCATGGGTGGTAGGACGTGTGCACTGTGGACGTCGGGACGATAGGGTGGCACGGTGGTCGGTGGTCACTGACGGTCAAGACTCAAGACTCAAGAGTTCGAAGCGAGCGAGAGTGTGAGGAAGCGAGGGGTGTGCTGTGGACAGAGATCGGCTTGCACAAGCGAGATGGCTGGACTATTGATTCAAAGAACCTGTTCGTACTCTGTATGAAGTCTTGAAAGGGACAAGCGTCGACCAAGATGGACCAAGATGGATGATGATGAGCTGTAAATGATGAAATTGGAATGGGCACAAATGGGCCTCCAAATCAGCCGCAAGCAGGGATTCATCTCTTTTACGGAGTATCTCACTTATTAGCCACCACCCAGGCCACGGCCATTTCCATCAATCTTCGCTTCCAATTTTGGGGCATGCCACTCGATTGGTCGGACTTGCATGGCTACTCTACGGCGAGAACGGGCAGCCGTGGCTACTCTAGGTACAGATACATAGTAGTTGGTTCCCAGCCTCTCACAGAAAAGAATTACAAGACTGACGGATACCACGGTCACTCATGGCACTACTATGGATACCTAGGCATAGCGTTGATGGCGTCAAAACCTTATGGCCAACTCTTTTCTTGCTTCTTCACTAAGTCTTGAACTCATGCCAACAAGTGCAGAGACAAAATACAGTCACCACCAGAGAGGAGGGACAATATCAGGAACAACACCGGTATCCAAGACAATGCATGAACACGACACCCGCAGCAACTCTTCGGGTGACACTGGTGACTGGCTTCTGCTGCAAGGTATCACCAATGTGCACCAACAGTGGCTCGCAACCGCCCAGAAGTCCTGAAATTACCCGCAATCAGCCACTCAAATTCACTTCCCTCCACTCCTTTTCAGGCCCCTCGGACGAAGAGCGGTGCCTGAAAATGACAAGCCTTTAAGCACGTGGTATCAACCTCGAGCTCGAGGGTGGCCTAATTCATAAACACCAGGAGCAGTGCTGTACGAAGTCCTCCGTACTTTCGCCTTTACTCCGTATGATCTCTGTTCGATCTTCATCTGATCATCCTAAGAGCATGTGTTGTGCGCAAGAACACCATAGCTTGTCTACCTTCGCGGTGTAGTGCAATGCAAAGTAATAATACACCTCAAAATGCTGTACACCTTTCCAAGTCTCTTTTGCTCTTCCCATCTCCCATCTCCCATCTCCCATATCCCTCTACCGCTAAGGTGCCGCCTTCCTATCCAACCGCCTCACCACACTGCCCAGACAAACCTTCAACAGCCCCGGCGCCGTTAACTGCTCACCGTCCTCGCCACTCCACGGCACCGTATCCACCATATCGCGAATGTGAAATTGCCCGCTCAGCGCGTCGTCCAACTCCTTCAGATTCTCCCCGGCTTCCGGCTCCCTACCGACCTGGAAGAACTGGATGCCCACCTGCCACGACTCCGCGCCGAATGAGTCCAACTTCTTCGCCGCACTGACAATCACGCTCTCAACGTCGTCGCTCGGCACGCCGTCCGTGATCACGATGATGTTCAAGGGCTTGACACTGGCCTCGTGTCCGTGTGCCTGACGCTCCATCGACTCCGCCACCTCTCCCAGGTACGGCTTGAGGATCTGGTTCAAACGGGTCCCTGTCGGGGTGCCGCCCAGGGGTCGGACGCTCTGGAACAGGTTTTGCACTGCTTGTGTCGTGGTGATGTTCGTGTACCCACCCAGCTGCGAGTTCGGGTTCCGGTGGTTGAGGAAGTAGATGTCGATGCCGTCGGCGTCATAGGCCGTACAGATCGGTGCAATCGCCGCAAGGGCTGCGGATGTTTCTCGCCAGCTGCGTCCCGCCATAGAGCCGCTGTCATCGATCAGGAAGACGGTGTCGAATTCGCGGAGGAACGCATACGGTGAGTCGTCAGAGACTTGCATGGGTATGGCCAGATCGGCTGGACTGTGCGGAGTGGCCGAGTATGGAGGTGGTGCGCTCGCAGGCTCGGTTGCTCGTGGTCTCCGAGTTGGCGTGGTTGTGAAAAATGGGTTGGTCAAATCGTTGCTGCGACTCGCAACGGATGCGCGTCTACTTGATGCCGATGTCGATGCTGAGTTTGATGCGTTGCTAGATCGCTTCGAGGAGAACCTCTTCATGAAAGACATGGCTGTATGTGGTCCCCGTGATATCCTTCTTGATGATGCTGATGACTGGGAATGAAAAGAGTCGCGGGCGAGGAAGATGGGGTCCTCCATTTTGAGTGACAAGTCGATGAAGTCAAAGGTAGTTACACTTTGGTGAAGGAAAGCGCAGTCTGGTTCGGTTTGTCACCGACACGTGGTTAGCAAGTTAGGCACTGTTGATTGTTTGCTGGTGACACAGTAACGTCTGTTTGAGTTGCTCTAACAAAGAATCTGATCAAGTATCCTCTTTTCTGGAGTCAAACCTGCTGGGTCCGCAAACCCCGTTGCTTTATATCATGTTTACTGTTCAAGTGAGACTTTTTTTGTGTACACATATGTGGGCTGTCACACGCGGGAAAGGCTTCTTGCAATGCCCCGGTGGGATTTGCCACGAGTACGCCTAGACCCGCGCGAAACAATGGACTCCTGATCAGAAAATGAGATGGCTCTACCCACTATGGCGTGCTCCATGCTGGATCAGCAGCGTTTCGTGTGTACTATGGTTTGCCTCTATTGCTCAGGAGAACACGTTGAAGGCATTGTCGATGCGTGAGGCTGTGCCTGCCTCGGCTGATCCTAGCCCAGCGTGTCTAGCCAATCAAGTCCAGGATCCAGCTTGCTAAGAAGGCTGAGCCACCGTTGCACAGCCTTGCAGGACGTGCAGGGTCCGATTCCTGCCGGCGATGCTGGGAATCCAGGAGGATTCTACAGCCTAGTGGCCACAACTCCCCATAGGTCGCCGTGATGCAAGGCTGTGCGATCACTCCATCTCGTGTCACTCTACCCCGGATCCAGCTGCCTCGCATCAAGCTTGAACCCCTTTGCCTAGACAGCTTTGAGAACGTGGCAAATAGACGCCTCACCAGTGTATTGGGGAGCAATGCTGCTCAAGTAGTGTTTCACATCGGATGGTCCTGATGAGCTGAACAAGGCCGCTGTAGCTACGAGTAGCATATGGGAACGTATCTCGGGCCCGCCTCCACCGAAGGCAGACTCAAGTCACCGTGCACAAATTGGCACCTGGATGGGGCTCCTGAAGGAGCGGACTCTGGTGGATTGCACTGCCGAGCTGCTCCTTCGCCCATCACTCTTCACTGTACGATAGTCAGCAGCTCTTCTATCCAGCCACTCCTGCCGGGGAAGGCGAACAGGAGCCAGATTAGATGAAATCATCTTCGTATGCCGTCACCGGCTGATTCCCAGATCCATCCGCGGCATCCGTAGAAGTGCCCTGAGTCGTTCTTGGGAAGAATAAAGTATACTTTATATGACAACATTGATAGCTATGGATGGCAAAAAATGTACTTGTGCCCCTGACCGGTCGCAGGGCGGTGCATTCGAATATTCAATCAACCAACGCCACCCCGAGTGTTATCACACTGAAGACCACGCAACTTCTCTTTATCCAATGCTGATATGATTCGCGTGCTTCGTAAATCTTGGTCGTCTCATTTCATCCATTCGTCATAAGCCTTCGACAAGCCAAACACATAAACAGACAAATGCCTACCATCAACGATGCTGTATCCTAGGTCAATGTGCGCCATGCTTAAATGCGTCAAGTGAATAGCAATACGCGGTTCCAGCTTGAGAGTTGGCGCCTGACCGCCGAGGGTAACCGCGCGTAAAGAGGCTCATTGCAAATACCGAATCCCAGGGCACAACGCAGAACTAATGTCGCTTGTATTTCTGCGGAGTACGTTAGCACCAACGAAGTGAACCTGGATGATGCAATACCACATACCTCGTCAATTCTCCTCAGGTTCTGTCGGTCCAGCATATTGCCTGCTCCCATCAGTGTCTGCCCAACTGCCTTCGTGGCACCAATAGCCGGTCGTAGAATTATGGTTGGGCTTTGCTTCAATATTGCCGCAAGTGCTCCCTTGGCACTGCCACTTGCCATCACTTCCCCAGGTACGGCCACGATGGCATCTTTTGCAATCAGCAGATCTCGTTCCAAACTGCCATAGGCGGTTCTCAAACCCTGCCTAATACCGACTGGCTGATCAGCATAGAGAGAGATCTGTTTCGTAGCTTCATCGTCTTCATCTGGATCTTGGATCTGCTCTCCTTGGACAAAAAGCCCTTCTGTGTTTTGCAAGACTTGTTGCGTACCGATGGCCATCTTGGCGCCTAGGTTGACCAGTTCGGTCGTTGTTGTTTTAGCAAAGGCGAGGGCGCCTTTTTGGATGCTTCGCACAAGTCTTCCATCTTTGCGATATTCACGGATAGGTACTGCAATGAGGTCTCGGACTCCGCTACTGACGTCGACCAGGGGACGTATGGGTGCTAACCCGGCAAGAACTCCAGGAAGCTGGTTACGTTTGACATCCGGCATCCAAATGTTGTTGAGCATGATTCCAAGGCGATCAAATCCAGAAACTCCATAGAGAATGACTCTGCGTAGCACCATATCTGCACGGTCAAGCACAAAGAAATTCATGAACTCGGTGGTCCGTCCTGAGCGCAGTCCACCATAATCAACTCGTTTAGGTTTGAAGTCCAGCTTGACTTGGACAGCGTTCACCTCAACCCGCTGTAAAAAGGGCGGATTCGAAGGTACATCGGATGTCGGTGCGCTGTCAGCTTTGAACTCAAAGAAACGGCTCATGAAATCCAATGCGTCCTGGTCGACGTGCAGTCTCAACGGAAGAACCGTGACCTTGAGCACCATTTCAGAGGCCGAAAGCTCCGCAATTGGCTTCACATTCAGGAGCTCAATATGCACCATGTTGGTACCTATTTCTCGTTCGCCCGCATCCTGCATGTACGTGGCAAACTTCTTCCAGGTTGACGTAGGGACATGGTCAAATATCTCGAGCTTCCTGATCCGAACGTCTACCGAGCTTTCAACCTCGCCGCCCCCCTGGGGGAAGGCCACGAAATCGGCAGACACTCCCTCGAGCTCGAAAGCCATTTTATGATGTTTGCTTCGATTCAATTTGAGTCTTTTCTGCCGAGGAACAGTATTGGACTGGCGATGCGACGTGGTTGCCGTCACAGTGGTCCCCGTCGCGTAACTCCCAGTCTCGCTTACCATGTCGTCAATATCGTGGTTGATGGTCGCTGCAAGCTCTCTCGGATCCTTGTTGGCGGGGATCCCAATGTAGATCGAATTGAACAAGAAGTCTCCAATCACGGACTCGTCCTCTTCTTCAGCTCCGGCGGTGCGACTACTGCTCCTCGGCCGTCTTGCCATGGCCTTTGTCTCAATGTCCTTCACCACCTGCGAGATTTTGTCTCGTGTTAATTGCCAATCGTAACCGTCAAAGAGATTCCAGATAACGTGGACGTCTCTGACTCGGACCTTCACCGGAGAACGTTCGAAAACTGTGTCGCTAGACAAACCATAGGTATTTTGCTCCGAGTTCCATCGATGTGCAGTTCCACCCACGGATGATTTGGGTGCAAAGTGGTCAGTCCTGAGATCCAGTAGACTGTGCATCACGATGCTCTCACTCGCATCACCAGTACCGGCTCCTCTAACATCAACCGGAGCGATGTGAATAGAATCAGACATTGCAGAGCGACCAAGATTGGACTCCACATGGCTTGCTGTCATTTCATCATCCGCGTCCTCAGCCTCACCGTACATATCCCTTAGGGAATCATGTTCGTCCTCCTCATCATCTGACAGCGATGCTGCTTCGACAGATTTCTCAGTAATGCTCGTCCGCGAGGCTTGGAGTCCAAGCTCTGGTCCAGGCTCAGTGACAAATGCATTGCCGGTGAAAGAAGCCAGCATGTCCTGGATCGGGACAATTTCGGTGCGGAACTTGGCAACCTTTGAAGGGGCCACAGGCGGCGATAGCCCGCTGAGAATCTGGATCATTGTTTGTGTTGAGTCAGCGCAGGTCTCAAGGAAAAGGAGATTGTTCCGAAACTCGATGTCGAGCTGAGCCTGCTGTGTGATCTTGTCTGCTGCGATTTTGACAACTGCCGATGCCGAAGACATAGACCCTACGGGCACGAAACCGGCCTTGGTCAACTGTTGCACCTGATCGTTCTCTTCGAAATAGAGCTTGTGGTCAACGTTGGCCGATTCTTGTCCCACTGTTGAAGCGTCATTGATGATCAACAGCGAGGCCTTTTTTATATCGAGGTTATTTGTCGAGCCCCGTTTCTCGTTTTCGTGCCGTATCGCAGCATCAGTCAGAACGAACAAACCTTTGGCAGGGCTTTTGTCCGGGTTCAACGCAATGGCAGAGTCTCTGAAGGCCAGAAAGAATCGAATTTTCCTCGCTAAGCTGTTGGCGTCGACATTGCTGGATGCCGAAGGGCTCGACGGCTGCGATTGTGGGCTCGGCACAGAAGGCGGCGCGCTGGCTTTCAGCCGCTCCGTCAGGGCAGATATGGCCATGACTGTCGGCACTTTGTACTCGATGCACGTATTCGAAAGCTTCATCCGAACAGTGGGCTCCATTTCATCCGCAATGAAGCGACACATAAACATTGGAGGTCCCATAACAGTGCGGTCTTGCGAGATCACTTCGCTAATCATCAAGTCCTTGTCGCCGCGAGAAAGATGCCAGGTGGCAATTTGGGCTGCAGCAAGTGAAGGCACATTGATGTGAGCGCCCTCAACAAGGTCGGCCTTGAGCTTGATGGGACCAAATTCCTCGTCTACATCGAACCGGAAATCAATCTTCTTGATCAGTCCAAATGTGAGGATACCAGGGCGGTCGTCTTCAGGAAGATATTTCGTGACGGATGAGAGCTTCGAGATTTCATCTGTGACCTTGGTCAAATGAGGCATCCAGCGCAGGCCCTCGGCTCCCGCCTGTAAATCTCCAATTGACAAGCGCAACACGCCTCCCTTGCGACGCTGTCGTAGCAACGTGTCGACCATGATATCGTCTTCTTGGTCGTATTTGTCTCCGGATGGTGTGATAAGCGACAAAAGCCTGTCTAGATCATCATCATCTGGCGAGTCTGAATAGTGCAATTCAAGATGGCGGATCTTAGCATAGACGTCACTGCGTGATCTAGAGCCGGCAAAAAGTGGTCCAGCTATTGCTGCACCATCAATGACCAGGCGCACGTTATTTTGGCGATAAGCTGTTTTGATGGCCGAGGTCTTAACTTGTACAGTGGACTCAGATCCAATAAGATCGAGAATCGCGCCCGAGATACGAACATCAACCTTAGGCAAGGTCGATGACGGATCACTCTCTGCCCGTGGTCTCCTCTGAGGATCGTTGAATCTGACCGTTCGTTGCCTTGGGACCTCTGCTACAGGGGCTGTAGAACCCTTCACAGTGTGCGTCGATACAATTGAATTGCCTAGATCCAGAAGAGAGCTCAAGCCCCCGCTTTTGCTAAGCACATCATCTATAACCAGAAGATCCAGCACAATGTGGACAGGTTTGATCTGCACGTCGTACCGATTTCCAGTCATAGTGGCCAGGAAATCAAATGGTTTCAGCACAGAACTCGTCGCTATTGAATCTCGGACGTTGATTGAATCGACAAATGACAGAACCTCTCTGTCGCCATGGGTGGCGACAATGTTCGAGATCGATAGCCGTTGACCGCCTTGTGCACCTTCAAGGTTGCTAAGAGATATTGAGGTCAAGGACAGTTTGAGAAGCGTCGTCTCATGGGCTATCATAGATTCGATAGTCTGGAGAGGCACTTTCGTTGGCGGCCTCTTAGTGACCGCTTCACAGAAATAGAATGTAATCTTGTGTACATTGATAGCCGGAACCTCCGTATTGGTCTTAGTCGTCGCGGACTTCGGCTCCACTGGTGACTTGGGCAAAGTATCTGGAATGACCTGAGAAGCTTTGACCAGGATCCGGCTGACCATGATATCGAGATCGATGGTAATTTCTCCTACCTCTACACCAAGGGCTTGGCTTGTTTGCTGTAGAGATGGAGCTTGCTGTTGTGAACGTAAATTTTGAAGCCGCGGGCCATCGAGAAACGTACTTTCCACTAATTTCGAAGAGTCAGGACGAGTTGGACGGATTTGAGAATTGCGAGAAGGGCGAGATGACACTGCCGGCTCTTGTCTTTCTGCTAAAGCTTCTGCACGGCTTGGCTGCGGAATCCTCAAGCGCAAGGTGTCGAGATGCAGAATTCTGGAGCGGTAGTAAGGGGACAAGCTATTGTCAAGTATGCTTTCGCCGCGCGATGCCTCACGTTCCAAGCCGGAACGGGACTCTTCACGCGCCTCGATCTTGCCCTCATTGACATTCGTGGATGTGTCGGCTGCTGGCTGCCGTGTCTGTAAAGCTTCCTCCTTACGCTCAGGCGCTTTCGTTTGGGGTTCCTGCCTAGAGGTGTCTGACCATCCCCAAGCGCCTGGCATGTCCACACCGCCACTTACAGCGCTCATGTACATGCTCTCTGCTTCATCATGGGTGAACATCTTCGACTCTTCCAGATTCTCGGCGTCGGGTACCTGATAGCTCTGCTCTGCGGTAATCCTACGGTTGATCGATCCGAGCATATCCTCTGCATGAGCCCGATTGTCCACCGGTGTCGATCTGTCCGATGACCCCGGCCGATTCGGAATGCCTCTCGCGTGTCGCTCAAAGACTCCCGAGTCTTCCAAAAAGGCATCGTCAAGGCCCAGGCCGAAGCGAGAATTGCTTAACGAAGCTGGCGGTGACCGATCTGAACGTTGACTGAGAATTCCACTGCTAGATTGCCCAGTGTCGCTATTATCACCACGGTCGCTAGGATGGACGAGCCTCGGACGTGATTTGGTCAGCTTGGGAGAGCTCAAACTCGAGAACTCTGAGAATGTCTCAGACTCAGAAAGTGCGAAAAACTGAAACTCGTCTATTCTTACTGATCGTCGGGAGTCGGGTTGCGTGTGAGTGCTATCTGCCCGTTGCAGCGGATCCAGGGCGATATTGCCTATCGCAAGCATGAATTTGATGTTGTCGGCTGGGGGAACCCCAGACCTGGAGAAGTCTAGTTCCACAACCACGTTGACGTCCTTTATCTTGACAGACAACCGGTCTGCGACATCATTCAGGAAATTGGCGACAAATGTAGGCAGTGACAGTCCACCAGGCATGCCCAGTCCGACTTCCTCGCCTTGTGAGGATGCCACCGACTCCTGCATATACTGAGACTGTGACTCGAGAACGGCCTGTAGTTCATCTCTTTCGTCCGGTGACTCGGCTTGCAGGAAGGAGTTGGCCAGATCTTCGGAAGTCGGAATGACTTGTGAAATCTCCAGGTGCCCTCCGTCTCCACGTTGTGAACGGCGACCGCCCGGATCGTGCACGGCTGGCGACGATATTCGGGGGAGGGTCGCACGGTCACTTCTGCTTGGGGCTTCATCTGCTCTTGAACGTGCTGTGTCATGCTCTTGTGTAGTCTCTGGCCGTATGCCGACTACCATCTCCACGCCTTCCACTTCAACTTCAATGCCACTAACGTGCAGGTCTGCCGGGAGCGTGAGCCGTAGTAATCTGATCGAGGCATGTGTGAGGGTAAACGAGGACGGCAAGTGCAGGACATTGATGAGTCTCTTGACCTTGATGCCGACATTCTTCAGTTCTACGACCGTCCGCTGGCCCCAAGTAAGACCAAGGTTGTCGAGGTCCAATCCTTCCGAGTCGATGAAGTCGAGGCGAGTCAGAGCATAGCGGAGAAGCCTCTTTTGAAAGTAGGACGGAATGAAGTAGGACATTGTGGCGGTAGGAGAGGGACGAGCCTTCCAGTAATGGCACAGGCTATGAATCTGATGTGGTCATGATGGATGACACTTTCTCGAGATAGGCAGGCATGCGAGAGAGACCCCGAGGCAGTAGAGCCCGGGAAAAGACAGATGGTCAAAACAAACAATCAAACAAACCGCCGATTTGATTGACAAGACGGATTTCTCATCGGGACGGTCTTCAGATAGAGTCGTGATCGTCTTCTCGGTCAAACGCAGGCGCAGGCGTGGAGAAACCCTGAAGGGTCACGTATAATAATGAATGACAGTCGGAGAAAGCAGGCAACAAACACAAATGACGGTTGGGCGGCATCGGGGCGTTCTGGCCATGTCATTGGTGGGGCAGAGCTGCACGCGACGCTTAAGCAGATGATCTTTGGATGCCCACCGATGCCCATCACTGCCCAATAGATAAGCACCCAGGCAGACACTCAGGCCCTAGTAGCCTAACCGTCTCTAGCCTAAGTTGATGAGCCTCTATCTTATCGAGAGCCAACAGCTGACTGTGATTCAGCCTCGTTGGCCAAAAGCCGCTTCACACTCAGCAGATCACTCCTCCAGACCATTCTCCATAGTGTTGACTGCTCTACTCCGTATCTTCTGGGTCAATCTCTAGTTGGACACAAGTCGTCGGATGTCGAATCAAAGGTAAAAATATGCTTGCTCCAGCTATGTGAGCCACTGCTACGCCTCATGTAGAGAGTACTGCTCTTACACGCAGCTTAGGAAAGTTGAATCTCCTATGCTGATGCACGCATACCATCTCTTCACTCATTGTCTTCGTCTTCTTCGTCTTCGTCCTCCTCCTCATCCTCATCTTCGGAATCTTCCTCTTCTTCACCCTCTTCATCTGCAGCTTCAAGCGGAAACTCCATCACAATGAATTGACACCACTTCTCAAACTCACTCCTCCACTCTCTCAGCAACTTCGCCTTCGTGCCTTTTCCCATATAGCCGTCCGTGATGCTCTTCGTCCACTCAGCCGTCTTTTGGTCCTCAATAGCGCACCACTTGAGCGAGTTCTCTGCCATTGTGCCCAGGCCCTCCAACCCCAAGTTCTCAAACGCCATGTACGCCTGCCAAAAATCATGACTCAACCCGTTCTTCCCGTGTCCCAAGATCGCAGGATCATCATTGTTCAACGACACCGGGACTCCCCTCGACAGCAACGCAGGCAGCGAATGGGATAGGATCGAACTCGACAGCCGCAGAATCTCGTTCGATATCGGACAGCTCTCCACCAAGATCTTCTTCTCCTTCACCATATCAATCAGCAAGGGATGCTTGTACAGCGAATACCCATGCCCAATTCTTCTCGTGCCCAATAAGACCGCATCAAACAGGTTATTGTCCGTACTGTCCCCATCTCCAAGACACTCACCCGCGTGAAAGAAGAACGGCAAATCCACGCCCGCTTCCGCACACTGCTTCCTGAACCAGAAAATCATGGGTGTAAGATCTTTCAATGTCCTCCCCTGGTCCTCCTGCGCCACGAAATCGTACCCACACACCAGATGCGGATACTTCTTTTTCATCCTGATACACTCCTTCATCGCATCCGCAATGGCTCGATTATCCATCTTCCGCACCGTCGTCCAGATGATCCTAGCACCCTTGAAGTTCTTCCCCTGAGGGCTGGCCTTGAATTTCTCAATCTCCTCTTGCAGGGCGGCAAAGAAATCGTCAAATCGCCCGACAGACCCCGTCGTCTGCCCTGCCGTCCTATACTCAAATTTAAACGCCGCTCTTAGATCCACATAGCTAGTCCCGTCGGCCGCCAACTGTCCTAGTAGCCTCTGAATTGCCCGCCGGAAGATAGGCTCGTAGAACAACATCTGGCCAATCACCAGAAATGTACTCTGAAACTTCCTCCAGATCGCATCCGGCCCATGATGATGACACAGACTCTCCTCTGCCGTAATCGTGCATCGACTGGCCAACCATTTTTTGAACGTAGTGTCATCGTCTGGAAACGTCCTCTGCGCCTCGCGAATCGGGACAGGGGTCCGCGCAATGTAGCTACTCGTCCAGATCGCGCCTCCACATTCGCTCTTGAGCTTCTTCAACTCCTCGTCACCATAGTACCGAAACTCGAGGGGCCCAAACTCCCGCCTTTTGGCGTCACTCAACCCTTCCGGGGCGAGGATACAAAAGCCTGTCTCGGCCAATGCCTGGTCAATCAGCCAATCGATATCGATCATCGCGTCCAAGTGTGCGTGCAACAAGGCGCCTTTGGGCATCTTCTCGATGATCTTCCACAGGTCCGTCTTCTCGATCCGGTCGCGGGCCAGTGTGAACATCATTCCAGGGTACAGGTTGCCGCCGTTGACGTCCATTAGGCTCTCCTCGAACTCGGACGTCCATACGTCCCTGAGTTCTCTTCGACGGATGGCCGCCATGATCTGAGACGCCTGCTTCGCCATGGGCGACATGGTTTGTTTGAACATATGGTCGTGGCGTTTCTTCTTTTCTTGCGCGATCAGGGCGTCGCGGCCAGCCATGTACCGCTGAATGAACGGGTCGTCGACCTGTGGGATACCTTCTTCCAGCTCCCATTCGAGTTGGGAGTCTATGGACTCGTTGTCTGAGACAACGTCTTTGGAAGCCATGGTTATGTCAACCACAGGAGGAGTCTGTCGGACTGTTGTTCGAGGATTGCCTAGGGAGACTCGTTGGACTCATTGGGTAAAGGCTCGTGTGAATTTCAGATAACGGATGGCCGGCGGAAGTCCGCTTGAGGCGTGCCGATCCTTGGCGTCTTGTTATGCCAGCACGAGGAGACGAGCAGCATCCCGCCTGATTCGATGTGCGCCAACGCCAATAGCTACCTTACCACGTAAAAGATGCAGCCATGTCGTCTAGATGCGTAAAGATGCAAAGTCTCTAACGAAGAAGTCAGCAAGCAATTACAAGCACACATGAGTATGGGTCTGCTCAGAAATGGGAGCAAGGTCGACCGTTGGCTGTACCTACACTGCCTACACTGAGCCCGTCATTTCGGCAGGACCAACAAAGACTCACTACACTAGGCTGAAAGGGCAAGGCCTTGAGTAATGGAAAGCTGTTCAACGGAACAAAATCGCTTGTCAAGTTTGGTTGAATCGGTGTTGTTATTGCTTTGGCCTGGAAAAATCAAGGCTGTTCTGCAGGTGAAACTTTTGCTCCGTGGTCAAAAGGAAGGCCGCAAGAATGGCCCAGCTTTTCAGGCATTGCTGCTTCCTCTGTCTACTCTATGTCTATCGGTCGGGACTGTATCCGCGAGTATCACGGGTTGCCGTTCGTCATCAGTCGCCCCAATAAGGCCAGTCATGCCACGACACTCTTATGATGTCTAATTTGTAGCCATGCTCGACATGTGCACAGATCGGGTTGTGGGCAAGAGATCGCATATGCACATCGTGCTGAGACTCGAGTCCTTCATCTTCGTCGCCTCAGATCCCGCGATTGAATTCGACCATTCCACCTTCACCACCTTCACTCCAGAACTCTTTCTCCAGGCTCTTTGCACTGACCGCTTGCCGTTGCGGAAACGCTGCCAAAGCAAGCGGCAGAGCAAAGATACTCGTCGTAAGAATCAGACCAAGATTGATTGGCAGGACCATTCTAGGTCGTTGCTTCAACCACTCCGTCTTCTGCAACCGCACAAGAACGAGCGGCGGAATAACCATAATGGGCGTCGCATTCAAAACCCGCGAGATAGCAGTTTCGCCCACGGCTAGGGTGGCGGCCTTCCGCGATTTGCCTAAGCTGGCAACTTCCTTGCCCGTCTTCTCACGCTCGGCCTTCTCCGCCTCGGACTGGACGGGGAAGATATCGATACCACGCCGGATCTCCTCGCCTCTCATGAGGAAGACATTCAGAGCGCCGGCAGAAGCAACGGCTGCAAAGGGGACCAGACGGCCGAGGATGAGCCTTGTATTTGGGGAAACTCTCTTGAGGCGTGGGACGATCGAGTTGAGCCCAACTGCAACGGAGCATGATGCGGACACGGCCAGCAGGTAGCTCTGGATGAGTGTCGTGGTAGACAGCGGCGAGGACTTATTTGCATTGGCACTGTTGATTGCCACGTTGAGAGACTGATTAATTATCTGCCATGCGACCGTCCCAGTTGTCTAGCACTGTTACAAAGTGATCACTCGAGCAGCGGAGAGAAATTGTACCGTCATGTTCGGCGTCAGCATGCCCGCTGTCACCACCAGATTCGAGATAACAAAGCATGACATCCGGAAGGGGAGAAATACTGGCGCTCCGGTATCTGGGGCCTTGTCAGTTGGGAATACGTGCCGTCATGACTGGTCCCTGCGAACCTGGATGGAGTGTAGAATCCACGATCTTCTTTGCGTTCCATATTTCAGGAGTCATTTGTTTTATTGCCCCCGTCTTGTAGGATGTGACCAGTTGCTTCGCATGTTCGAGGCCGGAGGATGAGACAAATAGTGTCCTAAGTACGGTGCGTCAGTCAACGAACATTGGACGACGTCTGTTCCGCCTCTGCCTCCATAAGTCACGGTATTTCCCACACTCAGGGTGCAATTTGTCGCCAGCAGAGCACAGATATTTCACACCATTGCCTCTTCTTACCTCGGATCTGCTATCTGGGCAGATTGCTTGACACGACCCCAGTAGGTGGAGAGGTCATACTGAGAGGCCGGCAGGTCGCGATTGCCAGGCAGTGACGCCGACATGTCAGGCAGAGGTGCCTGGCGAGGTGCTACGGCTCGTCAGAGTACACGCGAAACCGGTATCGACGACTGCTTGACAGCTCCCGCAAAGATGAAGTTGCTCATGTGCGGCGAGACAATTCAATCTGGCGATTTCGACGGTCAATGTAGAAGAAGGTTAGCCGAGTGCGATATTGCCGCCCTTAACCGAAGAGCAGCAGCTTTGGACGGAGTACTTGAACATCTGCATCGTTCCAGATGATCCTTCTATGGCTTCTGAGAGTCCGAACTCGATTATTAAGCTATCTAGACGTCGCTATGTGATCCAGGACCTTGAAGCAATCCTTATTCACAGCTTTCAACCATTGTTTCAGCTTTGCAATGATGCAAAGTAACCATATCTTCTGGCTCAAGGTTTAGCTCAACTGAGGACGAGTACATGTTGATGGTGGCAAAGCGCAAACATGGGCGAGGAAGTCGTTGGTGTCCCAATTCTTGTCGCTCTCAATAACCCTGTAGCCCACCCTGACAGGCTTCAGACTTCCGGGCGGAATATTGGATGAGGTTTGTGGCTCGAGGGAGAAGACTGTTGGCATTGTCGATGGAAAGCAGTCTGCACAGGTAACGCCAACAGAGGCTTATTCTTTTAGAGCATCAGCGAAACTCTTCCCTTCCTGTACCTCGCTCGTTTCCGCTCCCTTTCCGTCCGACTGAACTTCATCAGATTTGGGCTGCTGTGAAGTCTGACCGGTCGCCTCTTCTGCGCCGGTGCCACTTCCGTTTGGGGCTTTCTCTTCCTTTGAGGTTTCAGCTTTCCACTTCTCTGTTTCCTCCTTGATGTCCTGCGCCTTCTTCTCTGCCCTATCTCCTGCCTCAGACGCAGCTTCTTCAGCGTTATCCGTGGTCTCTTTCGCCTTCTCAGCTGCAGAGTCCTTCACATCCTTAGCTTGATGCGCACTCTGCTCGGCTTTCTGCGCCGCACTGTTCTTCAGATCTTTTGCCTGCTTGGCAGTTTTCTTTCCCTTTTGTGCCGCCGTAGTTGTCGCATCCTCGGCCGCATCGGCAGTCTTCTGAGTCTTCTCGGCGGCAGCGTCCTTGAGATTCTTCGCCTGCTCGGCAGCGCTGCTGGTGGCAGTCTTGATCTTCTCACCCAAATTCAGCGCACCCTCCTTCATCAGCTCCAAGTCACGTTGGAACTCCTCGACCACTGTCTCGGGCTTTGCTTTTGACGCAGCTTGTTTGGCCTTCTTGGAGGCCTTCTTGGCTGTATTTTTGACTTGTTGTGCAACTTCTCCGAGTTCATTCTTTACTTCTTCTGTGTCCACAATAGCATCTTCTTCGCCAATGTCTTCAGATGTTCGATGCATTTCTTCCACAGCTTCACTGAGTCTGCGTGCCACACCCTTCGACGCGTCTTGTAGGCTCTGTCGAGCACGAACGGCCATCTCGCTTGCCGAACTGCTACGTCTTCTATCTGCTCGCTTCAAATATGAAGTGATAAAGAATTGCAGGAACAGCCATGTCAAAGGCGCAAGGTACATGCAATTCAGAAGGATCGCGAACACTTGACCACTGGTATCGAGACAGTGCACCCATTGCAATTCATCTCTGTATCTTGTTTCTTCTCTTGCCACAAGATCCTCTGCAGCATGGACAGCATCGATTCCGAAGGGTCGACCTTGCTCATTGAGAACATTTTCAGCAAGACCTTCGTAGCCCGCAGCTCGTAGCGCAGCCTTCTTTAGCCAAGCTCCAACGCCAGCGGATGCTGTAGCTATTGCACCTGATGCCGTGGCGGAGAGGTCGCTGGGAATACTGTACGCGATCTTCGAGGCCACCTCTCCGGGATAATAGGTGTAAGCAACGCTGACAGGCATCTGGTAGGCAACGAACAAATGCGAAAAGGCATACGTAGCTCCAACCACGAATTGGGTGATTTGAAGAGTCGTCAGTGACTGCTTGAACCACTTCGGTACGCGGATGCCAAGTGCAGAGAGGAGATAGAATGTGTACTGTAACCATATCAGCGGTTGAATAACATCACGACATCCTCCGACTTACCATGACCGCATGGATACCCGAGTTGACAAGGACAAACATCCAGATGGGCGGAGACATGTACCTAATACCAGCCCACATACACAGCATGGCTCCTGCATGGTGGTATGTCTGCAGGAAGCTGCTCTTTCTCCCCTTGGCCAGGATGATGCATGTGTCAATGACTTCGTAGAACTTGGAGAGGTAAAACAGCCAGCCATAGAAGGCCAACCCTTCATTCCAGATTCTGCCGGCGTCTGTTGTTTCTGGACCCAGGCCATCTGCTGCCAAATGGAACATACGGTTTGTCATTGACCACGCGCTCGTTGTCGCATTGTATGTTGCAGCACTTCCAATGCCTCGTGGACCATGCAGCTTGCACAGCGCATCTACTGTTCCTGCCACGGTTGGCTGCTCATTCCAGGCTGGCAAGCACAAGTGGAGAGTGTTGACCATGCCAACGAAAGTCCATGCTGAATATGCAGCCAAGACAATATTGTGTAATATGACAAGAAGCTTGAAGAACCGTGTCCTGCTGAAGGCCCAAGGCTTGTATTTGCGATTCGCATTGACCGAGTTCATGAAGGCGACGAATGACATATAGACAAGAGCCACCGTAATCGGCACGTTGGGAGATAGAACAGCATTGTAGATATCGGCGGGGATCGTGAACGGATGCGCAAGAGTTGGACTGTCCGGAGGAGGAGGCAAGGTCGTTGGCTTTGGGGAGGGCGGAAATCTGAAATATGAAGCTGGCAAAGTCGCGACCTTGACCCGTGGAACAGTGTCCTCTAGGCCAAGCCAGTCGAAGATTGCTGTCACTGACATGACTGATGCTACACCTAGTGAGTGCGCAGTCGTCTGGTTCTCTCAATTCTTGGCCGCAGATGCGCGAGGAGGTTTGGAGAGGTGAAAGGTTGGCTGGATGGTACCTGCGTTTGGAAGCGGACGCGAGCGATGAGGGAAGAGAATTGAATGAATGATGACGATGGCTACAACAAAGCCATAGTCATGAAAAGGTCTATAACCGGTCGTTCTGAAGACAAAAGGCTGCGTTCTTTCTCAAAGAAATCAGCGAATTTCGCGGTGGAAGCGAAAAAGAGTGTCGGAAGCGTGCTACCGGGGGTGTGAGTGTGTTGTGCGTTACGTATGTGAAGGTACTGTGGCAGCTCACCACATTTTTATTGAGCACCTACGTCATGAAGGAATTAGAGGCCGAGGCACCCAAAATCCTGAAAGTCTGGGGAGACACAAGGCTAACTTTGGTGGCTATGGGGAGCTAACTTAGGGCTCGCTAGGCGGTAGCGTTGCTTGAGGGACAGCCTTTCACTTCAACAATCCGTCACTTTGGCCTTCGGGAACAAAATCCGTACCAGTCGCAGCGATGCCCAACCTAACAGATCATTCAGTGACCAAAGCTTTCACAGATTATTTGGACACAACATTCCTTTCATTTCTACGGAGTACAACTACGTAATTACCTAGGTACTCTGACTCCCAACCACCTCATAAGCTGAGTCCATTGAATCGACCAACTCGCTCTCCTGAACTGACATGAAGACCATGGAACCCAAATCCAAGCACTCCGTTCACATGAGCACGGCCGACTTCTTTCATCGTTTTGGCATCGAGGACTAGCAGGTAACTTTGGCCAGCTAAGCCGTCGAGCACCACCGTCAACAGTACACCTCCATCCTCTTCACTGGACCGAGGATCTGGCACGAAGACGGGCTCTCCGGCTGTATGGCCATGCTTGCTCCATCGGATTACGGTATGAGTTTCTGCATCGTGCTTTACCAATCCATCCGCGAACGTAGATTTGCCGGTGTCCACGATCCCATACATGTATCGATGTTTCTGGGCCACCATTTTCGGATTGATCGTGGGGAGTTCAAGAGCATCCCCATTGCTGCTTTCGTACTCAAGCACAGCTGTTGAAGTCTTGTGAGCCGTCGCTGCTGACACCAATGGTAATCGATATCTCCGATAGTTCGGGCGAACGGCTGGACTGAGGCTTTCCATGTATGCAGCTGCTTTAGGCGAGTCGCTGATGAGATTGTCCAAGTAGAAGCGATGCAACACGTCCATATTGTCATAAGCCGCCAAGTCTGCCACTATGTCGATTGAGCCGTCGAGATTGGACGGCTCTTCATAGGCGTTGATGGTATGGAAGCAGAAGAAGGGTGCCGACTCATATTTTGCAACCAACCCTTTGCCTCCCTCTTCAAGTGGTCGCTTATCGATCACGAACCACGTTGCCGGATGTTGATCGTTCCAGACCATGGCATCAAGAAGATTTTGAGTCCATAGGATGGAAGCACCACCAGCCTTGTAGGTGGAATTCCAGACGCACAATACTACATAATTCTCGGTCAGAAAGAGTGAATGCAGGTAGGCAGCAGTATGGTGGAATTTGGCCAGAATAAAAGTCTTCCCCGTTGTCGCTGAGACTCGAAAGACTCGATATGTGCCTGTACGGCCAAAGTCGAGATTGTAGTTGAAAACGTCGCCATTCCCCGGATCAGATTTAGCATGGGCACCGCTCCCAGCTCCTGTGAGCTCCGGATGGAGGGTGTTCTGGCGAGCAACACCCACAGGCTCCAACGTCTCGGGATCGAGCATCTGAAAGAGGTTCGCGTCGGTCTTATTGCAAAGAGTTATGTTTTTGTCGTGAGAGTGAGGGCCATTCAACTTCCGACCAGTGCTTGACAGACCTGGAAAATTGGCAGATATTGTTACTGCGGCGTTGACTCCGTTGGGGCCCTGGGGCGGTTGCTGTTGGAAGACAGACTGGACTTTCTGAAATAAAGACTTGCACGGGTCATACTTGGCCGCAAATGTGAAACCATCAAGCTTTCCAGTCTTCCGAATCTTCTCGATAAGTCCATCACTGGTCAATCTCGAATTGTATGTCACTCTGACAGGCGAACCTGCTTCGGAAGCGTGTATCTGGAAGCGGTGCACTTGAGAAAAGTTGTCGAACCAGTGATTGACCTTGAACTCCTTGCCATTCGAAGTTTGTACCGTCCTAGGTCCTAAGCCAGTTCGAAACAGAGTACCCGCCGCGTAAGGTGGGATGGTGCCTTCGACTTGAAGTTCGACAGGTTTCCTCTCCTCATATGTGGCGTCGAACTGAGAGATGGTTAACCACAGAATGTACCCAAGGAACATTACAAACCCCCAATGTGTTTGGCCAGTCTTTGTAGTGTGAAGGCAATGTCTGGCTGGTCATTGCCGCCGACATATTTTTCCTCAACGAATTGACAAGTATATTTCAGGAGCAATATGGCTAAGGCTCAGGGTTATTCGCGTCTCAACTTCTTACCGCGTCTTCCTCGTAGGCTTGCCCACACTATGCCAATACTGCCGTGCCTTTGTTTTTGAATGCGAATTACAATGTCCGAAGCGGCCGTTGCGATTTGAATCTATCCGTCTACTCCTGATTAAGGGCGTAAGCATTGCGGTCACATAGTAGTTGTAAGTCCCCAAGGAGCCCCAAGTTGTAGCGTAAATTACCGAAAAGAGTATAATGCGCGAGCCATGCCCAGAGGCCTTTCGCAGAACTCACTTTACGGCCGATAGCATGCGAGATGAATGAACATGTCCTTCGCAGCCAGAATCAAGGGGCGTAAGGCAAAGTACCTTCCTCTGAGGGCTCAGAAGGGCGAACCATTCATACACTGAGCGGTCCAGCAACTGTATCTCACCAGGCCGAATTTATGAGACTTTCAAGGCGGTGCGATAGCAGGCGGGCCTGGTGGTTGATTGAGGTGTACGGAGTAGCGCCAAGAGAGACGGCGCCGGCATCGAGCTTGCCCTCTCCCGGGTCGAGATGACGCCGCCTGGAGAGCGTGCGGCGCTTGGTGTACCTGTCTCCACAACTCATGGCCGCACGACTTGGAAGCTGTAAGGGCAGCACGATGCGCGCAGCAGAAGAGCAACCTACCTTCAATTCTATCACTGAGTTCGGTCTTTCATTCTAGTGACCTGTCGATGCTGTTTACAGTGCCTACCTTGGGTGCGTAGGCGACTGCCTTCTAACATGCTTTCACAGAGGACAGCTTTGGAACAACGTCGCCGCTTCCGATTCTCGTCCCAACCCGGCATTCATAACCCAAGGTACACCTTCAACACTGTGAATGACCGACTTCTTCCACACCTAGGTGGTCTTCTTGCATTGGAAAGCGACGATCTGGCTTCTCTGGCTGCTGACACTTGATGCTTGTCCGACTACCTTAATTCTCCTTCAATAAACAGGGTTCGCTAAAGTCGATATCGTCATCATGACTATTGCTCAGCATCAGGCGTAGTTCATTAGCAATATAACTGTCAGGCACATATGCACAGGCCCTTGGGGATTGCCCAAAAAGACCGAGAATCCTGCTATTTCACAGCAGAAATCTTTAATCTGTTGGTTTTGTACTTGTTTGGATCACGCGTACGTATATTCCTGACAACGAAGGCGTATATAAAGAGCGGCAATAATACCAATTGGGTCAGAACCAACCAGTACCTTCTCTTCCCCGTAGCCAAATGGCAATGTTAAAGTCTTGGCATAATTCTTTAACTAAAGGACAGCCTAAAGATAAAGTTAGTTAAAGCCATAGTGAAAAAGCTTAGGTAAAGGTCTTAACTGGACCGTTTCCCCCATTTTTTATTCAAAAGATCCAAGAGCATTGTCGGATTTGTTGATCCAGAACAATCTCCAGTACTAGATTTTCAGTACCCAAGAGAGATATTTAGCCGGTACTGCTAATTGTCTTGAGCAATCGTCTGTCGAAATGTAGTACACCTAGTACATCTTCCTTACAAGTTTATGTCAAGACTTTAACATTGCCATTTGGTTTCCGGAGGAGACAGAAGTAAAAGGACAGTACTCCGTACCTAGCAGGACTTTTGGAGACACTAGGTTAGCACGTTCAGCTCCTGATGCAGACCTCTAAGTCATCTGCTATGGCATTCCGAAGATGGTTGAAGAGGTGACAACATCAAAACGATAATAGAACCCTGCAATCCATGGAGCATCATACGTCCGCATTTTTGCCTGTTGCTCACTTGTCGGGAAAGCACAGCAGTGCTCATACGCCTACTAGCCCCGGTCATCGATGATGGGTTGGACGGTGGACAGTTTGTGGTGGCAATAAGCGTAGGCCGAGGGCTAGTGCATCGTCGCTTAGCCAAGGTGTCCGGGCTTCGCGGCGGGTCGGAAGCCTCGCTAACTAGTAGAATTTCCAGCTTCCCTCTCCCAGTCTGGCAGGTCCGAGTGACGCTCCACTTCTTCATCTGGCGCCATATGCTGACGACGACAATCCTGCGACAATTTTGTAGGGGCTACACGAACCCTCGGATGATCCCCTGCAAATGCCTGTTTCTAAGCCGTTCCATTGAAAGGCTTGCCTGCCCTCGGCCTCTATGTTACCCACGACCAATTTTTTGCCTGAGAAAAGGCACGTGCAAGGCGAGACACATGCAGCTTTTTGCAGCGCTTGAGGCTCCACGAAATCAAACTTCTGGCAAGGATCCCTTGCTTGGGATCAACCTGTACATGGTAGTCTCAACTAGTCTTGCCGGTCGCGCATGATCTAGATTTTTGGGCCCTTCGTAAAGTATCCAATTCTCTATGGTGCCCAGGGGTAAGCGACAAATGAGCGCCACCAACCGAGCCAAACACCCTGGGCGCGACCGAAGTAGGCAGTACCTGACCCCGCAGAGTTTGCCTGTTGCAGCTTGCAGCGCGGCACAACAAGCACCTGGCACTGGGTGCCTGGCGGTAAGAGCATAGCGCTTCTTTGCAGCTTGCTGGCAGGGGCGGTCTACTATATACTACTATGGTATGTAAAGAATGAGGAGCGCTCATGCAGGGTGCGATGCAGGGGCCAAACGCCCAGGAGTTGACCAGGAAGGGCGCTCCTGAACCCTGATGATCCTAAGCCCGACCTAGAGAGCCATTGCAGCCACACCGGACCTGCAGGTATTGGCAAGCCGTACGCTGCACCATGTACCGGTCTCCGGAATGCGCCTCTTCGCGCTGTGCGGGTGCGCAATCTTAGGTTCTGTGCCTGGATTTTGTCTCAGTGTGAAGCTCGTCATGGTTGCTGGCTGCGAGTGTTCATGTCCTGATTCTGTACCTTTTTCTTTCAGCTTCCTGTCATTCTTTAGGATCAAAAGCCCTCCAAGTTGCCGCGTGCAGACAACAAGCGTCACGATGGGGGTTTGGGCGAGCGAAAATTCCGCTCTACAGAACACGAAGGCTGTCATACTCCGGAGAGGTAGAGGCGGGATTGCGATTGTAATTTTGATCTCTGTCTTCTTTATTCTAGCGCTCTTTTCGTTCCCTTCATCTTCTATCCCTTATGATGTCTCGCGATCAGCGAGGTCGAACTTCAACATCCATGCCTTCAAGGACAACCTGAATCATATACGAAACAGTACACTAGGTGTGAGTCTGACTGCTTGTTCTTACTTCCAGACTACGCGCTGACTACATTGCCAATATAGTTTCAAAAGATTTTCGGCATTAATCTTCCTGAGCGCTCCGACAAACGAGATGCTACACTGCTCCAAGGAAAGGTAACCAACTTCACAATAGATTGGGTAGATGGAGTGGTTGGCTCTGAGGTCTCGCCCAAAGCCTTACCTTACGTGAGTTTCATCCCAAGATCGCGTTTGAGGGTTTAACCTCTAGTCAGACATTTGAGCGCAAGCCAGGTTCTGTTGGCTGTTGGAGAGCACACCTGAATATCTATACAAGGTCGGCATTTTATTCCCGTATAGCATCTATTCGTTTCGTGGCTAACCTCCTTTTAGGATGATCGAACAGGGTATTCAGACCGCTCTCATCCTTGAGGACGACGCGGACTGGGATATCGGCCTGAAATCCCAGTTGGTGGAGTTCGCACGCGGCTCTAGGTGGCTTCTCGATTCCGACAATAAGGCGAAAGGTTCACCATATGGCGATAACTGGGACATACTGTGGTTTGGTCACTGCCACTCCGAGGCTAGGCGATCCGACAATCGGCGCTGGGTTATTCCCCACGATCCAACTGTTCCTCCACGAAGTGTACGCACAAGTTTTCAACAACCGGATATGTCTCCGTGGGAACAAGGCGACAGTCCAGACCTGCAGACTCGGATCGTTCACCGCATGCATTGGGGGTATTGTACAGCTGGGTACGCTATATCTCTCCGTGGGGCTGAGCGGATGGTTTATGCGGCGAGCCTTGTCCCTAACAACAAGTCCATCGACATGAACATGGGCGACATGTGCGCGGAGTTTGTCTTTCCGGATTTTACCTGTATCGCTCCTTTTCCCCGGCTCATCGGCGTGGCTAGAGCTGCAGGTAGCACCGTGAAAAACAGCGATATTGCGGACATTGACCCGGACAAGGCACAGGTGAACGAGAAGGATCGCACCGAGAATCTTATGTTCTCCGTCCGCCACAATATCAGAAGGATCCTTAACGGCGAGACTACCTTCCATAGTTTCTTTTCGAATCCGTCAGGCGATCTACTCACGCTCGGGGAGATTACCAGAGCGAGGGGCCACCCAGAGACCCTCAAGCCACGGCCCAAGAAAGCAATGGAGGAGCAGAAGGAGCATGGAGAGAAACGAAGACATCTGAAATATCTGTGGCGTCGCTGAGGCTGAATGGCTGCATGCTCGAATGGAGGGTCCTTCTTTGTATTGCTTACGCATCTGTAAGGTCATCTTGTCGAGGGTTCCTGCTTGCCGGCAAGTTAAAAGCAGGCAGACCATTGCACAGGTTGGAGCTGAGTATGATGATTACTCTTCTTAGCACGCACTGAGGAGACCACTCTGGCTTCCACGGCAGCCGCATGTTTATCCACCCCTTTGGAGATTAACCCTTGATCTTATATACGCCATGCCGGTAGGCACCAGCCTAACCGTTCGTTGCGGCGGGAGTTTGCGTTATTGAGTAGGAGGAAAGTGCTTCCTTCCAGTATCCCTGGAACTCAGCGTTACCCAAGCGGGCCGTCGTCCCCTTCGTCAAGCGATGCTTCCAATTAGTGTAACTGTGTCCGTCTTCTCGGTCTGAACACCACATTGCCTTTGCTTCCAGAGAAATGGGCTGTCAGACCTTGCATCGAGAAATATGTGGCTCTGTTAGATCTTCAAAGTAAGTCTTATAATGTGCATTAGGTACTCCGAAATGGTTTGGTGTTCAGTACAAATTGACAAGCGAGAAGTGGTATGAGTAGGCTTCATCCACTTATTCCCGATCGCCAGATAGGCTAGTGGGATTTGGATGTTCCAACTTGGGCGCATCCAACAACATGAATTCGATGCACTGATACCGCAAGAGAATGCTGCCCGTATGCCCCTACGTCTGTAGGGCAGATACTAGTTGAGAGTGCATCGGAGCATTTGTGCGGGGCGCCGCTAACAAGCGAAGCGCCTCGCCTAACTTTCCCCACCAGGCTCCTAACTTAGGAACGGCTTTGTCGCAGACGCCTAACCTGTACTTTTGTCACCTGCGACTCACTCCGCGTGGTAGACGGTCGCCAGACACAAGCATGCCTCCTCCCTCAGACTCTGTTGTGACGATGGAAGACGAATACGATGAAGAGGCTGATGCTGACTTCCAAGAAGATGGTTTTGACGACGAAGATATCTCTACCACATCCGAAGACGAGGCGGCCAATGATGGTGAGCTGTCTCAGAGACCTCGAAAAAGGCGGAAAATAGAGCGTGAGCATACCCAACAAGAAACCATTACAGAACTGGATTCGGGAGACGAGGCTACAATAAGAGAGCAGAAAAACTACCGCAGCAGACACAAGAAGCAAAGAGATGGCGAGACAGAGGATGGCGATGAAGAGTCGAACGGATGGCGCGCGCGGACCCGTGCCATGCGGACCAGAGAAAAGGAAGAACGAAAGCAAAACAAGCTGGCGTCTGTCAAAGGAAGCACAATTGACGTTGACAAGATATGGGAAGACATGAACAGGTCGGAAGCACCTCCACCACCTCAAGGCGAGCCCGACGGTGTCAGTAATAGTCAGAATGAAGAATCAGCAGTGGATACAGCTGTCAAAACGGTTGAAACTGCTGTGAACAAGGAGACTCTACCTGCGAAAGATTTGGACGAGACCATCACAATCAAGCGCACTTACAAATTTGCAGGAGAAGTGCATGTCGAAGAAAGGACTGTCCTCAAGTCTTCAGCAGAAGCTCAGCTCTGGCTAGCACAGCAACAGTCATCGACATCACCTGTACCTGCAACAGATGGGAGAGTGGTCAATAGGCCTCTGAGAAAGCTCTCCCGGTTTGATCCAAATTTCAGCAATCTGGGAGCGTTCAAGGCCTCCTGGACTGGAAAGAATTCACAAACAGGACTATTCAAGGGACCCAAACTCAATGTCGTGGAAAAGAGTAAAATGGACTGGGCTGTACATGTCGATGCTGAAGGGTTCAAAGCAGAACTTGATACTCATGCCAAAGCAAGGGAGGGTTATCTCAGTAGAATGGATTTCTTGAAGGGAGTAGAAGAGCGCAAAGAGGCGGAAGCCAGAGCCGCAAGACTGAAAGCTGCATAGTTGAGACATTCAGCATGCTTGAATCAGACTCCTTCTGACGGTTTGTAAGAGCCAGATTGTTCGCCGAGATCTTGCTGATCGGTTTGCATCTGCCCCGTCTTTCTCGCAGTCAATATTTGTGATGGTTGCTATCTCATCTTGAAATTCTCACTGCTAACTAAGCTCGTGCTTGCCCTCTCACTTTTCATCCCCCAGCCGCGGACAGTTCCTACTGCCTGTCTTTGTTCATGCTTTACTCCTTCTCTCACTGGACAACAGGACTGACACCACAGTCAATGGGATTGGGCACTCGGCCTCCCGACAATTTTGCGACTAAGACTCGTTCGACTCTGCTTGGTCACTCTGTCTCGATGAAAAGATGCGAGACCCTCCCCCACGAACGACTGGCTTCTTATCAATTCCTTGCCGTCGGCCTCATCCTCCAGCCCTACGCAACACAACTCAGTTGATGAAACAAATGAAGCCTATGTCAACATTGAGAAAGACGGGCCAACTCTCACCAGATCTCCAACGTCCCAGTCTCCGTACACGATGCTCGACAACATCCGGAGCCAGCAGTGTGCCTTCAACCCCTCTCGACGAAATTCCTAAACCATTATGGCCACGAACAGTCATTCGCACGGCTTCCACTCCCGAGGCGAGCAATCCCGACCTCTCCATTGACGAAATCACTTCAACAAAGCTGTCACTCGACGATGAAGCCTTCTTGACCAGTTTGCCCTACGATGTACATTGCAAGCACGGAAAGACTTGGAACTTTGGTGTGAAGAAAGGCATTGCGGACATTTGGGAAGGTAACTCGGGTCGACTGAAGAAAATGACAAAGTCGCTGAGGCAGCTGCCAAACGGCTTTTTTGCTCGCAAAGACCGAGCATCAACATCAGCTGCTCAAAGCGTATGTCTTACACGCCCTTTCACATCCGAACCGACTTTACCGCAACCAGAACTCGTGACCGAATCCTGCGTGCCGCGATCTATGCACTCCACCGAAAACCGAGAGCCTGAAGGGTCAAATAGCGAACCTCTTCTTGTACGTATAAGTCCTCCGCCTTCGACATTGCTCTCTAACACCGTCGCCCTGCAGATGGACTATGATTGTAAGCCGAAAGAGACTGTATCTTGCTCGGAGGAGATGTCCAAGGTAGGTACGGAAAGCGCGGGGTGCATCAGGTCTGACAATGTCTAGATATCCTCTGCGATACGCAAAGAGCTCAATGATAGTCGTAATCAGCATGTGGTGACGTCTGAAAAGTCAAAGGTTCATGTCCAACACCGTCTACGCCGACGTATCTAACGTGTACAGCGAGCGCCCCCTCATTTCAAGTCGGCCCCAACCTATTATACGTATGCCTCGTCATCGTCGACAATACATACGGCCGAGGATCGACTACTGCATGGCCCGCGTTCTTTCAAGGCTCCTGACCGCCAGCAACCAACAAGATCATCGTCCGTTGGAAGTGTCGAGGAATTGCGGAGTCATGCCTTTGGAGCCCAAAGATCCAGCAGACCGAGCATATCGAATGTTTCAGTCGGACATAACTCAGCACCCAGTATCAGCCGAATTACCCAGCCAGGCTTGCGGCCGGGGACCAATTCCGAGTCCGGCCATTCCGTTAGCGGCACGACAGCGGTGCCAAAACCTGTGGTGTTCATGGATGCGCCGAGCGCTTGTTCCGAGATTACCTGGAACAATGGGCACCCAAATGGACGGCCGTCTACATCTTCCACGGCGCGGCCAGCGTCCAAAGGAGCCTCTTGTTTGAATATTCAGGACGATTCCGAAACCATGCCTGCACTGTCCCCCGAAATTGAGCTCGGAAGGGGAGATTTTCCGGGCTGGAAAAAGGTCCCTCTCTATGCTCCAAGAAGTGTCGAACGCAAAGACTGGCAGCAAACAGTAAGACGGGAGCGTTATTCTACCGTTCTAGTCCCGCCAGAGTCTGCTACTGATGGGACGCATGGTAACGGCGTGCAAGGCGAAGTCAACATGTCCAGCCCTGCCATCTCCGACATGTCTTTTGCATCTTTGCGGGGGCAGACCTCTATCCAGTCGCATATTGATAGAGAAGCCATGATCCGAGACTGGGAAAGCGAGGTCGAGCAGCAGTCATCGCCCAGTGGTCGAGAGCGGTTATCTAAGGTGCTCTGCAATGCATGGGCGGAGGGTACCACTAGATTGAGGCAAAAGGGTGCTAAACGCATTGTTGTGTGAAGCAGTCCCTTGAAGCTAGAAATAGATGGTGTCGCTGCTGTATGAGGAGGCTGTGCGCGCGAACGTGGTCACTTGATGCGTTTCGACTAGTAGTGATAGGAAAGCTGCTGTTATCGATGGTTGATCCGGGAAAGAGTTCGAGGTGACAGCGTCTGCATGCTACACCGGGATATTACATTTCTTGGGACTAGGAGACAGTATGCAGAGAAGCTGTTTGGTGTTGACAGACACCTCAAATAGATACTTGACCAATATCCATTGCTTGGGTTGGCCTTAGCATGGTGATTTTGAGCCTGATTTGCTTCCTAGTATGGCACCCATGTTTCAAATCTCAGACTTGGGGCAATGATTTCCGTGGTCTCCTTGGCTCGGCAGGGATCAAATTAATTTCACCTTCTCTCGACTGGTAGATACCCTTCATCATTCCTCTATCATCTTCAATCATCCTCCATCCAACACTGCGAGAAAGTGCGTGTTTCTCCGTGGTGAATCATGTCTTCATATTTCATTTTTCATATTTGATCGTATCCCTTACTGATGCTCTTTTGGTGCCGCTATGCTGAAACAGTGCTATTCGTACATGATACATCCTTTCCCGTGCCGCCGACAATGCTTTTCAGCAAGCGATGCTATGACTTTTACAAACAATTGTTGCAATGCAGCCACCAAACCGTATCCTTGGTATGCCAAATCCCTATCCCACTAACAATTCGATTCCGAAAATGGAACGTCCCGCCTCATAGGAGAACAGGTGTTCAGTCTGTTCTTCCTGGTTGCTGGGAAGTCGCAGCCCTTGTCAATGCAGAGCCGACCATGCCAGAAAGTCACTCAAGTGCAGAAGCACAGGTCACTTCGTGCCGTCACACCAGAGGAAACCCATTCTTATCGAGCTCGCCGACCCAGTCTGGATCATAATACTGGCTGTTCTTGTCCAGCGTGGCCACGTATCGATTCCCTCGAACGCCTGGCTTTTTTGAATGAGTGTTTCTCAGGTGACTTTTGAGGTTGTCCGTTCTCGAGAAAGGCCTATTGCACTCGGGCACCCAGCATCTGTACACGTCGTGGTCCTCTTTCTCATGCACGGTCTTTTCATGCCTTTTTCTATGCTCCTGCCTCTTGAACCGTTTCGGTTTTCCCGTGCCTTTGTCAATGCACCCGGGGTATGTGCAGGGATATGGATTTTCTTCAATGATTGGGGCGCAGTTGATACCAGAATTACTGGCTGCGGTCTTGGAGGAGAGTTTCGAAATCCCCGTTGTGTTCCTGCGCTCGTACCCTCGTCGATGCAGCCGGTCATGGTGTGTCCGATGTCTCTTGCTGTCACAGTGCCTCAGAACTTGCTCGAGATCATCATACGACAGTTCGTCAACGTCGTGCTGTGACGGCAGCACGGATGGTGAGATCATTGACAAAGGACTGCTGCTTAGAATAGCCGACGGAGGTACTCTAGCCTTTGGAGGAGTTGACGGCTCGAGCTTGTAGCTCGGGGAGCTTGGTAATATGCGCTGGAACGTCACGCTCGGCTCTATGGTCTCTGTGGGAGTGTGAGCTAAAGTCCACCGCAAAAAATCGTGGTCTGAACCATGCATGGTGGGAGAGTCCAACGGCCCGTCGAAGATCGACTTGGTCAAAGCCGGATTCGAGATTACGTTGCTGATACCAGGCTGCCTCGAATCATATAGTGGGTGACCATGTGCAGACATCAACATATCTGACATGTCTGTCATCGGCAGGCCGGGAGAGGAGCCGACACCACTCATCCAAACACACCTCTGAGGGTACTGGTCCTCTTCTTGCATGTGAAAAATGGGTTGGCAGTTATCGAAGCAGGCTGCTGGTTTCAGACACTTCTGGTAGGTCATACGCACTCCCGGATCCTGCATCATCGGCGTGATGGGACTTGCGAATCTTGCCGGAGGGGTGAAGAACATGTCTGGGGAGGTTAAACTGCTGCAAGATCCCAGGGAAGAACGACGGAGATAATGGGAGCCTGCGATCGAGGAGCCAGACGAGAGGAAGCTGGATGATAGAGATGGACAATCTGCCATAAATCCCAGGGGAGACTCTCTCTTGAATGCGGCCTCGAGATGGAATGATGTGTCGTAAGCACTTTCCTCGGTCTTAAATTCAATATGGGTTGAAGGCATTGCTAATACGTCAGTAAGTTGATCCCTTGACCAATGCTGGGAGACGATACTCACTTTCTACAGCAGCCAAGGTGGTATGGTCGTTATCCATGTTGTCTCCTGTTGTTGCAGTCTTGTTCAGAACAATAGGCGACGATGGTGTGGGCGTAAGAGGGAAATCGAAGAAGTGAAGCGACCACAGCCTTCCATATCTATGAGATGAGTGCGCTCACGCGTTGTCTTGGAGAATGCAAGGTGTTTGGTATGTGCCACCCCGGCGAACGGCTCGCGAATACGGTAAACGGATCCACTTCCTCCGAATGAACTGCTCAGGCTCGGAAGTTTCAGACAGACTGACCCAAAAGAGTCGCCTCCGAATTCCTGGAACGCAGACGAGCCAGACACCGGGAAGCCCAAGGGGGATGAATACGCTGGTGTGGCTAGTTGAGCTCCATTCCACGGCAAGGGATGCTTCTTTCGATCAGCATTCGGAAGTTGCAAGCACAGATCAAGCTAAGGCAGATAGGAAGATCTACGCTCAAGATTCCAAAATGTCCGATCAGGCTCCTGTGTCTTGACATTAGCTAACGCGGGTGCGGTACGGCGGAAAGGTCAGAAAGCAGCTTCCATCAGTGCAAGGACTCATTGGCCAAAATCGAGCGCTACCGCAGGTACGCAACTCTGTCACTTCGCTCACAGACCCCTGCAAAGCAGAGGCGCCAACCTGGAAGAGCATCATCGATGCAACAAACTCTGTGAAGACGTCGCGAATCTATCGATAGCCTTACATACTGCATCGGCAACCTGCATGGTATCGATAACACAATGCAGGCACTAATTGCTTGTATCGCCCCAAAGTGCTTGCATGATCCACAAAGTGCTTGCATGCCAGAGATGTTGTCGCGGGACGTCAAAAGCGTTCATCGCTCACAAGAGCAACCCCGGTCAGCCATTACCGGTATACAGTCCGAATTGGTAACCGCTGTCCTAGTCGACTGCATACTTTCGTAAGGCCGTTCGCGAACACGAGCTTTCAAGCGAAATGCGGATAGAGAGGAGGAGGGTCGATGAATTAGTCTATGCATGTCATCGCTACCGTTCTTTTCTTTGGTGCGGGCAATCGAACAAGAATGCAGGGGGGATGAACTCTCCCAGACTCACTCCTGCCAATGATCAGGAGGACCTCTTTTGGCGGCAAACCCCACGATGAACCAGGATCTGCGTTTCGGCAAACTGACACCATTCCTGAAAACCGCTCACTCGATCAGGTCTGGCATGCAACTCATAGATGACACAATCGAAAAGGGCAAGGCAAACGCCAACGTCTCCAAGAGTTGCGTCTGGCGACAACGCCACACAGATGCACGGGCCACAAAAGTATTGATTTCAGATTTATCCATCCCCAGGTATGTGTCACAAAAGCGATCAGTTTGACACGCAGCCATGTCATTGGCGGACGTCAAATCGGACGTGGACAGCCTACGAGATCGCTGACGGGTGTTTGAAGGCATCGAACCGAAGTGCCCTGAGAGTGTTCCAGGATGACCCCTGGTCGTTTCCAAATGTACTTTGCAATCACCTTGGATGGCTGGAACTCCTGCCGTCGACAGACAACTCGAGATTTTCTTGTTTTCAGCTCTTTGTTAGGAAGGGGTCAGGAGTATCCAAGATCATACAGGAGAAGAAAGATACTGAATAGCAATTCAGGCGTGTTTCATTGCATTGCAGTCTGCATAGGCGCTTTGTAGGCGAATTGTATGCGAACTACCTGCAATGGCCGAAGCCAGAGGACCGCTGCGGCCCTACACGGCCACCTCGATGGTAGATTGACCCACACGACTCCGACCACTCATCGTTGGTGGCTGGATGTTTACAGCTGTAAAACGATCCGCCCAGGTATGTCGCCTTTCTCCAGCATGTCATACACTTCTGGCAATTCCCGGAATGGTCGAATTTGGACGCGCGGATTAACTTTCCCGGTTCGAACCAGCTCGACAGCTTCCCCGGTCTCCTTCAACGAGCCCACCAGGTTCCCGTGGATTCTCAAGCCTTTGATGACGATAGTAGCAATGGGCGTGTCTAGACACACGTCGCCAGGAGGAATGCCGACCAAACACAGCGACCCACCCACTCTTATCATATCGGCCAGTTTTTGAAAGGCCCGAGGGTGGCCACTTGTCACGACTGCTGCGTGAGTGCCTCCACCAGTAATCTTTTGAACCTCTTGTGCCAGATCCTTGCATTTGCTGAAATCGAGAAATTGCGCCCCTAGGGACTCCACGAACTGTTGCTTCTCGACACCGGCATCGACTCCGAGCACTTTTGCCCCCAGCGCGAGGCCATATTGGACTGATTATGTTGGGTCAGAAGAGGCTTGCAGCCCGGGGGAGACTCACTCACCCGCAAAGTGGCCAAGGCCACCCCCCGCCCCGATGACAGTCAGCCATTGTCCTTCTTTCAGGTTCGCGTTGACGACAGCCTGTTGTTTTCCTGTCAGGACGGTTTCGTCCCGATGTGAAGGTACATACCTTATATGCCGTGACGCCCGCACAGAGGGCAGGTCCGACGACCTTCGGATCGACGTCCTGGGGTAATAGTGTCAGATGTTTGGTGTCGAGAACACAGTATTCCTGGAAGCTGCCGTCCTCGTGGTGGAGATGGTTTGTGGAGTTGGTGCAATGTTGCTCCTGGCCTGAAGTGCAGTACTCGCATTGATGACAGATTCGAGAGGCGAAGCGAATGCCGACAAGCGTTCCAAGTTGGAGGTCATCCCTAGGTGATACATTGGGTCCAAATGCCACAACACGCCCCACGCCTTCATGTCCACCAACGTGAGGGAGCTTGATGTTCGTTATGGGCTTGCCGTCGGCACCCGTTGCGGTTCCAGCTTTTGTATGGAGGTCTGCGGGTCGAGGGTAAGTGTTGAGAAAATGCTCCGAAGATTGTTAGATGAGCTCACCACTCTGGCAGACACCGGTGTATAGGACTTTGACCAGGACCTCGTCCTTGCCAGGCATGGTGACGGGATAGTTGTCATCAAAGACGACAGGCCCGCCTTGCTTCGGCACAATTGCCGCGGTTTGCGTTTTGGGGATGTCGGGTTGAGACATGTTGAGGGTAAGCCAGGAAGGTTGGATGATTCTTGACAAGAGACAATACAGTGTGGTGTACGAAGACGAGGTTTGGGCTGTGCGAGGCGATTTATACAAAACTTAGTAATCTCCACGGGCCTTCTTTGCCGTCAACAACTGTGCGTGAACTGTCCACGAGGGCAGCAGAAAGGCGGTAATCACAAACGGGTGGAGTTGATGCTGTAATGCTGTGGTCGAGAACGACTCAGTGGACTGTCAACCCGAAGCTCTTTCGACTCCTCATCCGAGTAACAATTCCCCCCAATCTCATCCACAGTCGTTCTTTGTGGGCCCTGCATAACCCATGCAAACCCCGCATGTTGGCAGGCACCGGTTAGCGAAACTGCTAAGTTCGTTGGCCTGCTGACTTGCTAAGCTCTTCGGTTATTCACACAGAACATGCTTGGTGGGATTGGTGCTCGTAGGGCAGCTGCCCCGATCTGCAATGCGGATGTTCCTTGTCTCAGGGGCCAGAGCAAACCTAGGGCGAGCCGTACTAAGAGGCGAACATCGAAAGCTGAAACGTTAGAACCAAGACACATTATTCTGTCCTTAGTACTCTGGGTGAAAGGCATCCGATGTCTTTGGCAAACTTGCCGTTGTTTCTCCCCATGCTCGAGCTCTGATGACGGCGATATATGGCCCGCCTGATGGGGTTCTCGTCGAAGCAGGAGGCGCACAGTCGATGGTCGAAGTGGGAAAATGAACAAGTTGTCTTCAAGGTCAGCTTGGCGTCGGCGTGGGGGCGAGCTATTTGACCCCATGAATACGGAGTGCCCCCATACCACAATGTGCACGGTATCCGTACATAGCTCGACAGTTGAGTGACAGTAGGACTTTGCCAAGCAGGAGACACGATGGAGGAGAGCGTCCCAGATTTTCGATGCAACAAGCTGTGGCGTACAGAATCTGTGTGTGGCGCTGACAGTGTGGCTAGTACTGGCTTGGCGTCACATGTCCAAAACCTGAAATCGAAAGACAGTCTCGACAGAAGGCAGCGGATGACGTCGTTGTTGATTTGATCGATTGATCACGGGCCTAAAACACCAAATCCCAGCCATCTTTGGACTCGCTTTGACCAGCCGGCGACGAGTACGAAATTCCCTTTTTGTCACATTCGTTTTGCGCAGTCTCTCCTCTAAGCGAGCCAAAGCATCGGCATTCCATATCCTCAATATTGATGCTGTGACGTCTGAATTACTGTGGCATCACTCCTCAATGGTTTCCTACAACCCCGCCTGCTACCTCCCTCAATCGTGGTCATCCCAACTCCCCAATGCCATCGCCTGCCCACCACCTCCGTCCTACTTCTCAACTGCTTACACCTACGCAACATCACCTTTCTCCTCAACATACAACACCCTGCGCACCATGATCGACGCGCTGCTCGGCCTGCCCATGCTGAGCTTCCTCCTCATCCCGACGTTTTCCTCGTACTCGACCTCTCTAAACCTGCTCTTCTTCTATCTCACATGGTCGACGCTGGTCCTCTCCCATCCACCGTTGCGTGTGGAAATCGTCGCGACCCTCGCCGTCAGAACTTTGTTCTACATCCTCCCCTCGACGTTCTTCCTGCTCTTCGACGCCCTACTACCCTCCGCGGCCGAGAGCCTCAAAGCGCTCGGCGATACGGCGCTCCCGTTCAAGAATGCAAGCCGTGAGCGCACAATGCGTACGCTGCGTGTACTCGGCTGGTCGGTCTTGAATATCCTCCTTGGCGTGACTATTCAAGCCCTGGTCGAAGTCCTGTTCACACGCGTTCTGCTCATCCGCTCCGCATTGCGCGTGACCACGGCGCTGCCTTTACCATTTGGCATATTGAAAGACCTTGCCCGAGGCTATCTCCTTCGCGAGGTAGTGACATACGTTTTGCACCGGTATGCTCTGCACGAATCGAAGAACAGCCTGTCCCGCGCGCATAATGAGTGGTATCACTCTCTCTCGACGCCGTTTCCCTTAGCGGGAACTTACGATCACCCGCTCGCATACCTTGTCCGGAGTTTCCTGCCGACGTACCTACCCGCCGTACTCTTCCGCTTCCATTTGATTACCTATGTTATCTATATGGCGATGGTGTCTCTTGAAGAGACGTTCGCGTATAGTGGGTATAGTACGGTCCCGACTAATTTTATTCTCGGTGGGATGGCACGCCGGACGGATACGCACATGTTGTGCGGCGGAGATGGGAATTTCGGGCCTTGGGGCCTTGTGGATTGGATCATGGGCACGAGTGTGGGAGCGGATGTGCTTGATGATGTTGTGGCCGAGGCGGACAAGCACGATGTCCCCGCAAGAATAGATAAGATGAAGAGTAAGGCAGGGAAGAAGGTAAATGGGAAGATTGAGGATGCGAAGAACGTAGGAGGACGCAGGCGGACCAGACGCAGGAGCAGCAGTTGAGGAGGTTGAACAAGAGTTGTGATGCAGAGCCCTCCTGCTCCGAAGGGTCCGGTGTTGAGGTCTGTTGAGCGCAATTTTTTGAGCAGTTGTGTGTTGACCCTGACATGTTCCACGCTTTGGTGCGTCAGGGCAAAGTTTCTGACGGTATATAATGAGTATGAACGGCGGGCACGATAGCGAAAGATTGGATACCCCATTTTCTTTACTGGAGTATAGCAGCTATGGCGAAAAGCAATGTTTCTGGTTAGGGTATTATTTTCATCAATGGATCTTGGACCCTTCATGCGCGAATGTTTCAATCTGTCGATTTCTTCGGTAAAACTTGGTCTTCTCCTCGACCAAGCGACCGACTTCCTTGGCCGAGTTGTAGTTCTGTCTTCTACAGACGATTCCTCGCGCAACCCAGATTGAGACCTGGATCGTTCTCATGGCCATGTGTTGGAAAGTATCCTTGGTTGGGCAGGAAAAAGGAGGAAAAAGGGAAAAAGCAAACGCAGTAAGTTCTTTCCAAGAAGCTCCCTCTGACCAGATGTTAGTCCAACAAGGTTCTCCGAGCTCAAAGTCCTGTGGTGTCCTTCCAGCCTGCTGTATATTGTATGCTCTTTCACTGCACGCGTCCCCTTCGCACCTTCGTCGTTGGCGCCTAACACCTCTCGTCATGGAGACGGCAAGTAAGACTTGGACCAGATGCCTGTCGAACCTGGGTAGCGACCACATTCATCGTTATTCCGTGGAAGTACACGAACAATCTCGTCGACTGCTCTGACCGGTTTTCTTACTTCCTGGAGACGATTTGCCATGCAAACAGCACAACCTTGGAAGTGACGCCGTTGTATGAGAGACGATTTGAGTGTGCTAGCTCGATCGTGGGTTTTGTCAGGTCCGCCTCGAGACGGTACACAGGATGCAGGGCGACAGATCCGGGCAACTCTCGTCCCATGTGCGCGGGCACTCCTCTCGCCTGCAATATAACCTACCCATTCGACTGCCTTTCTGAAGCGACGCAGCCCGGCAACCTCTTGGTTGACTTGGATAGAAGATGCTGTCGTGGCGTGGTGATGAATGCATCACCAATATCCGGCATGGTAGCCCAAAAGCCAATATCCTTGCCAATTCAATATCGGCAGGATCTGCCAAGGGTCGATTGACTGCCGCAATCCTGTTCGATTGGGTGGGCTTGTCGACTTGTGTCAAGTTTCCTTTGAACTCGTCATATGTTCATCAAGACAATTTGTGCACCACCTATTGACAAGCGGTTTCGTTGTGGTCACCAGTGTGACACTTCTGTGAAGGAGTGAACATGGCTAGCATGTCGCACATGCTGGAGGCAGTCGACTTTCGACCTGGGCCACAATACTAGTGACAACCACATATTCACCGTGTGGGCGTGAAGACATGTACCTGTACCTGTACCTGTCAGCTGCAAAATTCTCCCTGCCTAGGTACTAGGAGACACTCCTGACCTCGTGTAGTGAATGTCTGCGAATGACTCGAAAAGTGTTTATATATAATGCGATTCGTTTTTTTTTGGTCGCGCTGTTCTGAACCATCGATTTTCCAGGACCGACACAAGCGACTTGCAAGCCTTCTTATCTTCCAACAGTGTAGCGCAGCATAGCACAGTTTCAGGGCCACCAATTTTTTTTCTTCAGCAAAAAGGAAGGTATGTTGGTTAGCCGTCGAGTTTTGTTTCGTCGTGTTTGCGTCTCTCGCTTGCCCGCAGTGCCGACTCAACACGACTGACTGACATTCTGTGTCATACCTTGCAGGGAACAGCATGGACCAATCAACTCATTCCAAGCGTCTGGACGGTCTCTTCCTCCTGGCAGGGAGCAGGATGAACCAATCAAGTCCAACCAAAAGTCCAGATAGTCATGGCGGACGGCAGCTGAGCAAACAGCCAGCAGACCACAGTGACCACTTCAAACAGCGTGCTCAGTTTGCTCACGACATCGCCAGGCGTCTTGCAGATGGAGCAAACCTGGAAAACATTGCGCACCAGTCCAACATGACCGTGGATCAGATTGTCCGGATGGTGGCCATGTTTGCGGTGCAGGCGGGTGAAGTTGGTAAAGTTTGTCTTGGAACGGTCTGTCTCACCTTCTCACCTTCACTCATTGGCCCTTAATTTTCTTTTTTGCGTTTGTCGATTGTATCCGAGACTGTGTCCTGACGTGTTTTGATGTGCAGGAGGAGATGTACATCGTCTTCGCAGAGAACGAAGAGGGCAAAGGCCACCACGATCGGCGATGGCGTGCAGGAGAGCGTGAAGAACAAGAATGAGATCGGGAAGGACACGGACATGGACATGACGTGGTGGCAGATCACCTTGTTGACTCTGGGACCAATCTGGCATGTGCGAATCGAAACGATGGAATGTCGAGTGGAGTTGACCACGATCAACTGTTTCACATACCGTTGGGTGCGTTAAGTAAAGGGTGCCAGCAAGCACAGTGAGCACTGAACAGTGAGAGGGAGCGACGAGGCTGGACAAGAACAAGGCTGAATCCCCTGACTTTGGCTTTCTTGGCATCAACTTTACCAGATATCCTAGGTATGCTTGAGGACCGCAGATGATACCTGGCCACGAGTGGCATTAGACAATTGTAAGACGCACACACACAGTCCGGAAAAATAAATCTCTATTGAACATGCAAAAAGGCAAAAACTTTTTCCACCCTACCAGGTTTCGAACTTGCCGCTATGGCAGAGGTCCATCTCTGGGTTAGAACAGGTGGGAAGTGAAAACCTCTGCTTCTCCTTAGAGGATGCATTCATCAGTTTTTTTTGTGTGTAACTATGTACTTTGTGCTTCTTGTTTTCTCTTTTTTATTGTGGGAGCGCCTGACCACACAAATCAATGCTGACTTTTTCTTTAGCAGTGGAAGCGCGTAACCACTGTATGTGTGTCAATCCTCACCGGGTAGAGCACCAAGGTACACCACCCTCAGATTGTTAGGGAGAATTTGGAAGAAGTAATTGATAAAGTGCAAGTCAGTCAGTGAGTCACAATAGAGGGAGTGTTTGATTTTCTGATTGGTGGCGCGAATGACTGTGGTGGGTTGTGGATTCCTGTGTGCCTGAGGAATGAATGGAAGGTACGTTTCGGAAAACCCACGAGGAAATGGCAATGGAAATGGCAAATGCAGGGACAACACCCCGTCGTCGTCCTCATGGCTGTTATGATCGTTGATTGCTGTTCTGGAAGATGGCATCTAACCAAGTGACTTGACTCTCCCAAGTCTATCCATTATGATCCTGATCAAATCAAGTGAGCCATTCCTCTCCAAGCCGTCTTCCATGTTTCATTTGATGGTGCCTAATCTGCGTTTCCCATCAGGTACCAGCTAGGTGCCAGCCTTCATGGCCTCTGCATCTCTCTGCGCTGCGAATTTGGCAATCGACTCCACCATGTTGAGGACGCTGATATGGTACTTTCGAGCCACGGCGTCAGGACGCATGCCGCTGTTGATCTCCTTGATGTACAAGCGGACGAGTTGCACATCCCTGGCGTCCCGTTCGGTTGCGTTTGTTCGTTGTTTGTTCATGGTGGTTGTGGTGGTAGAAGGCTTGTTGAGAGCTTGAGCTTCAGCTTCAGCGACGTCCTCTGCGTCGATGGCTGTCCAGTCATCGGCATCAACGTCGACGTCTTCGGCCTGTGCTGGAGTTGTCGCCGTCTCGACCGGTTTGTAGGTCAGAGGAGGGAGGAGGACAGGCGCTTCTATGTCAAGCTCCGGACGTGCACGGCGCTTGGCTATCTTTTTTTCTGTCGTAATTGTTAGTTTAATTCTCTCAAGAAGGAGTGTGTAAGAACTGAGACAAAGGAGGCTTACCTCTGTCCCGCAGAACAAGCAGATTTGCCTCGCGGGAGGCGCGGCGCAGCTCGTACGCTTCCTTGGAAGCTTGATAGTTCGCAGCTGCGCGGGTGCGGTTAGTCCTGACCTTGGAGCGAAGAGGGAGAGAGCAAAACTTACCTGGATCCATCTTGGTATTTGTGTGAAAGTGGACAAAGTCGCACTCTGAGGGCGACAACAATATCTCTAGATATAATGTAGGATATAAAAGGCACGCTTGGCGAGGATCAAACGGCACCTTTTGTCTGACTGGGAGGGAGCAGACGGCATGGCGTGCAAACGAGGGCTTTGATGGGCGAGTCACCGCCTCATCCATGGTGACAGATACCGCCTTGACAAGACCGAGCAGGATCGTGGGTGACATAGGTTGTTGTGGTAAGAGACACCGCCGTGAGGAGTCGACCGTTTATATAAAGCGTCCTCGCTGGCCTCAATCGGCTGTTTTCACATCACTGTGACAGGTCGACGACAAGGAGCCATCTTAGCCTTCAGCACAGGGACCGAAAGGGCAAGAATATAGGCTGTAAGTTTTCTGTCCTTTGAGAAGTGGATGAGAATGAGGGACTGACCCACGACAAGAGGGAAGTGCGTAGATCGATGCGTTTTAAAAGGCCAGCCAAAGCAAACGGAATGTTCTCTACTGTTTGTCAAAACAGCGAACTCCATCTCAGAGCAGAGCCAACGAGCCTCAACGAGGAGGAGAAGCACGCCCGCCGTATCCAGGCAAAGATCATGTCTTTGTACTGCGCGAGGCCACCCTGTCCAATGCTATTACTACCTCTCCTTCTCCACTAGATGCTCTACCCCTTCATCGCCAGGCCCCACTGTGCGATGCACAAGGCCATATCCCTTACACTAAACGCATATCTCGCAGCGACCACCTCCGGAAACACGCCCTCGCAAATCTCCCACACCATGCTTCCCAGCATCCAGTTGCGCACTTCTTCTCCCGTTGTTGGACGAGGGCTGATGGTGAGCTGTCTCTCTTTGATGCGCTTCTCAGTGAGTTGCGCGATGCGAACGACCACATCGAGTAGCGCCATGCGGTGTTGTCGACACACGAGGGCCAGCGAGATGTTGTTCGCCAATTTGTGGGTGATATGCAACGATTCTGCGTCCCAGAAGCCGCGTTCATAATCGTTCATCCTCAAATAACCGTTGTCGGAGATCACGCCGGCTTCGATGAGCGCTAGATCGGTGCGCGTGACAGCAAATGGGGCGAGGTACCGTTTCGGGACTAGCAGTCGGCCAGCATTGAAGCGGCATGCTTCAAACTGGAGAGGAGCTAGGACGAGAGGTCAGTGGGCTTGATAAAGAGCGAGGAGAGGGAAGGTAAGAACTTACTGACGTCTGACATGTCGACTGGGCGGGCTTGAGCATCGATCCTGCCGAGTCGGAGTTGTTGGAACCAGTCCATACTGATGTCAAGAGGGTGACAAGGCTGAGGGGCTCAGGGTATTTTTATCGTATATTGAAGGTCGTGTTTCAATGCTGTCCAGCGATGAGGAGATGCTGTCCGTGGACATGAGGTGAAGTAAGTATGTGAAAGTAAGGTTGTAGACATGCAGGAAGAAACATGAAATATCCAGGAGTGAGTGGTGGTGTATTAATTGTTTGATTACTGGCGCGATCAAACATATGTGAATAGTCAGTGAATGGCAAGATCACCTCATCATTGTTTGCGAAGGACCGCAATAGCGACCAGCAGGGCCGCTTGATTGTATTGCGGATTGACTACGTGCAGACAATTGATGCGCAGCGCAGGTCAATAGTCGACGAGGTGGTGGAGTCTTGCCTGGAATATCAACCTGCATCAATGAGTTGGGAACGACACTGCGGCAGGCGACGACGCTTTCCCGCGTTTCGCACCCCAGATAATGCCATCATATCAGGCAATCCAGAACCAGATCCGCTCGATGAAGTTCCTTGGCTTTGTCTCCGGCCACGTTCCTTCCATGCGATCGATCTCAGCCTTGCCACTCCACAAATCCATGTCTTTCAGACGGACGAATCTTGTCCGCTTGACGATCTTGTACCCCAAGAACAGCGAGGCGAAAATGGGTATGTCAATATAAGGCGGGATAAAGCTCTTCGCGCTGAACCGGCCGGGAAAGAAGCAGTCGAAGCCGTTGAAGATGGCTACGGTAATGCAGAAGCAGATTGCAAAGTAGGCCAAGAATGGTTGCAGTGGAGACTTGTATGGCAAGCTCGACCTTGCTATTCCATTATGTTTGAGAGCATAATGAAACCGAAGATAGGTGATGCAGATACTGGCCCAAACAATCAGGGTGCTGACCGCGGAGAGATTCGAAATCCAGAAGAAGACATCGGCGGACCGCGAGCTGACGTTGAGATAGACCAGCAGACTAAGCAGAGAGGTTGCAGCCACACAAGCATAGGGAACCCCAAAGCGTTCGAATTTCAAAAATGCCGGTGCTCGATGATCCAGTGCTGTCGCGTATAGAATGCGTGTTGACGCGTAGAAGAACGAGTTTCCTGCTGACCAAGCAGAGGAGAGGATGACGGCGCTGATATTGACGTTAGCACTCAATAGCTGTCCTGGGCAAGACGGAAGCTCCTGCAACACTGACACAGGCTTCTAGCGAGACTTACTTGATAATCGACGGCAGAGCTGGGATCCCACCGTTAACTATAGCGATCACAAATGGACTTGCCGCTGCGCCGGGGGCCGAATTGCTGATTGCGTTCAACAGTCGTGGGTCTTTTGCTGAAACGCACATGCCGATAAGGAAGATCGAAAGCACATAGAAGATAGCAATTCTCCAAAACACCCTTCGAACAGCCTTGGGGATGTTCCTGCGAGGATTCTCCGTCTCACCGGCTGCGATAACGACCATTTCACTTCCTCCATAGCTGAAGGTCGCTGATATGAATATCTTCCAGAAGGCGAGAAAGCGTCCTAACGCACCAGTCTCGAGATACTCCAGCATCGGACCCGGGTGATCCCAATATCGGAAGCCGATTCTGTCATGGTTTGGTGCACCACCAAGCGTGATAATGAACATGAGCAAGATAAGACCGACGATGGTAGTCAGTTTGATAGCACCAAAGACAAACTCTGCCTCGCCATAGATTCGCACCGGAAAGCAGTTGACAATCACCATAGGTATGAACAGGACAGTTATCCAGACCGCATTCGAAACAGAGTTAGGCCAGTATCCTATAACGACAGCAGCCGCCGAAATTTCAATAGGTACACCAATTGCAAGTTGATACCAGTAATTCCAACCAAGAGTGAAGCCCAATGCTGGATCAACGAATCTTGCCGCAAACACTGGCACTGCGCCTGGAAGAGGCAGGTATGCAGCCATTTCTCCTAAGCTGTTGATAACCGCGTACAGGTTGAACCCTGTAATGAGGTAGGCCAGGAAGGCTGAGAGCGGACCAGCTAGGCTCAACGCTTGGCCACTCCCAACGAACAGACCAGTTCCGATAGCTCCTGACAGAGCGAGAAACTGGACATGTCGTGCTTTCAGCTTGCGATTTAGTGTTCCAACGTTTCTCTGCTCATGCTCCGGATTTTTCAGGTCGTCATCTTCTGTCTGGGTCTTGACGGCGGCATCGACGGCTTTGGCGTTTTCAATATCCTTCGGTTCGGGCTCCATGATGGCCGGGTATCTTCGCATCTAGCGACTGCCAGTATTGGGCTGTCAAGGTGGACAGATTAAGAAGCGGTGTTCAGTAGGTGGCCGAAAGAACGGGGTCGGTTTTCTACCTTTCGACGGTTTGGGCTACGGATATATGCGCACATCCTGCACGATCCTGCCACCCAACCGAACCTTAGTTGATGTTACCTTACCGACCAAGGTTACAAAAGAGGGCGATCTTTGGAGAAAAAGAAGTCGACATATTGGTTGACCTGTGGCCGGAAGGATTGCGGAGTCGGAGGTGGAGAGTTGGCACCACCAAACCATGGGGAAGCCTGACTGGCAGAGATATGCCCTTATCTTCGCCCAGATCTGAAAGGATCTGACCCTGGCCTTGCGATGGAAACGGAGAAAAGGCTTTCTCGTGGATATCGAGCCGAAGTTTGATGCTTTGTCCCATAACACTATCAATCTCCGTGTGAACGTAACGAATTCGCCCTCGAACTCGTCTGGCCACTTTCGATGTTTGCCCATTCATCTTCCTCTGCCGCTTCAACATCGCCTCCCAGCTGCATATGCCCCGACCGTCGATCGATGCAAGTCTGGCACCTCCCGAGCTTTGCGCAATCCGGATTCAAATGAAGCCAGACTTCCTGGCCCAACTTGTGCAATCGCTTCCAATATCGTCTTCGAGCCCCTGGGGTCATTCGCTTGAGTCCTTCATGTTTGATCCTTAGCCTTGCAGCAGTCCATTTTTGGTTCGGTTTGTGCTCACTCGGGACCTTATGCAAGACATCCAAGTCAAGCAATTTATTCGGGGATAAAGTCCTCATGAAAGGTTGATTATGCTTGATCTGCTCCGGCATAACTCGGGAGAGAAATTGCAGGGATGCATCGATGTTCAAGTCGATCGCTCGGATAGGATTGATGGTTGTTTTCAAGACAAGGCTCGCGACATGTGGGTAGAGGACGCAGAAGTCCGACTGAGAAATGTGGACAGTGCCTCGAACGGTCAAGAGCCACGCCGGTTGACCCTCGTCCAAAGCCTCCTGGATCACGGACTGGGCCACGTCGAAGTTTTCGCGCCAGTACATGAACGCTTCTGAATTGATACCAAGGAGAGGCACGTGCAGCCGGTATTGTGGATCATCTGGAGCGGGCAGAACTGCCATACCCCAAATATCGTACACTATGCCTTGTGTGATATAGTTGAATTTGTCCCTATGTCGAAGAAGGCTCACAGTTGTGGTTCCGCCAAACGAATGACCCACCATTGTCACGCCTTGGGTGTGAAAGCGATCCTTCCAGGAGGACCAGTCAATGCCCTCGAGGCCAGCCTTTGATGCGCCAATTGCACCTTTGAGGCGGAGGTTGCGAGCGGCCACTGCATCACCATGCCCAGCACATATCTCTTGCATGACCTGATACGCCTCATGTATCTCTGCCAAGCGGAGATCTATCTGAGCTCGGCGCAGTTCTTTGTCCACTTCATGCCCTGGAGTCGTATCGAATTTGTCGCCTTTCGGAAAGATGAAGTCGACAATATCATATGGCCTGTTCTGATTGTGCTTGAAGTGTTCGACATTTCCACGTTCTTCGACGCGCTCTCGACTTGCAGGCCCCTCGGGCGGATGATTGATTAACGTTCTCGGGCCACTACCGTCCCTGTGCTCTAAAGCGACAACGACAAATCCGTGACTAGCTAACTCGCCACAGAGAGTCGAGTACGCTGTTCTAGTACCACCGAGGCCGTGGCTGAAGATAACGAGAGGAAACTTGGGCTTGTCCGGTCCATCTGCAGGAGGTTCGCCCACGCGCCGCTCATGCTTTCGATGGTTTGTCGAAGCCGTGTTTTGTAGGGGCCAATGATCTGCGAGTCTGGCGTTCTTGTACGCTGGCAATTTTGTGAACCAAGCCGTACAGAAGAACCATGCCTCGGTAAGAGTTTCAGGGAGCGAAGAGAACCGCGCGTATCCACGACTGGTCTGATCCCTCGGGCGGCTTAGCCAGGTTGGGCGAAATTTCTGGCCAAACCCAGATGTTTTCAACTCTGACCTTGAATCGTGGTGGGCTGGATAGTAGATCGTCATGAGAACCGTTTCCAATGCAATGATATGGACCTTCTGACGTGTAATATGTGAGAATGTCCGCGGCTCTTTGGCAGGCACTTCAAGGTCGATGGTTCCAACTTGGTATGGACCTGTGTATTTGGGTAGTTTGCCGTAGAGGGGTACCTTGTCTCTGATACCGCGTGGCGGTCTGGCCTTTGGTCTTCGGTGCGGCACATCATGGGGCTTTGTCTTTTCATGCTTGGGATATCCAAGGACCCAATCGGGGAAGATAGCGGACGACGGCATTGATGCGAGCGCTTATCTGCCCCAACTGGTCTGCTCAATTGTGTCCAGACTTGGTCCACGTTGGCAAGACCGTCGTGCTGAATAAAGAGTTGGTGCAGGTTTTATCAACGACCTTCGGATCCCGGCATGACCGGATAATGTGTGAGCTCATGTTGTCCGTTGCTTTTGGTGGTGGAGAAACGTCGAGGAACCCTGCAGATGGCAGATACTGGCACCGGGGCAAAATACATCATAGAAATCTTGGTCGAGCTTGGTACCGGGCATCATGCGGGCGATCAAACGCGGTACGGCTTCCTTCCGCTCGGCTGGACTATACCAATTTGGGATGAAAATCTTGCCGTTGCCAGCGAGCAGTGATATCACGTGGACGTAGATGTCCTTCGTACCCATGCTGCAAGCATTCACAGTCTGTAATGGAGATTCTCGTCTGTGTAGCCAAGAGGGGTTTCCTTGCGTGATGCAGATATTTCTCAGCCACCGCCCAACAATCTAACAGAGTCGGAGATGGGTGGGTTGAGCCTTGCCCACCCGCAAACGGGGCATAGCCGATTGCAAACCAAGGCATCCCGGATAGAAACAGGAAATGAGCTTGATGACCTCGAAGCGGCCACTACACAATATATGTCTCCCTTGAATTGGCAGTTCGAGGCTTCAATTCGATCAAAGAAGTTTGTAAATGCTGCCGCGCCTCCTGCACCGATTTTGACGTCGGCGGCAATTCCTCCAGCGCCTTCAACAACGTCGATTTGAGGTACTTGTACGTTTCGAGCTTGATCTTGCCCAGCCTGTACTCTCGGCTAATAACTTTATTCATCAACTGCACTCCGGCGACCATGTGGTGAGGGTAAGGATCAATCTGCACGAAGGAAGCCGTGATCGACACCGGCGCTTCTGCCGATGTTGTCTGAACTGCCGCAGTGGGTCGAATGGCAAGCGTACTTTCCAGCCCGAATTTCAGCGCGTTGACGACCTCACGCTCCGCATCAAGTCTGTGCTCAGTCAGTTGTGGTAGCAAGTCGTTCCGTTCAGCGGCCTCCACCGCGTCGACCAGCATCAAGATACCCAGATGATAGTGCAGCATCACCTCATACCAGTTCAGGCGTTCGACTTGGCTGAGGAAATGTAGTCTCCGCTCACAGGCGTTCAGCAGTGGACGAAAGCCGTCCTGGAACAAGTCGACGGACTCGATGAATGCGGCCCAAGCTTGTTCGACTTTCTCTTCCTCATCGCCCTCCCGGAGAGCTTCCTTGAGCACAGCGATCATTTTCCATACATAGACCTTACACGCGACCGCCGCGGCAATGATTTGCGAAGCTGTATCATCCGAGACCTCGAAGGTCGGTGTGCGCCAGTCTTGGGTCCTGGTACGGAAGGAGTGTGCACCCATTCTCAGCACGCGCCATGATGATTCAGACCCGACCCCGTGCAGGCCTGATGTTAGCGAGGACCGGAAGTTCAGCGTTAACGAGGCGGATGTATCGAAGGTCAATGCACCCCAATACGCGCGGCTTTCGCTGCTAAGAAACGTCTGACTGAGTGGCAAGCTCGTTGTTTTCGGGCTTGCGAGGGGATCCAAGTTGAGCGTAACTTTCGAGCCGTTGAACTGGCAGTTTCTTTGACGCTCGCGGAGTCGTTGAACTTGCTGCAGCGCGGCCTGAACACAGATTTGCCCTGTCACACCGTCCATCTCTTCCTCCTTGGTGACCCGGACGGGGATCGGTGTGAGGCCGAAGAGGAATAACGTCAAAACGGAGCGGTAAGAGACACGATTGATCACTTTCAGCATGTCCCGTCGCGAAGTGCGCCAAAGATCGCGCACAACTTCTTCGTGGACGAGACCAAGGCGCTCCTGCCTTGGAATGATGTGGAGCCATTGCGATGCGAATGAGCGAATGGCATGTCTGAGAGATTGGTCAATCTGACGGTTTCTCTCCAAGCGTTGGCTCAGCGGCGTTGCAGTGTCATCTAAGTTGCGTGCTTCCCAGTCCTGGTCAATGGATGCGTCGAGCTCGGCAAAGAGCCGAGATGGGGCAAAGACAACTTCGTACTTTGGGTCCCAGCTAGGGTGTTATCGTTAGCTCAAAACCCCTCAGGAGGACTCGAAAGACTGTTCTCATACACGAATGGGCAGCAGTCTCGGCCTAGCCAAAACCCAAAAATCTGTTCAAAGCAGCTTTCGTAAACGCAGTCCAGCCATTCGCCCACCGAAGACGTGATGCTGTCGAGCGAAGGAGATAGTGATGTCGGAGGGCTGACGTTGAGTAAGACAGCGTGTGAGTCGGCAGTCCGAGTTCTGTCTGCGGATTAATGTGTGATTTTCCAGCCCGTAGCAACAGGTTCACTTACGGAGTATGACCAATTGACTGTTGAGAGATCGAAGGTGTAGACGTCGTCGTGTTTTCTCCTCCAGCACGGATAGATTCGGGCGATGAGGACGAGATGTGTTGTTGCGATGCCGCCCGCTTGCTTCGACGAGGCTGCTTTACTGGCCTCTTCGCATCTTTGATCCACTAAACAGATGATCTGTTAGACTGCTCAATTGACCCGATGTAATAAAATCATGCAATGATGATTATCCGGATGACTTACCTCGAACGTACACGGTCTCTTCCGGCGAGTGCATCTCGAACAAGAACCAGCCCACTGCTGCTGGCTGGGATCATAGCCCACTCGAGCAGCATCACAGGCAAGACGTGAACTTCGACACGCGTCGCAGCTGGAGAACTGAGTCCTGCGAGGACCGGCGATGTTACGCATCCTGGCTGATGTGCTGAATCAGCAACAAGCAAAGCATCTCATCCTGAGATGTACCAAGAATGGCGACGGCGTCGTTCAAAGCCCTACGCTGCACAATCTAAGTAAGGTTGAGAGTCGAGCAAACATTGTCGCGACACAAAGCGTTGTTAGCATTGATATCTAAATGATTAATCGGTACGTTCACAACCCCGGAATCTGGAGACTGGAGAAAAGATTCGGTTGTCCAGAGGTCCGGGAGGCTAGTCACGCTAGTCTAAGCCGAGCTTAGTCCCGCCGTACCTGCCTATCAAATCTGGGTTGCACATGGTTCTCCGAGCGAACCACTCAGCGTTCAGATATCCTCGGCTAAGAAATATTGGGTCCGTCTTTGGCCGGGCCGGCTTCATGATAACATAAAAGCCCTCGATACCCTCGCCGCTCCCGAGCTGCTCCCGTACGCTCCGTCCCTCTTGCTGACATATGCAATCACTACACAATTTGCCTCCGTAGGAAATGGGCGCGCACTTGTACCAACGACCGGCCTCGAAGATTTGGCGACCTTGCACAAAGCCGACAAAGCCTGGTGCACCAGCCATTCCTCCGTTCCTCGTCCTTCGCCCTTTTCACCTCCGCTAAGGTCCATGTCGTAGCAACAATCCGGTACAACTTCTTCAAGTTCCGAACTGGGCCAGATAGTCTAGCCCCAGCTCCCAGCAATTGTGCCAGCTCTCAATGCACCGGGGCGTCGAGAAGAACTTCTTGGGAATATCCAGGACATCATCCCACCGTAAGTGACCCTACTGCCTCCAGACGGCCAACAGGAGCTCAAACCGTATATCGGATCTATAGTTCGGCGACAAAACCCCTCGTCGTGGCGGTACTATGGTAGCGGCAATGTCGAACGCCGCCCAAACATAGAACTCGGACAGATCGATGTCCTCTCGGAACATGTCACGGTTCCCCACAAGTTCCTCGGAATGGAATTGGAGCTGTTGTTCGTAGTATGGGCTGAATCGTTCGGTGCGCGAAGAATCCATCACCGCGACAAGGAGACCAATACAGCAAGCTCGCTCGAGGAGGGTGATGTCCGGGCACGTCAGGAGCCTGACGCAATATTCCACCTCCTGCATGTTCACTGCATTTATCGTCGGCGTCGGTGCTTGTTGGTGCGTCTGATCGATAGATTCGCCCTTGATCGCTACTCGATGGATCAGCGTCATGACAGGCACGCTCAGACGGTAATTGAGCGCTAGGTTGCGGAATCCGGCAGGCAGAGCGGGAATCAGCTCCGCGAGGCTGTCAATAGGCTGTCGATGGTATGGATACGGCAAGCAGACGTTGTTCGCTGGTGCTACCTGTGCGCGAGGACTTTGGCTATGCTTGAACATATACGCCCAAAATCTTTCTAATCTAGGGCGACGTCAGAATGATTGCTTGTTGTTCTTATGCAACGAACTGGCTTACCCGAGAATATATGGCTTGCCAACCTAACTGCTCAAGACCGCCTCTGAGAGCAACAATTCTTCTCAGGCCGCCCAAGTGAATCTCAAATGCAGCCAAGTCATTCGTGAGAAACTGGCAGAAGTTAGCCTTAACGCAAGGTGGCACCTAACGAGGTTGCGTTTGTCAACTTACGTTGGCGCCCATCAATGCTATTATGGCGAACAGAACAGCATCTTGGCGGTAAAGTCGTTGTTGAGAGAGAAGCGCTCTCAATCTCTGAATTGCCCGGTCGTAATGGTACAAAGCATCCGGATCGGGGCCGGTCAGGGTCCAACCTTGAATCGTTAGATTCGCTTGTGACAACGCGACAAGTGCTTCGAACATCAGATGGGCCTAGATCACGTCCGCACGACCTTGGATATCACCTGTGATATCATGTCCAGATCAACAGGGGTTAGTGGAAGGCTGGCACGGGCTGGCACTGCTGGCTAGCTTGTGCCGTAGGACCTCAGCACTCTTCGGAGTAAGGGCTGACATGTCGGTCGTGATGGCTGCAGTCACTGTGGATGTATGGCTGCGAGGCGATTCTCCAGGTATCCTTCCGTGTCCATTATCTGCTTTGCGACGTCCTCGCCTTGCGGTCTGGTGTAAGTGGCGGGAAGAATAGAGTTGGTCATTTCTACTGGACTGGAAGATCCCGGATGAATCATGGTCTTGCTGAATGTTTGTCAGCACAACGTGGCAGGGCCTGGCCGTGAAAGCCGCCTCTCAGGTTCGCCTATCTTACCCAATGCCTTTATCGTCAGGAGGTACAGCGTTTACCGGGGGAATTTGGTTGCATGACCGGTGAGCAGATGCACCTGCAGGCAAGATCGTTGTGGGTCGACGTAGGCACCAGGCTTCTGTAAGCCAGAACTGACCTCATTTAGGGCACCGAGCATATTTGTCAGTAAGGAAGCCCTCAGGCTCAAATTCGACCAAAAAAGTACCATTCATGCGTTCCCAAATATCGATTTCGCTGCGTATATACACGTATATGTCAAATCATTCGCTGCCATTCGGGTCATGTAGTGATCTGTCTGAAATATACGTCCCAATTCCATCTGGCCCGAAGTACGGCCAATCCTCCACTTTGAGTCTCCACTGTCCGGCCGCGACCTCTATCGTTGCTATCGTTAGGTGCAACAGACTGGTCCGGCCAATCCTGCGGTTTTGGATTGAGATGGTCATCAGCACCAGCTGGAAGCAGTGTATTCTTGTGGATTTGTGCCATTGAATCATCTTCCGGCTCTCCAAAAGTCCACCACATGCCAAAATGACCATGCGCAGTTCTCGTAGCTAGGGCAGCCTCTGTGTTTCGAGCCACCCACTTGTCGTAAGCCGCACAGCGTGCCAGGTGATAGTCATAGACACCTGGATCGAAATCGGCCGTTCCACTCTCCGAGGCGAGGATTGCTTCCTCCTGGGGCCATAAGGGCCGGCAGAATTCTGACAGATGGTGGAAGAAGATGCCTTTGAAGGTTTGGCCATCCTGACTGCAGTAGCCCCCATGGTCGCAAAATTCCTCCATCACGCCGCCTCTACCCAGGCCGCGCCAGGTAGGATCGAGATTTGGCCACCCGGTGGCGCGAATCACGCTTTCCACCAAGGCATGGCCATCATCCAAATAGCTCCTCGCTCCTGTGGCAAGCCAGAGACCGCGACTGGCGGACAAGATGACACCCTGATTGTACGTATAGACCATGTGATTGAGATCGTCGCAATCCCCGGTCCCGGGATTGATGGTGCCATTGGGATGCCGGTGCCAGCCAGTGATGTGAAAACCGTCTTGGTAAAGACCTGAGACACGATGCCGCATCCGGCTTTCCAGAAGCCATTTGTAACTCTTGATCGCATTTTCGAGGTATAACGGATCATGAGGCTTCATGAAACCGTCCGAATGTTGCGCCATATATGGCGAAGTGTTGTTGTCTCCTGGAAAGTATAGATACATTCCAATGCTGGCAGCTGCGAATAACTCATTGGTGATGGCGTTCTTATAGGGCGTCAGATAGGGATTCCAGGTCATGCCTCCACCGCAAAGAGATTCGTCCCAGCCAACTGACGCTAAATCGTAGAATATGCGAGCGCGATGGGCAGCCATGGGTATGACCTGCAAGCCATGCCAGCCGTTATTGTGCCGAAGAAAGTCCCAATGCTTCAGAGAATACATCTCGGCGAATTTGAGGTTCTCGAGCCAGCCGAGAACGACCCAGAGCATATCGTCATAAGCCTGATTTCGTAAAGCAAATGCGTTCTCGCCAAAATAGAAGACAGATATTTGTGCGTAATATCGATCAATGATGTTTTGCCAGGCCAACATGTCGGCACATGTGGATGTCGAAGACACGTCGAGAGAGGAAACAATGCTGGCCAACGTCGCTGACACTTGGGATCCCACAACAGCAGACGTCCAGTCGATGGCGTCCGGCCACGTTCCGGAGAAGAGATCAAAGTAGCTGTCTTGCATGACCTCCAATGCGTCCAACATATCCTGTAAGATAGGGGGGAGATCTGTCCTCCCGGTGTTTGTAGAATTGTCTTCTCTTTCTTCTGCTGCCAATCTTATCTGGCTCGGGCTTCCAACCAGGGGTTCCGTAGAGGGTGTGAACCGTGACCTCTCCATCGTTCCCGACTCCGCGAGCCAGATGCTCTGAAAGAGGACGACGCAAAGGTGGAGCAAGCGCATTGTGGCAGAAGGGTCCTTTCTAGATAACCATCGCTATGGGCAACGCTCGTCGGAGGGAAGGGACTGGGAGATCAAGCATGACAGTTACGATCATCAGCGTCAAGGCCTCAATTCACCAGAGTCGAACAAAATGGTCACGAGCAGCGAGCCCCGTGACCCTCTTCCTAGGACATCGCAATGAATAAAGGAGCGTCGTATGGCGCTGAATCGACAAGTTGTATGCAGGAGCACGAGGATTTGCAGCAATGCAAAGAAGGAAAGTTGGAGTTGGGGATGAAGATGCCATTGCGTGTACGTAAGCGCAGCGGTGCCGTTGGATGGTACTCTCGGCCGTGCCCAGGGCGCGGGAGGTCTGGGCACCAAAAAAGGATGGTGGGGGCACCGATGGGTTGAATCTAGGGGCCTCGGGGGCTTAGGTACCTCCGCTTTTAACTGGGCCAGCTCTTAAACCCCACGATGGGCGCATGGAACTCAGACGACACCATGACCTGCTGTCAAACATCACCTTCGGATCCATGTTCCGTCCATCATTGCATGCTCAGACCGAAATAGGCTCCGGAATATCTTAGAACCCAGAGTGCATACCAAAATCTTGACGGCACTGAGAAAACACCACTTGAACAGATACTGATGACTTGACTTTCTACAACCTACATTGTTCTTGCTCGCCAGTGCTCGCCCCGGACAGGACGATAAAGGCAGGGCAGGTCAAGCCAAGTCGAATACTACCTAGGTCTGTAATTCTCCCACTCATCGCGAGAAATTGTCAACCGGCGCTTCATGCTTAATCGTGTCCCAGATCTCATCGATGCTCTTGGACGCCTTGTCGCTCAACTTGCCCTTCTCAATGCCCACGAGGGTCTGCTCAAGTTGCTCCTTTTTGCTCGCGCCCACAATGATCCCATCACCATAGCTCTTCTTGAGCGGCGAATTGTACGTGACCCAGCGGTAGGCCAATTCGGCGCGCGAACAATCCTCTTCCTTGGCGATCTGTTCCCACTTCGCCAGGGCATTCAGGTACGAGTCCTTCATGTACATCTGACGATACATCCCGCCAATGGCTTTCTCTGAAAAGCGTCCTGCACCTTCTTTAATCTGCTGTGCTGTCTTGGTCAGGAAGCCACCGGCCAGTGGGGAGTATGCGTAAAACGCCATGTTCAGTTTGCGGATCGTTGGGAACAGTTTGGTCTCCTGCAGACGTGCGACCGGGCTGTAGTTGCCTTGGTACACTGTGGGTAGGACGTAGCCATTCTTCTTGCAAACATCGTAGACGGCTTGGACGTCCTCGGCGGTGTAGTTCGACAGGCCGAAGCGTTTGAATAGGCCGAGTTTGTGGACTTCATTGACGCCGGCAACGGTTTCCTCGATATCAGTTTTGCTGTCAGGGGCGTGGATGTAAAAGATGTCGACCTGTATGCAGTACTCTCATCAGTATTGAGTCCAAAGGACGAATCAAAGTGGAGATGCGATTGTTCTGGACAGGGCCATCACGGATCTTCAGGGCCCAAGTCCCATTGTGTTTGAAAGGGGGAACGGAATAGGCTACGGATCATGACGGGCATACCTGCTTGACGCCCAACTTCTTGATACTCTCCCTCGCCGAGGTGATGATACCCTCCTTGGTCGCCGAACCGGGAGTCCAACCACCAAGCCACTTGGTGTCGATGGTGAATCTGTCTCCGGCCTTGAGTTCGCCGAGTCGCTTTTCAGATTCGCCGTAGAGCTGAGCAGAGTCAATGGTCGTGACGCCGTGAGATTCAAGGATCTTAAACGCCTCATTGAGATAGGCCTCGTCTATCCACGGCTCAGAGTTGCCAATCGCAGCCCCACCGAAGATGACATTGAGTCCCTCAGACGACATTTTGAGTATGGATAAAACCGTGTTCGAAAAGTACTTTTTCGTGAGTCAGTCTAGAGAAAGGTGATTTGCAGTGTTTGCAATATGGAAGACGACTGGGCTGCAGATCCTTCTGACTGCCGTCTACTAGCTCTTTATATCCGCAGATGTCGCAAGAGCACTAACAGGGCGAGAACGGGTGAAATGAACTTGGCGAAGATGCTATCTGCCGCGATTGTGTAGGTGGGGCGTAGAAGAAGTGAATTAGTAATGCAACCTCGACAGGCTCGACGAGATTCAACACAGGCACCCAATAGGTGACGTAGATATTCAAGGCCGTCGACAATACCTCGACGTTGAAGAGTACTGTAAGATGGACGTGCAGAGTAGTTAAATCCCATCCTTGGACACTCGGTAGCAGCATATATATTCTCCCACTCCTTGTGCACTGTTGTAAGTCGCTTATGCGCCGAGATCTCTATCATACCTTTGTCATCAAGTCCGCGGCTCTGCTGTGGGAGGTGAGCCCCTGGTGAGACAAGTCGTCCGCCCACCGGCCGGGCTGCTGTAGCTGTAAACAGTAAATGCTGACAATTGAGTCCATCAGGCCAAGGAGGATGAAATACTATGGGTACGAGCCGTGGTTAGCGTCCCTGCGGAACCGGGATCTCATCATACACGAAGCCGAGGTACAAGTCTCATGTGTTGGCCGTTGAAGGGCTGACCGGGTAAGTTTTGGCTCTGTCTCGAACCCTCAGTAAGTGCTCTTAATGCATTCAGTTGAACCTTTGATGAGGAGTGGCTGATATTATGAGATTGAAGCCGGAGAGCCTGCTATTGCGTCTCATCACTCTGGAGCAGAAGAAACCCTCCTGATGCCCACAATAATGAACATTGACAGACCCTCTGAAACAATCAAAGATACGTTGCAGGGCAGATGTGCCCCAATTCATTCTTGTCCCTTCGTATGACATGCTAGGTTGGCCTTCTCGCCGTGACTTGTGCAACAAACTACTTCCGAGGGTGCTCTCATGACCCAGGTTGGGCAGACCAGCCGACGGAAGGACACTCCCGATGCTTCATGGGACGATTCAAGCTTGCCGTACACAGCTTGTCTGCCTTGTACAGAAGCGCGAGCTAGGCCACTCGGGATGCGACTGCCCACAGAACCACAGACCAGACCGAGGCCTTCCTCCTCCCCAAGCGAACATGAAACAAACCAGATTGGAAAGTGGCCATCAGGTCGTCAACCGTTAGTGCTGCATCAAAGTCCACTAGTGAGATGATATCTCTCATATACCACAAGACTGAGCTGAAGTGAATACAACTGGTGATATATTTCCCAAAACTCCTTCTGATGTTTCGTCGGAAATTCACAACGCTAAACATGGGTTTGGCCGTGAGCTGATAGGAAATTCGTTCTCTTCCATCACACTTGAGATGGGATGTCGTTGAACTGGCCGCAGGGCTGGACCCGGGGTGTGCGCTCGCTGGACTCCCAATTGTGGCATTGACCAGGTTGGAGTATTTGACGGCGGGCGTCTTCGCTTGACCGAGCTGGCCTCCGAGTGCTCCCATGAGCCGTGTCCTTTTGATGCTACTGGATCTCTTGATTATGATGGTGCCGTGGTCGGGCTGCTCCACCATTGCTACTCTGTGAGCCAGAGAGTTGTAGTCTGACTGCATCGTATGAGTTAGCGGAACTCGATGCGGCTTCGGTCACTTGCCACCACGTACCCGACTGTGCACTTGCAGGTCTGTTACCACTTCTTAAACCCGTATGCCTGAGGTCATCTTCCCATACCATGTTGTCGGTGCCAATGGTTTCTCCAGACGTCGATACGCTTCGGCGGTGGAAGCTATCTGAAAAGGTGTCTCGCACGAAGGTCTGAAAGCTGGGTAGTGTCCAGGAGTGACTTGGTGCTGGCCGCATTGACAAAGTGCGTTGATCACTGCCAAACCCTGCGCGTTGCTCTTGCTGTGGTGTTGCGGCATCGCTTGGCGTCGCTGATGGTGAAGGGCTCTCACTGAAATCTGAGTCGCCGTATGCGGTCTCTCCCGCTCGATGTCCCTTTCTGCCCACCGTCATATGGTGGTGGTGCAGGCGACATGCGAGTACCGATTTATCGAGGCGGTCCGCGATATGTTTGTAGGGTAGCTTCCGGCTTCGACTCTGAAACAGGAACTTCTCCTAGGTAGCGGTCAGCTTGTCTTGTGTGTGCATAGAGCGAAGGCAAAGAACCTCTTCTTCCGTCCAGGAACGTATCAACTTCCCCTGGCGAACTTTGTCGCTCCTCGAGGGATTCGGAGACCTTTGAACTCTACGAGACTGCGACGTCGGCCTCGCGGATGCTGGCTTGGGGACGGGAGATGGCATTTTTGATACCATTCTAATGTGAGACAATGGTACGCCAGTGGCGTTGGGTTTCCGCAACGGCACGAATGCTGTTGAGATGAAAGGACCTTGCGATGGGGATGGATAGTTGCCAAGTAAGCAGGCACGGATTGGAAGATACTGCGGCTCTAACAAAGCAGCACATCCCTCTCAATTCACCCCTCAGAGCATATATACGATGGATCAAACACCATATACAATCAATCTGCCTTGTCAAGACGAGAAGGCAGATTTGATTCTGGCTCGGTCAATGTGCGACCGGATGAAGACCCAACGATGGAGGAATTATTGAACTGGGCATGGGTCTGCTCGAGTCTTTGGACGATATGAGGGGATGAATAGCCGCTGGTACCGCACAAGGTGGCTTGCATTAGACGTTTAGGGTAGCTATACCTGCCCCAGGTATAGGTCCAGGCATAGCATGGTGTCTGTTCGGGAGGCAAGGGTGTGCAATGTGGGTTCATGCAGCCGAACCCTTGGACCGACTCCAAGTCGTTCTCAAGTAGCCATCACCGTCCTTCTTGGGTCGATTGGCACGAAGGAGCCGTTTCGTCGGCAAGAATGCACAGCATCCGACGTAGGTAGACTCCACAAGGACACAGCAACTGAGGCTGTCAACGCCTGTTTGAAATCTTTTGATCTTGTAAAGTGTTGCTTGAATTCACTGCCTCGCTTGGGCATGGCTACCATAAGCCACATGCAAGAACCATGTTGGCGTCGATGTACCATGGAAATCCTCCGAACTGGAGGGTCAACCTGGTTGATACTGTGCCCACAAGTCTGCCTTAGGGGTTTGATCGACGAATTGGAAGAGATATTGTGGTCAACAGGCGCCAAAGCCTCCCGGCGGCTAATTCTCGATCGCGAGCCACAAGACGAGAGCAGTATTGACAGGGGACGGAGGACTAACTGTGCTGTGCTCCCTCACAGTGTTGCAACGCTTGAAGCAACCAGGCCACAAGTAGTTGATAGTAGATGTTTTGACAGCGGTTCTGCCCGTGGACGGCGGAGTAAGGTAGGCACCCATAGGTGTAGTCTGGGTCCACGCATGTCGTTCAAAGACAGGGTATGCCACACTGTAACGGCTTTTCGTTCTCCGCAAAGTTCCTCGCGTCGAATCCCGCAACCCGAGCTCAGGATGGTCTATGGCAGTAGCATCTCGTAGTACAGGCCTGTAGCTGGCAGCTCGCTTGCGCAGGGTGAATGTTTCTTTCTCGTCCGACCTCGATGCTTGCGAATTGATTTGAGTCCAGCAACCGTTGCATGTTCGAGATCGTCGTTTCCAAGACTACCGACCATTGAATCTGCTACTGTTGAGAATAGAGAACACTCTCGTGCTTGCCTATTTGGTTGAGCATGAAGTGCAGAAGGACCGCCGTGCAAGACGCGTCCCGGATGTGGCATCGCTACGCGGTCGGCTAAGAGGCCGCCGCTTCGTGGGGGCCGAACGTGGGTGTCCAAGCCACCGTGGCCACCCTGCGGAGCAGCAGCCTACCAAATGCCTTCCAGGTGTGACAAGACAGCGATCGAGTGCATCGGCGACAGAATCCGAGGACGGAGGCGCCGAGGCCAAAAACGGCCATGCAGGCAATGTCATTTGCATCTTCGAAGTATCGAGTAACTGTCAAATCATCTCTGAATTCGCCCACAAGCGTTTCATATGGTACGATCTGGCTCATGATGGCTGTGACTTGGCTATGGCAAGGACAGAACTCACACTGCCACCCAGGCGAGTTGTGACAGGTCAAGAGTGGCCGGTACGCGAAGGTCACGAATTCTGAGAATCGCTGCTCCTCCTGTCCACGATCACAGATCATCGAGATTGCACGTCTCCAGAAGATCTTGAGTCAACTTCCCCTTCCTGCTATATCCTTCAACATATCGATCTCCCCATTCGCCCACCGTGTTATCGTAGGTGGTCTGAGGCTTGAGTTCGCAAAGATGGCACATGTTCGCCTTTAAGCCTTTCATCAGACCCAATCTAGGATACTCCTATGAGCAAGTCCGATCAGCATGCAGGTTTCTCAGACTTCGGGGTTCAATTTCACAGACCTTGACGATGGGGTTATACTCGTCCCAGGTCAGCAGTCCACCCGCCACTCGATCTGGACCCTGGAAATCTGCCCATATCCCATAGCTACACGCTTGCACTTCCGGCTCCTTCTCGAACACAATGGTCCCAATGGTATGTAAAGCTATGGCATCCCATACCAGCTGCAACCTATGCTTGTCCCAATCTGGCGCCTCTTTTCTGAGAAAATTCCTCGCAGCGTTGGCTCCGTCAACCTCGAATCTCTTGTCCTTGGTGATGATCTCGGAATGAGGAGGGTGCCCGATCGGGAAGCCCAGATCGTGCATGATCGCAGTGATGGCATGCACCTCGCGGTCCCGTTCGGGAAGAACTTTGTCGGCAATGATGAACCCTAGCAAAAAGGATCGGATAATGTGATTGAACGTGTCATCAGTCGAATATTGACGGACATACTCTATAGCTTTCGTGATTAGCGGCGTATCGGGTACAGTCACACCTGCAACCACTCTCGTAGGTAGGGATCCTGGAGCTGCCATAGGTCGAGGAAGAAGGGGTAAGGTGCAGCAATTGTTCAAGGCGATCAGATCCAGAGGTGAAGGTATTCTAAACCCTGAACCATTGACTGATATGTCTTTGCCATTGACGGGAGATAGCTGGGGTCCAGCTCAAGGAGGGGCACTGGTCTGGCGCAAGAGGGTGGTGGAGGATGGTGGAGGTCGCCAAACGTGTTCGACTGCGACAGGTACAAGTACCTAGGTATCGAGCGGAGGAGTACTCCGTACCTCAATCGATATAACTTCCGGAACGGCTCGTGATGCTAACGCGGGTCAGCAAAATGCCCCGCGCTAATCAATGCCGCTAGAACCTTGGGAGCCCTGGGAAATCGATCCCAGGTGCTGTTCAGTGGTGAGATATGACAGGAGTCGTGAGTAGTCTCCGGTAGTAGCTGTAAGAAGCCGGCTTAGCAAAGCTCATCGTTCTTTCCGCATTCCCGTGGAGGATCATTGTTGGCCAGTAAGCTGAGACCAATCCATAGGACTTCAACGATCTAATCAGGAGACGCTGGCAACTTTCGACAGCAGACATTCTTCATACACTGACAATGTTCATGTCTCCTTGCGTTGTCCTTCCACCATCCAGCCGTAGAAGATTAAGGTAGTTCCCAATGGCCTCTTCTCATCTTGCCCAAGGCGAAGGAAATTCTTCAACTGTTGGGCCCCTTGAAGAAGAGGCGGAGTCTCAAGCAGGAATTGTCGCTGTACGCTTCCTTGTCGAAGGAGATGTCGCTCTTAACAATAACGCCGTTCTAGGTCGACGAGTACGCTGACTCTGCTTTTGAAGATGGTGACAATCTCTCGTGAGTTCGCAATATCGAGGAAGAACAAGCACTGAAACGGCCTATCCAGAGAGACCACATCTGTCGCATCCTCAATATACAGAGGACATATGATCAATGGAAGAAAGTGCGCGCATCATCATGGTTTCCCCTGTAGCATGTTTGGCTGATGGCTACAGATACTCGTCCCTGCGAGATGATTATTGGCATGTATCCCAAAGCGATTATGTGGGCAGTGCTGAATGCGACAACAGGGGTCCTTCCGATGAGCAGCAGTACGAAACCTTGAATGCTGGGTAAGCCATTGGGGAAAACGCCCGTGAGCACGAAACTGAGACCAACATGCCAGCCATTTGCTTTACCTTGTCTTGGACAGCAAACATCCGAACCCTTTGTACCGCTCTCCCATCACGGAACCACAAGTATGTTCCGCTAGAGCCTGATTGCCCTCTCCTTTGGGATGTATCGGCTGACTTGTCCCGATCAGCGTGTGCTTGATATAGGGACGGGTCCTGGAACATGGGCTATGTAAGTGGATATCCTTCTTCATAGACTGCCCATTTTTGACAGGACCAAGTGATGTGGCCGACCAGTTCCCTTCTGGTAAGCCGTGGTAACAATGTGCTGTCAGCTGTAAGGCTAAACTCGAACCAGCCACCGTGTATGGCGTGGACCTCTCACCACCGCCCACGACTTGGGTTCCTCCCAACTGCTTTCTTCAGGTAAGAAGCTTCACGATCCAAAACGGCTTATTCTGAGACAGTACAGGTAGACGATATCTTACAAGACTGGACATGGCAAGAGAAGTTCGATCTCACCCACATGCGCCTCTTGCTGGGTGCCTTCTCAGACGCAGAATGGGCTGAGGTCTACCGGAAATGCTTTGATGGCCTCAAGCCTGGAGGATATATCGAACAAGTCGAATTGGATGTACGAGTGATGTCTGATGATGGATCTCTTGACCCTGATTCACTGTTAGCAGGTTGGGGTCAGAATTTTCTCGATTGTGCGCAACGAGCAGGACGTGCGTTAGACACTCAGTTGACCATGAAGGCCAAGATTGAAGCAGCTGGATTTGTCGATGTCCAAGAACATCTGTACAAATGCCCAATCGGGTCTTGGCCCAAGGATAAACTCCTCAAGGACGCCGGAAGAATCAATTTAGCCCATTGGAGCTCCGGGCTTGAGGGGTGGGCAATGTTCTTACTGACGAGATGGGGAGCTCCAGAGCCATGGACGGCGGATGAAGCCAGAGTTTATGTCGCGAACGTGAGGGATGAATTGAAGAAGCCAGGATTGCATATCTGGCATTACACGTGAGGTTGAATGAGTCTGCAGGTCTGAGCCATGCTAATCCAGCTGTGACAGTCGACGGGTCTGGGGCAGGAAGCCGTGACGTGTGGAGCTTGGAAGAGCGGGTGGAGGTGATATTGGGTATGCATTGGGATTGACGCCTGTGAAGGCCCTTCTACCCAAGCCGTTGGTGGAAATGAGGGTATTGGAAGAATTCCAATCGTGTCGACGAGATGTTCAGTACCAACCTGAATACGAGATGGATTGGTCATCGAGATATCTTATCTGTCCTAGTAGTGGCCTAGGTGGTGGCTAAGCTGTGAGGCTGGTGGGCCAAGAGATGGAGGAGTGAGTGTAATATTAGCGTCGGGATACTTGCCCAGCCTAGTATTCCCCCTCCTTGCGCTCAGTTACGAGTAACTACATATAGCGGCTAGTCTTTCCCTCTTAGATTAGTTAGTTAATTAATCTCTTCCGCCGCTACAACCACAGGTGGTAGCAACGAACCTACTTACAAGAGCGGCTATATTCTCTTGTAAAGGTAGTTAGTAGGTTTTATACGCCTATAACAATTTTAACTACTTCGATCCTTTATTATTCTCTACGTTAACGATAGCCCTCGACGATAACTTTAATAACGATAACGACCTTAATTCTAATATCTTAATATAAAGAATTTTTACTAGAGAGGTTAGTAAAGTAATAATGAAACTACTCGTATTGTATTATAATTATATATATCTAGTTTTCGAAAAGAGAAGGAAAAGTATTAATAAGGTAGACTTTAAGGCCCTAAAATCTCTAAAATATATAGTAATTAGACGTAACGACGCAAAGAAACTAAAGTCTCATAGAAAAAAAGACTTTTTAGCTAATAAGGATATTAGAGAAGAAAGAAGAAGATAAAATAAAAGGGGGTTTACTAGATTCTCGTTATTACGGACGGATATATCTTAAACTCTTCTTTTTTTTAGACTCTTCTATTATAGAATAGACCTCTCTTTTTCTCTAGAGATTAACTATACTAATAATAGTAGTAGTAGCGACCTTAATAACTAGGATAAAAACTTTATACTTATTAATACTAATTCTCTTAGTATATTATATAGTATTTTATTCTTTATTTAGTCTAATAGTATTATTATTAAATAACTTAGCGAAATATTACGAATATATATATATATTAGCGAATAATATTATAGCGTTATAGATAATACTTTTATTTCGTAAAGACTAAAGATATATAAACTATATATATATAATAGCGACTATAGTAATAATTAACTTAATAACTATATATAAGATATTATAAACTAAATTAACTTCTACGATTAACGAGAACACTAAATAAATAAATATAAGAAGGTAGAAATAGTGTTTATCTATTTTATAGGACGTATATATTAAATATATATATTAACTTATAGTTTTATACTTACTATTACTAACTATTTTACTTAGTTATGTGAGACTTTTAAGGATAATAATAAGTAATCTTAATTATATAACTAATAGTATATATATATTTAAGGCGACCACTCTACTATAAAATATACTTAAGACTTAATTTACTTTACGACTTATATTTAATTAGAAAAAACTATATTAAAGATTAAGGAGTATTTTTATATTGATTTTAATAATACTATCTAAATAAAAATAATAAAATACTTTAAATAAGATAACCTAGCCTTATTTAAATATATTAAGTATACTAATTAATAATAATAGATTAAGATTATTAAAGTATATATTTATAAGAGAGTAAAATAATATAGAATAAGTTATATTCTTACTCTCTTTAGAATATCTTATCGAGATAATATATAGAAGCTAGTATATTTTACTATAATATATACTATCGCGATATCTAGTAAAGATATAAAAGAATAATAGAACTAATATTAAAAAAATACTACTTACTTTAAATATAGCTCTATTAATTATTAGTTCTATAGTTATATAAAATTAATATTAACTACTTATAAGGGTTTACTTTATTAAGGCTAAAAAGATTTTAATATACAATAATTTTAATAAAGTAAAGAGATTAAAAAGTTTTAACTATAGTAAAAAAATAAAGGAAAATTAAAAAATTCTAGAAAGTTACGTACTATTACGAGACTTTATAATAATTAAAGAGAATTATAGATAAATAGAGAAATACTATAGACGACTAGATTAGTAATTTAATAGTAAAATTAAAAGAATTCTAACTAATTCAATTAATTACGTAAAGTAAAATAAGTCTATACTCTTAAGATATATTTATAGAATATCGCTATCTATTAGTTATAAGGTATTATAAGTATAACTTAAACTTTTATATCTATACGAGTTTTAATTAACTTAAAAGTTATAGAGTAGTATCTTTCGACTAATATTACTTATAAGCTATAGATAAAGATTATAATTAACTTTTTACTATATTAGATTTAAGTCGCTAGTAATATATATATCGCTAGTCTAGAAAGAGCTCGCTTTATATTCTATATTTATTAGTATTCTATAGATTTAATAGTCTATATACTTAAAATTTTAGGTTATAACTTAATTCTTAGTTTTAAATAACTATAAATTATTAATTCTAAAATTAATTAATAATAAATAAAAATTTAGGTCTATAATAAATCTAGAATACTCTATATACTTTCTTCTACTAACGTAAACTTATCTAACTTAATTTATACTAATATAAATACTATTTAACTATTAAATCTTTATATAACTCTTAAAGCTCTCGGAAAGAAGATAACTAGTTTCTTTTTAGGGTATATTAAAGAATTATATCCTCGTTAAGATTTTCCTATTATTTCTAGAGAGCTAGTTTAGCTAGCGATTATAGACTAAAATAAACTATTATATATTCTTTTAAAACGATTTAAGAGAATCTTTAAGAAAGAACTTTCTATTATCCTTCCCTCTATACATTAGAACGATTACTATATCTTTATAAGTAATTTCGTATTAATTAATATTAATATATATCCTCTCTCCTTAATATATATCGCGAAGTAAAGTTAATAAATTATATAGATACTATAATAGAGTATTATTCGTAAGTTTATATCTTTATAGAGATTCTTTATTCTATTTATTAAAAAACTAGGAGATAAGTAAAGAATATATATTAATTATCGAGCGTTAAACGCTATTATAATTAAAAATAATTATCCTTTATCTTAAATTTAGGAATATCTTAATTTTATTAAGAATATTAAATTTTTATTAAAACTAAATCTTATATAAAGATATTATTAAATTTAGATATATCTCGATAGTCGTAAGAAAACTATATTTAATACGTAAAAAGAAAAGTTTAAATACTACGCTATATTATTTAGGCTCTATAATATACTAGCTATATTTTAGGCGTTAATAAACTATATTCTATAAAAATATATCGTAAAATTTATAATTATATATCTTAATAATATATTTATCTACTTTAATAATCTTTCTAAGTATTTACAATATTTTACGAATATCTTCGAGATATTTAAAATATATTCTTTATATATTAAATCCTTAAAATATTAATTTCTTATAAAAGAACTTAAATTCTATAACTATATAATTAGAAATAAATAAATTTAATCTCTTATAATAAAGGTTAATATTATTCTTTAATAGCTAATTTTAATTAATATATATAAACTTTAATAATTTCTTAGTTTAGTTTTATACTATTATAAATATATATAGAGTTTTATATATACTTATATTCTATTATTTTTACTTTTATAGAAAATAAATATTAAAGAAAGAAAATATAAATTTCGAAAAATTAAATAAAATATTACGATAAAAAATACTTTTTAATCCTTAAAATAAACCCTTATAAATATCTCTATCTTAATATAATTAGATATAATATAATTATTTTCTATTAAGATAGATACTAGTAAATAGACTATTAATAAAGTCTTACTTTAAGAGAATTATAATTTAAAATAATTTTATCTCGTTATTTACGAAGAATAGAAGTTTATATCTATAGAAATTAATTATTCTATTTATAAAAAAGAATTATTTATAATTAAATATATTTTAAATATATAGTATATTTATATTAAAAATAACTATTTAATTATAATCTTTATAGATTACGAAAGTTTAAAATATCTCTAAATAATACGAAATTCTACGAAATAATTCGCTCGTTAGATTATTAATTTCTCTAAATATAACTTAAAGATTTACTATCGAAAAGATTCTTTAATAGTTACTTTAGATACTATTAGTTAATATTCTAATCTTATAGGATAAGGATCGCGGAATTTTATAGCTTAATTTACTACGTTATATAGCTTTAAAGAGAATAAATAGGCTAAAGTAATAATTAAATTACTTTAGAAAAGATAATAATTATCTACGTATATTCGCTTAAAACTATATAAAGATTAATTCTTATTTACTATTAAGGATAATATACTTTATTGTATTAAGAATAATATTTAAAGTTCTTATATTCTAATATCTTTTTATATAAACTTTCTTAAACGAATATATATTAAATATAAATATTTTAGATACTTTAGTATTTTTAATATTATTTAAGAATAAGGATAGTAGTTCTCTTTTTAAGAAGATATATATATCTTTATATATAGTTATTTATAGTGTTAAATTTCTTAATATAGTTATCTAGGGTAAAAGAGAGAATAACTATAAACCCTTAATAAGGAAATACTATAAATCTTTAATAGATAGACGATTAATTTAATTAATATTCTATCGAAAATATCTATAGATAATCGTTAGATTATTATAACGATCGAATATCTTATTAAATAGTTAGTAACTTTCGCTATACTTAATATTAAAGCTAAAATAATTATAAAATTTCTTTATAATTATATTATAATAATTTACAAAGTACTACGCGAGATTCTCTTAGATAATAAATAAAATTTAACGAGAGAGGTAATAACTTATTATATCTTACTATTAAAGATAAGATATTATATAACGATATTATACTATTTACGAACGAATAAAAAGATCGAGAACTTTAACGAATTTCTAGGGATAACGTTAATATATCTTTTTACGAATTAACCTATTATTCTATAAGATTAATATTTATTTTAAACCTTATTT